TTTTTTTTTTTTAATGTACGGGAGAACACCGGGATTAAAAAAGAGTGGATGGTTGGCAGGGTCAGATGGGTATAAGAAGAAGAAATAGAAAGGTTAGGATCATCACGCCTAGAAGGATTCGAGGTGATAGTGAAGTCAACATGAGAACAGGTGAACCGAATAAATCACGCGATGGAAGTTTAGGACGTGCTCTTCTGGAAGCTATCTAATTCTACCGCAGCAGTGTACGCATGCTTGTTCTTATTACAGTAGCGACATTCAGTCTAGAAGGAATCGATGTGGTCCATTACCAACTCAATATTGTGAATAGTTCACAGTGTCAAAGCACAATGTCGATCGAGCCACCTTTCGCTAGAGCATCTCGTTCATCCGTGAATAATGTATGTGCCACCTCGGTCTCGTATCTTGGTCCCTTCGTTGACGCTCATCGTACAGGTGCCAAAATGCTGCTTTTTCTTGCCGTCGCCGCGCAGATACACCTTGACTTCGCGTTGAAGTCAGCCATGGTCTCCAGCAAGAGAATCCCCAGTTCGGCTGGCGAAGGAGTTGCTCGCGGCCTCAAAGGTCGCCTCGAAGGTAGGTGAACAGTTGGTGTCCTTGTGGAGGTGTAGCCAGTAGAAAAGGCGCTTGCACGGCTAGTTTGGGATCAAGTTCGGTGTTGCAAGCAGGGAGGAGCCGCGGGCAGTAGCCTTGGTGGCGTGATGCGAGGGTGTCAAGCTTGAAGGCCAAATCCACCGTGTAAGTATGACGATCGTAGGCGGAATCTTCGTCACCAACCCGCAAACAGATAGGCGTGTTGACAACGATGTCGAGTTGAACATCTCCAGGTGTCTAACAGACATGTGGGCCGCGGCCAGTCGGTCAGCCAGGTTGATGGACAAGGGGTAGACGTAATGCCTCCGCCCGAGCAACCCAAAGGTAGATCTTGTTCGAGTCGACAAATGAGGTGGCCTGAGAGTCTGGAGTGTATAAAGGGCTCTGAGGACCATCCTCCAAGGCGAAAGGGGTGTTCAGGGGCATGGTCATTATGAGCTTCTCAATCGGAACTTGAGCGGATAGCGTAAAATGCGTGACCCAAGTGGTTGTCCTTGTATTTCCCACTGACGATTTAGTCAGAGACGCACGTAGACGGCGCTGAGCTGGACTGGATTCTTGAGCATGTTGGTGCGGCTCATCTCAGGTTTCCCTTCCGCTCGAGAATGGATGCTGGACGCATGGTGGGCGCTCCGGTAGAACCAATTGTTGTTGTTTTAGTGATCTGCAGCATGGCCTCCTCCGTGCATGTCGATGTACGAGGCGAAGCCTGCGTCAGGTAGAGTGCCAAAGCCGCTTATAAGGAACTCGAGAATGTATGCTTTGAACTCCAACTCGTACCAAGTCATTTCTCGAACAACATTCCAGCCCTCCTTATTCCTAGCAGTCATGACTTCATCACTGCGATTCCATGTGGGAGCGTCTGTGTACGCGTTGAGAAACATCTGGCTGGAGACCCTAGTACTATTGATTTATCGGAATTTGGTAGAATGACAGACGTATTGACAGGATTAGAACATGACAACCATCGTGAGGAAGAGCGAGATCTTCACCTGACTTGAGCTGTATATATGTGCAAATCGCATTCACATCCATCGCTTTGCCTTGAGCCACTGACCATAAGAGACGGCCATCTCGGGAAGTCACCCATGACATTGCAGGGATCAGCTTCGACATCGAGAGCCATAAGAGCTTTGACAGCCCATGTTTTCTGTGCAAGAGGATAGACCACGACTTTCAATCTTGGTGCAATTGGGTGATGTGAGTAGCTGTGGTTGAGGGATTAGGTCTAGACAATAGGGGCCACAAAGTACATGCATGAAGCAGCCACGGCCATGCAGCTAGCTCAGCTGCTCTATTATCCTCCAGAGAAACAACTTTGAGGCACCATCCTTCGAACATTCTGGACACTTGCGTGGTCCTTCAGGCTGAGACTGGAGTGAAGTTGATCCAGGTCACATGATGTTAGAGTAAAGCGGCAGGCCACAGTTCAAAGCGCGTGGTGCCAAGACCAGGCGGATTGTCGCCGCTGAATACTTGCACTCTGCTCGACCTGCACTTTCTGGTCGGAGACGCGTGCTGCTCGTGTAGTTGGGCCATATCGATAAGTGGTATGACATCAGCCACCTAGGCTCCAAGACCATCCGGATTTTGGTCCGGTATTGGAATCTGATAACATGGGGGTCCAGTTGTCTCCACGTCGCCCCAGAATATGCCCCGAAAACCCCCCGAATCTGGGTAAATCTATGCCAACACCTAGCGACGAATACACCTGGAGATGAGCTCGGGCAAATAACCTGGCTAGCCTATGTGTACCACAACGCAGCGGGCTGCGGACAATTAGCACCACGGCTACATGCCAGAGTCTGTGAGTCCAGTCAGGAGCGTTGCAACACCTGATGAAGAGCCCCAACACTGTGGAGGACAGGCCAGGGCACGGGTCTGGACAAAAGGCCACACAGCACTCTCTGCTGGACCCTATATTTCCTCAATCCTGTATACCGGAGCGTGGATTGTGCTGCTTCTGACGATCTAGGACATTGAGCACTTCGACCACAAAACATCACCTTCAACAATGGCATCAGCAAAGCTCGGATCTGCCGCCAATGCAGATATCCTTATGCACAAGATAGGATCCCTCAGCGGCTCCGAAATCGCCACTGTCCTGGTCTTCCTTCTTGTAGCAGCACTCTGGTATCTTCAGGACTTTGCGAGCAAGAAGTCATCCGCAAAATCCTCCGGCTTCAAGAAACTGCCAACCAACAATGGCAGCCGAAACATTATTGAGCAATTGAAAGCCTCGGACAAGAACTGCGTCATCTTCTTCGGCTCGCAGACAGGCTTTGCTGAGGACATTGCTGCGCGACTCGCAAAGGAGGGTCACTCTCGCTTTGGACTGAGGACCATGTTGGCTAACCTGGAAGACTACGATTGCACCAACCTGAACGAGTTCCCCAGCACGGCTGTCGCCATGTTCATCATGGCCACTTTCGGAGAAGGAGAGCCGACGGACAATGCGCAAGACTTCTATAACTTTATCACGGCTGACGATGTCACCTTTGACAATGGAGGCTCTTCGCTTTCCAACATGAAGTACTTATCCTTTGGCCTGGGCAATTCGACGTACGAGCACTTTAATGCTGTCTCGAAGAAGATTGACGCCACTCTCGAAAGCCTTGGTGCTCATCGAATCGCACCGGCCGGTCGTGGTGACGACGGAGAGAAGACAACAGAGGAAGACTTTATGGCCTGGAAAGAACCCATGTGGAAAGCCTTGGCCCAAGAGATGAACCTAACCGAGCGTACAGCGGTGTACGAGCCTATCTTCGATGTCTCTGAGCTCGCCGGCCTCTCCAAATCAAGCCCGGAGGTCTATCTCAGCGAGCCCAACAAACTGCAGCTGCAGGGTGTCCTCAGAGGCCCTTTCGACTCTCATAACCCCTTCCCTGCTCCTCTGGCTGTCGCTCGTCAGATATTTAAAGCCAAAGACAGAAACTGCCTGCACATGGAGTTCGACCTGATGGGCTCGGACCTGAGATACCAGACGGGCGACCATGTCTCTATCATGCCTATGAACTCGGGTGTCGAAGTAGATCGATTCCTTCGGATTTTCGGATTGGAGTCGAAACGTGACACTGTCGTTGATGTGAAGGCCATCGAGCGGACTGCCAAAGTGGCATTTCCTGTTCCCACCACCTATGACACGATTGTGCGATACAGGCTGGAGATCGGGGCATCGGTCTCACGACAATTCATTCAGCAGCTCTCCAATTACGCGCCTACCGCGGACGCCAGAGCAGAAATGGAAAAGCTGGGAAACGACAAAGACTACTTCCACAGCCAGATCACTGAGCGAGAGCTGAACATCTCCCAGACGCTCGAGCTCGTGGCCCAAGGCGCGACATGGGAGAATGTGCCTTTCAGCATGCTGCTGGAAAGCCTTGTAGCCTTACAACCACGCATCTACTCTATATCATCCTCATCACTGGCATTGAAAGACCGGCTGAGTATCACGACCAAGGTGGAAACTCATCCTATCGCATCCACCGATCTTTTCTTCAAGGGCGTGGCAACCAACTATCTACTTGCCCTTGAACAGAAACACAACAATGCCTCTTCACGGGACCCCTACGCCGCCAGCTATACCGTTGATCCACCCCGCAAGCACTACGACGGCGTTCGTGTTGCTATGTATATCCGACCATCCACATTCCGCCTACCGGCCAGCACCACCACGCCGATTGTCATGGTCGGTCCTGGCACGGGTGTTGCGCCGTTCAGAGCATTTGTGCAGGAGCGGGCAGAGCAAAGGAAGGCAGGGCTTGATGTGGGACTGACCATGCTGTTCTTCGGTTGTCGCAAGCAAAAAGAAGACTTCGTCTACGAGGAGGAATGGGCGGTAAGTGACAAGTTTTCTAGCACCACACTTCCAGGCTTTTGTGCTGACGGACGATCCAGGAATATGGACGAATCCTCGGATCGAACTTCAGAATGGTCACAGCATTCTCGCGCCAGACTCCTAGCAAGAAGGTATATGTCCAAGACAAAATACATCAGTATGGCGCAGAGATCAGTTCCCTCCTCAGTAAAGATGCTCACTTTTATGTCTGTGGCGACGCGGCAATGGCAAAGGACGTGAGTAGCCTGCTAGAACAAATCATTTCCGAGCAGAGGGCCGTGCCACCCGCCGAGGCGGCTGCTGTTGTCAAGCAGATGAGAGCTGCGAATCAGTACCAAGAGGACGCATGGTCCTGAATCACAGAGAGCATGACTATTATTTGTAGTTCGCAGCTTGGGTCCGACATGTAGTCATTTGACCGACATAGATTGTGTGGATAGCACGCAGCCGCACGAGTTGATTGTAATCCGTCTACACCAAGAAGTATCACTTGGACTTTCCGAAAACGATACTACATTAATTGGCAGGATAGCTGCAAGAGCAATCCCAAGAAGTCGTGACTGTTCGTATATTCGCTGTCAAATCATATCCAAGCTACAAGTCTAACAGACCAGTTTAAGGAGTGGCCAAAGGTCAGATGGTGGTAGAACTTCCGACTTCTACTGTGCACTGTATCCTCCATCAACCTGTCTCGGTATTAGCTTCGGCCTGCTCGCTGGGACGAGAAAGGAACGCTACTCACCGGGAGCACCGACCCGGTCACATAGCTTGCTCTGTCGCTTGACAGGTAAACTATCGCGTCGGCTATCTCTTGCGGACTTGCCAATCTGCCTATGGGGGTCTTTTCAATTTGTGGAGCAAGCAACTCCCGGATTGCGGGTGTCACCAACGGAGTATCGATGAATCTGGACGAGACAAACGGGTCAGTAAGCCGATCTCCGCGCCAACTGTGAGTTACTTACCCAGGACAAACAGCATTAACTCGAATTCCTTGCTTTGCATAGTCAAGCGCATCCGTCCGTACCATGCCGATCAGCCCTGGAGACTCCTGGTCAGCACAAGGTATACACAATGGACTCAAAGTAAGGACCAACCATGCTTGGAGATGGTGTACAGTCCATCCAAGGGAATGGCTCGGATGCCGAGAAGGGACGACACCACCACAATCGAGCCCCTGGTAGGGGCTCTGCCGCTACTGGAGACGAGTCAGGATTACCATCGCAAATGTTGGATCATGGTGGGCGGATTTTGTCACACTTACAGAGCCTCCAACGGCTCTTGCTTGGCCATATATCTCAATTCTTCCCTCTCACAGAGCCAGGTGCCTCTCAGGTTGATTCTCTGGACCTTTTCGAAGGCTTCAAGTGTTGCTTCCCCAGTTGGCACGAAAGGAGCGGCAATGGCCGCGTTGTTGATAGCGTAGTCGATCCTACCAAATCGATCGATAGTCGACTTGAAAGCACGAGCCACCTGCTCCTCATCTGATATATCTACTGCAAGTTGCAGAAAATCCACGTCTGGGACTTCAGCGGTCAACGCTGCAGCGGTCTCACTCAATGCTTTGTTTGAGAGATCCAGGCCAGCGATCTGCCTGACCCCATCACGAGCAAACTGGAGAGCAACCGCTCGTCCAAGAGCACCACCTGCTCCAGTGATGAGAGCGACCCTTTGCAATGATTAGACCACAAGTACCACATTGTCTGGGGTGGGAGGCTGTTCGTTACTCACCCATTTAGTCCGAGTCCGGTCAATGACATGTTTGTCTTGCGTGTCAATGAGCCTACAGCGATTTAATGTGAGGCAAGCTTTGTAGGGTCTGGAAACCCGGGTTGCTGGTAATATTGGAATGGAAATGGAATAATACCTAGGTCAGCTCCGTGGATGTGTGCGTGGATTCGCCATCTCGCTCAGCAATGGACCGTCGGACATTTTCATCGGTCCGGACGATTCTCTTAACGGGCAAACTACATGTCACACGTACATACTCTTCCGTCGTGATGACAGAACCCGTCAAAGCGCCCTGGGGAAAGACTCCGCCGTCAGGTTGGTGTTGGCAACGTTTGTCGGGTGGGAGACTTGGTCTTGGGTTCCGCCATACACAATATCAAATTTTATTCAGCGGTATCTAGCGAAAAATATTACAACGGTATGCCGATCGTGAATCCACCGTCCACGGCCAAATTTTGCCCTGTGATCCATTGGGCGTCATCGCTACACAAGAACACCACTGCCTTTGCGATATCCAGTGGCTCTCCCAGTCTAGGCCAAGGGGTGCCCTTCTGCATCTCGGTGATGATGGCCGGTGTTCGGAAGTTGATGCTGGCTGCACCACTCCGAACCACACCGGGACACACGCCGTTGACGTTGATGTAGTCTTTGGCGTGGTCGAGAGCGACGTTCTGGGTCAGCATCGCTACCGCTGCCTTACTCGCAGCATACGTAGCCTCTCGACGGATGGCTGTGCGGCCGCCAGCGCTGGAGGAGATGTTGACGATCCGCCCCCGCGACCCAGAGACTTCATCAATAGGCTGTTTGAGGAACTGCTTGATGGCCTCGCGCATCGCGGTGGCTGTGCCTTTGGCATTGATGGCGAACATGGCGTCCCACTGCTCCTCGGTCTCCTCTACAAAGTCACGCAACGGCATCCACAGGCCAGCGTTGTTGACGAGAATGTCTAGTTTGTTGAATGTCTGGCATTTGCAGTATTAGACGAGCCAGCACCACGACAGAGAATCTTGCTTGTTTGCTCGCTTACCTTGACCGCAAACTCGATCAGGGCCACAATTTCGGCCACTTTCATCAAGTCACACTTCTGGAAGTAAGCCTTGCCGCCGTTGTTGTTGATAACTTCGTGCGTGGGGATGTGCTTGTCTGCCTCGAAGCCATCCTGACGTGCTTCGGCAACACGGTCGGCGCATATCACATAGGCGCCTTCGCGAGCCAGAGCCAACGCAATTCCACGGCCCAGCCCAGACGATGAGCCCGTCACGATGGCAACTCGCTGATGAAGACGTCCAGTTCCGTCAAGTTTGTAACTCAGTGCGGCGCTCATGTTGCTGATGGGTGTCCTGACACTTTGCTTCGTATGCTGTCTTGAGTGTTTACTGTATCATGGAGGTTCGACCAAATAACCCCAGCTGAAGCACGTTGACGGGTAAGCTATTGCGAGATATGCCGGCAAAGGTAAAGGGATGCTTGGTTGAACAAGTCTGGCCGACACTCAAATGGACGCATGGAGAACATTTCAAGGAAATACCCCACGGTGGCACCGGGTTAATAATTGACTAGAAACTCTTCGTGCCCGTATGACTCTCTACAAGTCCCTTGTACCCCATAATTGTTCCTGATCTAACGGAGTCTGCGGGGTCGAGTAGCCACAGCCCCTGCCGAGTCGTATATCACTTCGTATTACTAGACTCTCTCTCTCTTGTTAGACCGCCAGCAACGCTGTCGTGACGCGAGAATCCTTTAAAAAAATGTACAGGCATGAATACTGGAAAGTGCCTTGGTGATGGCAGCACTTGTTTGAAAAAATCTGGCTGGGGAATGGGCCGCAGTCCCTCGCCCATAATTCGAAGCACTCAGATACTCGAGGTGAATCCCTGCAGTGCCTTCCCGCGTCCTAGCTTCGTCTCCACAATAATGTGCTAAAGCCTCGACCAACCATAATCCGACCGATGATAACCCGCCCCCTCAAACGGGCGAATTTAATCACATTTCTGGGGATGGCGACGGACTTTCTTGTCTACCCCACCCGATCTGCGTCATGGCAGTACCGAGGCTGAGGTCGACAAAGTTCTTCTTCCCCCTTGCCGCCTTGTGGGCTGTACGTCCGGCGCATCAAGGAATGAGTTCGGTCGACAGCCTTGATGAGCGTGGTTGACGGCGGGTCACGACAATGCCCCGAGTGGCTGATGGACACAGAAATGTGACCCGAATGTGCTGATACACATCAGCAAGTCAGGGAACCGGCAATGAAGATGACTTTGGGCTCAACCACAAAGCGCTCATCTCAGAGTGGTCACTGCTGGTGACATTACATCAATCCGCCCATCTCTGTGGTATGGTAACGACCCTTATTTGCGGTACTTCGATTACGCTGTTTGTGAGCACCGCAAGAGCAAAGCACCCTACAGCAGCTCGCTTTCAAGACCATGAAGGAATTCAGCCTTGCGCAGGTCTCTCAACATGCGCGGAAAGGCGACCTGTACATGATCTATGGAGACCAGGTCTTTGATGTTACACGCTTCGTCGAAGAACACCCGTAAGTCCTGCTATATGGAATGGCATCCCCCAGGGGTGGCGGGAGGTGGAACGTAGTGCTGATTGTTTCATTTACAGAGGAGGGGAGGAGGTGATTATGGATTGTGCGGGCAAGGATGGTACCGAAGCATTTGACGAGGTTGGCCATTCAAATGAAGCCCATGACCAGCTCAGAGAACTCTTGATAGGGTCGTTAGACCAAGTGGTATGTTACTAACAAACATTTAACTTCTGGTTTTCATCTTCCCTTACAACCCCAGCTCTATTATTCCATCCACAGAGCAAGGCTAATGTTGCATGTCGGTTCAGTCTGCCGATGCCGTTGCGAAGGCTCGACTCAAAAGCAAGGTGAAGGATAACCCTTCCAGCACCCTCACGCTCTACAGCATCATTGTGGCCATTGTGGCAGCGGCATTGGCTGCCTACCTCTACTCGGTCGGCAATGGAACGGCACTTGGATTGTTGAAACCATGGATAGATCCCGAGGCAGAGGGATCCGATGTCCTTCGGAATAGCTGGCGTGTTTGGAGCGACGCCGGAAAGTAATGTTACATATCTTGATTTCTACAAGAAGCAATGCTACTGTAAAATCGGATGCGCCCTGACTCTGATTCTCACTAGCCATAAATCAGACAAGAATTTATCCCTGACAGCCGTGTTCCAGCTCCCCTCAGTTATTATAATCCATGATACCTCGAAACAAACTCCTAGGATCCATTGCAAAGTCCAGATCCCACGTCAAGTCGTCCCATAGTCCGCGAGTCTGATAGTTGTTTGTGGCTTGCTCACCATAGTTGCCGTCCCCATTCAACATGTCAGTGCTTGATATGCAGGACTCGTCAAACGTGTATTGGTCATTGTGGCCGTCACAGTCCTTGGTTCCCATACCGCCCATCGCTGCTGCGACGGCGACCTCGTCGATAGAAGCATAGCGACTTTCCCGACCACTGCCATTAGAAGCCGTGGCTCTGCCGTCAGGATTCATGTCCAATCTAGCCGGCAGGAATTGCTGGGCACCCACAGAGTGACCGTCGTCCTGGTTACAATTTGGGAGGCAGTCGGCGTCAATGGCGGAGTTATGAGCCATAGATGATCGTGCAGCTGGGAAGTGGCCACCGGCATGACGATCTTTCAAAATCGTGGACTGCATATTGTTGGTAGATGAAATTGTGTTCCTGTCTCTATTCGCGCAGGTGGCATGATTCGGGTGAGACGGCCGGCGAGCTTTGGGAGTTTTGAACAAGCGCAATTTGCCTTCAACTGACGCCAGATTCTCCTGGAGAGTTTTGGGCAAGTCCCAGAACTCGGAGAACTCCATCAGGATCATATGTAGCACGGTAAACTTGGATTCGACCCAGTCGAGGTTCGTGCTTGGTGGTGCCAGCACTTTCCAGCCCAGATGAACCACCGCCCCGTACCAGATGGTGCTGGCTAGGAACGGGTTGACATAGCGGACATGCTCCTCTGAGCTCCATGAAACAATGCGGAGCAGTTCATCCGCAGCCTCGATGAACTGCTGCATCCCCTCTCTGGCTGGTCCGAGTCGCAGGCTCAGCGACTCGTTCTCTGATGTGGCATCTGAATCTTGATTTGGGCCCTCCTGAAGACCGGTAAGATGTAGATCTTGTTGGGCACCATGGTACGCGTCTTGATGATGGATCATCATACGCGTGAGCTGAGTGGTTACATGGATGCTGTACTTCGCGCTATGCAGCTGTCGTACTGCTGGATCATTAGCAGCGAAGGACAGAAACCCATCCCGGTAGCGCAGGTGCTTTGGAAGGGCCATGCTAAAGCACCGCAGAGCATTGGCAAGGATCTGCAAACTCTCCGTATTGTCCTTTGATGGTTCGTCGGACGGAGACCAGGTTGAAGGGGGCGGTGTTCCCCTACCAGGGCACGGGCTTCTGAATTTCGAGAGTCGATGGCCCTCGCGCATGAGAGAATCCAGTACGAGAAACCATGCCTTGGAGCTCTGGGTACTGCAGTGTTGAAGAGCCTTCAACCGCTCCATCGGCTTCGTCTCAAGAAAGCAACTGGGAGTGAAGCGCAGAGCGAACCACTCTTCGTCCGCTACTGGGAAGCGTGTCTCGTTATCAGTGCCATCGACAGCGGTTGGACAGCGCCTGATGAGGCTGGCGAAGTTGTCCATCTCCCAGATTGCCCACCAGGCGCGCCTGCACTCCTCTATCCGGCACCAAATATCTGGGTCTTGCTGTTCGGGCGTGTTATCTCGGTCGATGTGATGGAGGTCAAGCTCGTATGCGACGCGGACGCAGATCCCCAGCCGCCGCCAAGCTGCACCCCGGACCCCTTTGATTAGTTGGCTGAATGTGTTGAGGACGAGAGCTTGTAAGACACACAGCGGCGGTGAGCGATCCGAGTACTCGGCCAATGCTTGATCCACGTATCGTAGAGCCATGTCCTCGAAATGTTTGGGCGGAAATAGTGGACCAAGACCGTCGTCCAAGTCAGCGGCGCCCTGATCCGATATGAATCTATAGCGCGCTGAAAATGAGAAGATCGACGCAAGCAACGCTGCAAGCTGCTCTATCGAGTCGATGGCGCACAACTTGGCCGCAAAGGTAGGTCGATGGAAAAGCGAAAAGGATGTCATATTGTCGAAATAGAGGTCTAAACTGTTGAGGAGGACAGAGGGTCAGCCTCGATCACGCCGGGACCAAAGCACTGAAGAAGGAAGCGACAAGACCACCTACTATGGTTGAAGAGCATTTGCTGGGACTTTGAGCAAGGCACATGCTTGCGCGAGCCGGTCTATGTTGTCTAGTGTGGTGCTCGACTTGCTGGAAGATACAAACTCCATATTGGAGAGGGTTATAGACGTCTCGTGAGAAGGATGCATGATAAAGGCCAAAGTGCGTACATCGAGCGGCGTAGCAACAGGTGTCAGAGGATAGTCACCGACAGGCCCCGACTTGAAACTGGCAGACGTTGGCGTCGGGCTTCCATTGGCAACACTAGCACTCGAAACCAGAGTCGTGCTCGCTTCCAGCTCTGTCCTGCCATCGGCGCTCTCGACTGGCGCAGTAGAGCCCGAGACTTCTGTGATGGTGGGCTTGTCGCGCTGCTTCTCCCGAGAGCTAGATCGGGGTCGTTTCCGTCTGGTTGTGCCTACACGGGCCATCAGCGAACGAGCGCAACCAGGGATGGATGCTTGAGGCCTCATATCATACCAAGCTTGGGACCAGGTCTTGCTGCTTCGGATGGATAGTCACATTCTTGTTGCGTCTTGAGGCATATCGAGCATCTAGGGAGGATGCGATCACTGCATCGAACACGATTCACATCAGCTAGATCTATCTCGATGTGGCCGTCCAGCATACCATTTGACCTTGCGCCTAAGAGTTCATGTTAGCTTGCTATGTTGCCATGTACCTCATACTTTAGGTTCATCAAGGGGGACCGGAGCCGATCGCACATCAGCCACGCCAGCGACGCAACCTATGATTGAACAGACAAAAGACAGGGAGGAGAGAGCAGCACATACTTTTTGCAGAATCTGCATGCAAACGATGATCGATCAGCCTGGGTCGTGGATTCTGACATTGGGTAAATTGTCTCCTTCGAGAGAAAAAGTACGACAAATATCGTCTGGTATTCGACCGTACGAGGTGTTGCTGGTCAATTTTGTGGCCGATTCGAAGCTGGAAGAAAGCGGAGATCTCAGGGGACCCTAATCGAAGGGATCAAAGAGAAAAGTCGAGCCTTTGAGGAATTTTCTGGGGACGGCATGGTCCATAGATCCTCTTTTCTGTCCCTCGAATACCTGCCTAGTCACTAGGTAGTTTGCGGGGTTGCCCCCAGTTCGATGATCTCCTCCCCAGCTGGGGCTTGGGGGACCGATGAAGGCCTTGGTAACCAGTAGAATAACACCTAGTGTGCGCCAGAACAACAAGAGTTTATCTAGAGAATAATAGCTAGTCTAGCTTGTGACGCCGAGCAGTGCCTTGCTGGACACCCCGATACGAACCAGATCACACAGGTGCGAATGACCTATCAGAAATGCAACCTCGACATCCAGCTGTATGGTTGCAGAAGGAGACAGGGAACCGACACGCTGTCGCCGTGTCAGTATGCCTGTAGGATCAAAGGACGTGGTGTCCTCGGTTACAATCTCCGTCACCAGGGAATCGTTCGACGGCACAGCCAATCATGGTTCAATCATAGTAAGGAAATAGAGAACAATGAGTTTCTTCGTGAAAAATAGTTAGGGTCACATCTAGTTGCTGCTAACCAGCGCGAGGCGGGCAAGGCGGGCAAGGCGGGCGATATTCGGGCGATCTTGAATTGGAATCTGACCGACGGCCTCAAAAGGACCACAGCAAAGAAGAGGAAAAGAAAAGGGTTTGACAAAGTCTTGTAGCGGTTCTCGGCTCTTGGCTAGTGTATTGCTTCGACACCCACCAGTTTCTATTGTCAGCTCGAGAATAGAGAGTCATCCAGTCGTTGAGGGATGCGACCTAGAGCCTTGAACTTGTATAGGTTGAGCTGGGCTGGGCTGGACTTTTATGGCTTGTTAAAGTCCACTACAATACGCCTAATCATTTTTTGTCAGCTGGCCTTCGACCATCAATGAGCAGGAGAATGCATTACCCAGCGACTTGTCCGTTCTTTAAACGCTGAACTGCCTCGTTCCACTGCGACACTCCGACGATTTCTGGGTCGAGATGAAGCTTTTCTGCTCGTAGATCATTGGTCAATCAACTGCTCAACACTGCTCACTTGGGGATTGAACTCACTGCGTTTAGCAAAGTCAAGCGCCTGTGTGATTTCGCCCAATGAGCTGACAATGGTGCTTGTGACTGATTGGTTTCTAGCCATAAAATTCGAAACAGTCGGATCAAGGGTGATGGTATGTGTGTTTGGGGGTCCAAGACCAATACACATCAGCCTTCCTCCTACTCGATCACCAAGGAATCCCATGGCAGTGGGATAGGCTTGGATCGCAGTCACAAAGACACCGTGGGCACCGCCATCGGTCAACGTCACTACATCAGCCACTGCGTCCTTGGTCTCTCTGAAGTCCACGAAGTGCTCAGCGCCGTACTTTCGGCTCAGTTCCTCTCGTTTCGCTCCGGTGTCAACCACGATAGGACGGAGGCCCATAGCGTATGCCAGCTGAACGCCTTGAAGCCCAACCCCGCCTCCGCCACCAACGAACACAGCCCATTGCCCTGCTGACAGGTTGGCAGTCTTCAGAGAATGCAGCATAGTGGATGCTGAGCACATGACTGGTCCCGCGATATAGTCGCTGACACCGTCTGGAATCAGGGCAGTATATCGCTCCGGCGAGACGATGTACTGTTGATATGAGCCTTTGATATCGTCATCAGCGAAAAGAGACTACTTGTATAGGGTCGAGGAAACAAACCAGGTTTTTGCAGTCCCGTGGAGACCATGCCTTTACAGTAATTCTCCCGACCGGACAGGCAGACATCGCACGCATGACAAACATCCCAAGTTGGCTTGATTCCAGCACGCTGGCCTACCCTGAGGGATGTGACCTGTGCTCCAACTTTGACAATTACTCCCGCACCCTCGTGCCCGGGAGACCTCGTCTTGAAATGTGACATGGATGGTACGCCCAGGTCATTGAGCATATAGTGCACATCGGACATGCACAAGCCCGTCGTGTTGAGCTTGATCAGGACTTCATAGGGGCCAGGCTCTGGGACAGGCACCTCGACAACCTCGATGTGGAAGTCTGGCCCCTCGTTGACAACCACGCCGGCGAGGCACTGCTTTGGAATCTCTTCCATGGTCATGAACGAAACCACTGACGGAGGAAGAGTCAAGGCACTGTTTCTGCACCAAGGGATGGCAAAAATATAGACAAACAGACTGCGAAGAGTGTCTGAAATGGGAAACTACCTGCCAGGCTTTGATCGATCACTGAATGAAGGAAATACTCCTCGGGAAGAGAAACCGAGCGTGGATACTTGTCCAGATTTGGTAGCCCGAGGTCCGAGTGGATTGCTCAACAACAATACCAGTTGCCCAGAATAGAGGGGTTAAGAGTGGCGCGTCGAGTCACTAGATCAAGAGTCGAGGTCATATAGACATCCATGGGAGGCGATACTGGTCTTGTACTAATACACTCGGGTCTCTGGTGCTTCAGGTATCCAGAACTATTCTAACTTATTTGCTCTTCACTAATCTGCCTGGGCAATGTGGGAGAGATGTAGATCGATCGGACGCTCTCCACAAATGTAAATTGTGTCGCTTTCAGGATAGTTCGGTTTGTGAGGACGAAGGACATGTGAGTATCGGCAATGACCCCTGAGAGGTTATGATCAAGCCGCCGCACCGAGCCCAGTAATCGTTGAGGCGACCAAATGCGGTGACGAATGACCACAGCTGGCTCACATCGATGGTAATCGACATATCCCATGCCGTGGGACTTACCTGGTGTGATTTCGGATCGAGCCAACAGCTTGTTTGGCTGAATGTCGTGTTGGGGTTTTTCACGCCAGCCGTGGTGTAGATTTGGTCTCCCAAGGTGACCCCATCCTGGACTGTAAGAGCCCAGGTCAGATATGAAGAGTCGGGGCAAGTAAAGTCGTTGGCCCAGCCGTGAATCCAATAGGCACCATTGCACCAGCTATTGTCAAGTCACGAAGGCAAACATTGTGCCCGGATTATGCGCTCGTGCGCAGCGTAGGCCTGGTCCAGTTTTGTGGTCGTGCCATTATAGCTAGCTGATGGTTCCAGTGGCAATCAGGTAATGATGCCGCCCGCCACGCCCGAGCAATCATTACTCATCGCCATGGTGCCCACACCACAGGCTTGGAGCTTGGCGAAGGAGCCAGCGTATAGAAATTGATCCAGGTCGGTCGTCATAAAAGTCTGATGTACTCGTACGAGGCATTGGGCTTGCTTTGACTACCAAACTACTCGGCAATCGGGATCGTGAGCCAAATCTTGGCGCCAAGTATTAAGAGATTGTGATATATCAGGCATGTGCCAGGAGTTGTCAGTCTCACACCTCGAACTAAACTTGCCGACCTACACGCCTCTTCCACAGGCACATCGATACCATCCGTTAGCCTCACAGCGACAGATCGTCTAGCACCAAGCCCGTAAAGAGCCAAAAACGGCCAGGCACCGTGTCCTTGATAGTTTTGTCTGGCCAGCTTCTAATGGTATCGCTGTCGTGCCGGCCGACCCGCTTCACCGCTCGACATCTCCCTGCCGGCCTACACCCGCCTCCACATCGCAACCGTCATATCTCTCGGGAACAGGGGTCATGTTCAAGAGTGAGGACTCTTCAAAAAAAAAATAGAGGATATTCACTCTGATATAGTGTTTGCGGCAAGGATTCGCCTGGAATCTTACCGCCGCCGTCCTTTGAGAGGTCCGGCACCACGCACTAATCGAGGTCTCAATGCCTGATTCGCCCCATTTTCTCTGCCTTGTTGATTAAATCAACTCGTAATGGCAAGATACTGATGGTTAAAAGATTGCGAACGACCTTTAATAGCGACGCTGCCGCCAGCATACCTCGCTCTTCACTCCGGCGTTTGAGCCTCGAAACATGGTTTACCCTTGCCTTTCTCGGCCGCATGCTTCGGTTGTGAAGAGAAAAGGTCCGGGGAAATAATCTGGGGAGGGGTCTGGGGACGCCTTCAACCCGGGTACTTCAATGGAGCTTGCCCGGCTGTCCGAATGTCAAGGACATCCTTGCACTCCAGTCTACCTGTCTGTCTTGGTCCAGCTACCTCGGTGACTATTCAAGGATGAAGCTTATTCTGTCTGGTCTCTTTGGCCTCCAAGGCTTGTGTGTTGTCACTGCAATTACCGAATGCAGCGTGCAGTCCTTGCAACAATTCATTGGAGATTCAGGAGCAGCGACTGTGACATTCGCACAAGCGCTCCCACAGAACAGCACGTTCGGCGGAGGCCCTGCTGACCTTGAGTTCCCAGTGAATGACACAGGTCTCCCGGCGCTTTGTGTGGTCACAGTCAATGTCAAATCTTCCCATACATCGTCCTATAACTTTGGGCTTTTCCTGCCACGGCAGTGGAACGCTCGCTTTATTGCCACCGGCAATGGTGCATATGCCGGCGGGATCAATTGGAACGATATGGGCACTAATTCCAGGTATGGATTCGCATCTATGTCGACCGACACTGGGCATATCTCCGGATCCTTTGATGCGAGTTGGGCGCTGAACAACCCGGAGGCGCAGCTTGACTGGGGCTATCGGTCCATGCATGGCTCAGTCGTCTATTCCAAGCTGATTACCAGTGCGTATTATGGGACAAACATCAGCTATTCGTACTATTCCGGATGCTCTACTGGTGGTCGACAAGGATTCCGAGACATCGAACTGTATCCAGAAGACTTTGATGGAATTCTAGCTGGAGCACCTGCGTGGTGGACGACGCATCTACAGCCAGACAATGTTCAAGTGGCCCTCTCCAATCTGCCAGTGGACGCTCCGACTCACATCCCGTCTTCACTTTTCCCCGTGATCGGAGCTGAAGTCCTTCGACAATGCGATCCCCAGGACGGCTTTGTGGATGGAATCATATCCGACCCCGAGGGATGCAACTTTGTCCCAGAAATGCTACTTTGCACTCCTACGTCGAACAAAAGCGCCTGTCTTACAGGTCCACAGTTGGACACGTTATACCACATCTACAACGACTGGTGGGAGACAAACCAGACATTTGTCTTTCCGCACTACGAATTGGGGTCCGAGGCTCAGTACGGTTTCCTTCTCAACAGTAAGTCGGTTTTTTAGCTTTTCCTTTGCAATGTGCAAATTGGGAATGGGACGAGAATGAAGTTTGTCTCAAGGCCATTCTAAATTACCCCCTGATTTGTCTGTCTGCATCTGTTTCAGAGTATAATCTTCTAGTTTGGAGCTGTTGCTGATCCTCAGGACTCATTGCAGCGGACTCTGGAACCCCCACTGAACCCGGAATTGCGTGGATCCAAAATTTCCTCTACAACGACACAACATGGGACTGGCACGATTTCACTTACCAGGTCATCCTGGACGCAGACAGAATAAACCCCGGTCTGGCCAACGTCGGATTCGACTTCAGCGGATTCTACCAGCGTGGCGGCAAGATCATCCAGTATCATGGCCTGGCAGACGGGCTGATCCCTACGCCGAGCTCCGAGGTTCTTTACAAGAACATTTGGAGGACCATGGGAGCCGCAGGGATTCCTCTTGATGGCTGGTATCGCATGTTCCTGATTCCCGGCATGCAACACTGTCAAGGCACGGCAGTTGAGGCACCCTACTACATTGCCTCTGCCGGTCAACCCTTTGAGCTGGGCCAAGATGTCTGGAGTGTTCCTGGGTTCAGTGATCCACAGCACGATGCTCTTCTAGCGCTCCTGGAGTGGAGGGAGAATGGGATTGCTCCGGAATTCATCATTGGCACCAAGTTCATCAATGAGACGGTCACGGACGGTGTACAAAGGCAGCGACCAATTTGTATGTATCCGATGCAGGCAAAGTATAATGGCGAGGGAGATCCAGATCTAGCGGAGAGTTGGCACTGTCAACTTCTATACTAGAAGAGGATCAAATTGGACTGTTTCCCTAGCCTAGAGGAAAGGGAGAAGGCTCCCTTCTTCTCTTCAACGCCCAGCCCCTGTCGTATAGAAGTTCTGAATTTATTGGCTTTCACTTATGACTTCAATCTAGTTTTGTAGTTTCCACCACAGTTCCGATCTCGCGTTGGACCTTGTCGACGTCGACATATGCTTTGCCTGTACGAACCAGCTCGACATCCGGCACATCAGAGTGCTTGTGTCCCTCAAAGAGAGCATCGATCTCTTCCAACGTTCGGCCTTTCGTCTCGACCCAAAAGACCGCCTGGAAGGTTAGTTTTCAAGAACCCAGAAAAAAACAGAAGGAGGCTCGACTCACGATCAAGACCACAACTATAACATCCCATGAGCCATTGATTATGTACATTTTCCACCCAATGTTGGTCAAGCCGATGGGCATGACGAACACAAGGAGGACCCTGGCGAGGTTAGCAATTGGGCAGCGAGGGAACCGCGCGGATAGTGTGCTTACGCCAGAGCATTCAGCATGAAGGACGAAAAGGCAAGTCCATTTGCCCGGATCGCGTAGTTCATGATCTCGGGCGGGTAAAGGTAGAGCAAAGGTGTCCATGCGATCGAGTAGAATCCTTGGAACAAGAACATGACTGCCACGTCTCCATAGACGAGACTTTTAGACGCTCCGTCGGGGTTGTCGGCGTAAATTTTCGAGAGGCCCCCTATGATGAACAGGCACACAATGAGCAGACACTGAGAAAGTATCGCAGTAGGCTTGCGACCCCAGCGCGCGGCGAGGTGTGTCCCTCCGAGAGCACATGCCAGGCACCAGACGTTGAGCACGACGTTCTGCGGGAGTCAGTTGCGGCCTACACTGCTCGTATGGATCGACTCACCGCCTTGAGTTGGTCGTTTGAGTTCGTGATACCTGCGGTATCCAGCTCGGGACCCAGGTAGTACGAGGCGATGATATTGCCAGCAATACAGGAGAAAGGTCCCGGCGACATACCTATCAGCAGGCGTTTTCTCGAAGTCGGGTTCTTGATGGTTTCTTTGAAGGTCATGAGGTTCTCCTTTTCCCAATTTAAGGTGTCGACAATCTCCTTGAATACTGCGAGCACAACAGGGTCACTCAGGTCTCCGTTGGCATTTGTCTGGGCGACAGCGATGCGTCCCTCCTCATAGAGGCCTTGGTGTATCAGCCATCGTGGAGATTCAGGGCTACCGGGTCAGCTTCCAGGTCGTATGTCCAAAGACGGAGACTCGGGTGCTTACATGAATGGCAATATGATAATGCACAAGAGCGAAAAGATCCCCTGAAACAATGAAGGTGCCCTCCAAGCCCATGTCGACTGCCACTGACCCGTGCCCAGTGTGATTCCGGCCGCAATCAAAGCACCGACAATGCAAAGCAGTCAGTGGAACCACTCCTCCATGAGAGAGCAATCTTACTAGTAGAAGTCATTCAGCAGCCCAACTCCCCATGCACGATATTTGCTTGGGTATGTCTCTGCCAAGTAGACGCTGCCTGCGATACCAGAAACGGCTGAGCCAAAACCAAGAACAATGCGAGCAACAACGAACATTGCAATGTTCTGAGCAGCGGTCTGAAGTAGGACACCAACCAAGGTCAAAATGGAACCCCAGAGTACAGCTGGACGTCTACCGAGACGATCGGCGATGATTCCAGAGACTATGGGGCCAAAGAAACCGCCAATAAAGACGGAAGCAGTGTTGAGACCAGTGGTTGCAGCATTGAGATTGAAGTAATCCGTATATGATGGTAAGATGTTGAGGCCATTGAGCATAGATCCGTCATATCCACCAGTCTGATCCTCATTAGAGCGGGCAAGGAATATCGGGGCAGACACTACCTACCGCTGACTGTACCATGGAACAGAATATCAAGAATATGGAGAGGGTCACCGTCGACTCAGGTACCCATGCTGGGAGCCAGGTACCAGTGGCAGTCTTTTGCAACATCTTGTCGTGACTTCTCTGTGTTCAACGGCAAGGGCCAACTGTGATCCGACACAGAGAAGAGTCAAAGGGAGTGTCACTACACACAACATGTTGCGGAAACACTCGAGCTGATGTAGTACCGAGAGGCGAACGGCCGGCCCCTCCATAAGGTCGCATCTCGTGCCTCTCTGGATGAAACCCAAACTGATAACGATCTTCATATCGCCTTCCAGGAACTGTGGCGAGCGGAGAACAGCGACAGAAGCGAGTAATCGAGATATTTTTTGTATGTGTATAGACAGATGACCGGCATCTCGGGTTGGGTGTGAAGTTCATCGCTAAGAGATCTCCAGGTGATAAACCATATTCGGCTCGGCCCAGACTCCAAGCTTCTACTGGCGTGAGCTTAGCCTGAATCCTTACGAGCCAAAGATGACACCTTTAAAAGGAAGGAGGATAACCCCTCACCCGTGCTGGTTGAGATAGGCAGAACTGCACCAAACTGCCACGATGGTTGAGAGGCCAGCCATTGCTATCGCCGGCCTTGCGTGCGAAACTTCGATATTCACGCCGTCCAGGACTCTTGCGCCTGCTTTCCACGCCAAACGCGGCCCTGAAATCATTGAGAAATATCCCTTTCTCCAGAGTGAAAGCGTCCTTGGAAAGATCGCGGACTTCCACGGAGCTTTGATTGGTCATGCGCTACCAGGAGGGATTGTGACGCGGGCCTCTTTTGAGGAACTGGCCGATGAGATTATAGAGCGTCTGAAGGTGATTGTGTCGTCGACAATCATCCATGGACTCTGGTACGATATCCACGGCGCCATGTGCGTCGAGGGCCTTGATGATTCTGAAGCAGAGCTCCTTCGGCGCATCCGACGACTTCTTGGTCCTACCGTGGTTGTGTCGGCGTCGATGGACTTGCATGGCAATGTGAGCCGCGAACTCGTGCACGAGGCAGATCTCATCACCTGTTACCGCACGGCACCACACATCGACGTGCGTGAGACCAAGGAGAGAGCGTGTCGTAACCTGGTCGAGCTACTCACAAAGGCTCACGCAGGCAGAAGGGCAGATAGCAGTCCTGTGCGACCACTCAAAGCATGGATCCCAATTCCAGTCCTTCTCCCAGGAGAGCAGACTTCGACTCGTATCGAGCCCGCAAAGCACATCTATAGTACAGTTCCTGCCGTCGAGTCAAACACGGGGGTTGTTGATGCAGCAGTCTGGGTCGGCTATCCATGGGCTGACGAACCGCGAAACCGAGCAGTTGTCGTGGTGACAGGCTGGGATGAAGACGTGATCACGCTTGGAGCAGAACAACTTGCACGGGTGTTTTGGGATGCGCACGACGACTTTGACTTTGTTGGCCCAACAGGTGCCTTTGACGAATGCATCGACGAGGCTGTAGCATCCAAGAAGCATCCTTTCTTCATCAGCGATTCGGGAGACAACCCAACTGCCGGTGGAAGCGGCGATATGACCTGGGGCTTGATGCACCTGCTGGCTCGTCCAGAGTTCAAACAATCTTCGGGTCCAACGGTCATCTATGCCAGTGTCCCAGGCTCCAAAGCAGTCCATGCGTGTGTCGATGCAGGTATAGGAGCAACTGTCACGGTGACCGCCGGCGCTGAGGTCGACCATATCCATTCGGGCCCGATCACCATGACAGGCCAAGTACATGCCATCAAACACGGCGACAGAGATGCTCGTATCGAGGTTGTGCTACGAGTGGGCAGCGTCTTCGCCATCCTCACCGAACTCCGCAAGCCTTACCATCACGAGCATGACTTTACGGATCTCGACCTCAAGCCTCGAGAAGCAGATATTGTCATTGTCAAGATCGGGTATTTGGAGCCCGAATTGCACGACATGGCTGCCGACTGGCGATTGGCTCTTTCGCCTGGTGGTGTTGATCAGGATCTGAAACGACTTGGACATTCCCGTATCAATAGACCCATGTATCCTTTCGACAAGTTTGACAAAGCTCCTCTCCTCTCAGCCCGCATCATTCCACCATCTCACGATCCTCTTTGCGGACCAGATGAATGAAGCACGGCGTGACAGGTCAAATCGTATACACAGGGCCGATCCTTCATCTACCTTACCCTCACCTTCTACATGATGTGATGCTGTGTTGAGCGTGAGGACTCACAAACTGCGACAAGGTCTGGCAAAACATCCTCGACAACACGATGATTTCCAGCTGTGTACTTCGCATCGTCTTCCTCTTTCTGAGGGAGCGCTAGCTCTCCAATCTTGTCTGCCTGACACACCGAGAGCCGCTCAACGTACAAGGTCTCCAGCGTCAAAAGGATTAACCGTCACCTACCGATCATTGTCTCTCTGTGTATTTCTGATCCACTGCTCCCCTGCATCGAGCTCTACAGGGGTGTTGCATGAGGATTCCCGGTTTCCCCCGCAGACTTCCGGGGTGTTGGGATACTAGGCTGCAAACGACGGTCAAGCCGAAAGCAAAGCAGTCCAGGAGCTGAACAGCATTCATCCTTGAGTATATACATGGGCATCTCTAACCCGAGCCTACACTGGTAGACAACGCTCTCATTTGCTGAAAATTGACAATTCCAGCTATCTAACCATGAAGCTCCTTTACCCTACCTCTTTGAAGCTCGACGTGACCAGTCTCGAAGGCTTCGGCGTCATATTACACCCCTACGATGTTCACAAGCCAATCTCTGAGGAACTTGTCGACGCAGAGATTCTTGTGACATGGGCCAATACCAACCTCCGCGATGCTGCCAAACGAATGAGTAAACTTCGCTGGATTCAGTCCCTCTTTGCAGGCCCCAACGACGAGCTCGCTGCTGGTTTCCCGTCCAATGTCATCATAACGGCCGGCACTAATCTGCACAACGAGACTGTTGCTGAGCACGCTCTAGCTCTGGTCCTCAGCGCTGCTCGGCGTCTTTACGAGATGCGGGATTTCCAGAACCAAGGCAAGTGGCCAGGACATCTGGGCGGATTTCTACCCGACCGACCCCAGGGATCGTTCACCTCCTTGAAAGGTGCCAACATTACCATTTGGGGGATGGGGAATATTGGACGCACGCTTGCACCACATCTGACCGCTTTGGGCGCCAACATCCGAGGAGTTGGACTGTACGAAGAGATCATTGACGGGATCCAAGTTCAGACCAATGCGGCATTGCCTAGCCTCCTCCCACAGACTGATTGTCTCATCATGATTCTCCCAGGCTCCCGAGCGACATGGCATTCTCTCAACGCGGAGCGGCTGGCAAATCTGCCTCAACATGCCTGGGTGATCAACGTTGGGAGAGGTGTCTGTGTGGATGAGGATGCATTGGCTCACGCCCTCAACAAGGGAATAATCGGCGGCGCCGCTCTGGATGTCTTCCATCAAGAACCGCTACCTGAGTCTTCCCCGCTATGGAAAGCACCGAATCTAATCATCTCACCTCATGCCGCTGGAGGAAGACCACGATACTCGGAACTGCTCATCGCAGAGAACCTGCGACGCTTCCTTGCTGGACAACCGCTCAAGCATGACGTGACTGCGGGTGGAATGTATAGCACTTCCCCGAAGAATAGCTCGACACTCAAGGCCTCGCTGTAGGACAGACATGACGGGAAGGGAAAAGGCAAGTGGAGCCTAGTGGACAAAATAGGTTGTGATCCAGGCAGAAGTAAACACGCTGATGGTGTGCTGGCCATGTCCCTCCGGATCCCTGCGCATTGGATTTCTCAAATGGATAGACAATCCCGTTATCTGTCCTCAGCAACATCTACCGGGTTGCTTGCTTGGCTCTGTAATGCTTCGCTAGGCCATGGTTTCTCCCGGTAGCGTCTGAGCCCTGCCCGGTCATCAATTTGTTTCCCGAATTCTCCCATTGCTCTCACCTTTGACGCGTTCTCAATCTTCTGCCGACAGGATTAGGCTGCCAAAGTCGAGATGCCAAGCAGGTTCTTACCTTGTCCAAAATGGCGCACGCCCTGTTGTACCCAACAGTTCTGTTTGTGGCTGTGGCATACCGGAGTGCCTTCCATGGACATCATTAGCACGAACCTTCTTTCAATTGACCACATATTCGAGCAACGTCTGGGGCAGACTGGAGACTACCCTGTGGCTGGAGATGCGGTATTCAGCATTGGTGGCTGCTGTGGGATTGGGCCTACTTGAGTATCGCACAAGGGACCGGAACAGATCACTTGGGCTTCGACGGAGTACATGGTCCATACTTCGGAAAGAAGGCCTGTTTCACTCCATCCATCTCCAGCGAACTGTGAAGACAAACTCTGCTGAGTGAGAGCCGGAATGTATCAAGTCAGCACAGTTCTCGACGTCGACAAACTCTCCAACGTCGTTAAAATAACCCACATGCTCCTGTTGTATATCGCCACATCTCCAACGCGGCGAGAATTCCCCGGATGCATCGCGATATCTGTTTCGCCCAGCCGTACCTGGAACTGCCCGATGAAGAATAGTCGTCGGAGCGAGATTGCGGGGAAAACGCCTTGTTTTAAACAAGATACGGGGTGTTAGTCACAAAAGATACGGAGTACTGTGCATGCGCATCCACTAGTTGACTGCAGACTGGATCAAATTCGACCTCGTCCTTCAATCTCCCGGGGTTACTATCCCCGGCGGTGGCCAGGACGGTACAGGGGGCCTCGATACTATTTTCAAGCTCACTGCCCACCATTTGGTTGACTCATCGCAGTAATTCCCCGGCCGGACATATCGCTACGCCTTGCGATACGACTTGTGGTCACCGAGGAAGACAACATTGTCCCAAAGCCTGCTCGTTTGTCCTGGTTTCCCCGACTTCATCCGACGCCAGCTCGAGACCGTGGCACCTATCTGCAGAAAAAAGGAGTTGTCGTAAGCTCTACACATTGGAATGTTGCTTGATATGCACGGTAGAATATTTAACCTCAAGACATACATCCCTGAGAACTCCGGACGGGATGGTTGCCAGAAGTCCAGACGGACCCACAGGCAGGGAGAAGGTCAGAGCACTAACCAGATTTAGAGCGCAAAGGTCTAATCGGATCTTTACAGTTGACATCTTCTCATACTTACTTGTACAGGATTGCTCCGTTGCAGGTGGTGTAGCAATATACCACTCGAATACCTCCCCTTTTCTCCAAAACCACACATTTCATTCCTACTTGCATCTTCAACCACAAACAAGATGGACTCGCACATTCGAACCAGTCCCATACTCCTCGCACCAGGCCCGACTGAAGTTGACCCAAAGGTCCTCAGGGCCATGTCGTCGTTTGCAGAATCACATTTTGCCCAGCCATTCTGCAACACGTTCGGCGATGTGCTGACCATGCTCCGCAAGCTCTTCCAGAGTCAAGACCCCAATGCTCAGCCCTTTGTCATTGGAGGCAGCGGAACCCTGGGCTGGGACTTTGTGGCAACCAACTTCATTGAACCTGGAGAGCCAGTTCTCTGTCTCTGTACGGGATACTTTTCCGATGCCTTTGAGATGTGTCTGGCCACCTACGGAGCCCGCACTACGAGGATCACGGTGCCTATCGGAGCTGCTCCCGACATACATGAGGTCGAGAAAGAATTGAAAAAGGTCCGATACAAAGCCTTGGTGGTGACCCACGTGGATACGTCGACGGCTGTGTTGACACCATTGAAGCCGCTGTCGGCGCTGCTAAAACGAGTGTCGCCCGAAACACTCTTGGTCGTTGACGGGGTCGCCAGTGTTGCGTGCGAGGAGATCCAATTTGACGCTTGGGATATCGACATCGTTGTTACAGGGTCGCAGAAAGCCATTGGCTGTCCTCCGGGACTCAGCATTATCATGGTCTCCTCTCGCGCTCTGGACACCGCCAAAGCAAGGAAAACACCAGCAAACACCTGGTATGCCAGCCTGGCACGCTGGCTGCCGATCATGCAGAACTACGAGAAAAAGCAGTCGAGCTATTTTGCAACGCCCCCTACTCAAATTGTCCATGCTCTCCATGCCTCCCTGACGTCCATCTTATCGCGCCCGCTAGAAGAACGATTTGAACAACACCGGCGAAAAAGCGCCCAAGTGAAAGCTGTGGTCAAGGCATTGGGCTTGACGCAGTTGACAACAGAGTCAGAGTACCAAGCCAATGGCTTGACGGCATTCTGGCTCCCTGATGGTCTGTCGTCGAAGGAACTCTTGTCACGCGTCACTGAGAAGGGCTTTACCATCGTAGGCGGTATGCATAGGGAGGTTGGTCATCAATATGTAAGAGTTGGGCATATGGGATACAGCGTGGTGGGCGAGCCTGAGAGACATATTGACTGTGGCTTAAAGGCCCTGAAAGAAGCAGTCACAGAATATTACGCCGGTGGAAGTGGCAAGGCTCTCCCTGGAGACAACCGCGAGACCATGAGTCTGGCTAGAGCAAGCTTGTAGTGAATTGATGGTCTCCGAAATGCGACCTGGGAGGACTTCTTGCGGCTCGATAGGGTTAAGATAGGTAGTCAGCGAGTGAAGCTGACGCACTTGCAATGGCCCACTGCACTGGTATCCCACCAGTAGTTATAATGATCAGATGCTCTCCCCCTTGCAAATACACATGAGTCCTGACTTCCTACTCAAGCATCACCACGGTACCTTCATTCCAACCCGGCCGGCTTCCGCGCGATCATGGCCGAAAAAATTCCGCGGAAAACGTGGTCTCTTCTAGGCCATAGAGCTTCAAACCATCGCGAGGCAGTACTAGACTTCGAGGGATTTCTTCCCGCGGTGCTCCGAATGAAGCTCCCGGAGCGAAGCTAGGACCGAGCACTATGCAGGCCTTGCATTTCGTTTTCAGGTTCGGGCTTGGCAGGGATACAGCCTCGTCGGATGCGATTGGATGGGTTCAGTGAGTACTCGGAGTGTAAGGATCTGCCAGCGTCGATTATGGAGTTATGCTCGAGTCACAAGGGATCCTTGGGCACGACTATTGGTGTTCTATGGTGTACATTCTAAGGGAAGAAATTGCCATGGGGCAGAAGGGTTATTAAGCTCGCTTCCTTCAGGAGACAAAGCCTTCGAGGTCAGTGAGTCTCCCAAGCCAGAGCCAGGATGGATAAATGTGCAGGTGGGTTTCATCTCTCCCAATGTAACAGAGCCATTTGACTCTCAGAGATAAGTGAAATTGTAACAAACCAGTGACCGGCCTTGGCAAGATTTTCTTTCAGTTAATTCCTAGTGGTCGACTTTCTCGATCGTATTCAAACAAAAAATACTGGAAAGACGACTCTGCTCTGCTTATTCGTAGTCCGAGTAGGGAGTCCTTCGAATCGTGGCAAAGTGCCGATTCTCAACTGGCGGATGGAATCAACCCAATGAACGTTGAGTCCATCACACTCTATGAACCACCTGGCCTTTACGTGACCGAAAAAGAAATTACTGGTCCAGGTTTATTGTCATTGCCTCCGCATGGTGGCTTTGAACAATCCGCCACTCGGTTTTTCCGGCCTCAACCTCGAAGGCTGTGGTTTCATCGGGACCGCTTCAAAAGAGGACTCTGACGAAGGTGTGGAAGAAGAATTTGATAAGAATATCGCAAATGGCCTTGCGTGCGTATCCCCTGGATCGAAAAAGGGACTTGGACGTTGTCTCAATTCAGCGTCTCATGAAGGTGATGTCCCATGTATCATGGAATTGCTACATGAAGCACACATGCCTGCACGTAATCCAGCGCCCACTGTGCTGCCTCGCTTTGCCTGGCCGATGGAAATCCTCGAGTGGTATCGGCCGGGATGTCGATGTCGACTGTCATTCGCCTGTGGAGCAGGTGGCAAGACCGACGGGCGCGATTGGATGGTAACCACTTTCTTTCCGGCGTAAGCATCACTAACTGAGATCTGCGCTGTCGGCAGCTTCAAGAGGAAGTAGGAATTGAATATCAAGGCAATCAATCATATCGTGGGTAGAGCAGGTGATTGCCGCGGCTGGCAACGGATTCCCACCTCTCCGTGGTCCTCGCTATCAACTGCGTCTGCGCAGGCCAAGAGGAATCCAAACTAACACGAACAGGCGCCTTTGTTGACTTGTTGAACTTGATCGACAGACGCGTTCGATGTCACCGCTCGACATATTTCGACTTTGGCGTGCCTTATATCTTCCGCCACCGACTTTCCGACCTTACAATACCCTCAACACGAGCGATACTCCCTCGTTGCAGAATTCCTGCAATGCCGACTGCGGTTGATATTGATTTTTGGACAAGTCGAGGTACGAGAAGGGCTGGAACAAACAATATAAGGAAAGAGTGGTTCGCAAATATCAACATGACTGTTCGTGTGGAGGTGTGCGATCTCCAAGATTCAGCGGCCTAGAAGTCTCGTGGCGACTTGTTCTCGCCGAGGTTGCACTTTCATCCGGAAGGCATCTGCATGACATATTCTCTGGTTGAATGGCCGAACTTGATAATATCTTTGTCCCGCAACTCGACGAACCTTCCCTCCGGCACAGCCTCATCGTTGACCGTCGTGCCATTAGCGCTCTCCAGATCGATCACATATGGCTTCACTTTCCCTATCTTATCGCCAAACTCATTCCTCCTTTCCACATAACGGAATTGGATAACGGCATGCTGTTTGGAGCAGCTGGGATGTTCAAGTGCGAAGTCGCAGACAGAAGTTTCCCTTCCGAAGAGCCAGCAAGATTGGGTATACAAATCCAGCGTGTCGACAATCGATTCGCCTTTGAAGATGTAGAGGCGCCAAGGTTGGGTAGAAGGCGGTTTTCGAGCCTCTGGTGGTTCATGGTATTTCAAAACAATTGCACCAGCGGATGTTGAAATTGTGTTTGAGGCTGCAGCCAAAAGCCCAGATGGCCGAAAGTTTGGTTTCTGCTTTTCGATTGTTGGAGTGGGCGCACCGTCTTTGGTAGTATGAAATGCGTCGGCCTGGGATGGCAGAGAGCCTCTCGCACGTGCCAGTCTCTCTGGTGAGCGCCGCGTTTGAGGCGACCGCGATCTACGATCATCATATTCTCTTTGCCTCTGTCCATCCGAGCTTGATGGTCTCCTGCGAGTTCGATCGCGGCTCCCAGAACTTCGTTTCCTCTCATCTTTGCGGTGTTCCCGTCCTTGGCGGTCATGATCTCGCCGCCGATGATGACGCCTGTCCCGCGAGTCATCTCGACGAGGTGATGGCGAACGCGGCATCTTTCGTGGCGTGTATTAAACCGACGACGCTGTATATTCATTGGGGGTCAGGACCAGGCTTTTCGTGCTTGTCTTGAACCGTATTATTCAATAAACCGGCAAACCTTCCAAAGAGGCACAGACCTGGATGCGATGACATGTAAGACTTTCCCCCTCCGCACTCGCATGACCACTCCAATAGTACCTTATCTACTCCGTCTGCGAAACATTCACAATGCCATCAATGATACTGAAACAGGTGAGGCTATCCGTGGCCTACAACAGTTGGCAATGCTGTGTCTGCGCTTCATGCCCTGAATCTCCACGAAAGCGGCTGAAGCGAGAGCCGTGCCTCTCCCAAAAGGCCAGGACTTATGCAGATGTCAAATCAGACCGAGGGTATGAGTTCCGAGACAACATGAACTGGCCCTGTCGGCGGAGCTCTCCTTTTACACCTTCACCTTACGAGATCTTTGGTTTGGACAAGAACGCAGTCTACACCAAGCACAAATTCTACGAGCTGGTTAAGATCTATCACCCCGATAAGAATAGCCACAGCTCCATCAGTGGGAGCCTGAGCGATTTTGAGAGATTGGAGAGATACAGACTGGTGGTTCAGGCACACGAGATCCTCTCCGATCCAACAAAGCGAAGGGCATACGATGTATCTGGCGCAGGATGGGGAGCGACAAGGACAGCCACCAGACACTCGCATGGATATACTAATCCTGAGGGCAAACGATATGGATTCGGCCCAGATGATGATTCGTCGATATTTCAAAATGCCACTTGGGAAGACTGGGAACGGTGGCATCGACGATACGATAAGCCCAAAGAACCTCCGGCGACATACCTCCACCCCAACACCTTCGCGTCAGTCGTCATTCTCCTTGCGGTAATCGCTGGAGTACTGCAAGCTACGAGAGCAGGACAATTCACAGGATCAATAGAAGAGCGGGCACAAGCTTTCACAGAGGAAACTAATCGATTCCTCGCTTCTAGAAAGGATCATTTCCAAGACAATGACATCAAGGGTACGGGGCGTGTCAAACACTTTCTCGAGAAGCGCGATCCCGCAAAGTACGGGTTGAAACAAGAAGAGGAGGAAGTGTATCGAACTCATTTTGCTAACCCTATTTTACAGCCAATCCCAAATTTGAAGGACTCGCAAAAGGAGGGCCAAACATATTGAGTGAAGCAGCACTTTGGTAATGTACATAACTTTTGGCAGCTCCTCTCAGTGATGCCTTGGTTGACGTTGATTATTGTTACATTGAAAACGCCGGCTTTGTCCCCAGCAGCATGCAGAAATATGAAGTGATGGAATCTAGTTCCCGCCCCGAAACATTTTTCATGCAGTGCATCTCACGACATCTTCCCCTTGATTTCCTCTGCCTTGCCCTTTGCCTGACCTTTTACTTCAGCTGCTTTTCCTTTGGCTTCGCCAGCAACTTGAGAGGCAGTGCCTTCAGCCTTCTTGCCCTCGATTCCGATGACTTCGGCGGCTTTATCTTTCAGCTCGACTGGAAAGAAGTCAGCTATGCGGGAATCTACAGTGAACGCAGGTCAACCTACCTCCTTTGTCGATCCCAGCAACTGCAACGTCTGAAACTGCACGGTCGACCGTCTTGAGACCGTCCTTGACAGTGTCGGTAGCGGACTTCTTCTGAAGGACTGTGGTAGAGAAGAGGCGAGGTGATGAGCGCACAGCAGATGATCGGACCGCGGTGCGAAGCACGGGAGTTGTTTGGTAGAGGAAAGACATTTTTGAGAGAAACTGATGGAGTTGGCAGCGTGTGTTGGTGAGATTTTCAATACAAGTAGGCTTCAGGTGCAGCGCTTTGGCGTATTGCAGAATGTGTAGTCCTCAGGGAAATGAAGTCACTTTTGAATGATGAGTGACGGGCGTGAATGCCTGGAGGGGACTTTGTTGATCCTGCCTTCTTCAGCCTCGACAAAGACGTCACAAATGTGACCGTTCTGGTGATTCAATTTCCCCACACTGCTGCGGGCCAACGCCACTGACTCGCCCGGGCGGGAGATCCGTGGGAATGTGCAAGTCGTCCAGGCAAGGCGATGGCGGTAAAGATGTTTGGGGCGGCTGATGTCACTGTGCAGCGAGGGCGAATTCACATGCCATTTACGAGACCATCGAACCATGATCCAAGTTGAGGATACCGTAGAAGTTGATCAACGAATTGGTCCTCAAACATGCCTACCGAGAGCCACCGGACAAAGCATCCGAATCCCAGCTTCATCCTGAAGATTGATAGTCAATCGAAATGGAACCCAAGCTCCAGTGGCTCCCTCATCCTTCCATAACAACCGTCCGTCAAAAGTCCAGATCCTCCTCATAAGGTGTTTGTTGGTGGACACACATAAGGAATTTTCCCGCTTCTGGATCTTTCCTCCAGGTGCTCGAGATCAATGCTCTGAATTCGTCCTGTCTCGTATCGTCATCCGCCGTCACATGCCGCCTGGTCGCGTTCACTCGATAACTGATTTGGGCTGCCTCTGGTCCCAATGGTGTAACCTCCACATCGCTCATCTTGAACTGTTTCCATGGTACAAACGCATCGCTCTTCATCACATCTTCAAGATTCGGTGTCGTTTTAGCGGACACTTTCATTCCCAGTGGGAAAAGCATGATACAATCGTGACTGAGGAATGGCAGTAGTGCGGCTCCCGAGGATGTTAGTGCTCTCCAGGTTGCATCCTCAAGGGCTAGAATAGTATCATGCAGCATGCTGTAGTCCGTACTGAAATAGTTCAGGTGCCGCCGGTAGTGTGAGGACAATCCGCAGTCGGGGATGTGTAGATTCTGATTCTCGTTGCAGTGAGAGATGGCCGGCTATGGTAACTGATCCATCAAAGTCAGGGATGTTGGACATGAAGTGAGTGGTCTGATGTTACTGTCATTGACATCTCAGGCAGAGCGTCAGCCAAGCTAACTGTGCCAGTTGGCCTTGCAGCTTGAGGCAAGAACACAAGCACTCCGTAGACACTGACACTTTCATAGGCGAGCCTTTCCCCGCAACCTCGGAACTTCCTGCGCCCTAGGAGGAGTACCGATACAGCACCGTGAGCACTTAATATCTTTTCCCACCTTCCCTCACAATGTCAGCACGCAATTATTGTAATAATGCGAACCCGTTCAGCATGGCGCGCCCTCTGGACTCTACGAGCTCCTCATGTCTATTCCCGTCGCTTTGCTTCCGTGTCCGAACCTTCTCCAATTAAAGTCCAACACCAACCAGCACCGCATTCTGGTAATATCCGCATCCTTCTCCTCGACAGGCCTGCCGCTCGCAATGCCTTGTCACGCAGACTCATCACTGATCTGAAGCGTCATGTCCATGAGATCCAGGCCGAGGGTGGTACAGGCCCCACGCGGGCACTGGTCATCGCGTCCAACACAGACAAGGCTTTCTGCGCCGGGGCAGACTTGAGGGAAAGAAAGGAGATGACGCATGAAGAGTACGCACTTTCGAGCCTCAGTGATTGCACCTGCTCACAAATATAAAGGACTAGGGAATTCTTGACCGACATGCGGAACACCTTCACCGATCTATCCAACCTCCTTGTGCCTACCATCTCTGCTATATCTTCTGTTGCTCTTGGTGGTGGTCTGGAACTGGCGCTCTGCACGACATTTCGGGTATTTGGATCGTCTGCAGTTGTAGGCCAACCTGAAACAAAGCTGGCAATCATCCCGGGAGCAGGAGGGACCTACAGACTGCCTGCATTGATTGGGATCAACCGAGCACGCGACCTCATTCTTACTGGTCGACGAGTTGGCGGTGCAGAAGCCTACTTTCTAGGACTGTGCAACAGATTGGTGGAGATTACTCCGGAGGAATTCGACGAGGAGGCAAAGGCACGGCAAAAGGTGCTGGCTGCCAGTTTACAGCTTGCCAATGACATTTGCGATGGAGGGCCGATTGCCCTGACCCAGGCAATGCGTGCAGTCAATGGGTGGCAACGTGGAGAAGCCGCAGAAAACGAGGCCTACGAGGTCATCCTGAAGACAGAGGACCGGATGGAAGCATTGAGGGCATTTGCAGAGAAGAGGAAGCCAGCCTTCAAGGGCAGATGAGGCACAGAACTGACCCAGCGAGGTTGCCTGTCTTGCCACAGTTGCCCGAGACACCTCCTGATGTTCAATCTGGCCGTGTGACTTCAAGTAGCTTTGTCTGAGGGTGGTATAGAGAGGAGATCTTGTGACAAACACTGCTGCGGACGACCAAATAGTCAACCCTGCAAGACTGTTTGCCACAATCACATCAAATAGGTAGCCGCCTCCAAACCCGCTTCGAGCCTTCAGCCGAGCTCCCGGTATTCATTTGGCCCCTTCGGCTGAGCTTGGCCCCCCTGAGGCTGCAGTTTCCCCCACAATATGGCCCCCGAGAAAGGCAAGATGCCCAATGCCAGGATTTAGCAAGCGATCACAGACGGGACTGAAACGCCTAAGCCGTCCAAGGCTCCAGAGACCAGCCGCCCAAATCTGCTTGCCTCATCTTCAAGGACACGTCAATTTTCTTTGTCTGGGAAATATGCAGGTTGCATCCACCACTGCCATCGTCAGGCTACCAAGTCACCTGCGCCCTCCATTTCCATTCGACGGTGACTGTGACTCCTGGATCCAGTCCACCATGTCTGAAATGCTTCTCTTCAGCCTACATATGTTCCGGTGAGCGGGCGAGTTTCTTGTCCGAACGTTGTACTTTTTCCATATCGGTTTCTTCTGCTTCCTCTTGCTTCTGCTGGCTTGCTGTCCTGACTCCCCTCGATGTGCGACGGCCGTGCGCCATTTGAACGATGAGCACCTCTGCCGGAAAGCAGATCGTACAATATGGCCTTACAGAAGTCTACGCGGCGACAGATCCTCTAGTCGACATCGTTTTCGTGCATGGATTGAACGGGCATCCACACGATACTTGGTCTACCAAGAAGCCCGACGTCTTCTGGCCGGCTGACCTCCTCCCTGCGGCGCTTGAAGACCAAAGACCCCGAATTCTGACCTACGGTTATGATGCGAATGTGACCGCTTTTACCGATGGCGTGTCGAAGGACAAGATACATAACCATGCAGAACATCTTGCAAGTCGCTTGGTGGCCAACAGATCGGTAAGTGGGGAACAGGAACTTTAAGAGATGTTACACGGCCAGCTTCGCCGGAACACTTCATACGGGCACAAGCTGAGAAGAAGCAGTTGAGGAAAGCCACCGAAAGGCCCATCATCTTCGTCTGTCATTCCCTCGGAGGCTTGGTAGTCAAGAGATGTTTGATATACTGCCAGAGCATTCGACGTCACCAACACACCGAACGACTTCGATCAATCTACGTCAGCACATATGGAATTCTCTTTCTTGGGACTCCTCACAATGGCTCTGACCTAGCCAAATGGGGCTCCTTGCTCGAGAAGATCTGTGCTGTAGCACTTCCGAAGAAGTTCTTCGATACGTCTCCTCAACTGGTGCAGGCGCTGCAGACCAACAACGAGACGCTGCAGAATATCAATAGGCTCTTCATTGAAATAATTGGCCGCTTTCACATCTACTTCTTCCACGAGTCAAAGCCTACCGACCTAAAAGGTACCCGATCGTTCGTTGTGGAGGAAGATTCCGCCGCTCCTGTCATTGAAGGTGTCGAAAGAATGGGAATTGAAAAGGATCACAGGTAAGAGGGACCCCAAACCTATTCACTCACACGATTGCTTAGATTTCTCACTTCTTTTCCAGCCATATGTGCAAGTTCGAGGATGAAACAAGTCCAGGCTATGATGTCGTCGCCGAAGCTGTTCAGAGGTAACACGAGCAAGTATCGGAGCCGAACGATTCGTGCTTACTTCTCCCTAGATACGCCACTGCGTCCCAGTCACTCATCCACTCACGCTGGGAGGAAGAGAGACGAGTCGCCGAATTTGAAAGGCAAGCAGCTGCACGTGAATTGTTGGGTGGTGAGTACGTGATTCCACAAGTCTCGTCCGTAGCAATGCTAAGACCCTGGATAGATAGCATTTTTCAGACGAGCGCAGGGGCCTTGAGCGCAGTCACACCTTCTGGGATTGCGCAAACAATCCAGTCAAATCCAATGAGTGCGCCTCCTCCCAAACAGATCTCCGCGTCAACTTCACCCCAGTATGAGGTTGAAGAGGTCGAGGATGATCTCGTCACTGCACCTCGTTGATCAGCCAGCTTTGGTCAGTGATCAGAATGGAGCTCGTTGACGCTGACTCATGATGGTTTACAGAGGACTCTATAAGCTCAATCCGAATGGCTGAACAATCTTTGACTTTATCATCGTCTACTTCCCTAGTTGTTGCTCCGGTGGGCTTCCGCCCCAATTCGATTTTTCTTGGCTTTCAATTGGAAATGGACCAGCTTGCTCAAAAGCTGGCAAACCAGAGGCGGCGAGCATTAGGGACCTGTGCCGTTTTGCTGTGGGGACCGCCAGGCTGTGGTAAAAGCCAGATTGCACGAGAATATCTGTGGCGGCATCAAAGCGAATATCCGGCCGGCTGCTTCTGGGTCGACTCCAAGACCAAAGAATCGCGCTCGAAAAGTTTCTGGGATATTGCTCAGGCTGTTGCGATACTTGGCAACGATGAACCCCGAGACCCCGGTTGGGATGAATCGTCAAGGTTTGTCGACACGGTGCGGAAATGGTTTGAATCTCGAGAAGGCTGGCTGCTCGTATTTGACGGGGTGACGACGGACAATGACGAGGACATTGAAGCGTTGGTCTCTTACATTCCGGATCGCTCGGGTAACAACATCATCTACACGTCGGTGGATCGGACGCTGGCGAAGCGGCAGAGATTGCTCAACCCTGCCGGCGTCAAAGTGTTCCCATTGTCACAGCACGACGCGTGTGCTCTTCTCTACAAGAACCTAGGAATCAGAACGCCAACTGAAATGCAGGCAAAGAAGGCTATGCAGTTGGTGAAACACTACGAATGTCTACCACTTGCCATCCACGCCGCCGCCCACGCATTAATTGCCAGAGGCACATCGCTGGAGAAGTTCAGTCCCGGAACTTCAGATCATCGACTTGCTGATCCCTACCTTGACATTATCTCATCGCTAAGAGAGCATTCGCATCCTGAGGCCGTCCACCTGGTTACGCTACTGAGTTTTTTCGCGCACGTGATACCAGTGGCTCTGATTCGCTTTGGACAACCTGTGTTGCAGGAATTTGGAATCGAAATTCGCTCCGTTGAACAGATAGGAAGCATGAAGAAAGAATTAGACAACACCATCGCCGTTCTCATACGCTACGGATTGGTCGAACGGACCCTACTTGAATACTGCATTACACCATCAAAAAGCTCTTTCGCGCCAGACGATTCTAGACGGCCACGAGCCAATACTGCCGATACCTTTGGCGCAGTGGGGTCTGCCAGTGAGATAGAGCGAATCAAACCAAGACTGCTCAAGGATGACTCCAGCAGCCTTGAAGGATTAGTCGCGGCTCATCCAGAGAGCATGTTGGACGGGTCATCTTCCCATTCGATAACTTACAGCATCGACATTCTCCGCATTCACAGCGTCGTGCAAAATGTGCTCCGGGATGAGCTGAAGCTTCGATATGCAGATCAACCAGCACATTACTGGTGGTGGCTCTGCGTCGCCTCGAAAATGATCTGTCACTCTTATATGGTCGCAGATGCCAGAATCAAGAGCACCGAAGGACGAGGTCTTGTTCGCGACTATCGGGACTATGAGACGCAGGCGGCCCGGCTATGGTCACACTTCCCAAAATCATCTGCCGACGCCTCGCCGACGCTGCGCAAAACAAGGCACAACCTTCACGAAACTATTCGATTGATTAAGAAGGAAATCCAGAGGCAATCTCCGTCACAATCCGTCGACAGCCTCAATCACCGAGTACAATTCTCGGTATTTGAGCGGGCCAGCAGCACCTCTTCAGACAGTCCCGCCACTGAAAGCAGTGCTTTGACCAGGGCATCCACCTGGACGCCCGAACCTACCGACGATCAGACTGAATCGCCAGTCCAGATGCATCTTGGGTTGGATTTGGATGACGACGGGTCCGAGGGCAGCTGGACAGAGAGATGGTCGCAATCTGGAATGGACAACTCGAAGGTCTTGATTCCGAGTACGAACCGAAGCCGACGTCCAAGCGAATCTGAGATGGACGTGACGACGCCGACGGAGGCCAGCTTCAACACTGCGCGTCAATCCTCAGTTCTCCAAGCAATCTTCCAAGGACGACCTCACCCGGCCAAAAGACCGAAGGATCTTGGAGCGTGGAAGCCTATACCGATTCCACCCACCCTCTCCCATGAACAGGCGCAGATTCGCTCGAGAGCGTCATCCTTTACCAGCGGCAGCGACGATCGGACTGCTACGAGGCCTACTTCTACAGGCTCTGACGCCTCGGGTGCTCTTGCGGCCATCCACCGCGCCAGCCCGCCTCCCGCGAGAGGAGGAAGAATAAAATCACCTACGCGTCCACTGTGTATCAGGCCGACATTGGACGAAGGACGCCTGCCACTGTCCACTAGATCTCCCAATCAGAAAATGTCACCTTTGGTCACGGAGTTTCTGCCGGGTCAGTCTCTTCCAGCCTATGATTCATTCGATATCGCTCGAAAGCACAGCAGGCATCCGTCGTCGTCACCCCGACTGATACACACCGCATTGAACAATCCGGTGGCGACAAAGATGGTTCCCGCAATCCCGATGGAGGAGAACCTTTCGCTGTCGCGACATTCTGAATTTTCCGAGCTGAAGCCTCGTCTAAGACAAGAGGTTGAAGGACGCCTCTCTGCGAAGCCGGTTCCTGGCGGCTACAGCTCACAGCCCATGTCACGCGATACATCCAAGGAATCAAACGCATCATATGCCACGGCACCTCCAGCAGTACCCGGGTCGGCGTCGCTGGGCACCTCTCCGCAGATCCGCGAGCCTTATCTGTACAGCAGACCGGGCCTCGCCTCCATTGACGTTGCGGCTGCTGCTGCATGGGATGACGAGATTGCTAGTATTGGCAATTTGGATGTGACCTCTCCGTTTGCATCCGGTGTATCCTTTGACGGTGCGGACATTTTCGAGAGGCGCCACGAAAGACTTGGAAGCAGTGTCCAATTTGGCCAGATGTCTCCAGTTGAGCTCGATAGGGCACGAGCGCGTGTCTCGTCGGCTCGTGGCCGGAGCGTAGATGGACGACTGGCGGACAAAGATAAACAAGAGAGACGTCCCAGAAGTGGACAGGACCTTAGTATTTCAATGCATAGCGAAGCATGAATTTTTGTATGACGAGGTTATTGCGGCGGGCTCTTTCACAACGGCGGTTACTTAAAAGCATATCTCCTTCGAGCAGCATTCTTGTGTGTCTTTACATCCCGTCTCTAGATATTTACGGGCTCGTTTCGGACACTTTGTAGACGATGAGAATCTGGACAAAGGCGATGTGGCGACGCCTCCAGTTCAGACTGTGCATTTCACCAGTTCGGCGATGTACCGAGTACTCGATAGCGTTCGGAGACCGAGAGGTACGGCATGCAAGCCCTTAGGCGAGCTGCTGGTGGCAAGGGTTTGAGCGGATATGGTGGCAGGGTGGGTAGAGTCTGGATGCTAAAGGTTGGGACCTTGGAGAGGGCCGAAGTGAGGCTGAAAACGACCCAGGTCCGTTGTGTATTTATAGACCAACCCACAATGTCACCAATATGGTGATGGCCTTACGCCCTCGAGCGAGGTAGCGAGGTAGCGAGTGTAGCGAGGATCGAGTACATAATATTAATACGGGTGCGTTCTCCACTGCCTCGGGTTTGTGTCCTACCTATTCTCCGAAGGGCGATTCTGGTTTAACCTTTCAGTGGAATTTCCGCAAATTGACACGTCTAGACAGACCAATATCCCAAACACCATGGCTTCGTCCGATCCCACATTGCATCTACCGCGCATCCTCTGCATCCACGGCGGTGGCGTCAACGCAGCAATCTTCAAGAACCAGTTCCGCGCGTTTCTGGGCCATGAAAAGCTCAAGAACCGATACCGCTTCGTCTTCGTCGACGCGCCCTTCTTCTGCGACGAAGGCGTCGGCGTCGTTCCCGTGTACTCGGACTGGGGTCCGTTCCGGCGATGGTTCCGCTGGCTCGAATCTCACCCAGAGATCGAGCCGGCCGCGTGTCAATACGAGCTGGAGTACACCATTGACCGCTGCATGGAGAGCGACGAGGGCACGGGAGAGTGGGTGGCGACCTTGGGCTTCAGCCAGGGCGCTAAACTGGCGGCGAGCATGCTGTACGACCAGCAACTCAGGGAGAAACCCGGGCCGTGGAAGTTTGCCGTCATCCTCGCGGGTCGGGCACCGTTAGTCAGTCTGAGTGAAGAGGCGGAAGAACTACCCTGGATGCAGTCCGCAGGTGGCCTGGCGGACGCGGCCGACGTCGAGAGCATCCTCGAGCGCCCAGACATGAAGCTGAGGATCCCGACTCTGCACGTCCACGGCCTGAGGGACGAAGGTCTCCATCTCCACAGGAAGCTGGTCGAAAACTACTGTGCGCCGGGGACGACGACGCTGATTGAATGGGACGGGCCTCACCGCATTCCTATCAAGAAGAGTGATGTCGACAAGATCGTCGACGCTTGGGTCGAGCTCGCCGACGAATACGGTGTGTGACCTCGTTCGGATCGATTTCGGGAGAGTCTACCCCCCTCATCTCCTAAACTCCAGCTACGGTGGTTCAGGTTTGCTCCTACATCCATGCACTGGGTGTCCATCCTCCACAACTTTGTCCATCACAAGGACTGCCTTGGTCCTGACAAGAGGCTTCCAACTCGGCAGGGGAAAGCCTCATAGCCCGCTCGTCCCCCGCCATCATAGCTTCACAGTTGCTCCAGCCGGTCGCACCCCGTCCCCTTCGGAAGTCTCCCTCCCGTCCTTGCCAATCTCCCAACCTCGGCCTCGGTAACGCTCTGGCCAAATACCACATCTCCCCGGGGCGAGGATGCCATTCGGGTCAAGGGCGTCCTTGAGTTTCTCGTTGAACTTCATGAGAGCATTGTCGTTCCAGCTGTATGTGCGGGCGACTTGGTCCTGGAAGAGAAGATGGGTCCGATACTCTCCGTAACCTTGTTTCGCTGCATCCTCAATCATCGAGCGCATACAGCTTTCGACAGCCTTTCTCCTTCCGGGCCTGCCCCGGTCATAGATTATGAGATTGATCATGTGGAGTTCTCTCAACCCTACGCAAAACGCGATAAAGAGGTCGACTCCGTGCTCGTCGTGCCTCGTCTTGGCTATCTTCCATAATTTCAGCGCGTCCGAGCCTCGAGTCGGCGACACAGGGCTGAATCCCAAATGAGCGCCGTTAGGCACCCAGTTCATGTACGATAGCTCTTCAAAGTCTGGTTCGCCCCCGGCTATTTTGGCCCGTGACCAGAAGTAATGGTCCTTGGGCAGTGTGTCAGGGTCAACCCTTTTGGCTCCGGGGATCTTGGTGAATTCTCGATGGACAATGTCCAGTTTGTATTTCCGAATGTTTTCAGGCCCGTACGACGTCCCATAGTAGATCCATGAACACCGCCCGAGCGGCGTGGCCTCCAGATTGGCCTGCAGCACCTCCTCTGGTATAGGGCCAGTTCCTTGATAGTAATGTGATCGTGGGAGCCCAGAAACTGCCAACTCGACGGTGCTGTGTCGGATTTGGGCGACATTCTCGAGCAAGTTGGCGATTCTCAGAGGTCGAACAATATCGATCTCGCGTCATGTTCAGCCATCTTTCATGTTGAATACCGGAGAGTTCAACGTACCAATTGCAGCAGATCATCTTCCCGCTGAAACGTATACATCTTTTGAGAGTCAGTTGGTCCACGAGAGGTCAAGGTCAGGAAGCCCAGGTCACTCACGAAGCTTTCGCAGCCGCCTGGATCTGGCATCAAAGCAACACCCATTTTTGTGACTATTCCAAAGTTCGACTGTGAAAAGATCCCACTGCAACCCATCGTCAGCACATGGGAGGTCCATCCGGGGTCCCGCCATACTCTGAAATCGGCCCAAATCCATAAGGAAACGTCTGCCAAGTGTTGTTGCCAGGGAGAGCCCCCATGCCTGTCCTGAGCAGATCGCCAGTGGGAAGAACTACTTCCAGCCCCGAATGAGTCGACCAGTGATCTCCATATGGCGTGTAGCCAACTCCATGTTCGAGAGTGTTGCCGATGATTGAGCCTCCTCCAAGGTCGGGCGTATCCACCCACATGGTGTATCCCTTCCTCTTGATCTCCTCGTACAGAGCATAGAATGAAACACCCGGCTCAACCAGACAGGTACAGTCATCTGGATCAATATGTAAGATCTTGTTCATTCGTCTGCCAAGGTCGACGATAACTGAGCCACGCACGCGCGGTGCGGCACCTCCATATCCCACTGTCAAGTCCGTCAGCGAGGGCTCGGCGGAAGGAGATAATAAAGTAGGCATCATGTACGGTTTCGTCCCATAGAGATTGGATATAGGGGGACAAGATGTTGATTTGCCCACTTCACCACAAGTTGAACATCCTGCACATTGCCTGGGTAGACGCAAGCTGACGACACTGTCTCTTCGGCGTCCATGATCATGTAGGAATCGTGCGTATTGGGGTCTGATCAACGTATCAACCTCTGCCGGGTTTTGAGGACAACCTCAACATACGCTCCAAATACCTGGAGAGAAAGTCAGCCATTGACCACGACGGTACAAAAGAGCGGCCATCGTATTTCTCACCATCCATCCTCAAGGGGCTTGTCGTTCAATACAACGTGCTCCTCCCCTAGAGCTTTCGCCAAATCATTCAATGCTTTGAGGAAGTCCGAGCGGCCAATACCAGCAGGGATGGCCAGGCCTCTTTTCCTGAGGGTCTGGTCTTCCTTGGTTTGGTTTTCCCACAGTCTTGACTTCTCCCGAATTGCTTTGTTCAATAGTCTCTCTGGGATTCCCGAGTATGTGGCAGGGTACTGCGGTAGCAAAGCCGTTGAACTGGAGGACGAAGACATGTTGCCAGAATCGACGTGGCAGCGATACGTGGTGCTCAACCCAAGTGACAAGACAATCAGCGACATATCAACCCATAACTCAGGCCCGCAGGATCAGACACAATATATACTTACTGACTCTTTGCCCATGTGGAGAGGCAATCCGTGCCATCACGCCCTCGGCCATCAGATCATGGCAGCCATCCTCCATCTTCCCCCAAGATGTGGAGAAGTGGAGGTGAAATTGTCCAAATTGGGCGCAGGCGATGGGTTTCCTGCTGCTCTACCGTGTTCCGACCTTTGGTCTCGCACATGTGGGACTAACCCCCACCTGGGGATATGATGAAATGGATGGTAAAATCGATCACTAGGTGCATTAGACAAGACTGAGGATGAGAGAATGTGAATGTTTGGCCAGAAAGCACAGTTCCGGAATTACGCAGCTACCACAACAAGACTGCAGCTGGTCCTTTACAGCTACATATCTGAATCTGGACCCCCTCCCCGGCCAGTGACGTTGTCAGAAGAAAGCAATGGTACGGATCTCAATGCTCTCGCGGATGGGTGCATTGGGGGGAGAGTTTGGATCCTCAAATGCGCTGTGTCCTACAAACCGAGCACGCCCGTCCGTCTCAGAGTCATATGTCTTCAGAGTAATCACCTGTTCCGGCGTCATCTTAGGGAAGTACCACCACTTATGATTGGGTGAATGGCGCATGACATAGTTCTCGCCAACGCGATCACGATACTGGAGGTACAGCTTGAAGAAGTCCTCCATTGGAGCCGAAGAGACATCGCACATGGCCAATGGTCGCTCCTCAACGGTGTGGTGAAGCGGCTTCCATACGTTGAAGAATGCCACGCGTCGAGAAAGGAGGTCCTCAGCCTCATCCTGCAATAGCTGGCGGACACGGGCAGGACCGGACTCGGCAGTGTAATCACAATGCACCAGCATGACCGGTGCACGCTGCGAAGTATTCGTCTCTTGGGTCAGCTTCTTGGCTTCATTCCGTTGCGTGCGGATAGTATGGTCAAAGACGAGCACACGCAGGGCGCCTGTGGTGTTCTTTAAGAATTCCACTATTTCGGGGTAGAACTGCTCGCGAACTGAAGCCTCGTCTTCCCAGTTTTCAAATCCCGTCTTGAAGTGGCTAAGCGAGAATCCTTCCTTGTCGACAGAGAAAGAGTCGGCTCTGTGCCATCCGTCCGTCACAGTCATTTCGTGCGGATCATCCCCAGGCTCATGGATATCCTTTGCAGCCTCGCACTCGTAGAAATAAAGCTCCGTCCGCTTTTCAACGTCCTTGGTGTAGTTGAAATTAGCGCGGGTAAATGCAGCTGTGGTAGCCTTACCTGGCAACAAGGCTTTGTCGACAGCGGCTTGGGTCTTTTGCCACTGAGGCAGCTTTTCGACTTGGTCCGTCAGCCAGCGCGTGAGGTGGGGATACTTCTCGAGCGGCAGGCGTTGGGCGGCATGCAGGTGCATAGGAGCGGCAACGGCAATGTCGGCGATGGTGACGTCGTCGCCAGCAAGCCACTTGGTTTTAGACAGCTGTTCGTCGAGGATGGCGGCATGCTTGTGCCACTTTGGTGCTTCTGCATCAATGGCTGCTTGATCGGGTTCAGCCTGGAGAAGTGGCTTCACTACATATTCCACCAGATATATGTAGCAGCTGGGAAACCAGACCGAGGCTTCCCACAGAAGCCAGCGGTTCACAGCACATCGCTGTTTGGGGTCTTTCGGATACATCGAGCCACAGTCATCCGCGGCGTACTGCAGAATGGCATTGGACTCAGTGATCTGCAGATCCCCATCAACCGCAGCTGGCACAGTGCCATGTGGATTGATTTTCAGGTATTCGGGACTCTTGTGCTCGTTCGTGAAATAGTCGATATGGTTGAAGTGGTATTGGGTGCCCAAGAGGTCGAGGCCTGCCAGAACCTTGCGGCTGTTGACCGTGCAAGGGTCACAGTATACTTCGAGCATTGTTTTGTTTTCCTGGACTTCTGTTGACCCAAGACAAGAGGAGGAGGATCGGCCCATGCAAAGATCAGTAGGTCCGGCAGGACGGATGGCCTCGAGCTGTTATACTCACTACCCCGCGTTTCAGCAGGGAGAGCATTTCGGGTGAAGGAAACCTAATCGTAGAATGCCACAAGATGCCCAGATCTCAAAAAGGATCGATCAAGCGTCCATTGGAGAAGCCCTTCGTATTTACAGGGGGGTATAGGGTCAGGCGGACCGCCTCTTCTTGCCAGGACTGTTTGGAGCGGGGTGGTTAGTGTTGAAAGTCCGCCTCAACGCCATCTCGCACTTTTCGCAGTTCCCCCGAGGCGTTGATGCCGATGGTATGGGTTAGATGCAGCGTATTTTCCGTGCAGAGAAAGTTGCACCAGTACGGCACGTAGACCTGTTTGACTTGCTGCCGAGGTCTTTGCGGCGATAGTCTTGCCAGGACTCATGTCATTTTGAGACACAACTCCTCCACGTCTCTGGTACGTGAAGCCGCAGCCAGAATGACGTCGAAACCCTGGTGGTAGAAAGGCTGCTCTTCAGAGATGAATGCCGCACGAAGGTGATTCATTCGCCCGTTGCGAAACTCTAAGCCAGTAACGTAGGGTTAACGGTCATCGACTTCCGATTGAACCCAGCCAAGGTCTATTCCTGTCGGGCTATCATATGTTGTGCTACGGTTGAACACGAAGACCGAGAGATAACGGGTTTAGCGCTTGTTGACGATGGATGGCCGCACTCCGAACCATCAAGCAAGCTGTCTTGTACAGGCTACCCCACAAGCATGATCCGTCGTAAGGATCGTCAGACACTGCCACATGAGAGCTTGCGTCTTTTGTCCAGTTCAAGTTTGATCTGTCCGCTGGAAGCAGGGGGGTTGGATATCTGGTAAATCGGGGTCCGGCTGACGATGAAGAGGAAGTCATGCATGTGCCATCGAATAATTCAGGCTTGTCTGTTGGTGCACGTCAGCCATTTTCCTCAATGCCATCAGATGAGTCCGCTGCATGGTATATCACATCTGAGATGTCTCCGTAACTTGATTGGGTCGTGGACATGCACTGCAGGCCTACGCAGCCGGAATGTGAACTCAGAACGAGGTGCAACTGAGGCAGACAGGATAAAGGAATATGGTCATTTGACATTTCCTGCAACTTCTGACCAGGCTAGTCCACGAGTGGTCAGATAGGTTGACAGGGGACGGGTCGAACGATGCATGTAACAAACTCGACCGATGCAGCCTACGATGAAGCCACTGGTAGCGACAGATGCTGCTCATGGCCGCCAAAACTTCGACCTGGGCCAGCGATGTCAGAGGCAAGTTTGGCGCAGCATGTTCAGGCCTGCGACTGCATCACTTCGCATCCCTGCCACTTCCACCCAGGCACCGTAATGCACTGCTTCAACAACTCTCGCCCTCTCACAATCACGCCCGATAGGTAGGATATCGGTGTTCACCCTGATGACCTCGTCTTGAAGCTGGCAAGTTCCCTACAGCTCTAGGCTGAGACTAAGCTGCCCTCCCTTTCTTGGACATGCAACACCCACCATGTCGGCTGCCACTGACCACGGAATCTCCTACAGCCTACTTCAGTCAAGGTACAATTCGGGACAACAAATCATGCTGTTCCTAGCTGGCAAGACGAAAGGTGACACTGACACCACGAGAAACGACAGCTTGGGATCACGATCTCCGGACACTGGGCCTGGCACGAGTTTCTTTGAACGCATAGTCGCAGCTTGACGAACCCACTCGACTGCCATTGTATTACCCCAGTGAGAGACGAGGAGAGCACTTGGAGTCTGCGCAAGTGGTAAGATGTTTTGACAACATAAGATCTAGACTCCCAGAAGATCACACTCTCACAGCCTCAGTGGTCTTACTTAGTGCTGAAGAATATTGGTAGACCAGAATTGGTCTTCGCCATCTACTGAGCATGCAATCTATGGACTTTCGACATTCCTCTTGCACACGTTGATATTCTATTGTTGCGAAGCAGTCAGCCCGACGACATGCTCTCCAAATTTGTCGTCCACATCATCGTCCATCTCTCCTGTCGTCTCAGTCAATCCTCTGTACATTTCCTCCTCGATCTCTGCCAGTCTTGAATGCTTCACCTTCCCGTCCTTCAACCCGTATAGATCACAAAACATCATGATCAACGGCTTCCACTTGTCCGCATCGACACGGTTTCGAAAGCCATTGAGTCTGAGTTCTTTGTGAATGCTGACTCGCAGAATCCTGACCTCGATCGCGAGCACGAGACCTTGCACCGCTCTTCCTCCATACATTTCATGCACCGCCACCACTTCCGCCTCCATGACAACTGGACATTCTTTGATTCCGGGAGGAGCGACTTTCTTTGAAGGCAGAGATGTGAGCCCGGCGCACCCAAACTTGTCTTTGACAAACTCATAGCCTCTGTCCTGCTTCGAGGATGGGACTGGGTCGGTGCCGGTCGTTCGAGCCAAAGCGTTGACATTCGCTGCCATGTTGTCCGAGGCAAGGTTCAACACGCACTGCTTGGTGCGAAGCATGTTCTGTGTGGTCTGGGAAGAAGCGTCGAGTCCAAGCATACAGCCGTGCCCAAGCCACCAGGCTGATGACATTGGGCCTATGTTGACACTTCCGTCGGGGTTCGTGGTGCTGATCAACACCACTGGCGTGCCCCAGTAAAGAATTGCTGGCGAAATTTCTTCGTGAGCCATGTAGACTGAGATGAACGAGGAGGTACTGGTGTTTTGCGATCTAGACAATACAATGGTCAACCCAACGAGGTGATGTGGTGTCGTGCAACAACTTCTCATCCTCGACCACAGTGCTCCTTCTTATACCCATCGATCGAGGTCGAGATGACTCATGGCCACCGCGCGTATACAACCGGATTTCCAATGGACGGAGACATCGGTATCATTGAGAGCACAGTTTTGCAATCGGTATGAAGCGTAATGGCGTCCTTTCTGCAACAAAAACAGTCAGCGTAACCCAGAAAGGTATATCATGTACGCCTGTCATTGGTCACTTCTACAGCAATGCTAGGATCTAGGCATCCCTTCCGCCGCCAATAGTTTGACTCCAGTTGAGCCCCCGATCTCCTGTGAGAACAACATCAGCCTTTTTCCGTTCCAGAAAAGTTCCTCCTTCATCGATCTGTGCCATTGTTGGGCCAGAGCGGGTTGTGTCCACTCTTAGAAAGGGAACGAAATATTCTGGAGCCACTCCGACTACGCTTACGCATCGTTCCTATGGGGCGAGTTGCTCAAGTTATCACCAATTAAAGGGAGACTCCCGTTTGATCTAGATAACGAGGGATATATCCCAGGCTCCAGCCCTGAGAAGTCGCATCAATATCCACTCTCTCATCCTACCAGAGGGATGCACTTTGCAGGATGTGTAGCAACGACAGCAACGACAGCAACGACAGCAACGACAGCGACGAGCAGGCGAAAGTCCATCAGGATGAGGATCTCGCAAGCCGACGTCAAAACCCTGTGCTTTCGTCAGGGCTCACAATGTCCGCGCTCAGCAAGCTGCGACTCTAAAGCTGATAGTTGCTCGATGTCGGCGCCGGTGTTTTCAAGCACAACAGCTCGCTGGTCAGCGGTAGCTTCCCGCAACTCTGAGGCTGTGGGAGAGTTTGTATACGCCGTCAAAACAACAGGAATATACTGCCGCCCGGATTGCAAGGCTCGATTGGCGCGCCGGGCAAACGTTGTCTTTTACGACAGCGGTCCGCTGGCCGAAGAAGCTGGATACCGGGCGTGCAAGCGTTGCAAACCTCATTTGCTAGTACTACAACAGGAAGACCCTCTACAGGTCAAGATCCGTCATGCTGTTGATCTAGTGCAGATGACAGCCTCTCGAGGGCAGAAAATAAGTTTGCAGCAGCTCTCAGACCAGGTCCGGCTCAGCAAGTGGCATCTTCAGCGAGTGTTCAAGAGATTGCAGGGATTGTCACCGCACGAAATGACCAACGCAATCATCAACGCGACAGAAGCTGGGACAGGAGGAAACCAGCCAAGCCAGTCGCGGTCAGAAAGTGTCGCTCAACATGACACCGAGCGCCATTCACCGGCGACTGATGCACAGATTGAATCATCACGACACCCTCAGGATAGCGTCGGAATTGTGCAGGAGGGATTGGAACAGTATAGCGACCAGCAAGTGGACGACGTGCTTCGAGATCTCTTCCCTGAGCTCTACATAGCAGGGTCAGAGCAGGATGCAGAGAGCTGGGCTCGAGCCTGATCTTTTTCGGAAGCTCTGCGTTCTCTTGCGCTCTATGGATTGTGTAAGAGATACCACATGCGTGCCTCTTGCTTCCTCGTCTTCGCGTGGATACTTTCTGCGACGACTTTGTCGATGCACGTGGCTGTTCTGTTCTCTGTTCCGAATGACCATCAATCGGGGCAAACGCCAACGGCTCGCAGCAACAAGGATAACATGGGTAGACATGTTGCATACAAATGGTACCTAGGTACATCTTAGGCAAGGTTTCTGATCTCTAGGTATCTCGCCAACATCATCTCTCCCTTCCTCAGTCTACCTAATACAATGACCACATATTCGTGCCCATCATCTCTCTATCTACCCCTTCCAAGGCCCCTCCCTCTGCTGGTCTTGAAGGCTATTCCACATAGCCTATGCCTCCAAACACTGGCAATGGGTGGTATCATAAAACACAATGGCAACAATGGTAAAAGGACAAACCAGATACTGTAGCGACTGAAATTCTTCCCATAATGCAACAAGAACATCCCGTAAAACGCCAATGAAGCACCATCAAACACCGCCAATGCCGCTGGAAGGCAACATACAATCATCTGCAACATCATGACCGATAGCATTTCAGACAGACATCCCATAACGTCACAAATCGGTACGCATCAAGCCAGGACCCATTCACTTCCTCTCTTAAGGAACTTGTCCACCATCAGCATCAAATCGGCCATGACAAACCGAATGATGAAGAACGCAAAGAACTCGGCGGCATTCTTCACACCCAACTCCAAGCCCACTTGGGTTTTGTTACTGCACTTCAGACCAGGGTCTTCCACTTGCCGGGCAATGCCATCGAGCACTTGGGCTGCGTCAAAGAGACGTGCCAAGCTCGACATGTAGGCTGCATGGACAGGTTGAACATTCGTCAACTGCGTTGGGGTCGGCGGCGGTGCGATCTTGCGGTTCAGATGTGACCGCGCAGAAGCTACAGCCGAGGATGAAGTCATGGGTAACGACGCCATTGTTGGGCCAGACAACAGCCCGTCTTTCTGCCCGTTCAGAATTCCCATAGCCGGAGTACTCGACTTGGATCGAAGTTTGCGCCAGCTGGATGCAATAGATTTGGCCGCAGTGCTGCTGGATTTCCCGGTCTCTTGGTCTTCACCTGCGGACTTGAAAAGGCCAGATGAGCCTGAGAGGCCTACATCGTTGCCCATCTTCTTCTGCAACGTGTTTCGAACTTGCTCCAGGACCGCTTCGAATGCCTGTAGCTCGTCGAGGACCGAGTCCGCATCAAACGTGTCAACTTTGGCAATTTTGAGTAATGCAGCCGTCAAAAGGTCACACTGCGACACTTTATCATCCAGGGCTTTGAGCTTGACATTCCTCACCTTCCATACATCCCGAGGAATGAATAGCTTCGTGGTCAGGTATCCCCCACTTGGATGAGCAAGGGTCTGGTACAAACATCGCATCAGCCAGAAAGGGCGCAGAAGGAAAGATTCCGGACAGGGTTCTAGGAGCTGAGGAGGAGATACACTGGAGGCATCAGGACTACGTGGAGTCCTTGGGGGATCCGTCGCAGTGATATCATCGAACAAGTACATTCCCCCTGTCTGAAGCAGTTGGGGGCCAAAAGCTGCCGTCGAGGGCGTTGGCAACGCAGCGGACGGTAGAGGGGGAACCACCTTTCTGCTGTCTGCGCCAAAGCCTGCACTGATGGGTGTGATTGGTGACTCTGCACTAATTTCTGTCGTGGCTACCGACAAATTTCGCACCCTCAAACTCGACGACGATAGATTTTTCTTGACGGCGGCGGGGGGTCCCATCTTTCCCGTCTTTGCAGGCGACGGCGGCATAGCTGCCGAGTCCTCGATGCTGCCCTGTGAACCTCCCTGTGTCAAGGCAGGAGTGCCAGGGGATTCACTTTGAACAGAATCGTTCGAGGGCAAGGTCGTCATCGGCGTTATGGGTGCCAGGGAGGGAACGATAGGTTCTGCCTCCCCTGTCTGGGACGCCTTTTGCTGCTCTACAGGCACGTCTAAGTCAGGAACAGACGGAGGGGCCGCGATCGGCTTGATGGGAATGGTCGAAGAGTTTCGTCGCACAAAGGTTTCGATCTTGAGCTGCTCTCCACTCCGACCCGAGAATCTTCTTTCCCGAATATTCAGTCCACTATACTTCTCGATACTAACCGGCCTGCTGGACGGTTGACCCGGTAAAGCCATGGGCGGTGCTTGGGAAAGGACCGTCTTTGGAGGAGATGTCAAAGGAGAGTCCTTTGCTGGGGGAATTGGTGGAGGGGATGTTTCCGCAGACGACTCCAGCGACTCTGCCAGAGTGCTCAAAGTGGTGTTGTTTGTTGCCGTGGTTGATGGAAGAGAACTTGTCCAGGTTCTGCCTGAGAATGTACTTGAGTCCGACTGTCGAGGAAGTGCCGATTTCGATTTGTTGTCGAATGAAAAATCATCAAAGACAAACCCTTTGGTCATTTCTTCCAGCAATCGTTCCTCTTCTTCTGATGACTCCCCCTCATCATATTCTCGAGTCAGTTCGACATCGGACGACAGAAGGGAATGGCCATTGGAGGCTGGTTGAAAGGGAGGAGGGACGGGTGTACTGAAATCGTCACTGAAATCCTGCATATTTTTATCCGGCCTCGGAGTGGGCTCCTCTGTCAAATTGTCATCGTAGGCAGCATCTACAGCTGCGTCAAGAGCAGCATCGAACTCTGCTTCGAAATCGTCGACAATATGGTGGTTATTCTGGATTCCAAAATCCAAAGACGATAGCCGAGAGGATCGAGACGTTGTTGAGTCGCCGTCTTCGAGAGTGTCCAACCAAGAAGTAGACTCGGTGCTACCTTCGCGAGTGTGAAGAGCAGCTGTCGGAGCATCGCTCGGCCTTCTAGTCGCAAGAGGTGTGTTCGCGTCCCTATCCACTGTGGGAGACGAGGGCCTTCTCGGCGAAAGAGGGGGTGGCATATACTGCGCATCCATAGGCACCGCTAGACTAGGGATATGGATCCTCTTACGGGCTGACGCCTCGTTGAGATAGGATTCTCCGCCAAATATTTCCGGTAGCAAAGACTCTTGTCGAGGAGGGATCTGGACAGACTCTAGAACTTCGGTTGTATCCGGTTCGATACCGTCACTGCTGAAGAAAGAGTTGTTTGTTTCATCAAGAGGAGGATCTTCAGGTAAAGCTTTCTCCATCAGATCAGAGAAGGAATTGTCAAGGTCATGAAGGTCGGCTATTCTTTTAGAGTAGGCATTTCGAATGTCAGACAGCCTTTTCCGATCATCGAGGACCGAGCTCCGGATCAAAACTTGCTGCAATAGCTCACAAGCTTCTGCATATGCCTCGATGGCTCCTTCAATGTTCTGGGCATTGTCAAGCAATACCGCAGTATTGGCTACCGCCAGAGCCTTGGAGAGCATAGTCTTTTGCGTCGGACTTCGATGACTTTTGACACGTGCAGGTACATGTGGCGGAGCGGAATCATCCATCGATCCATCGCGCCCGTTCGTTGTAGGGCGGTTCTCACGGGTACTTGGTAGAGTAGCCTGTGTCATGTATTGAGTTGTAACATTCTCGGAGGATCTCATGGTGGGCTGTGGACTCGTTCTCATATAATGGACAGACACGGCGACCGCCTCCCCATTCTTGCCAGTCTTCCGACTCTGCCAGGTCTCGCCAAAGTACTCCCCGGCGCTGGGGTTAAACATGGACGTGGGAGTGAGGTGTGGCGAAACACCAAGTGGATTGGTGTCTCGTAGAGCGTGAGTCCGCTCCACCTGAAGAAAAGCTGAGCCCGAACCCTGTCTCGCCTGAGGACTCTGGCTGGACGATCTCCGCTTATGCATCGAGGTTTTCCCCTGTGCGGAAGAGGACACTAGCGAGGGGCCAATGCTCATGCGTCGCGATGTGTTTGCGCGTGTACGGATCGCATCTGCCTCGATACCAGACACACTTGAAGATGTTGAATGCGACCAGCGGTTGATATTGAGGTTCGGGCTCAGGGAATTTTCCGGGCGGCTTCGTGAACGACTTCTGTCGTAGCGGAATCGGCTGGTGAGCGGCATCGAGCTTTCTGGACTCCTGGGCCTGGTTCTTAGGTGAACATTTCGAGAATCTAGATGTTGCAAGCCAACAGCAGTGGATTGTTTCCTGACAGTCGGCGCTGGAGATGATGTCGAATTCGACCTCGACCGTCTGCTGTTATGGACAACAGAATCGCCAGATGTGTCCATTGCTTCTTGAGTCTAATGATTAACAGAGAGCCTTGGACTCGTCAAGTGGTGGGCTGATGTTGGTACATGAATGACGAGGGTCGGGCAAATAGCATGAGCCAGCGATCTTGGTCGCAGCGTAAATGATGGAGAAATCTCAGGCTACACGGCAGGGTGCAGGATCCAGATCTCCGGGGCAGATGTGCCAGCAATGCTTTGCTGCAGAATGTACCTGCAGTTGGGATCTGCTTTGCCTGCGGTTGGAAAGGCGACTGGCGAATCAAGGAGGTATCGGGTCTATATGCAAAGCCAGCCTAGTCTGGAATGCAAGCGCTTCGGCAGAGTTCGTGCGTGGCAGAACCTGTGTTCGCGATGTTTCCCGCTCTTGACACAGACTGCGCTTCTCAAGTCAGGACAGCACTCCTCTCAAAGGAGCCAGGTCGACAGAGAAAGAGTGTGTAAGGGTGCAGGCTTGTAGACCATCAACTTGTTCCGCAACTGTGGCGACTGGGGATTCCGCTTCAGACCAGAACATGGCGGTAATCACTCAGCCATGGTATCAACAAGTCACCCGCTTCACCTGTGTCTGCTTCTTTGGCCTGTATATGGTTCCACCGGCTCGTTTTGACTCTTGACGGATAGACGACGAAGACGGAGAGGAAGTCGCGACAAACGAGGACTGCTGGGAAGTCAAGCGAGGTTGGGGGCGGTGTGATGGAGGATTCTTGAAGGATTTAGTGTCTCGAGAGTAACAGAATGGAAACACAGGCGACCGAGTCGAGGTATTGAAAGTCGGATGACGCTTTTTGAAGAGGACTCAATGAGAGAGATGTTCGAGCAATAACCGCCTGTTCGCAAGGATCGATCGAGGAGGTCGAAGAGGAAAGAGGAGCATCCACCCTGTGGTGCTGCCAATTACGAGGTCAGGGATGCGATAACAGACTGGCAGGATGCAGGCTGAGCAAGAGAGCTAGAACAGTAGCAGGGCGAGCGAAACCAACAACAAGGTATGAAACCAGAGAGGAGACTTTGGTGTCTAGAGCAGCTCGTGGAAAGAAGTGGTCGTTTCTCACTGAGCCTTTGCCAGATGTGTGTGAATTCATCCCTGACGGCGACTTGGGACCCCGATCTGTCCGAGTTCCAGTAGTGCATTGAGGCAGAACTCAAAATGTCCCATTCCCCATAGAACCAAGGGAGGCGGCGAGCCGGGCGCAGGCACCAAAAGGGACCGGGCCTGCGGGCACAGGCCACAGAGTGGTGGAGGTCTAACGCGCCAAACTCATTTGGTGAGTCTCCAAGCCACCCGTGTTCGACCCCCCGAAAAGCAGCCAAAGCAGCCAAACCACCACCCGAAAAAAACACTGTTTGGGCTGTTTGGCGGTGCCTACCCCTGATTTTCATACCCACTCCACTCATTACCAGGAAAAGCCCACCTGGTGCAAGTTGGAGGCTGTTTCGGGTAAGGAGCCTTGCTACTGCTATCTCCTGCCTCTCTCCTTGGGCAAATAATGGCTCTACTTCGTTCTCTAACTTCCATCATCGACTTCTAGCGCGCCTTTCGAAAGCACCACAACGGACAAGCGAGCACTTCATCAACCTCAGTTTCTCGTACGAGTTCTCGTATGAGTCCTCGTATACGGTGCGCAATCTCCAAACCTCTTCTCAGTTCTGTCATTCTGATGCCATAGGTCAAAGCGTGGTAATCCGCCATCTCCTGCATCCAACCGAGAGCCTATCGTTCCTTGCGGGGGAATGCCCACGCCTCCCCTGGTTGATCAGGCCTGTCGCCCATCGAGTTCCGTTCAGCCTATCCTTGTCCTGAAAACCTAAGAAGTCCCCCCTTCTGGCCGCCCCTGGTCACCCTGCCACCTGCGCCAGCCTCTTCCGACTAGCTGCCATTACGTGACAAGGTGGTAAGGTGATGTTGCTGGAAAAGAATCGGATCCCGCATCGACCTGGGGAGAACATGCCAACACAAACTGCACCTCGTAAAAGGATCAAAGGCTATCGCCATCAACACAGGCTAAAAGAGGTGGAATTTGTGGCCCAAAGCACTGGCGCAACGCTTGACTCAGTGGCGCAACTTGGTGTCAACGGCGTCGCTGCCATGTGCACATTTGGCAGCGGGATAACGCCTTGATATGCAGGTCCTGGTCTTGGGTTCTGTCGCACTTTAGCTAGTAAGGGGAAGCACAAACAATAACTCGCCATCTCAATCGGTTATGCCAACCTCGCCTCTTCCTGCGCTCTCCCGTTTCGTGCCCTTGTCCTGGAAGCAAGTTACAACTTGCATGACAATTACCTCTTCTGAGAGGGCGAACAACGTTTCTGGAAGCTGTTGCCTCTAGTGCACAGAGATCCTGTTGTGCTACAAGTGCCCAAGATGCGCATGGCCCACAACCGAGGGTGTGCTTGGGGTAGGAGTTCGACTCATATCGTGTTGTCGTCGTGCAAACTCGCTCAATGCTACACTGCCACCAGTTGTCGAGCAGTTGAGATGCCTACACCCTCTCGAATCAGCTGCGATACTCGAAGCAACTGACAGCCTCACCGACTTTTTGTCTAGAGGTCCTCGCACATCTGACCTTCATGGCAGGTGCGCTGGATCACTGATAATGAAGGGAAGTACCCGAACCATCAATTTCTGGTGATGTCGAACACGTCAACGCTACACACAGAAACCAAGTCTCGCAACGGATCCTGAGCGTACAGCTTCAGGCCATCGCCATCTCTGTGCGATGTCGAGCTACGGGTAAGTTTTGGTCAAACGGCCTCTGCAATGGTGGGTTTAGAAAGGATTTAAAATCATCACTTCTTTCCCGATGATTTCCAGCTCGGTCTTGATTCCCGCTACCGCTCGATTGTCCAGGATGTCGACGACTCGACAATGAACCTCATGCTTTGCCACTTAATCAATACTCCTCTCTCTACCTCGCTGCTCCTCGACCCACCCCCTTACGTTGAGTCGTCTCACCGACCCAGAGCCTCACAATAACCTCCGGTTTCTCGGAAATCTCTTCTACTAATTTTGACCCTGGAAAGGGCACTGTGCCCCGTTCCTGCGATTACCCGTCTCTTTCACACCGTTCGCCGGATAGCTGTCTGCCCGATTCCTGTTATCTGGCTCCCTTCTCTGCAGATTGGTAGCATCCTCCCCTCCCATTCCTCTCCGTGATGTGAGTTCGTGGTGACGTCCGGCCACGATGCAGGACTTGATACGGTGGGAATGCATTGGGAACGGAAGCGAGTGCTCGAATTGGTATCAAATGAATGGACTTGCTCAAAGCGGACCAACGAACGAAAATGCCCAATGATATCTTGTGGACCTTCACCACCGGTTTAGAAAATACTGCGAATTTTCGACTTTGCACAGAACCTGACTTGCTGTTCGGAAGGTTGACGTCCCTGGAGTTTCAAAGGGGGAAAACGAGGGAACAGATCCAAGTGCCTGGAACAGCGGTAAGCTGGAAAGCAAAAGCACATAAGAGCGATCGAACCCATGTCTGTGTCATGCTCAGACCCAATCTTCTGGTTCTGCTTGACCAATCCAGACTGTCGGTACTGGAGCAAAGGATTTGGACGGATATCGAGATTATCCACAGGTTTTATGACCGTCGCCTTTCCTGTTTCTAGCAGCCCTCATCACAACTATAGCCACATTCATCATCAGTTATATCTGTGTCCTCAAGAAACCTCCTATGATGCTGCTCTCAGCGTGCGTCGGATCCGTCTCCGCCATCGTTCTTTTCATCGCACCACCGCCCATTCTGGCCGCTGATCAAACGGTGGATCAAACATTGGTTGCGAATTTGAAGATGGCGGCGACCATGAGTGACCGACTCCACATGCTTTCGGACCAGCAGCTTCTCTACAACTTTTCCTCGAACCCGATGTATTCCTGGAAGCCGGGTAGCGTCTGTAACGCAAATGCAGCGACCTGGCCTGTGCTCTCCACCGTTGGGGCGACGGTGGCGCAGCTCAATCTTGGGCCATGCGCGATGCTTGCACCACACTTACATAGAGCCCACAACTTGGTCGTTGCAGTGAGTGGAACAACCCATACGTACATGGTGCAAGAGAATGGGGCACGGCTGGTACAGCAAGTCTTGACTCCGGGAATGATGACCATCTTTCCCCAGGCCAGTGTGCATTCGATGTACAATATGGGTGCGTCTACTCTCGTGCCAAGCAACTGTGGCCTTTCCTGACTATTTCCCAGGCTGCGGAAACAATCAGCTCTATTCATTTCTCAACGACGCCGACCCAGCAACATTGAACATCGCACAGGCGTTCTTCATGATGCCGAAGGACATTGGTACGCAGGTGATGCCATTCATCAACCTCACCAGCTGGAACTGGACGGCCACAGGTCTGCGGATCCCGGCCATCGGGACGGGAAGCCAGGATGGATTCGAGGCATGCAGGCAACGATGTGGGCTTAGCACGAAAGCCTCCCCGAATGGGTCTCTGGTGGTATAGATCTCACGGTGATTCTTTTTGGCTTCTCTGCTGAGATCTGCTACTTGTTGGAAATACTTTCAGGCGTCGGCTTTGTCAACTTTTTCTCTCGCTGCAGTTTGGATTTTGTACGATCAAACTTGTACGGGGTATCTTAGGGCCCAAGCGATGGTGACAAGCTGAGGCTTGTGAACTGTCTCGACACTCTCGAGCACTAGCGAAGTCGGATCTGAGGCTTGTTGTTTGTTCGCTATTTGTCGATCACTTACTTAGCCGCTCCTTTCTAGTGGAAATATTCGACCAACATTGACACCATCTTTATAGATATGCACCCCTTCTTACTGTCCCCGATATAAAGATGCCCCAAGCATATGCAGATCCTGTGACGCCACGCCATGACCAAAACCAAAACTCATCTTCGTTCTGCCTCATGTCGGGTCCAAGAGAACATGACCGTCTGTGCAGTCGACAATGTCCAGGCCATAGTGTTCTATATTTCACTCGATCTTCCAACTTTTCAAATCCACCACACTGGCTTCCGGCGTTCTCTCTTTCGTTGGTGTCCGTGGTCCACTCGGTGTGTCCGGCCTGCTCTTATCGCCGCTGGCACTCGCACGCAGACTTACATTCTCCCGGTACGCGACGTACTCGCTGTCGGCATATCCCAGGACATTTCTGATCTCGGAACTTCTAAGCCGTTTGATCCTCGCAATCTCCGCAGATGAGTAGTTCACCACCGCCCTGCCAATTTCTTCTTCCCTCGACACCAACTGCATGGAGATCGAGTTAGAATTGCCCATGGGAGATAAGCTACCAAGTGGTGTCTTGTCCACGACAACCAAGCGGACGGCTTCCTGTTGAGCGAATGTGCCTTCCACATCGACGATCCCGACGGGTAACAGCCCGGCTTTATTCGCCAACGCGACGGAGGCACCGCGGTCGATGTAGAGCGTGCCGTGGGGAGCGAGGCCGTGGAGGATCCAAAATGCGCGGTTGCGGATTGGAGATGAGGACGGAAGGAAGCGTGTATGCAAAGGTGGCGGGATACTTGGTACGGAAAGCATTGTGCCAGTCTCACCATCGACCTCTACAGGTGGGTGGAGATGGCGTATAATCGCGGCAATATTCCCTGGTTTTGAAGACTTTGTGATGATCGTGCTCGTACCTGTGGCTGTCGCTAGTCGCGCGGCGACGATCTTCGTAGCCATACCACCCGTTCCCAACGCCGACCCTCGAGACGAGACATCCACCTGTAGAGCATCGATGTCGTCTACCACGAGGATTGGCTTCGCGTCGACAAACTTCCTGGGATTTCTGTCGTATAGGCAGTCTACATCAGTCATCAAGAATAGATAGTCTGCATTGACCATGGCTGCGGCGATAGCAGACAAAGTATCATTGTCGCCAAATTTGATCTCTGACACTGCCAACGTGTCGTTCTCATTGACTATGGGTATCACCCCCATTGATAAGGTCTCGGCGAGCGTGTTCTGCGCATTGAGATATTGAGAGCGGTCGGCGATGTCATTGCGTGTGATCAGGATCTGGGCCACGGGCTGGTTCTTATGTGCAAAGAAGGAGTCCCAGATCGACATGAGGCGGGACTGACCGATAGCAGCAAGGGCCTGTTGGAGTTGACAAGACATGATTTAGCTTGTTGTTAAAATCGGCGATTTCGAGATACTGAGAGACATAATGAGAGAAGTGGGCTCGTCTGCCAACCTACCTGAATTTGAGCCAGATGTTTCGGTCTCTTGGGCATATTCATCCTCTGTAGCCCGACCCCAATAGCCCCGGACGACACAAGGACGACGCGATGCCCATCTCGTCTTAAAGTGACGGCCGTCTCAACAATCTGAGCGAGAATCGAAATGATGGGTTCGTGGGTGGTCTCGTCGACAATGGAGGAAGTCCCTATCGCCAGTACCACAGTAAGCCTCGTCCTTGTTGACCTCTTCTTTTTAACGTTCCCAAATAGATAGGGCATCACGGGTAAGTAGCGTCTGTACCAATTTTGATGACGATCGTCAAATGCTTTCCAGCCCTCATTGTTTCGGTTTCCAACTTTTCTGAAGATAAAATAGTTGTACCTGTAGCACCACGCTGAGACTCCAAATGCCAAAGTCGGGGTGGCTCATCTTGAGTCAAAGAGAGGTACGAAAGGAAGACTCGGGCCTACGCCCTTCAAGACAAGTACACAAGGCTGTCACAGAGACGATTCTTTTCTCCGAAAATTTTGCCCATCAGACGGTATTGACAAAGGCGGATGTGCATGCAATCCTAAGAATAAGTGAGCGAGTCAGATTTGAGCTTGGCGCATGAGGGGAGAGGACCTCCAAGGTCAATCATCGCAACTTTTCCCCTTTGGTCTACAGCTTCAGTGTCACTTGGTTCTCTGGATGGGTAGTCCTGTTTCTTGCTTGTTCTCTCTCTTCTTCTGAAGCTCTAGATTAAAGCTCCCTCGTTATGGCTAACCACCCCTCCTCCACCTCGTCCTCTAGTCCTTCCTCTCAGCAAGATGCATCAGACTTCCTCCCCAGCAACACCTGGTGGAATCGTTCAGTAAATTTCTTCCGCATGGTTACCGGGCGCATGTCTCCCGGAGGAGCGCAAAAGTATTGGGCCGATGCGGACGATCGATATAGCGCATTCGATTGCAAACGCTGCGAAGAGAGCCGGGACTATTTATTGAAATATTCGCCGATAATCCGATTCATGAATGAGAACATTCACAAACTGGGTGGTGACTTGGGTCCGCATAACATCCACTGCAGAACGTGCAGAGGCGACGAGGAGGCAATGCAAGGTGGCTTTGACCATAAATACGGCATCAAGATATGTGCAAACTATGTGCAGGAACGGTCTGTCCTGGAGGATGTACTGGCACACGAGATGGTGCACGCATATGACCACCTGCGGTTCAAGACGAACCTGACCCTCGAGGATGATCTGAGACATGCCGCGTGTTCGGAGGTCAGGACCTGCCGACCTTGTAAGATATCCAAGCTAACTAGGGCACGCAGATTCGGGCAAGCAACCTCAGCGGTGAATGTCGCTGGGCCAACGAGTTCTTTCGCAACAAGATCCTCTCTTTCACGAACCATCACCAGGACTGCGTCCGACGGCGAGCGATAAGGTCAGTCATGGGTCGACCGAACTGCAAAGACGACGTACAAGCAGTCAAGGTTGTCAATGAGGTATGGGACAGTTGTTTTCGGGACACGAGACCGTTTGATGAGATATACCGGTGACATTGGCTGTGATACTCCAACAGTTTTGACTCATGAATCGTTCAGCATGGCGTTGGAGGCACATATAGATCCCACTTCCATCAACCAGAAGAGGCACACAGTGCACTTAATCGACACCCAGATCCGACCAAAACTCCATTCTCCTGGGCATAAACTTGACTATATCACACTCGGGCACCGAGCCATGCAAGTTGATGTTTTCATAATGTAATTGTTTTCCTCGTTGACTTTCAATCCTTCCAGCGATTAAGGAACTTCTGCATTGCTACGTCGGTCGGTTGACCAGCTGCAGCCACCTGGAAGAGTCAGCAGATGGCCTCCCAGAATGTACGCTAGGGAGATCTTACAGGATTTTCGCGACTAGAAATGCTGAATGTCAGGGCCAAGGTGTTCGTTGTGACGGCATTTGGGGTGCCGGCAATCGTTTGATAGACCGTATATGCGCTGGTTGGCCACAAAGGAGAAGCATTCTTCGCAGTGATCTTTGTTTGGGCCATTGGAGGCATGGGGGCATAGCGGATTGTCCCTGTCTGCATAGTGTAAGGGGTACTATAGACGGCGTCTCCGACAGATGGGTTGTTTGGACCAGCGCCCGCCTGGGGGGCTTGGACGTTATTGACGTCGGCTGGGCCAGCAGTACCAGTGACAGTCCTCAACCCTTGCTGTACCACGGCTGGAAATGTGCCCGTCATGCTTTTGAGAGAGAAACGATCGGAGAAGTTGATGACAGTGCCTCCCGTAGCGGCGGACACGAATTTCAAGAAATAGGCGTTGGGAATATTAGCACCAGTACCCGGCTGCAAGGTGATAGTGATTGAATTGCCCGTGGCAAAGGTTCCTTCTTCAACAAGTGTGGCTATCGGAATCTGAGCACACGCAGTCAGCCTCATATTCCTGTCCTCCACTACTGTGGTCTTACATAGGCGGACTCGTCGTTGCCTCCTGCGCACAGGAAGAGTTGATAATTGGCGAGTTGGGAGAGAGGAGGTGAGTTGCCTGAGTCTTTCCATTGTATCTGCAGATTGAGTCCGGTGATACTGTCCCCAGGTTGGGGTGCGACGACTTGAACATCAGCACCCGTAAAAGGGATGATGGCAGCCGCCAGGAGATAGATGCTCCGTAGAATCATTTCGTGGGCGAAGTTGAGGTCGGAATGGGACAGGCAAAGAGAAGAAACATGCAAGGTAAAGAGCAGTAAGAATTGTGTTGTGTCGAAGACGAGGATTTGGTTACCAAGGACTCCGTGTGAGCGCAGTTTACAATCTGGGACGAGGCCCAGCCCAATCCGCAATTAGAAGATCATATGCAAGGCACGACACTACAAACATATCACTCCGACCCCGCCGATCAGCCACTGGTAATTCTTTGTTCTCAGCCGCTTTATTTGCGTCATGCCTCCGTGAGGCAGACACTGTGCCATCTTGAACGGTCCTTCTTCAATCTGCCTCTGCCAGTCTTGTTCGATATGGGCTGGTCATCTACGGATGGCTGGGCTACGAGGCTCTTGTCCGGCGATCCTGTTGTCATCCTCATCGCATTCCTGGTGACAATAACCCTGCCACTACTCGTCCACCTGTACCTCTACACCCAGACTGCTCGTGCCAGAGTCGTCCCAAGCTTCCTCCTTCTTGGTTCCAGCGGCGCAGGCAAGACTTCTCTGGTCTCTTTGGTGAGATTCTGCCCCGTCGGGCTCTTGTCAACCTACTTGACTAACAGGATGTCCAGCTACAAAAACGATCCTCCAAACTAGAAGATTCTCAAGCAGAAGCAGCACTCACCCGCACTTCCCAAGTATCCTCCTCCGTCAGCTTATTACTTCCGCCTTCCGTCCCCTTGGGGTCCAACAAATATCGCTCCGATAATGATGTCAGCCTGAAAGACAAACAACCGACCCCATATGTAATGATAGATACCCCCGGCCATGGAAAACTAAGGTCGGACCAGGCCTTATCACACATCCGGAATCCTGCCCTCCGCGGGGTCATATTTGTGGTTGACTCAAGTGTCCTGGACACTAGCGACTCTTCTACATCTCGTGACACTGCTGTGTACCTCCACGATACATTGCTAGCCCTTCAGAGGCGAAAAACTCGAGGCAAAAACAAGACCGCAATACCCGTCCTCATCGCGGCCAATAAGCAGGACCTGTTCACCGCATTGCCGACAGGTGCGGTCAAGGAACGCCTACAGGCCGAGATTGAACGGGTACGTATTTCCAGAAGCAAAGGTCTCGGCACTGTGGGCCAAGACGTAGATACCGATGCAGAGGAAGACATTCTAGGTGGTGGTGGCGAAGACAAGTTCAGTTTTGAATTGATGGCGGAAGAGTATGACATTAAGATAGATGTCTTGGGAGGAGCAGTCAGAGGAGAAGAAGCGGGCAAAGGAGTAAGGAGGTGGGAGGAGTGGATAGGCGGTTGTCTCTGATGATTCAGACAATCCCACGACTTAATACATCCTGCGGAGATTCTTGATAGCGATGAGGGTATCATATTTCATCTTGTACTTCCAGACCAGGACCATTGAACTCGTCCTGTGTCAGAATACTGCCAACCCCCTCTTTCAGATAAAGCAGCAGGCGATACGCACTGTTGCCGTTCATGTAGTACCTATGCAGCTTCTTGCTCCTCAAGAACCCCAGTCGCTCGTACAACTTCATGGCCGCTGTGTTGGTCTCCTCGGTCTCCAAGGCGATCTCGTCTGCATCTTTCTCAATCATCAAATCCATCGCTTTGCTGACAAGCGTTGTGGCGATGCCCTTGCCCCGAAACTTGTCCTTGGTGGCCAGCATGGCGATGTATCCTCTCAATGGTCCTCCTCGATGTGGCTCTAGCTTACAGATCACCACCCCGGCGAGTCTGTTGTCATCGTTGGCGTCAACGGCCATGAAACAGAGTTCAGGCCACTGGTAGAGGAAGTACCGGTAGACATAGATACTGTAGGGTTCAGAGAGGTCTTTGGAGATCAGTTCGCGAATCTGAGAAAGGTATTCGGCTTCCTTCTCTAGTGAGTATTGCAGGTAGTGGATGTCGGCAGGAGTGGTTTGGAAGTGCGCACTGGCGGAGACCGCGCTGACTTTGCTGCCGCTGAGCGACTCGACAGCAGCAGCGGCATTGCCGCTCATGGTATCCTGGCTTCTAGGGTGTGGTCGAGAATGCCATATTGGAGGTGGAAAGCGAATCGCACGGAGAAGATTTGTTCCTGGAGATCTCTCGCCCTAGAAAACACCGATGACGAAACATGTGAAAGGGCCAGACCAGGATGATTTAATTGCACACTCAGCAGCAACTCATACCCCGAAGAATCCGCGCCCACCCCTGGAATATTATACTATCGCGTGCCTCAATGCAAGCCCATTGCTTGCTCGAGGCACTGTACTTTCAAACATGTCCTCTCTCCGTCGCCGCATTGCCAACATTATCAGCGAGTCACCTACACCCTCCCCCGAGCCTAGTCGCGATGGTACGCCAGATCCCAACGAAGAGGTCAAGGTGGTCTCCAGTAACAAGCTGGAACAACTCAAGAAAAGGAGACACAGTAAAAGAAGATCTGGCATCACGTTTGGACTAGGCGGCCTGTTAGGCCTATTATTGGCTTTACTGTTTGCTCAGTCGCAAGATGTTATCAAGTTGGAAGGATTGCTGGAGGTCAATTTAGACAGTCTGCTGGATGTCATTCCTGTAGGCATAGTGAATGATGTGAAGGATCTCTCGAGAGCTGAACGGGATGTCGTCAACTATGACTCGTTCTCCGTTGGTCTCCATCTGCTCTCCCAGGGAGTGAAAGCCCACCATCCCGTCATTATGGTGCCTGGAGTGATATCTACGGGACTGGAGTCCTGGTCCACAGGCGAAAAGTCCAGGCAGTACTTTCGGAAGCGGCTGTGGGGTTCATGGTCCATGATGAGAGCTCTCGTCATGGACCAAGCTGCCTGGAAGAAGCACATCATGCTGGACAAAGAGACAGGACTTGATCCTCCAGATATTAAGCTACGAGCAGCGCAAGGCTTCGATGCCACCGATTTCTTCATCACCGGATATTGGATTTGGAACAAAATCCTGGAAAATCTCGCCACCATCGGATATGATCCGACAAATGCGTTCACGGCTGCTTATGACTGGCGTCTGTCCTATGCCAACCTGGAGCGCAGGGATCAATACTTCACGCGGCTCAAGAACTATATTGAGGTGGCACAAATGACAACTGGTAAGAAGGCAGTCCTCGTCTCGCATTCTATGGGCAGCCAAGTTCTTTTCTACTTTATGAAGTGGGTAGAACACAAGGATCATGGTAAAGGAGGCTCCCGGTGGGTTAACAAACATATCGACTCATGGATCAACATCTCTGGTTGCATGCTCGGAACAGCAAAAGATATTCCAGCAGTACTCTCCGGCGAGATGAAAGACACTGCTCAACTCAATGCCTTTGCTGTCTACGGTCTGGAGAAGTTCTTATCCAAGGAAGACCGCGCAGAGATCTTCCGCGCCATGCCCGGTATATCGTCGATGCTGCCCAAAGGCGGTGATGCGGTATGGGGCAATGCTACGTGGGCTCCAGATGATTTGCCGCCTCCAATGCAGAACAAGACACACGGAACATTCATCTCGTTCAAGCCGCGTGGCAATCTTACGGAGCCCGTGCGCAAGAATCTCACAATGACACAAGCCTTTGACTATCTTATGCATATCGCAGAGCCTTGGTATGCGGAGCAGATCAAGCACTCGTATTCTCACGGCATCGCCCATACTAAAGCCGAAGTCGAACAAAACGAAAACAACCCTCTTACCTGGGTGAATCCCCTAGAGTCTCGACTTCCATATGCGCCTGACATGAAAATCTACTGCTTCTATGGTATCGGCAAGCCCACTGAGCGCTCATACTTCTACAAGGAGCACGGCCACCCACTGAACGGGTACATCAACGTCTCCATCGATACCAGTGTCAATTCTCCCAATGGCCGTCTCCAGCAGGCGGGCAGTGTTGACCACGGAGTCGTCTTTGGTGAAGGTGACGGTACCGTCAACCTCCTTTCCACCGGATACATGTGCGCAAAAGGGTGGCGAGAAATCAAAAGGTATAATCCTGCGAACATCAAAATCACGACCTTTGAGATGCCGCACGAGCCGGATCGGTTCAGCCCTCGAGGGGGGCCGAATACAGGCGACCACGTCGATATCCTGGGCAGAAGTAGCTTGAACGACTTGATTCTCCGAGTTGCAGGGGGAAAGGGCGAGCAGATTGAGGAGAGCTATGAGAGCAGGATCTGGGAGATCAGTGAGAAGGTGAAGATCTATAATGAGGAATGAACCTAATGATGGGAGCTGGAAACTGTACACTAAAGCCAATTGGGCGTTCTTGTTGTTGCATGGTGAGGCTTCGGGCGCTGTGGATTGTGCACTTGTGTGTCTCTTTCGAGTGGCACAGTGGCACGGACCCTTCAGGGGAGAATACCCCCCAATATAGACCCATTGAGAATTACGCATCAAAGTAGAATTGTACGAGTATATTACTGCGAAGAACAGACCCTTCCGAATTAGGCAATTATCACATGCCATGTGGGAGTGGCTTGTTTTGCTAACATGGCGTACTGGGCAGTGGCGGGCATTCTGGGGCCATCGCTCTGCTCTCCAATGAAGCAGAGATTATCGGTCGAAGCCACAGGAGCCACAGTTCAGCTGTGGCGCATCAGCCTCTCAATCCTTTTTGCCAAGGACGACTACAATCAGATTCGCCCCCTCAAGGTGCATAAGGAGGGCTCACAGGTGATCGACAAAGGGGACGACCCCCAGGGGCCAGAACGCACGAAGGATTGTGGTGCGAACCCTCATTTTTGTGTAGCATATCAAGGGCCCCAATCTTCACACCACGTTTCAAACGAACGTCGCGCCCCCAGTCTACACCGAACCTGTTTACCCACACAAAAGAACGTATATCACGCAGGCCACCGCTGTTGACACGAAGACTCTAAGGGCCACGTTCCTGACACCACGTTTACTTCCTCTTCACAATGGCCAAAGCAGGCAACCTCATTGCCCTCATCATCCTGATTGTCATCGTTGCCGTTGTCGCAGCCATCGGATTTGTGGCCTACTCAATCGCTCATGATGTCGGACACAAGACGCGGCAAAAACTGGAGAGGAAGAACGTTTCATTCAGTCGTGACGGGATGAAAGTCGGGGTGAAAGAAGTGACACGGGAACAACAGGAGGATGCGGCGCAGAGGTAGGCACGAACACATGCGCTCGAGAATTTGTCTTCGGAGGGCAAGAGAGGACTGACTTGGGAATCCCAACGCAGTGTTTTGACAAAAGTCTGGAACAACTCGTCTCAATCTCCGGCGCTAGGATCGGGACAGGGAAGCAAGACGCCTTCGGGGACGCCTGGAGCGGAGAAGAGGAACCCGTACGTGTGAATTGATTCTCCATTACTGTTCAGTGGCGCCACCTCGGTCAACCAAGAGTATGTGGAATATCAGGAAGCAATGCTGACTTGTCGATGGGCAGGTTTTCGCGCTCATCGTCTTCAGCGCAGTCGGTTCCTAGTCTCTCGCGACACGGGTCAAACCAGAACAACCTGTCTCGCACAACATCGGCGCAGACTCCTCTGTCACGGACCACCTCTTCGCAAAGCAGATCGTAAGAAGTTTCACTATTGAGCATCTCGAGAAGGAGAAGGGGTTATTTTCTGGCAATCCTCTTCCCCGTCGGCGCAAGAGCCGTGAACGTGAAACGATTTGGCGAGGAACATGTGCACGGCAGACTCAATTCAGATGCCAGACAGAATGGCTGATAGGTATTGAACCAAAGATGTATGAGGACGACATGATTCAACGGAAGTACAGATGGACGCTTTCGATCAAAAGCGATGAAGATCTCAAGAGCCACAGTACATAGCGCGATGGATGCGCAAATGCTCCACAAGCCAATCTGCCTAGATGGCCATGAACCAGAAGGGCAAGATAGCATTTTCTATCCCAATTCGAGGGAACGAGAAATGACGCTTCTAAACGGTTGTTCTGTTTCAAGCGACCCATTCATCGCAACGCTTCTGTATGATGCTTGATAATTCGTGCACCAATATCCGGATATGGAGCATTGACCAACTACTCGATTCTATGTCACTGTGTCCACTGTTCAGGCTGCTGGTGGCCCGTGCCCATGCCTTGCAACACTTGAGTCGAAGCACATGGTGATTACTCCGCAATTGGGGGTGACTTGGGAGTGTCAGCGATGCTCGGTCAGGGCCTTTGCACATCGGCAAGCAACGACAACGTGGGCGTCAAACTAGCCTATCGCAGCGCAACGCAAAGAAATTTCTACTTGTATGCAAGATGACCTCGTAAAAACATCTCTTGATTGGTCGTTATTTTCAGCTCTCGCTCCCTCGTGCTTTCTGTAGCTCGGCTGTGACCGGAAAGGCAAGCTCTTTGTGAATCTGCATTTTTTCCTTATGCACCAGTACCTCACGTGCGTTGTGTCGTGGGGAGTGGACAGGGTAATTTCGAGGGTGAGGTCAGTTCTCGGTATACTCGTATGATCTTATCTGTGTCGATCGCATTGGTTGTTGAGCAACGCTCTCTTTCGGTTGCAGAAAGGGGAAATTGGAGGGGGAGAAGGGTTAAGGCCCCAGAAATACGAGGATGGATGGTCTGACAGGGCGCTGATTGAGGGGATACCAGGGTTTTTGCTGAAAATGATAGAATGACCAGACATTCACAAAGAATTCTCATACCGAGGGGAGATTGCCATTAATCACGCGGGTACCCATCGCTCATCCCGGGGTGGTCGCCTCCAATGCTCAATGCTTACAAGTAATGCTTAATGCACAAATCATCCTCAATCCCACCCTCCAGCTTCGTGTTCGGGTTCGCGCGGCTACACCTTGTTCCCAGGCCCTCTTCTTGATAGTGTGTCTGTCCTAGCCACAGTAAATTAGTATTCCGCACTTGTAGTGCAGATAGGAAACCACAGTATATAGGGTACTCCATTGAGTCTTGTCGTCATGACTGCTATCACATGTGAGTTTGCATCACTGCAACCAAGCTGTCGGTGAACTTTGGCAGCTCATAGTGACGTCGAGGAATGCAGTAGAGGATTTTTTTTCTCACAGGCATTGATCGCGAAAGGGGCGCAAACTCTGCGCTTTAGGCGGCGAAGAGCGGGTGTGGTGGAGCTGGACATCCCCCGAAAAGCCACCAGTTGGGTGCAAGAGCCTCTCACAAAGAGAGCCCCGAAGGCCCCGAAGGTGAGCGACAGGGCCTGAGCCACTTTAGACTCGCCTACCAGGACGGCTTGGGTTTAGGGCGTATTTTCCTTGGACCGGCCTGATCGTATCCATTTGCGAGCCTATCCACCTTTCGACCTTCTCGACTGGGCGATACAAGCGACAGAGAGGCCGGCATTCTGTGGAAGAGCGAACCGCGAGCCCGTTGCTCGTCTGGGCTGCTTCCTTTTCGCACCAAGTCGATCCGCAGACATCCACATCGTCTCTATCTTCCTCCAGTGCTCACCTAAGCCCTTTAACCACTGTCATACTCTCGTACCTCTTTGACTGATTTCCATATCTTCTTTCGTCTTCCCCTTCTGGTCATCATTCTTCCGGCCTCCTCGGATCCTCTGCTCGACCCTCTTCGCGTTCTACCTTCGTTGTCTCTCGAATCTCTACCTCTCGCCGTCGCCTCGAGACTCTTCCACCGCAACGCCAACGTCCAAATTTCGCGCACGAGACTCGCTCGGCCCGGCCTGCCCTGACCTCGCTTCCCACCAGGCACCCGACACAGGTGCAATGCAGGCTTCCTTGCCGTCCTGGAAGGACGCCGAAAAGAAGCAGATTCAAATCCAGATCCCATGGAAATCCCTACAACTTCTCGTCCCTCACAGGCTGCGGCGCAGGCTGAGATCAAAGCTCCGCAACCGATCGTCACCTGCATCCTCGCTCGCCTCCCTCAAGACTTCATTCTCTCCTGCCGACACATTACGGTCACTACAGAATCATAGATGGTCGATTTATGACGGGCAATGGCTGTTTCTCGCGGTGGTGGGCATTTTTTCGCTGAGCATCATTGAGTACCCGGGTCCTTTGGTCAAGACGGCGGTCGCTACACTCCTCCTCGCCTCATTCATATTTCCTGTCACGCGACAATTCTTCCGACCCTTTACACCTATTGCCGCATACCTCATTTTCTTCTATGCCTGCAGGTAAGTTTGTTCGTGTATTTTGGCGAGAATCGCCTTGTTCTGCGCCCAATCCCGCATCCAGTGAAGAAAATACTAAGTGTTGATTTTCCACACCTACAGATTCATCCCGGCTTCCTGGCGACCTCCCATCTGGGTCAAAGTCCTCCCCGCACTCGAAAACATTCTTTATGGTGCCAACCTCAGCAATATCCTTTCCGCCCACAAGAATACTGCCCTGGATCTCATGGCTTGGTTCCCCTATGGACTGGGTCACTTTGGTGGCCCTTTCGTGGTTGCCGCAATTATTTTCGTCTTTGGTCCACCCACGACTCTTCCAGTCTTTGGATTCAGCTTTGGGTACATGAATCTCGCCGGAGTCATCATCCAGGTCTTGTTTCCATGTTCAGCTCCGTGGTACGAGAACATGTACGGCCTGGCACCAGCCAACTACTCCATGCAAGGCTCGCCCGCCGGTCTAGCTCGTATTGATGCATTGCTCGGAATCGATATGTACACCTCGGGATTTACCGCCTCTCCAATGGTCTTTGGTGCCTTTCCGTCACTGCATGCAGCGACCGCCACTCTCGAGGCGCTGTTCATGAGCCACATCTTTCCCCGATACACCCCGCTGTGGGCGTTTTACGCGGCTTGGCTATGGTGGTCAACCATGTATCTCTCGCATCATTACGCTGTGGATTTGGTAGCTGGGAGCCTGATGGCAGGTGTCATCTTCTACTTCGCAAAGGCTAAGTTCCTGCCGAGACTTCAGCCTGACAAGCGGTACCGATGGGACTACGACTACGTCGAGATCGGTGAAGTCCAGAACGACTATAGCTATGGCATTGCTGGCCTCGATGGCAGCAGCCCCGACAGCGACGAGTGGACCATCGGCTCTTCGTCCTCCATTTCTTCCGGTTCGTTGAGCCCGACCGAGGAGAGCCCCAAGCCTTGGACGGACGCATACTCGAATTACGAAAGATGACATGGTTACACTATTTGACATGAAACCTTCAAAGGCCTCTCATGAACTCTACAGCAGCTTTAACCTGGCGTTTCTGTTACGAATCAAAGACGCATACGGATCAAGAACCTTGCATATGAGCGCTCAATTTTTCTGGATTTCTGCACATAGAACAACAGCCTCCACTATAATACAACGGCCACTGCGACTACCCCTTTCCCCGACAAGACCACCTCCCAAGGACCTGACTGAACCCTGTCCTATTTGCTCCGGACACTGTTTCATGAGGCTGGCTTGACTCGGAAGTACACATGGGGATCCCACAGTCGCCGGCACGAGGTTTTTCTTTTTGGACTGGGACGTGGTTGGGGTTGTGAATTGGGAAGGCTTTGCAACGCAGAATCGGCCTGCTTATCACCCCATGGTTTTGGCGTTTTTGCTGGACTCCAGCATATTCTGATTTCACGCTGGTGTTTAAACCTGGAATGTTTGAGCGATGTGGCTTCCAGCAGCCTGTTTGTCGTCCAGCGGCTACTGTTTACCGTCTGGATGGATGCATTACATTCGCTTTGCACACCCTTTTTGTACAATACAGATATCGAGATACGACCGATATGCCATTCGCTTGGTTCAACACGGGATACCGGGAAGGAAGACGGAGGAGGGATCAGAGTCTACATTCGCTTCTAGAACGCGTTCGGGCAATGAGTTTGGATGAGCTGTGAGAATTAGGAGCTGGTCAGAGACATGGTTGGTCACAAAATATCTGCAGGGCGAAATCCATATCAAAATCACGAATGATCCTGGACATGGACATACAGCCAACCATTGCGACAAGACACCAGAAGAGGACAACCTTTGAACATCAGCCATCCATGTCCATGTCCGTTAGCAACGTTCGGCTCCACAACAGCCCCAGCCACGTTCACACACACGGTTGAGACCCCATGCCTACAACATCGCCCCCAACAGACCTGCATGGTTGTTGGTTGACGATCACAGCAGCTCGATGCATTGATGGGAGCTGGTTGGTCGAGTGATGGGATGTTGTGTAACGGCATTGACATGATGCCTGGATTAAGTTGATGAGATGCTCTTGGTCCAGGGACAGGAATCCCACGAGGCGCAAGGCAACCCGAAAATTTAATCTAGTAATTTAATACCTAATGAACAAGAGGACCGCGATGGTCCCTTTTCCAACAACTGTACGAGGTATCTTCCGCACACCTTTTCTTTGTCTCGGTCGAACATGCCACCATGAGCAGAGGACGGGTGAATTGGGATCTTCTGTACGGATGGTTCGGCCCCGCGGGTGATGGATGGGGTATTGAGGCGTAGAGTGTTTCATGTCTGTCGCATGTAAGCATGGCTGGCATGGCAGCATGGGTAGGGTGCCGGGGTGCATGGATTACCTGGGCCGGCGGGATGGTGGATGCCCATGTCTGTCTCGAGGCGGCAGGAGGGGATGCAAGTCCCTATCATCAGATGGAAGGACCTGGATAACCACTAATGCTGCTGTTGTACCGAGTTCTCTTCGATGGTGAGTTGCTTGTATACCATTGTTTCTACAGACGCATTATTTGTACCGAGTAGTCGCTGAGAATCCAGCCATTGAACACCGATTACATCGTACCGTATACCTCGCTCGTAGTCTACTCTGAGCCAGCTGTTGTCAACTACTCCATACGCCTCAAGACGCCGTCGAGGCCCATCCTGCTCAGACAGCTCCTCTTGATCTCGTCGACACTGTTGCATCCACAAAGCGCCATGCACCGGCGGAAATCGTCGTAGAGCATCTCCAGCATCTTCTCGACGCCTGACTGTCCACTGTGCGCAAGCGCCCAGATGGCGGGTCGGCCGACCCAGACGCATTGGGCCCCCAACGCGAGGGCGATGAAGATGTCTGTTCCCTTCCTGATGCCTCCGTCCATGTGGATCGGGATGCGTCCCTGGGCGGTGTCGACGCATTCCACCAATGCGTCAATGGTCGCGGGGACGCCGTCGAGTTGTCGTCCACCGTGGTTGCTGACAATGATGCCGTCGCAGCCGTGTTGAATGGCCAACTCGGTATCCTCGGCCGTGACGATGCCCTTGATCCAGATCTGCATCTTGGTCCGTTCTCTCAGCCACGGGATGTCGCGGGCCCAGTGGTGCGAGTCGTCGTTGAAGGCCGTGAAGCCGCTGTCGTGCGTCTGCTTGCGGATCATCTCACTCGTCAACTCGAGGATGGGGAACCCGAGTCCTTCGGGGGTCCGAAAGTCGTTGCGCCACTCATTGTACCGCACGCCCAGCACGGGCGAGTCGGCGGTGAGCAGGATGGCTTTGCAGCCCGCCGCTTCGGCTCGCAGGATGATGCGCTCCTGGAGGGGCCGGTCTTTCATGGTGTACATCTGCATGGCGTAGTTGACGCCGCCGTTGGATGCCCCGACGACGTCCTCTACTGAGTAGTTTGAAAAGCTCGAAATCCCCATGTTGATGCCGACCTTCGCACACGCCCGGGCCGTTGCCACTTCCCCGTCCGGGTGAGCCATGGCCTGGATCCCTGCGGGCGACACGCACAGGGGAAACTTGATGGTCCGCCCGAGACAGGTGGTCGAGGTGGACAACTGGGAGACATCGACGAGGACGCGCGAGCGTAGACGGTACTTGTAGAAGGCGGAGCTGTTTTCGGCAATCGTGGTTTGGTAGGTTGAGCCGGAGTTGAAGAAGTCTTGATTGCTCTCCGACGTGTTAGATGTAGGGCGAAGATGCAGAAGAGGATGAAGGGGAAGATGGACCAAGGCATATAGACTAAACCCAACGAATGGACATTACCTCTTGCAACCTCTGGCAGCTTTGCGTCTGCAATTGCTTTGATGTCTTCCATACACAGGATCGAGGAATCATCGCCCTTTACAGGCACCGGAACTGGACCTCCGCCAGACATACTCGGTTCTGTTCGCGGCTCTTTTTTGTTGCTCTTTGAACGCGTTGGTGATGCGTGACTTGGAGAGGGAGGAGTCAAGTGTTAATCTGCTATGCTCTGCTCTGTTGGTGAGATGAGGTCATCAACCCAAAACTTGAGGTTCGAATAATTCGAGTGTCCAAGTCGATATCAACTTCGAGTCAAAACTGACAATAAATTCTCTTCGTGAGCCACGAGATCGCTAGACTCGCAGTTCAATTGGAGATGAATGAAGCGCCCTTCGATGACAACCACTTTGACAATTTGCCGACTTCGGCCTGTCGCCGGCTGCCAAAGCTTCGCTTTGCAAGGTGCGTTATCTACAGATTATATACACAGATATCCCCTATCTCGAGAATCTCTCGCGTGGGCCAATATCCATTGACCATGGCCACCGTTAAACCTGAACAAGTCCGCCAGAGAATTTGCTGACCACCCTAGCTTTTGTACAATGCCTTTGAGCTATCCTTCAACACATCGCCTCTTTCTCGTCAAGGATCCTCTTCACCTCAACACCGCTCAGTCCTGGCCCATTGAGAATAACGCTTTCAACGCTCCCGACAGTATAAATGGACACCCACATTCCTGGGATTTCATCTTGCAGTATATGAATACACATCCTGAGTTCAGCATCCCCAATCGGGACGGTCAGACTGCCTTTGATATCGTTGATCAACTGCTTCATGCTAAACGACACCTTGCCTCTAACCTTGCTTGGGCTCGAGTGAACACATGACACGAAATTCGCGCTCAATTTGCGTTGTTGTTTCATTCGGAGGATCTCGACCACTTCTGCAATGCGGCCGATAGCGTATCGACGAAGTGTGGCTTCTGCGCTCTGAGGTGTCACGGCAGAATTGACAAGCGCTTTGGCTCTGACACGGTCTAGAAGGGACAGTGTGCGATCTTTCACAATCTGCGGATTGTTGACCTCATTCTTCTCAAAGGCGTTGCTCGTGTACAGCGAGAACTGCGCTCCTGCACGGGTTTGTGCTTCGGATGCCAACCCCAATATCTCCCTCCGGGCTGTCTCGGCTTTGGCTTTGCGCACTTGGGTCTCGACGCCGACGTCGAAATTTAGACGAGGAAAGTTCTGAATTGGCCCATGGACCCAACAGGAAGAATTATTCCGCTGAGAGATCCAGCAGGCCTCGATTTCGGCTTCATACAGCTTTTGCAGATTACACTCATCCCACCGGGGAAGAAAAGATCTCTTGCTGCCTGCACCGACATACTCGATGTTGTAGCGGACAAAATCGGCGCCCGTCATGGTGAGTCTGAAGGGGCCCTCCTGGTGCTTGAGGAGGCGACCGCTGAAATGTGTTGAGACATCCAACTCGTAGATGGCCAGCATCCGTTGAATATCCTCCCTTGTCACGGTGTGTTTCTTCCAAAGCCTGGTGACAGAGCTCATCAGACTTCCCAAATCGGCTGGTGTGGATTGGCCATTGTGTACAAGGTGGAGAGCAAATGCCTTGAGGAAGGCTGCGTGCAATGACACAAAGTCCTGCAAAACTGGAGGAAGAGCCTGCGGAACTGGCTCGGCATTATCCGTGTCGAGAGAAAGTTGCCGAAAGGTGAGGGTTGGGGAGAAGTCCATATCGACGACCTCTTTTTCGCCTTTGGACTTGCTGGAGGGAGGCGTTGGTAGTTGCAACTTGGGCTGAAGAGAGGTTAGCACAACTGCAACAAGCGCCTCAAAAGGGCCCTGACCTTTTTGCTGTTGATCTGGGTGATATACACACTGCCCGCCTCGCTCTCACTGTCATCCTGCACTGCATCACGTTTGCGCTTGGGGACATGCTTGAGAGTCTTCTTGGTTTGGGCCACAGGTTTGGGAGCGACCTCTTCCAATTTCGACCTGAGGGCGACGGAGAGTTTGGCAGATTTCGAGGCTTTAGAGACCTTTGCGCGGGTGTCGACGGGCGTTTGGCGTTTGCTGATCCGATTCGAAGTTCCACGCACGGAAGGAGCCATCGCTGGACTGGGGAGGGAAGGTGCGGTCTCGAAATCGACTGTCCACGCTGAGGCTGTGAAAGCGAGAGCCAAAGAGCAATGAGCAGAGTTGTATGTTGCACCGAGAAGAGTGAATAGAATTAGGACTGAGAGCTTCACAAGCTCGGCATTCCTGTATGTTTGGATATACTTCCTGTGTCGAGTGCAATTGGATCTGTCTCGCCATTTAAGAGGAAATCGAAAATCGCGTCGCGACGCGACCCGCAATGGCGCTAACCTGATATGGTTATATTGCATCCCCAGCCACCGGTTATCGGCCTTGACGGATGATCATCCTCAGACCCAACAATGGAATAATACTCGGTACGAGGTACTTGTCTCCCAACCTCACCACGCCCAGCTACTCCAGTCAAACGCCTGCGCTAACTAATGAAGAATGCACCTCGCTCTCTCAGACCACTAGTCTTGGTCTGGAACATAAACCTCATCGGTTCCCAATCGTGGAGACGAGTCTTGCTCCACTTGATCGTCCTCGCTGTCATACGCACGACCTTTGCCCTTATCTTCCTTTTCTCTCGTCCTCTCTTGCTCCTGCGTGCTCTCAATGGACGACTGCTTTTCAGGGTTGAATATGGTCTGCGTGTTTCCCCCCTCAATGTCAGCCTTCTCAGGTATTCCTTTGATCTCTTCCACAAGGTTGTCATCTGCTGCTGGTTTGAGAGCCGGCTGATCGAAGATGGTGGCTATTGGCCGGGTCGCCAGACTTTCAGCATCGTTGGTCTTCAATACATGCTTCCTGTCGCTCCAATATTCGAGTGCTCCAATTTCAGCGTCGGCAGCCTCCACAGCAGCAAGCAGATTGTTGATTCTCCGGCTTTCAGCGTCCCCCTCCGGCTTGTTCTGTTCTTCGTGGGACTTCCGGTGTTCGCGCGCTTCAATTGCCGTCTTTTTAAGATATAAAAGGAGCTGCCTCCTGGAATTCTGGAAAACGAGGAAGGACATGATATCCGGTATGTGGTCTTTGAGGTAGACTAGCTCCTCTCCGCCTTGTCGAACAAACCTCTTGACCACATCAATTTTCTCTCGATCGATGGGCGCAAACTTTAGTGCCGTAAGGAGGGTCGCAATGTCTTTGATCTCCTCGGGCGGTTCGTCGTGATCGATTGTGCTTGGATAGCTCACGAAGCTTGATGGTCTCGCGGTTTTACCGGGGCCATCTACTGCACTGATCGGACTACGATCTCGTTTGGAATGAATGGTGAAATAGTCGCCGTTTAGATGGTGGGCATCGTCCACGCTTCCTGGCCTACCATAATTGTCATGCACATCCCGCTTGACTCTCTTCCGTAGCCATCGTCTCCGCCGGACGAATGAGTGAAACCAAGGATGTGTCCCATGCCAGGTCCAGTTGCGTCCAAAGGCAAAAGAATACTGCCATCCTTCCTCGTCTACGTCGTGGCTCATGTCGACGTACCAGTTGTTCCATGCCCATTCCCAGGTCGGATCAGGCACCTGAGCATTGGTGATATTGACAGCTGAATCCTTCAGATCTTTGGTTGACCAAGGACTGGGGTCGGGCGGTAACAGAGACGAGTGTGAATAAAATGGAATGCCACAGAAGAACCATCCACGCTGGTTTTCGTAGAGGATGTCAATCTCATGGACTTCGTGTTTAAGCTTTCTGGACTCCCGCTTTCTCCTCTGTGCTCTCTTCCGTCCTCTTGTCGCAGATGCCGCGTGTGCAAAGTCCACCTCCTGTGTACCAGCCTGTGTCCCGGCATCTGGCGTCTGTTGAGCCGTTGCCGGCCGTGATGAGTGTTCGTCGACAGCAACAACGCTGCTCGTCTTGGAAGGGTATCGGTCCTGCTGGTACTTGGCATACTTCCGACGGCCAAGGTGCTCCTTCAAAGACTCTCTTGTTCCCTTGGTTGCCAGCTCTCTTGCGCTCGAGCTTGGAGAGCTTGAACGAGGCTCATCGTGGGATTGGGGTTCGTTCACAGGCCGGGTGCTGTCGATTAGAGAGATCTCATGGTCGTACGGGTCAGCTGCAGATCCATCATAGGCAGTGATACGAGTCAGAATCTTGGAAACATTTTCTGACATGCCTCTGGAACTTTGGCGCGCTCAGCGAACCAACTCAGCCGGCCTCAACTCCGAGTCGAGGTTCAAGGCCTGGACGGCTACCCAAAGCGAGAGTCTACACCAGTGGCGCCTGCACCCAAATTGCGAGGTTCGTTTTCGAGACTGCTTGACCAGGGGGCTAATGGTAGGTAGGAATGATAAAGTGATGCGTTAGGTTATGGAGAAGTTTATTGCCGGACTTGGTAGACAGGTTTTCTATGGGAAAGTATAAGAGCGTACCTGCAGTGGGCGGCGGTGCAGTGTTTACGTCGTCGGCGTACGCGAACAGAAAGCTGAGTGGCTGGCGTCTTCAGATGACGCGGGGAATCGAATTCTCGTATTTTCGCCATGCCGCCAATGATGTCACTGACACCGACCACCTGCACCACCTGCAATGCCAGGTTTAATTGCCTGCGCAGCTGCAATCATACCACTACTGCCTTTACGAGCCCTTGTTGAACGCCGAGCTGACCTTCACCAATAGCTTCAAAGGTTCATTTCGTACCTAGCCCAGCTCACACCTTCTCTAAGTATCGTCATTCCTCGACTCACTCACCATTGAGCGGTTTACTTCCAGACATCCTCCGTTCCTGAATCACTTCAGCACATCCCAGAGTCTCCTCGTCATGTCTTCGAGCCGCGGACTTACTGTTGCGGGCCTGGCGGTAGCTGGCGGAGTCGGGTACTATCTCTATAACGCTGGTGGTAACCCCAAGGTTGCTCAGAAGAACCTCGAGGGTAGGTCTGCGCGCCCGTTTGACATTGAGACTTACTAAACTTATGAATAGCCGATGCCTCCAAGTTCTCCTCACAGATAAAGAGTGAAATCCCAGGAAGAGAAAAAGAAGCCGAGAAGAAAGGGGAAGCCATCGCTTCTCAAGCAGGCCAGAAGTTTGACCAAGCTGTGAGCCGCATCCTCGTATCCAGCAGATTGAGATACTGACAGCATTTAGTCTGCTGACGCCAAAGCCAAACTCACCGAAGCCGAAGCAAAAGCAAGAGAGGTTAGCCAGAAGACAGGAAGTCAGATCAACAGTGCCATCGACAAGTTCGATAAAACGGTGGAAGAAAAAGCCGCAAAGGCAAAGAGTGGGATAAGCAGCTGGTTCGGAGGCGGTAAGTAGGTCAAAATGTTGGGAGACCTGCTGGTGTTGGCGTCGGCGGAATACCATCCCTGTACATTCTTGCCCGTGGGCTGCTTCGGCATCGATGGATCCTCAGGATGACACTCGATCACCTCATATGACAAAGTATTCTCTGTCAGTTTAGTGAACCTCCACAATCATATCAGTCACACAGAACATTGCTATTTGCTACTTGAAAAACCTGCGAGCGGCACATTTTGAATCGTGTTAGGCGAAAAGGGGATGATGTCGGATGGCTTGGTGATACATAGTCCTCGTCTTAAATACGCACTTTCGTGCAAAGTCGGCGTCTCCAACACGACGTGTGCTGGACGGCAGGTGGATCTGCCATGGGATAGTGGTTTGTTCATTGCTTGTCCCGGAAAAAGACCTCTACGCCCTTCTCTATATCTGACCAGTCCCGCAAGCTGTTGTTCATGCTTCCATGTATCCAGGCAGGCAACTTGCGAGATATCCTCTCCGTTGAAAACCGTCTGTCGAGCATCAAAATCGCAGCATAGTCGTTTCTGTGCCGGATTACTCTTCCGATGCTTTGATTCACAGCCCTCATGCAGGTGTTTTCGTAGTATCCTCTGCTCGCACTTTTCGCCTCGGCCCTGCTTTCTGCTTCCGTCTTCCCCTGGCTTTTGCAGTGCTCATAACGAATCCCCTCAATATGTTCCATCTTGGCCCTCCATTCCGCTCCGTTAGCATTTGGGAATGGAAGACCAACTGCAATTACGGCCCGACCGAGTTTGTCTGAGAAGTTGATGCCCTCTGAAAGCTTTCCACCCACAACTGACAACATCAGGCCCCCTCTCCCGCCATCCACGGCGGCGGCGTATTCCTGCAGTAGTTGATCGACAGCGATTGACTTGGATTCCTGAAAAGGTGCCTTGACGTTACCGAGCGCTTGCATTACTGGCCGGGGAGCTGGTAGGCGCTGCCAAATTGAAACCACTCGTGCAAGATAATCGTAGCTGGGGAAGAATACCACAACCCCATCCGGCACGATGCTGCATACTCGTACAACAAGGTCTCCCAATTCAAGGATCATTCTTTCGGAGCCACGCATTTCGTACCTAAAATCGAACTCAATGCCAGAAGGTCCCCTCCCGACGGCCTGAGCGAATAGGTGAGAAGGGGGAACTATGTGGCCGAAGCTGAATGACCGAAGCCGATCTTTGTCGAGATATGAGAACAGATAATCTGAATAGTCGGACATGGGGGACATGGTGCCGCCTGCCAGAATAACCGCTCTAGCATCTTGAACTATTTGTCGAAAATGCTCTCTCGGGTCGAGCAGCGTGTATCGGACGACAACTTCGTCATCATGTCGGCTTATGAAAAATCGTCCTTCGTCGTCCGGATTCATTAATACTATCAGAAAGTTTTGAAAGTGCAGCAAGGCACCCTTGCCCTGATTCGAAACAGAGTGATCTCGTCGCACCTCGGAGTATCCCTCAACCTTGTGGAAGAGCTTACTTTCGTGCAGGTATTGTAAGAGTTTGTGGGGTTTGATCTGATCAACGCCTTTCCCGGACATGAGTTGTGCAGCCGTTATAGTTGCTTCAGTTGAAGTCGTCTTTTGCAACGTGCCACGCAGACTGTCGGTCATCGAATTCAGCAACCGTATCACTTGCATAATATACACACGATTTTTCCCTTTCAAGCGATTCTTGAAGCGACCCGCGTAAGCAGTAACTTGCCGAGCACCTTCTTCGAGCTGGCTCAAACGCAGTGAGATGGAGAAGGTGTCTGCGATGGCATCCATAAGATTGTGAGCCTCATCAATGATTACAACATTGTCTTTCACGGAGACCCCCAAAGCTTCACGGGCGGACCTTTGTAGGAGGAGAGGATAGGGCAACGTGAGCACCTCGCTCATGGTTATGGCTGCTCGCGAAGCATAATAGGGACAGAGTTGCATTTCCCTGCCTAGACGACTCGTATCTTCGATGTCGCGAACCTCTGCAACAACTCGGTCTCGAAAATCTTCAACTTTTGATTTATCGTCTCTTGCAGGGATATAGGGACATTTTTTGTCTTTGGGAGTGGCAGGCTTCTGCAGTTCGAGACATTGCTCATTGATTGCGAAGGCAGACGACAGTCCTGCAACTTTGCTGTTGATGCACAAATTTTTTCGTGAGCCTAGAGCAAGATGTTTAACTCGTTCCTCAAGCGAAGGCTTGTGTGTGAAATCTGCAGCCTCTAAAGAAAGGGATGGAGGAAGATTGACACGGCGCAGTTCATTCACGAATTGTGTGAGCTGAGAGTGAGTGCGCGAACAAAAGATAATCTTAAGTCGATCTTTTTCTTCTTGTTCTTCAACATTAGTTCTCGTTGGGCCTGGTAGCTTGTCGAGCAGGGCTTGAGTTGAGCTCGAGAGGCCGGCGGTTGAGTAATTTGCAATGCTCGTCTCTTCCCTCTCGCTGTCGTAGTCCTCCAACATAAACTCATCCTCATCTGGAGCATTACCCTCGTCAGTTGGAATCTTAGTTCGAGGTTTCTTGGAAGCTTTCGCGTCGTGTTGACGCTGTCGGCGGGATGCTTCTTCTTTACGGATTCTGGAAAGCCTCAATTCAAGCTCCTCGCGTTCAAGAAGTAGCTCACGACGTTGGGCGGTTTTTTCAGCCTCTAAAAGCCAGTCAAGCGGCTCACCTCCACCCGTCAGACCTTGAAGTGCCCGTTGTTCATGGTCTCGGAGCCAGGTCAAAGCACCACAGATCAAGCTCAACGACTTGCCAGTGCCCGTAGGAGATTCAAAGATTCCCACCTTCTTCTCCTCTATGCAGCGATAGAGTTCTCTCATAAAATCTAGCTGGATGGAATAAGGCTGGTAAGGATGACTGAAATTGGCTTGGGTAGGCTCCATGATGGTTGGCTACTTCGGTCGAAGCCTTGCGCCTCTTACTGCTGCAACATTAGTTGCAGGGTATAATCTAGTTCAGGTTGACGAGGTTTGAAGGCATTCTTAGCAGAGAAACACTTGCGCATCGGACTCGAGGGAGTGGTATTGTCGTTCGGAGTGGCTAGGAGGTTGAGGGCCTTCGAAGAATGTCTGGCAATCTGCCAAAGGCCATAGCAGATACATACTCGTACCTTTGCACAGAAAATCGTAGCGAGGATTGATATTGCCAGATAATTGGACCCCCGCTCGAAGGAACGGCTCGTCGTATGCAAAGGAATGAAGGCCCCGATTTTGTGAATTGTCAGGGGACAAAATCTCGTTGCCAAAATTGTACGAAGGGGATATGACTTTGTTGTGGCTGTGCAGGGCTGCGACTGATCCTTAAAGCCTAGCGGCGCCAGCTGGGCCCTAGACGCCTGTCGACCTCAACTCTACTCCGCCTGGGGGCGTATTCCCATCCAGGGTCTCCTCTTAGCCGAGCCTGTTGAGCCTCTGCTGGGTGCCTACGAGTCCCTACGAGCACCCAAGTAGGTGCCCAAGGTAGCGCCTACGGATGCCTAGGCGGGTAGGATTGGCCAGCTGGCCCCTCATCTCGCACCACGTAACGCCAATTACCGCAGCCTCGCCTTGCCTGCGCCCTCCCACTTTTCTGTCCATCGTATGTATCAACTAGACTTCCGCAAGTGCACAGACAAGGCTCGGCCGTGATTGATGCGGCCTTCCAGGCCAGGTTCATATTCCTCCTTTGCCCTTCCAGCGTCCTCCAAGACATGTCTACAAAGGAACCAGCGTTGCGAAATTGTGCTCCATTGATCTACTTCCTTCTGGACCCCACTCTGTGACCTAGGAATCCAACATACTCGTACACCCTGACTGTGTAAGCACCAGGGCAATCTCCTGAACACCCGGCTGAACATATCATTATCCCCTCCGCTTCCTTTGCGGGAGTGGGACGGATTCTGGCCTCATACCTTTCGAAGAAGAATCAATCTAAAAGCTGCCAGGTGCTCAGGAGGAAGACACCTCGGGCTCGGATTCAGCTGAAAATACGAAACGCTGAACACCTCAGATCGCCCTTGGATCATCACCATGAGTTACCACACGGGCGCCACCTTCGTCCCTGGGGGAGATGATTCTTACTACATGCCAGAAATTATACAGCCAACACCAAACAGGTATGTACGACTGCTGGACTGACGTCGCCGCCGATCACTGCTAAGCGCTACAGAGTACATGAGCTGCCAAACAACATACAACATAATGTAGCTCAGATGGAGCAAGCTGCCTCTAATCCCACCTCTGCGAATTCTGCCTACTCAGGATCAGTCTACTCTCCCCAGTCGGCCGAATATATGCAGGGTGGCACGCAATCATGGGCGCCGCCGCAAGCCCCTCACGCGAACGTCCAAGGGTATGATCAGAGGGCGCTTCAGGACAACCAAACCGAAGCATACAGGCAAGATAACCTTTACCCCGCCAGAACGACCTCGATGGCCCCGACGGAACAGCCAAACTTCTCTCCGTTCCCTATGCTCCGCAACCCGCCTCCCAATATCCCGCCAACCGATGAACAGAAAGAAGCCACACTAGAAGCCGCAAGGGCTGCTGTGCTCAACTGCAATGACCCTGATACTCAGCTGACGTGGGCACAAGACGCGTTGTCATATGTTGAGATATGCCTCCAAAACGAGGAAAGAGTTGCTCTGGCACAGGCACCCCGAACAAGGACGCCTCGCATTGAGCACGTCCTTAGGGAAGACGCTATCAAGATCGTCAGCTTTCTTGCCGATCAACACCATCCCAAGGCCGAGTTCATGAGGGGCATGTGGCTTGAATTTGGCAAATTCGGACACAGGGTTGACAAGAAAGAAGCATTCTATTGCTACACAAGAGCTGCGGAGAAAGGGTATGTTCGTGCGGACTACCGCATTGGAATGCAGTTCGAATCTTCAAACGATGCATTGAAGGCAATTCGGTACTATCAGAAAGGCGCGGATGCTGGAGATTCAGCCGCCTGCTACAGGCTAGGAATGATGACACTCCTTGGCCAGCATGGACAGCCACAGAACTTCGAACGTGGTCTCAACCTCATATATATGTCGGCCCAGACAGCAGATGAAAATGCCCCGCAAGGTGCCTATGTCTTCGGCATGCTCCAAGCGCAACAGATGCCACAAATCCAGATTCCGGATCAGTTTTTGCCCAGGGATATTGCTGGAGCCAAGATGAACATCGAAAAGGCTGCGTACCTGGGATTTGCCAAAGCCCAAGTGAAGATGGGGGCTGCATATGAGCTTTGCGAGCTGGGCTGCTCCTTCGATCCTGCTTTGTCCTTGCATTACAATGTCCTCGCCGCAAGACAGGGCGAACCGGAAGCAGAATTGGCCATCAGCAAATGGTTTCTTTGCGGCCACGAGGGTCTTTTCGAGAAGAATGAGGAGGTCGCCTTTACGTATGCGCAGAGAGCAGCTCTGTCTGGGTTTCCGACAGCCCAATTTGCGTTGGGCTATTACTATGAGGTCGGCATATACGTCCCGGTCAACTTCGAGCAGGCCAAGGAGTGGTATCGCAAGGCATCACAAAGCGGTAATCAAGATGCTACAGGAAGGATCGATGCTATCTCTAGGTCAAAGACCCTCTCTCGAAAAGACCATGAAAGTGTCGCACTCAAGAAGATCCGGCAGCAACGTGGCTCGATGATTGGAGGAACCGATGTGCCTTCCGTTCCCGCGATGCCAACCTTGTCAGAAGAAGCTGAGGCTGATCAGCTCGAAATGCCGGATCCTTCTCGATTGTCGCTCAACAGTCAGAGAGCACCTCCAGCCAGGCCTGGTAGCGCCGCCCCTTACCCCACTGGACCTCCGAATATGCCGTCTGTGAATCAAGGTCCGGATATTCGACCCCCATCGGCCTTCGGCATAAACCCCAACCTTCGACCGACCTCGGCCGCGGCCATGGGAGCCCCACGACCTGATTCATATGGCTCTCCCCCATCTAACATGCCTCCTCAGCAGCGGCCTTATTCTAACCCTGGAGGGCCCGGTTACCCTGGTCCTGGGTATGGCCGTGGAGGACGCATGCCATCAGGAGGACCCCCGCCTCAGGGGCAAGGAATTCCTACTATCAGGCCACCATCAAGACCTAACAGCTCCTCACCATACCTTGGGCCAGGTCCGCACCCAGGAGGTCAGTCACCACCCGCAAAGATTGATATTGGCTTTTCCGCTCCTCTCGAGCCAGAGAGAAGACCTCGACCTCAGCAACAACAGCCAAATGGGCCTCCCCTGCCGAACCCTAACAACCCTCCACGTGGGTCCCCAAGGCTTCAACAAGGCCCTCCCTCGCAAGGTCGTCCAGGTCCCAATGCTGGTGGATACGGTGGCATGCCTAACCCCAATGTCCGGCCTCCCAACAATCAAGTACAAGTACCACCGAATGTCAAGCCTGCAAATCTCCCACCTTCCAAACCCGATGCGAGTGCACCCATTGGTGGGGGACCACCTTCTAAACCGAGTACTGTTCCAGCAAATGCGGCACGACCTCCTGGAAAGGGGCCCAAGACATTCGATGAGATGGGCGTTCCCCCAGGGAAGGACAAGAGCGAATGTGTAAGTGATTTTAGAATCTGCTTTTCTGCACCCAAAATGAATGGGATTCTCCCGCTCCCAGGAAGACAATGGCCCCTAACCCGTTTTGCCTTGGTTACGTTCGTGGCTGACTCTGAAAATGACAGGCTGTTATGTAACGTGGCAATGGGGTTCTATTTGAGAATTACAGTGATCAGAGTGTGCTATGTATGATACCCTGGATATGTGAGCGTTTTAAGTGATTTCCTTCAGCAACCAAAACTATTCTTTAATGAGGCACGGCGTTCGGCATGCAGATGGGCATCGATATCGGCATGGGCTAGCAACGCATTGCTTGTTTGGATAGCAAACACATCGAGATTTGATGTCCAGCAAATGACCGAAAAAGTCCACGTTCAATTGGATAGACTGCTGCCTTTCTTACCGCGAGTCTTCGAATGCCTATCCTTTTCTGTTGTGTCAGTCAGCCAACTGTAAATCTGCTTTATGCCCATTGTGCTGTCCACCTATCTTATATTGCGACCACAGGTCAAAGTCGGACGCGAAGCTGGAGAGAACACCTCCCTCGTCTTGGCGTCCTCGGCCATTTTGTGACATCAGGGATGAAGATGCCTCTATGGCCACAGAATAAGCACTGCCTTCTCAGGGAAACGCGAGGCTGAACATGGCGCTCACCTAGCGCTGATACCCTCCCTAGGCTGACATAATTACCAAGGCGCGCACTAAAAGTATTGTCAACGCTAGTAATAGAATGACAAGCTGATTAAAGGACAATAGACTTTATTTTCGTTGCCCCTTACGGCGTCCCCCGGAGATATCGGAGCCCAATCCTCGGTACATACAGCGCCTATCAAGACTGAAAATACAGACTAAGCTACCGCCTATTAGCTCTGACTCATAGCTAGGAGATAGGTATGAGTGCCTATAAGCTCAGAAAATCTTCTGTCACAGTAAGTATCATTTGTCATTTGAATTAGCGTAAACAGTACTTTTGGTGCGCGCCCTCGTATCAAGTTATTCATTGGTCAGTCGTAGAAGATGCATGCTCCGTAAAGCTTGGCTGAGCTTGTCCATTCCCCTCCAGCCACTATTCTCTTTCTGGTCATCAATTCGATGGCAGGGCGATGCGATGGGCGACTGCGCAACCCTCGTACCCAACGAGTTCAATGTGATACTTCAGCCTACAACGTCGTATCTGCTCCGCGTGCTCTCGTCTCCATCACATGCATGAGAATAGTGCTGCCTGGCATTGATCTAGGGGTTCGCTGCCACAACGCCATCCACATTCAGATCGACGCTCGTGAAATGCGCTAAATATCGCATTCGCTTCGAATGGAATGCCTCTTTTGGTTAGCGGCTGCCCCCCGGTGCCCTCTTTGGCTATCGATTCGTAGGCCATGGTCTGCTATGATGGAAATCCGAGGCAAATGTTTACAGCTATAAGAGTCTTGAGATCTCTCAGTCCAGAATATCTCCAAATGCACTCAGGTTGCAATCGACACGAACGTGGCTCGTGAAAACAGTCGTCCTTCCCACGATCTCAAAAACGTCCTGTGCTGGACAATCTACAAGACTCCAACCATGGCGCTCGATGCAGTAACGAAACTCTCAATCGCAGAGATGTCAATTTACATCCCTCTCCTCCTCCCCACTGGGTTGCTGTTCTACAGACATGGTCGACGCGCACTTGCAGCGTTTTTCTTCCTTGCTGCCTTCGAGATACTTCGCATTGTCGCCTCAGGCATTCAAATCGGCAGTCATAACGATCCACACCCTTCTACATCCGGGGCAATTGTTTCCTCCATTGGCCTTAGTCCTTTGCTGATTGCTACTGCCGGCTTTCTGGCTTTGCTGAAGGGCTACTACGCAACGTCGAACAGCAGTCGGTTCACAACTTTGATTGAAGAGGTGGCTATCCATGTTGGCGCAATTACTGGCATTGCACTCCTCGCGACTGGTGGGGCGAAGCTCGGGGGTGACCTCCACAGCCAAGCAGACGTTGAATCGGCCTATACATTCCTTGAAGCTGGTGCCGTGATCCTCCTGATCACATGGATTACAGTCTCGTTCCTCTGCGGTCAACTTTACCTCAAGCTTCGAAAGCACCGAGCTGCTGCATCTCTGATGATTCTGGCATGCATCTTCATTGGAGTGAGAGCAATCTACAGCGTGGTGTACGCTTTTGATCATGCCCAATCGCTGAGTCCATTTACGGGCACATTTGCTGTCAAATTCGTCTTCACATTCTTGGCACAACTCATCGCAGCTTTGTGTCTGCTGGCCGTTGCGTTTGTGACGCGCAATATATTGAGCGACCACGGACTGGATGTTCGGGCCCAGGGACGGAGGGTTCGACATCCGCGCCAACACAGTCGGGGCGCTTCGATCCCACTCACGTCGGGTTCTTCCAAATGAATATCATGCCACTCATTGGGCGCCTCCACAAGAGCCTGGAAAATGAAATGTGTTGGGATCACCTTCTCGTGAAAAGAAGTAGACGAGGGCTGGAATAGCTCTGCGGTGGATTTGAGGACTACAAACCTTTTAGCATTTAGACAATGGCATTATTTTCGTTATTTGGCGAGATAACTTTCTCTATGGCCTGTCATGCATTGACCAGGTGCTCAGAAAGACGTTCCAGCAGAAGCCGACCAACGAAGTTACAGTCACTCTCCATTGGACTGGAACCCATATGAAGTTGAACAGAGCCACCCATGGCCACACCTTCCAGCTCGCCCAGATGATACTGAAGATGCGCGTCTGAACCTCCTCGAGGAGCGAGTGCCAGCTCTGAAGCTGTGCACTGTTTGTGCAGATCAAAAAGGTGAGGTTGATGACGAACTGGCCGACTGTTTGATCCAGAATCAGCTTTGTCAAAGTATTTCGCCAATTGAGTTCTGCTGTCGAGTTCGCCTTCTCTCCAGCCGCGACAGGCTTCTCGGGGGAGTCGCCGACTAGTTCAGAATCTGGGTGTGCCAAGCTGACATTCGTTACGCTGGGAAAACTATCCTCGAGAAATTGCTGCCACACTGATGCCAGCGGCGCGGACACAATACCAAATACCGCAAACTCAACAACGCGGGTCCAGTTCACTGAGTCGAGGGACTGCACGTTCCACAGAGTGAGCGTTTGGGCTGTGAGATTCGCTGCGGCCTTGAGAATGGCGGATTGGATGGTGACTGAGAGGATGGAAGGCATGGCACTAGTATGGGCTCAGAGGCTCTTCTTTTTTCATTACAGACTGATCGGCCTACCCGACGGCCGCCCCGAAGCACCAGGAGCAGGAAGTGAACTCCCCAGGCTAGGGGGAAGATATATTTGTGTGATAAGGCTCTTTTTGTTGACAGATGTTGTTGCCAAGGTGCCGTTTAGCCTAATTTCAGAGCGAATGTTATTGATTTGATACTAAGGTAGGGGGGTTGGAGTTCAAGACAAAGGGATCTCTCAGAGGTTAGTCTTGTATCATGAAACAGCGAGAAAATCCAGGATGTAAAAGATTCACCTTTGAGAATACCAACATGAAGGAGTGATCCATGGATACTGGTCGAGTCATGTAGGCACAAGGCTTGGCCCCTTTTTTGATATGCGTCATTTGAAATTTCGGTGGAGCAGATGATCCTTCAACCGCAAGTGCCCGCAGCGATGTCTACGCCACTTACAACCACAGTGGCGGTGGTATCATTTCTCTCTTTCTTTTTCTCTTGCACCACTTGATGGCAACAGAACCCGCAGAACATGAGATAACACTGGATCCCAAGGAGCCTGTGGGCTCAAATACAGCACTACTGACTCTTCCCGAGAGCACAGTCCCTCCACCAGAGCAGTGTGTCATCTGCTTAGACCACATCTCTGACAAAGCCATTGCTCTACCCTGCCACCACGACCAGTTTGATTTTACATGCTTGGGAACATGGCTGCAGCGGCAGCAGGTTTGTCCACTGTGCAAGTGTCAAGTCACAGCGATTAGATTCAACATCCGCGACGGCGATGAACAGAGGGGTCAAGTCTTCCATCTCCCACCCGAAAGTCCCCCAGACGGTCGAAGCACGAATCGTTTTCATGCCGCTTCCGCCGCTCGACAACGACGATTCAGACAAGGTCGGGCATATGCAAGAGGAGGGCACTACCATACTGCACGAGCAGCACGTCCCGCAGCGTCGAAGGATAGCGCGCTAGACTTTCGCAAACAGGTGTACCGTCAGAGACTCTACTCTCTCCACGTTGGCACAAATCGCATCTCGCGATACCGGAATCTTACGCCCGCGTCTTTCGCAACAGATGAGCGTCTGAATTCCCGAGCCCGCATGTGGATCAGGCGTGAACTTCAAGTATTCGGTTTCCTCAATCCTGACGACCCCCAATCTTCGCGTCCCGGATCCACCGACCGCCGCGCCAGTAATGCGGACTTCTTGCTGGAATACGTCATTGGAATATTGAAGTCGATTGACCTCAAAGGCAGTGCTGGGCAAGCAGAGGAATTACTGAAAGATTTTCTGGGCCGTGACAACGCTCGACTGTTCTTGCATGAGTTGGAGGCTTGGCTGCGAAGTCCTTATGAGCGTCTCGCAGACTGGGACCGGGCAGTCCAGTACGCGATGCCGTCAGGGCTAGATACTCAGGATTCTGGGTCGAGTCATGGCCGAAGTGACAATATTTCCTGTCTCCCTACGACCGGGGCAAAACCACGCGACAGTGAAGGGAGCGTGCCTCGATGGTTCTCAGAGAGATTTGTGCTCAGACACGACGGGGTACGGACGAGACCAACTTGAGCACATGCTGCACCGCGAGCTTGTATCACCCAGAGCGAAATGTGCCGCGCCTCCGCAAACTATGACCGGCCACTCGGCCGCGTTACGACCAGCTGCTGGAGAGAGCTCTAAGAGATGGGCGTATAATATAGATGCGCATACTGCGACAAATCTGTAACGAGACCACCATACTCCCCTCCAGCATCTCGGAGCATCCAACCAGGCTTCACACATAAGCCCGATGAATCAAATACAAGTCCGTCGCACTATAGTCTGATCCGCCCGTTTTCCACCAGTCTGACATACGAGCGCCTCTATTTCTCCCAACATTACGTTCGCCTGGCAGAGATGGACTTGTGATCCTGTATTCTTGATCGGTTCCCCAGATACCTAGGTACGCTGTATCTCCTGGACAAACGCTGCCATTTCGCTTGTGTTGTCACCTACTCCATTTCCGCCGTCCGTCTCCTCCATCCATCGAACTGCCAAGCGCCGTTCGGACGAAAATGCCCCACCAACCCGCCTACTGGTTGATGGTCTGGATGTCTCTTTTTTGCGTCATCAACGATCCACGAAGTAACAGGCAGAAGAAAGAAGAATCGACATGGGCATATGACAAATGAATGGTTCGAAGCTAGGGAATACGAACAACATGAAGTATATATGCTATTGGGGAGGAGTGTTGTTCTTATAGGTATATACTGTGATATCGTTTCCCTTCCCACCTTCGCCCTTCCATGATATTCAACCACGAGCATTTCCCGTCGTTATTCATACACATTTCTTCTTGATACCCTCCCGGTCTTCTGGATCTTCGTGCGCTCAACAGTTCGACCGTTGCAAGCTCAAGGCGTCACATCCATCGATCCAAAGTGCGCTTGTGAAGATGCCCTCCAACACCAAAAATCTTGCTCTAGTCTTCAACAAAGTCCCCGACCGTCTCCCGGTACCTGGTGAACACATTGCGGTTGAAGATGTCGGCCCTTTTGACCTGGACCAGAATCTGCCTCCCAATGCGCTCGTTCTGGAGACGCTCTATGTGAGCTTCGACCCGTACCTGCGCGGCTTGTTGCGTGATCCCTCGGTTAAATCATACCTGCCCGCCATTCCCTTTGGTACGGCCATAACCGCGGGAAATTTGTCACGGGTTCTTCGCTCCAGTCTCGAGGGCTTTGCCGAGGGAGACGTGGTGAGGTTGTTGCTCCCAATCCAGCAATACAATCTGTATGTGGTCGGGCCACAATCCGAGCAACCGTTCAAGGTGCCCAATCCGGACGATCCCGGTCTCGACCTCAGGCATTATCTGGGGGCTCTGGGCATGCCGGGGCTCACGGCCTACGCATCGCTGTACGAAATTGGTAAGCCCAAACCTGGAGAGATCATTGTGGTGTCCTCCGCCGCGGGAGCCGTGGGTCAATTGGTTGGTCAGCTGGCCAAGCACGATGGCTTGACCGTCTTTGGATCTGTGGGCAGCGACGACAAGTTAGACTTCATCATCAACGAGCTGGGATTTGATGGGGGTTGGAACTACAAGAAAGAGCCCAGCACCAAGGACGTGATCCAGCGCTTGGTCCGAGAACACAAGGCGAAGAAGGGAGAGACGCTGCCAGAATTCCCGGACAATGGCGAAGGTGGCATTGACATCTTCTATGACAATGTCGGCGGCGAGCAGTTGTCCGGAGCAATTGACACATTGAACTTTTTCGGCCGGTAAGTTTCTGTCTCATCACTGACTCTGTTCGTTCAATCCCTATATGTTCATCTCCCTCGTCCTGTCTCCCGCTCGCCTCGCCCCCTTTTTCTCTTGCTTCATTCATCCAGATCGCCTCATGGTTCCTGGACATGGCATTTGACTGACCCATATCCCCACCACCACAGGATCGTAGCATGTGGCCAGATCTCACAGTACAATCTGCCGCCCGAGGAACGCTACCCGATCCGCAATATGTTCCAGTGCGTGATCAAACGGCTGACCCTGACGGGCTTCATGGTCTTCGACGCCAACATGGGCCCCAAGTACGACAAGGAGCACCTCGAGAACGTGACGAAGTGGTTGAAAGACGGGACCTTCAAGGCAAAGATCCACGAGGACGTGGGCATCGAAAACGCCCCCGAGGCCTTTGTCGGCATCTTGAAGGGCCAGAATTTCGGAAAGGCAATCTTGAAGGTCAAGGTCTAGGTCTAGGCGTAGGTCTAGATCTAGGGAGCTGGGCTGGGCTGGGTCTTGCACCAAACGTCGTCGTCGTCGGGGCAAGGGAACAGAGCGGCTAAAAGATAACCAGGGAGGCAGGGCTATACAACGATGCTATGTTTCCCCCATTCTCCTCTGCTCCGAGGATCTTCTCGACCCGTTTATCGAGTGAGGTTTAGGAACTGATCCCGGTATTTCTGTAATGAGAGCAGTAAAAAGAAACAAACAAATAATAAAGCCGTATCAATCAAGGAGCCCTGGAGACAACATCCTGCCATCCTGGACGTGCCCAAGAAGATCAAAATCACGAGTTCGATAAGTCCGCATCTGCTTCAAGTGGACGGTCTCCCTTTTTTTGGCCTCTCTGTGTGTGCAGATTCTGCCTTGTGCACTGTACAATACAAATCACTACCTAGCCCTCTAGAAGTTCCAGATCACTGGCTGACCTTGGGTCAGAAGATCTTCCTCAAGACACTTCTCGCCTATTTCTCTGGGGTCTCAAACCCCCTTCGCTCCTCCAAATCCGACACGCCTCCTTGACTACTTCCTCTCCTTGTGCCCTATGAAAAGTTCCGTGCCATGTCGTTTCGAATACGGTTATAATCCAACAAGCCTTCGATACTGCCCACCGCACTGATCGCAATATCCTGGTCCCAAAGCTTCTTCTGGCAAAACCGCATCACATCTTTGGCCGTGATCTGGCCAATGACACGCTCAATCTCGGCGGGATCCATTCTCCTGCCGGTCGTGACGATTTGTCGTCCAATGTCCTCTGCAACGGCCGTCGTACCATCAAGACTCAAGAGGATGGAGGCTTTAAGTTGGGCTTTGGCGCGCTCGGTCTCTGCTTCAGTGACGTTGAAGGAGAGGCGAGACCACTCGCGTAGGGTAAAGTGGACGAGATCGTCAATTTGCGTCTTGTTTTCGGAAACGAGGTAGATTCCCCAGAGTCTGTATCAATCATATCATGGCCACGGTCAGTATTCCGTTTTGCGACAGTAGTAATAGAATTGGTTTTTCGACGCAGAGAAATAACTCACCCAGTATCGCTATAACTCGTGGAGAAGCTCATGAAGCTGTTGGCCAAGTTGTTCGCGTTCACAAATGTGCTGAGTCTTGAGCCAAGGTAAGGAGAGTTGCCCATCGTCCGATCCCAGTTCCCGACAATAGCCTGGGTGACCAGAGCGGGGAAATATTCATCGTCTTTCCACGAAACACCCTCAACGGCAATGGCGATGTGTGCAGTGGGGATTGTGTCGTCTCTTATCCTGACCTCAGAGCCGATGAAAGAGGGTTTACGCTTCTGCTCAGCGGCAACTTCGGCAGCATAAGATGTCGGCGGAGCGGATCTCAGATGTCCGAAATGTTTCTCAGCGAGCTTGACCAGTTCCTCGTGGGGAATGCCACCTGCACCGACGAGGACCATGCGGTCAGCAGTGTAGTTGGTGGTGATATAATCCACGAGATCCTGTCGGGAGATGGTCTCAATGTTCTCCTTAGGTCCTAGGATGGTGCGGCCGAGAGGCTGGTGCATATAAGCTGTTGCATGCAAATGATCAAACACCACTTCTTCCAATTGTTTGTCAACTTCCTCTTGCTCGCGGAGAATGACATCTCTTTCGCGCTCGATGGCCGCAGGCTCGAGTTTCGAGTTTTGTAGAATATCGGAAAGAATGTCGACGGTCTTGGGAACATCGGAGTTGAAGGATTTGGCATAGTAGACGGTATTTTCACGCTACCCATTTGTTTAGCAGCAGATTGAAGATGGATGGCAATCCGACTTACCGAAGTATATGCGTTGAGGTGGCCACCCATATTCTCGATCTCGAGCTCTAGTTGATGTTGGGTTCGTCTGCCAGTGCCCTACAAAATCGGTTAACCCCTGCATCTGAGTAGAAGGCTTCCATCGCTTACCTTGAAAGCCAGATGTTCTAAGAAATGCGCAGTTCCATTGGTCTTGTCTGTTTCCGCTCTGCTCCCGGCATCAATCCAAACACCGACCGTCGAGGTCTGAGCCCATGGCGAATGCTCGGTCGCAATCTAAAACCTCCAGTCAGTCACCTCAGTCCCCTTGGGCAGCAGAAATCGAGAGGGCTGTACCGTCAGGCCATTTGAAAGAGTGGTGCTTTCAGTTCTAGAGGGAGTGACCGGGTTGGCGTAGCGGCGAAGGGGAGACTGGATGGCTTTGAGAGCTTGTCTGCTTCGAAGGGACCGCTGAAGATTCAGCGCCAGCCGCTGAGACGCCATTTCGGGGAGTTTATCAAGAGAGAGAGCGCGGTGGCAGCTGTGTGTCGTGGTAGAAATGAGCTTTTGAACGCAAGCGACTTGGAGTTTCTGGAGCTTCAGATCTTCCCAGAAGAGGCGCTATACCGAAACGGGAGAGGATTCTTTACCCGACCGCTGATTGGTCAGTCGGAATAAGCAGTGAAAAGCATCAGTCCGTGTACAGGACCAGGATATCAAATTTTACTCTGCATTCGCTTATGCAAGTAAACATCTCAGCTTCATCATACTATTAACATGCGCCTACGTAAAATTCCACATGGCCTGTCCTGCATCCAGTGTTGTTCCCTCGAAATCGAAGAACGGCATGCCCAGCCCTAATGCCGGATCTCCGAAATCAAAGGCAGTAGGATCCAGTGAGCCATAGTCAGGCACATCCGATTGCCCATTAGTGATTCTCCCTAGGTTCACCGTCGCATCGACCGCTTGACTGGGGGATGCTAATGGCTGACTCGAACGCTCTCCGTTGGCCTTGACGCGGTTCTTGGACCGTGCTGGTCCTCCCAAGCTCTCTGCCATCTTCTCGAGTCCTTCGGCCATTCTGTGAATCAGGTGATCTTTGCCGACGTCTGTCGACTTGAAATGTTGTGCCAATGCATTAATGAGCTTCTGGAAGCGAACGGTGTCCAAGAACAACTGCTCGCTGTGCTTTGTCGCGATTTTCAAGAGGAACATGCACGCAAACGCAATCATGCCGTGGATATGATGCGGAACATAGGCAATAGCTATTTGGGCGTCTTTATCGTCCAAAAGGAGATTGATGATGGCAGTTGCGGCAGCGACCGCGGCCGAAGCATTCTCCAAGAAGTGTTCGGGGATAACAGCCCCGGACTCAGGTAGTCCTCGGAGGACATATGACTGTAGATAGAGCTTGGCCCAGTGGTAATGCATGACTGCACCCTTGTTGGGCCAGTTGCCAATGTACTGGCTTGGATCTGGAACAGTGGTAAGCATGGATCAAGGAATACCGCATCCGCTTTACTTACTGTGTCGTGAAAACCGGGCAATCCAGTCATCCAGGTCACGCTCAAAGCCAGCAATCTTGGTAAGAGCAGAGACTGGCAATACCGAGCTTGTATCTTCGGGACCCAATGTCTCACGTATTTGGTTCATCAGGTACATCAAGCATATCTGCCCGGCAATTCTGCGGTCGGCGTCTGTGGAAAGTGAGCAAGCCAGGTAGGCCTCCCACCCAGTAATATAGCTTTCATTGTCACGCATGATAGATGAGCGACCGTAAAGAATTGAAAGGTGGTGATCACATATGTAGAGCAGGTAAAGGACTCTGATACCATCCATGGCTTCCTGCAGTTTCGCCGGGTCAGCCTTTTCAGGCGATTTGACTGACTCTGATATTTCGTGGTAGTACTGTCGAAGATGAAATTCGCTGGCACGACGAATGGCATAACCAGATAATGTCCATGAGATGTCGCTCAGCCAGTACGATCCAAGAACCAAGGCTCGCAGATACTCCATGTCAATTTTCCGTTCGAACATGGCGTTGGCAACCAATCTCCTGTATTCCTTGCTGCAGATGGGGTAGAGGTGACCCAGCTTAGTGTCGTGAAGGGCAGCCACAGTGAGAACACACGCGGTCAGAGTGGGTGATCGACGCCGGAAGGACTCCAAATCCGTGTAGTCGGGACATATGTGCCAAATATAGGGATCAAGCTTGCTTAGATAGTAGTTGGCCAGATGCTCTGCGTCTTCTTGCTTCATCAGCCCTCTTGCAATGAAGTCGGTATCTCGCAATTGCTTGCATATTCGCGACTGATCTTCGGTGATATTCTCAGAAGCTCTTAGCGACCGCATCCCGGTGATTTGATATAGCGATTCAATAGGTACGTGTGACAGATTGTCAGCGACCGGGGTCACCTTGGGCGAATTGTCAAACGACTGGTCCTCGTCATCAGGATCATTGCCCTGTTCCTCTTGGTCGAAGAAAATAGCAGGATCTTGCGTAGAGACGAGCATCTGCGGCAGAGATGGCAGCTGGAGCGTTCGCACGATCTCCTCGACGGCCGCGTAAAGAGCAGTGACATCCTTTGTGACGGCAGCTTTCCATTTCGAATCTTCCGACATGAGGGTTTGTAAGCTCTTATTGAGGCGACAAGATAGTCCCCGTTCTTTGCATCGTTGGCACGGCGGGTCGCCAATCATGATACACTTGATCTGTATGACATATCTGTTCAGCTATCTTGACCTGGGAAGAATGTGTTATAAGCCCTACTTTTTGCTTGCGGCACGCAGCGCATGCCTTGACCTTCCTCGAGATCCCAGGCAATTTGGCGTCTGCGGCGGCTCCATTGGTGTTGGAATTGGTCCTTTGCGGACGGGACGGGGCTTTGGCAATGAGACTGGGCTCATCAAAGGAATTACGAGGTTTCTTGGGCGAGGTGGTTTGCGCTGGAGAGGTATATGTATGGGGAGACGTCGTCGAGGTCGCTCTGTGCGGGCTCGGACCCGGAGCAGAACGTGGGGAGGGCAGTTCGGCCTCTTGCCAACTCCGCTTCGACATTTTCCTCGAGGGCAAAACGACGATATGAAAGCAGCGGAATGTGAGATAGGAGATGATAACAGTTGAGGAAGGCCGGGAGAAATATAGAGTTTTCTGCGATTGCGATGTTCCTTCACTGAACACTACACAGCAGCGTCGCGCCTTGAAGCAATGCTTGGGCTCGTACAAAAGATTGAATGAGTCGACAGCGATTATAATGGCGGAGAATAGAGGTCCATTGGCGGGCAACTATTACAAGAGGACTAGACCACCGCCGAGTTAGTCAGCTGGCGTCAATCATACTTGAATATCCTCGTAGGAGGGTGGTGGCATGGCTACAGGGCGGACAAGGGCGGGACGGTGAGCCGCCCTTTGTACAGAGGACCCTGCAAGTACGAGAAAATAGGTGAGAAGCCTAGGCTGGTGGGTACTGGTGTGCTAGAAACCTTCTGGTTCAAGTACGGAGGTAATCGTAGGCTAGAAGAGCGAAGCACTACCTAGCCACTAGCCTACGTGCCTGGCACCGCCGCTGGCCAGCCCCAAGGATGGGACGTGCTCTTCGGGGCACAGCGCCGTCGGCCTTCCTCTTCTTGTCGTCATCGTTGCTACAAAAGAGACAAACAAGACTACAACGCCAACACGCCAATGTCACGTTCGTACTACCCTTTGGGTTTGGCCACGCGGACTGCGGTGAGACTCCGGATCCAATGAACAGTCTACGATCCTTACTCCTACTGGTATTATCCCTCTGAGGCCAGCGTTTTCCCTTGATCCCTTGGCTGCTCGAATTCGTTCGCATTCTATCTGTCCTAATTCTCTGGCCAAAAAAACAGCTCTAGATCTTGGTGAACGGGTCGTCGAAATACCAGACAGGATCTCCCTCAGGGTCCACCTCAGTCTGTGTATAGCCATTGCCCATGAATGCATATCTGTTCTCCGACATGTATGTGATGTTGTAATCCTCCCATCTAACATTTTTCATAATCTCGAAGAAATGTAGTCGGCTACCTGGGTAGATGGCTGTCACTGGACCGTGTGTTTTGCCGTTTTTGAACCACGATCGACAGGCAGACGACCAGACCAGTCGCTTCATCAGCTCGTGGGTATGGTTGTATAGATCCTTGATGGCTTCCTTCTTAGGTTCCACAGCCTTGATGCGCTCCGTTTGGATCTTTTCAATGACTTGGAAGATGTATCGGGTGTACCATTCCAGGATTGGTAGGATGCTAGAGTGTGATGCCGGCCCGTTGGGGCCTATTAGAAGGAACAGGTTGGGAAAGTTTTCAGCCGCAATACCCATGTATCCGATGGGAAAGTCACCAAACTGCTCATGGATCTCTGCATTGTTCCGACCATGGACCTTAAAGTGCGGCGTAAAGGAGGTGTCGAAGCCTGTTGCACAGATCACCACGTCGACCTGGTGCTCAACCCCATCTTCGCCCACAATACCGGTTTCTGTCAATCTTGTAGCTGACGTCGGGACCACTTGTACATTGTCTGCTCTCAAAGACTGTAGATACCCAGATCCAGGAGTCATTCTCCTGCAGCCAAGAGCAAATGGTGGTATCATGTGTTTCGTGAGAGACTCATCATGGCCAAGCTGTTCCTTCATGATATCTGCCACCAGATCTCGGGACACTTTCTGATCTTTGGCTTTGAGATGCATCTAACACCAGGTCAGGCAAAGAGATGGCTCGGCAACAGTGCGTGGACTTACCAGCGTAAATCTCTTGTTGAGTTCGCCTTCAACATCCCGGCAGTACTGTGCATGTTTGTCCGGGTGTTTCCTCCATTCTTCCTTTTGGTCTTCAGAGTCTGCGCCAGTCAGTTACAGTCATATTTTCTCAGCGGAAGCCCTACAGGAGAAATTAGTTCCACCGGGACCAGCGTACTTGGCACCGAAGCCAGTCGTGATCCAGACAGGTGATCTCAAGAAAGCATACATCTTCCCGACAGCTATGGACGATGTTAGCAAACCAAGATTCGGACCGTGCTGGTGTGTGAGAGCCATTTACTTGGTTGTATTGACGGAATGATTTGTACTGCAGACGATCCGCCGCCAATTACGGCGACAGTCTTCCCTTTCAGATCATAGTCGCCGTCCCATTTCGCCGAGTGCATGAGCTTTCCTTTGAATACATCAAGGCCTGGAATGTTGGGCCATTTCCACTCACTGACAACACGTGTTAGCTTGACATGGTTGCTTATGGGCGAGGATGGGGATTCGCTCACTTGAGGACCCCTGAACCATTGACAAGGATGTTGCAAGTATCCTCGAAATATGAGCCGTCTGGAGCAAGAATACGCAATCTCCACAACCCAGACTCTTCGTCCCAAGTAGCAGACTCGACAGTCGTCTTGAATTGGACGTATTTCTCTAGGTCATACTTCGTTGCAACATCCTTGAGATATCGCCATATTTCCTCCGATCCAGAGTAGAATCTTGACCAATTGGGGTTCTTTGCCCACGTAAACTGATAAGAATGGGAGGGAATGTCGCACGTACACCCAGGATACCGGTTTTCCAGCCAGGTTCCACCGATGTCGCTGTTCTTTTCATAGATCTGAAGTTCCACGTCTTTCAAGGCACGTTCTGCTTTGTACGCAAACTGAAGACCCGTCGCTCCGGCCCCAACACAGATGACACGAATCTTGCGTCTCTGAAAAAGTAACTGCTCGGTAACTCGGTAGCCGTCAAAATCTCTCCCATTGTACCAACTGTTTTCGTGGGGTGCATCCGAGGGGATAGTAACGTCTTCCGTTGGTGCAGCAGAAATGAGCACGACCCTGTCGGTAGCCATGTTGGAGGCAAGCAAATCAACCAGGCAGACACAAACACAAAATGGTGAAGAAGCGAACAGAAGATGCGTTGGGGGAGACGAATATACCCAAACCGTTTCCGCTAACCTAGGTTATATAAGGCTGTACGATACAATGCGGTAAGCACACGTATATCAGAGGATCCGATGGGCATTAGAGGGGACATCCTTGAGGATTGATTGACCACTCCACCAGTCAGCATCTCGAATCCGACTTGTTGGCAATGGTTTTCCCTCGGCCGAACCCCGCATGGCGTGATGCTCCAAATCTGATGCTCACGAGGCTGTCGGTTTTGGAGATAGTGGGAAGGCCAAACGCTTTCCATTGCACGCACATAATCATCCTGCAACCAGTGCGTAGTCCTAAGTGAGTCTAGCGATATAGGGGAGTCTGTACTCCGTACAATGCCACACTGTGCTGGGGAGGTAGGTCAATGAGACCAAAATATAGCAAGCTGACCAGGTCGGTCTCATCAGATCTGCATGCCATATTTTCAAGAATAGATTGCCCGGCATGAGGGATTGAGAGCCATCGTAATAGTTCACAGCGAAAGAGAGACGTGGATTGAGTGAAGGTGGGAGTTGGTGAGAAGCTGTCGGGCTTGTTATATTAAATGCAAAGCTCCTGATTGGCCCGGAAGCAAGCTTCTTGGCAGCCGAGCAACATCCCATCGCAGCATGCGACCGACCATTGATTCTCTTTGACCCTCATGCCTCTCGACGACCATCTTCACCAGACCATCCGTTGATCGTGTTAGGGAAATGGCGGCGGTTTCGAGAACAGCCATGCTGCGACAAGCACAACTCCTGTCGACGTCCAAGAGACTCTTCTCGAGCACTACCCAACCACTTCGACCCTTCCGACCAGCTCCTCTGAAGTCTTCTACGCGACAATTCCTTTCCCCACGGCTGTCAATTGCTTCCCAGATTGCGCCCTTCTCTTCAACCGCGCAAAGGAAGATCCTACCGCCCGGTCCGCAGGTCATCCAAGGAGGAGTCAATGACCCTGCACCTGTACCGAAGCCGGATCCTCTCCATGGAAGCTATCACTGGACCTTTGAACGAATACTGTCGGTGGGCTTGGTTCCCTTGACCATTACACCTTTTGCTGCTGGTTCGGTCAGTCCGATGCTGGATGCGGCTTTGATCTTTACCATTTTGATCCACTCACACGCGGGTTTCCAGTAAGTATCGAGTTTGCACCGAACTCACCAATGTATCACCCCACCAAAGGGAAAACACTGAAACTTCTCCAGATCAATGATCATTGATTACATTCCAATCCGTCGTCATCCGACCATGCGGCGAACTTTCATGTGGTTATTGAACGTGGCTACGCTTGTTGTTGCGGTGGGATTCTACGAATTTGAGACGAACGATGTTGGTGTGGTCGAGGCAATGAAAAGAATATGGCGTGCAGGTGCGAATGATGCCACGATTGGCAATGCTGATACATCGAGCTTGGGTCATGATGGAAAGCTCAAGAATCTGAAATAAACAGTGGTACAATTGTCGCACGGGGAATGGACCGGGAGTCTCCATGTACATGATGCATTCTAACAAACATGAGTTTTACAAGCCATACAATGTCTACCAAGGATTCCGTCCTCGGTAGGCTTCTCTATACACTGACCATGACCCAAGGAGCTATTGCCGGACGCCGCTGACACTGAATTCGATTTGGGTTCCGCGACAAGCATATCGTCACTCATCCTCAAGCAGGTCCTCGCCCTCGCCATCCAAGATATCGTCATCCTCCGCCTTCTGCATGACCTTCTCAATCAACTTCAATGTTGTCCTTAGCGGGAGGCCAACCACATTATCAAAACTGCCATCTATCTTCTCCACCAAAATCGCTCCGGTGCCTTGTATCCCATATCCGCCCGCTTTGTCCGCTCCTTCTCTGGTCCTTACATATGCCAAAAGCAATTCGTCCGTCACTTCCGAGTCGAATTTGACGGTAGTTTCCTCGGTGGAAGTCTCGATGGCGTATCCGGGATCTCTTGCACTTTCGAGGGGAGCGACCACGCACACGGCAGTGTAGACTTTATGTATCCCCAAGTCCCTCAGGCCTTTCAGCATCGCGATGTGATGGGCCTCACTTGTCGGTTTTTCCAAAATCTCTCCCAGCGAACTCACAACAATCGTATCTGCTGCAATGATCAATCCTGGTTCGCCTTTGGCTTGATTGTCCACCTCCTGTTTATATACTGCCAATGCCTTTTGCGTCGCAGTAGCCAGGACGTACTCGAATGGGGACAGTGTCTTTGGTAGGTTCTCTTCAAATTTCGAGGGGATTATCTCGACATTATGCAGTCCGATTTGACCTAGGAGTTGCTTCCGGCGAGGAGATTGGGATGCGAGAATGATGCGCTTGTTTCGCAGAAGGTTAAGGGCGGGGAGTTCCAGGGGTGGCGGAGGACGGAGGGGGCGGCGACCTGGCGGAGGCGCTGTACCTGTTTGTATCCCTGTTGGAGGAGGGACGGAGAGAGTTTCGTAGGAAGGGGGATTGTCTGTCGGGACGCTGTTTTTCAGGGCCTCAGACATCTTAGCTTCTCTCTTGGTTTTGGTGCAAACCAAATCTCAATTGCGTGTCGCCATTTGGAAAGGATGGGACATGCGTCAGGTACGAGGCTTCGGCGGTGGCAGAAAAAGTTCCAGATGTCTCCGCCATTTCTACACCTTTTCAACCGGGCGGCAATGCTTGATTCATAGCTTGAACACCGGAATATTATTTCTGTGAAGAGCTTCTTCTGTTCTTTTGGCCGTGATTTCATATCCGCATAGTCTTCACTCTACATTGAGTGCTTGACACAACATGGCGACAACTCTCCGCCTCCGCTTCGAGTCAGGCCACTTGAGCATAGATCTGCTTCTATGTTTTCGGGATGTCTTCCATCCAGGTTTATAGTGGTTGACTTTCCGCACAGTAAGACACAGCACTACCAAAGCACTGCTGAATGCCCGCTACAAAGTCAACGTCGAGCGCAGCCCGGAATGGATCTTCGACGACTCCGACTTGAAGCTGTCGGCGCGACCCTGGTCCCCAAGTGCTCATGGAAAGATGCTCTAGCCAACCATACAATTGTCGGGCTTAAAGAGCTCCCCGAGGACAAATTTGCGCTCAAGCACACCAGAGGAGCTATTCATCGATAAGGTGAGCACGTTGCCAGAAGCCATGAGAGGCGGATGGAAGCGAATAACCGGAGCAGAAATTGGGGAGGTGAATGGGTCAGCGTAGAAGGGGCAAGCCGAAGCTGAAGAGAATGTTGATACCCCCAAGTCAACATCTTTGTACTGGGATGGTTATCAAGGATGATGTCGATACTGTTTATTACCATGATCTACTTTTTGTTCCTTTGTGTCGCTATACATTGCACGGCCGATCACTTGAGCTTTTGGAGTCCTTTGTTTGCTCATTTCGTCCTGTCTTCAAGGTCCGACCGCGAGAACTCCAGCGCTATGCCATGTGCCAGTCGCTTTCTGATCTGTCAGATATATGCTATGTTCGTTTGCGGAATCCTTGCGTTCAATGCTGCATGGCGGCGTCCTCGTCTCTGCCCACATCCCCGATCTTTCGCTTCGAGCCCGTAGCTGTCTGAATCGGCTCTTCGCTGCCATCGTCAAAATATTCTGACACTTCCCATTCCACCCGAGTCAAACCGTCATTGCTGATTCCAACTCCGCGTCTTGTGTTTTGCGTTCGGCCCAGTCGGCTTCCCGCCAGCATCTCTTCAAACCAAGTTAGCCCCCCTGTTCGACCACTTCGCTGTGTCCGAGTCAGTGGTTGGTTTTCTCGCGGTGTAACAGAACCTTGCGCCATATCCTCATCGCCCTGCTGCAGCGCCCCGGACATTGTAAATTGTTGCCCATCATCTGCGGGTCTTTCTGTTTCTACATCCTCGGGCAACAGGTCCAAATCTTGTAGTGCGCGCAGGTCCTCGCTCAACAAGCTTCCTAAAGTGATATTCATGTACTCTGCCTCTTCCGGCGGTTGTTCAGTCCAGTAGGACAGGTGCGTGCCGCAATAGCCGCAGAACACCCGCTGAGAGTGTGGTGTATGCAAGGGTGTGAAGGTTCTTCGAATAGAGGCGTGCGTTTCGTCAGGGAAGAAAGACTGTGTGGTTGATGAGTACCAGGACAACGGAACCCGGAGCCACGCCGTTAGCGGGGTTGCTTGGCTTCGTCCTAATGAAGACGTCGACATCAGAGTGGCTAATAAGAATTGGGGTCGGAGTGAACTTACTGCTTTGGCTGCTATCGTCAAAGTAAATCAGCGCTTGTTCCGTAGCATCGGGCGGAGCTGTGATATAGTAGTGATTGCGGCCGCAGTTGCAGGCACCCTGGAGGGGTCGGATTCTGCTCATACTTCGTTTGATCCCGCCACGGAGAAGTCGCTAGGTAAATGAGAGGTGTGTTGGACTGGGGCAATGAAAAAAATCATGAAGCTCAAGATATAGCCCCCCTCTCAATAGAACAGATGGAAGAATGGTCACCAGGATGCTGCGGCCGATCTGGAAAAGAACGGAAAGGAAATGCCATCAGAGTTCCAGAACATGCGCGGATTTTGCCAGCTGCAGGTGGGGTTATCTCCGTTTTCTCACCCTAGACCCAAAACGGAAATAACGAGCCAATTCACCAACGACTGGTCACCGCCGTGAGAAAACCAAAGACTATTTCTGCCTTCAGCTCCTTCGCCTTGGACTTTGCCGACGGATATATCAGTTGTCCATCAATACCGCCTTGCCATCTATCAACAGCAGGGTCTCGCAGCCCACAATGTCAAGGGACAGCTGAGATTTGCTGGCAGATCACCATCCCAGGGTTACCCAGAAAGGGGTTCCTGCCATTCGTTTGTTCTTTTTCTTTCTCTCAATCCATCGTCAACGAAAGACGTCCCGTCATCATGTCAAAAGAAGAGGGGACCGAGTCAAATACATCGTCTCGGGAATCTACTCCGGCTTCTGACACCCAGCCAAACACTTCCAAGTCCGGCTCAGCAAAAAAGGCGAACAAGGTTTCGAAGCCTCGTCTGACAGCATCGCAGAAGAACTTCAACCACAAAGATGCCGAGAACAAGCGACGCACAGCCATCCGTGAACGCTTTACCGAACTCTCACAACTCGTCCCGGGAGCTCTGGGTCATGAAAGAAGCGAGCAAATCATGCTGGGGAAAACCACTGAATTTTTGAGAAGCATGATCCTGGAACAACGTAGACTCGAAGAGCAGGCTGAAAAACAAGGCATCGCGATTGAGGACGGTGAGAGGCTGAGGGAGGATGATTTTGGTGGTCCGAAGTGGAGGGCAAGAAACATGGAGCAGTACGAGGCCGGTAAGCAGAAGAAAGAATCCGGCGACTCCCAACAGGCAAACTATCAAGGAGAGGATGAGAATGACTAGCACAAGTCTCATTCTTGACCGCTGAGAATATGACGAAAATGAAATTCTCGTGGACCCCACCGATCTCGAATCCTCATCCAAGGCCATTAGAATTTCATGGGGGCCAAAGAAGCCATGGGCTTCCAGTTGGTGTTATTGGATAAAAGCGAGAGGTTTCACTAAGGGAAGAGTTGTGATGTCCATTTTCGATCACACGGAGGCGAGGCACTTCACTCAGTAGGAAACCATCTTAGGCTGCCGCACCCCCTCCAAACAACGGGCCGACCTTCACTATCATGAGTTTTACATTTTCAGAAACAGTTTGCGCCTACATGGCCTAAGGACCATTTATTCTGAGGTCATGTCTCTGAGCAGTGACCGGCGCCTGTACAACAAGGACAACATCGTTGTCTCGAGAATGCCAACGGGCCTTCGAACTCGAGATACCCCAACGCCTGGTCGTCGCTCTGTCGCTCCATCTTCGCCACACTCTTGCCCTCCTCAACTCGTCCCATTGAAATCGAGGTTGAGATCAGCACATTCGAATGCATCGCCTGTGACTCCAAAAATTTTGGATGGTGAATCGAGGAAGAGATCTTGGGTCAATAGCGCCTCTAAACATTTGGGTTTGTCGAAACTGCGACTTGAGTCGAGCTTTTCACAGGAAGGGGTCATGAGCGCGAATCCTACCGCCGCGACCGGGGCGTCATCAACAAAACGACTTAACGTAAGTAGGATAGCGAACTGTCTCCTCCGTTGAAATGCTAATATACAGCTTAGGTACACGCGCACAACTTGTCCGGGAGTTCTCGCTCACCTTTTCCTGCTCCTCTGAGCCACCCATGCCATCAAAGTCCTCCAGAAAAACCACTCCCAAGCCTTCCTGTTGCAACTGTCAAGTCCAAATCACCTGTTCGCAGGTCCCTTATCGACTGTGCTGAAAGACCTCTTCGCCGATCTCTGACCCCTCCTGGGGGCGGACTTCCACAGCAAGAAGATTGGCCTGCGATTGAACCAACCAAGGCCGGCACAATTCCATCGGGGTCAAGCCAGTCTCGTATCAAACCAAGTCTGAGCGAGAGTTTGTATGAAGGCATGCGGGCACTGGATTTGCAGGACGACAAGGAGAAGATTAGTCAAGCAGAATACAACGTCAAATTCGAAAGGAATGTTGCTGCCACCAGCGATCTCGAAGCGATGTCAGATGCAAACCGTATTCGGGAGACCGATTCGGCAGTCACGGCTGACGGTAGTGGCCGTCCTCTCTCATCAAGCCAGCTACCAAAACCTCGTGAATCTCTGCTTCGGTCATTGTCTCGCCATGTCGACTCCCCTGTACCCCGTCAAACCAAGACCTCAGCGCTGCGACTTCATCAGGCAAAAACGATCGCAGTATCCGTTGCAAAGAAGCCAGAAAGTAGTGCTCATGTTCCTTCTGATTCCGAGAGGGCCGAATCTGCCTCTTTTTCACGTTCCAAGCAGTCTTTTCCTGGAGGCCCGATCCGTACAAATTCTCGTGGTCGTTATGGGGTCACAGGGCGAGGCTCCCCATACACGATACCTTCCCGCTCAAAGTCGGTTCAAAAGTCAGCGACAAGAGCTGGGACATGCACTGAGAGAAGAACATTTCGGAGTCCAGCCACCAGTCAAGGTCTCGATCTTGCCCAGCATGGAGCCACACATCAGCAGTCTTCAGCGAGAGAAATGAGTCGCAAGAGTTCCCTTCCTGTGCCGACTCGACTTACACGTCCATCATTGGACGAAAGCATCGAAGGGATCCTGCGCCAAAGCTCTCCTTCAGAGCCGTTCATGAATTCCATGGTAGGCAAGCATCCCGTGGCGGATGACGTCCCAAATCATCCTGTGGAAGCATTTGCCATCAATGGAGTCAACCAGAACAACGATCTTTCTCAAGCTATCCCCAAAGATAAAGGCAAACTTATGGACGTCAAAGAAGTGCTATCCACAACGGCTCCTCGCGATGACGAGTCCTTCGTTGATAGTGATGGGGAGTCAGGAGTCAGCATCCATGGCTACGATTCTTTTGGAGGCTACCGAGTCCGACGTATTCTGAATGGGTCTAGGATGGGTCCGACTCTTCGCATCACGGACTCTGCAAGTCGAGTGCTGCTGGGCCAGGACGACAAAAACACATTGAACAAGCGAAGTCCCAAGTCTGCTTTGAGACACAAGGGAAGCGCTCCTGATATTGGCTCTCCACGCATGGCGAAAGACCAGATCAGACGATCCAGCGCCATCTTCGGCCGCTCGATGTCTCTTGTCAGAAACCTCGCAGATCGGCCTTCAAACCAGCTTAAACATGCAGACCAAGACGAGACTCGGAATCTCATTGGTGAGGATAGCTCTGTGGACACCGTTGTGCGAGCAGAGCTACCTGGTAATAACATCGATTCTGAACATGGCTTGCTCGTGGACTCCCACATGGACGTCAGTGGCACAGAACGGAACAAGGAGGCCTTTGTTTCCCGGACAACTCCAACCTCTATTCAGAGTGACTGGCCCTGCAAAGACTTTGCAAGTTTCGAACTGCGATCTGACCATGATGCTATTGCAGCGAAACAGAAGAGAAACACCCCCAGCAGTGCGGCTGGTGGACTTGTCACGAAACGTCCTACACCCGGCTCATTGTCCCGGCCACCTACCATTGTCTTGCGTACCGCCCCGAATAAAGAAACAGCACCTTTCTTATTCCAGGACCTTGGACAAGAGCAAGCCAAACAGGAGAAACTTGTCAACGATCTCGCGAAAGCGACACATGACGAGGCGGCAATAGTTTCGGGGCCTCAAAGTACTACCCCTTTTCCACCACGTACTTCGTCACGGAAGCCCAAACCACCTCCAATCATTGTCTCTCCACCTGAGCGTCATCTTCCTGCAATCAGCTTCCTCCCGCAGCGAGCACCAAAAGCATACGCGGTCAGCCAGGATAACATCAAAAAGCCACGCAATGTAAAGACCTTCTCCCAGAGCATCTCTCCCCGCACTGACTCCGTCAAGGGACGGAAGATATCACACGTGCTGGCACATAGTCCCTCGAGTTCCAGCAAGAAGAAAGTCATCTCCAATATTCGAGGCCTGTTCCACAAGAGGTCGGTGGAGTCTAATAAGGCAACAACGGCTGTCGTTGAGACCACCACCGTGTCGGAAGAGGTGAACTCGCAGCCAGGTAGGCCAGCTGGTGCGCCCGGATCTCTACGACGCAAACCAGTCCCAGCTTCAGCGTCAGCAGATGCGGATGATAAGAGGGCGAGTCCACCACTTCAAGTGAATGCTAGCGGCAGTGGGCAACCAGGACAAGTTAGCCCGAAGTTGACTCAACCTGGCCTACCGAATTCCGACTTTCCATGCTTCCCTTATGGAAGCCAGGCGACAGAACCACGCCTTCCGCTCGGTCGCACGGACTCAAGAGCACCGAAGCGGAAGAATCCGTTGATCAGCCCGACTACCCCTTTCACGGCAAACCTCAACACATCAATGTATCCAAGTTCGCCTCTCCCAAGCAGTGCAGTTGCTGCTAACGCAACGATCAACAAGATGGTCTCTCCCACCACTCACGCCCATCCACAAGCACGATCGCCAGCAACTTTATCGCCAACCATTCCACAGACACTAGCCGCCACAACAAGCATGACCCACTCTCTCCTAGATCTCGCGCGCACCTCGACTGACCCTAACCGCAAGGCACACCTTATCGAACTCTCAAAGTGCATGGTTGAAGTCGTTGGTTCGGCCAGAGACGCGGAAAAGGCAATGGAGAAGGCCAGGATGGAGGCGAGCCGCGCGGAGTGTGCATGGTTGAAATGTTTGAAGGAGATTGGACAGATGGAAGGTCTGGTTAGGGGTCTGATTGAGCCCGAGACAATGAGGAAGTGAAGTGGCTAGGGTTCAGCGAAAAGGGGACGACATGGACGGCCAAAGGAGTCAGTCAATTGCACGCGCTCTGGCCATATCAAGAATCAGAAAACACTTTAAAGGAGATAACCGCAACCAAGCAGCGATGGGGATTTTGTGCCCCTTTTCCTTATTGAAGTGTCTGCTTCTACTGAGTCCAAGCGAAAAGAAAACACCTAGAGAAATGGTTCCCTTGTTGTTGGAAACCCTACTACATCCTTACTGCCAGGATATCTACGGAACCTACTGTGGCTGGTGATGGTGAAACAAGGAGCTGGTTCGAGGTTCCCGAAAGGTATGTACCGAGCTGGACTGTTTAGATCATGATACGACTTGTGGGACTGCGACAGGCATGAGATGCTTTTGAAAGAGAGAAAATGGGTTCACATTAATTAAGTAGTGTTTGCTCAAATTATGATGGTTTGAAAAGAAGAATAGGTTGATGAGACTATTCCATTCTCGTAGATTCCCTTTTTCCTCTTCTCTGCGAAGGTTCTGTATCCAATAAAAAGAACATAAGGAAAAGAACGCCCATGTTTGTATATCCCAATTTGTCCAGCCTTGTCTCGCCGTTGACGCTATCCTCCTACCCTTCGAACCGGAAGGTGATCACCAATCATCTGCTTCTGACCACCTCGAACGCCATCAGTATTGCTATAGTCCTCCTCGACGTCCATGTGCCGATTGGTCTGCTGCTCCATCGCGCTTCCCCCCATAGTCACCACCGTTACCCACCACGGTCAAGGTCACAGTATATCAAAGAACCTTGGAGCGACTGGTCCTCGGGGATGGTGTGCGTTCTGACTGCGGCGTACCTAGTGTTTCAGCCCTGGCGAAACCCATATGCTCGCTGAAGAGGCTCGCGACCATGGCAAAGTCTGGATGGTCCGATGGAATGGGTATCCGCGTCGTGTCCGTGACCCCTCTCAAGGCTTCGGGAAGGTCTTCAACAAAGGACTCCGAAGGGGTAACAGAGGTGAAAGAAACTCCTTTTAATGGCCGACCTCCCGCATCGGTGGGTTGTGTTGTCGTTGTCGTAGTCCAGTCCGTCACAACAGATGTGATCGTTACGGTGCTCGCAGTCGGCACGACGAGTTGCGATACGTACGCTGAAGCGTCTCGGAGAGCACTTCGCCAGTCCGCCGCGGCAGACAGGGCACGAGTGGCACGCAGTTGAATGCCTGTTCCCAGATCCCTTGATCGATCTCCCAAGCGGAGACTCTCAATTGCACTCCTAATCCACGGGGCTGTGAGAGCGCTGACGCCAGCCACGCCGCCGGAAAACACCAGCCATTCGAGAAATTCGCGCTGCGTAACGGTGTTCCACACTGCCAGGGTTGCGTCCTCGAGGGAACACGAGATGTACTTCTCCCGCCGGGCTTCGGCGACGGCTTCAGCCAGGGTCTGAGCCGGTGGTTGGGCTTCTGGATAGGAGAAGAGCGAGGCCTCCTGAGCAGACATCCATTCGCAGTAGATGTTGGAGGGAGCCACTCTCGAGTAGACGGTGACGAATGCACCACTCTTGGGGTCGGCCCGTTCAGCTCTCTCGTCTTCTTGCGGACGACGCCCGTATCTCTTCTCCCGAATTTCTCGAATTTTGGTCTTGAGGACCATGGTCGACCACTCCGTCCCTGGAATCGGTGCCAGGTCTGCAACGGCACCCCGTGCGGCATCCGTCTCTTGCAAGTCGTACGGGTACAGATTGAAGAGTCGCTGTTCGGCTTCTTCCCGGGTGAGCTCTTGCCCTGCTGCTCGTGCCGCCTCCTGTGCTTGTTCGAGTTCGAGTACGTCGAGGCCATGCGGTACCACGGCTTCGACTCGTCCAAAGCAGGTCATCTTGATCTTCAACTGATCACTTGTCGGAAGAGACTGGGCTTTCTGCGCGTTCAACCGGTAGGCATTGACGCAGATATTTCTATCCACATCTTCTCGACTCAATCTCGTGCCCTTGGGCACGTGGGGTGCGATGCGCACGACAACGCCGTTGACACCTGCGAAGCGGATGCAGAGATGCAGACTGCCCGCCATCTTGATCAACTCGACAAGCTCGAGCCATATCTCAAACCGCATTTCGGCCCCTTCGTCCCTGACTTTCGACGACTGTCTCCATTTCGGCACGAGAGGGTCAAAGAATGGAGGCGGGAGGAGTGGCTCCAAAACGAGCAGCAGATTGGTAGCCATCTTCCGAGCGGCAATCTCTAGATTGTCTATATGCTCGTAATTGTTGGGAAACTCTGCGCTTGGGAAATAAGTCTCGCCGATCTTGAGTTCCTCCAAGCACTCCGCCTTCTTCTTGTTCCGCACAAAGGCATCGTAGTGGAGATACTTGCGGTCAATGTCTTCGAGTGCGCGAACCTTGTCGTCCGGGATGCTGAAAGCCGTGTGCTTGAAGATGCGCTGCTGGAACCACTCGGCAATAACGCCGTGTACGAGATGTCGTCGGTATTCCCGTTTTGTGAAGAAGTTGCGCCAGCCGTACTCACACCCATCTGCGATCCTTTGGGTCATCAGCATCAGTGACAGGTATTTCGTGGCCAACAGATGCATGGGCCACGCCTTCTCCTGTTCTGCTGTAAGCCCGAAAGCGAAGTGATCACCGCAGAAACGCGAGATCCTTTCTTGCAGGACTATAAAGAGCGCGCCAATCTCGTCGAGATCCAGCGACCTGGGTACCTTTTGGACGTCTGCAAATAGTTGCTCCGCCAGTACCACGGGGTCATTGGGATCCACAGCGCCTGGCTGGGGAGTTCTGCTTTGGGGCGTTGAGGGACTGACGACCGTAGGTGATGCCGTTCGTTGACGCTTCGGTCGGGGTCCGGTGTTTCGCTGCGAAACCAGGCTTGGGGAGCGCTGTGCAGCCCTTGGTGTGCGAGGAGGTTCAGATGATCCAGGGGTTGAGGAGCAGCTGAAAGTTGGAGATGATCCTTGGGTACGTCTCGCAGCACGCTCACGCATATAGCGCTCATGGTTATCCCGATTGACTTTGAGATGGATCCGTCGGAGCGGATTGGGTGGTAGATCTCCGGGGACATCATCGTCAAGGTCTTCGTCGTCATCGTCCTCCAAATCTCCATCAGACTTATAGGCTTGATCGTCGAACGGTCTGGTCTTCCGTTTGCGCGCTGCGGTTTTTTGTACTGGCGGCACATTGATTTCTTCCTCTTCACCGGAAGACTCGTCTTCGACTGCCGCTCTGGACGTAGGTGCGACTTTCTCTGCAGATACGGCTGACAGCTCATCCTCTGAATCGTCTTCTTCTACATATGGCTGTTCGTCCAAAGGCTTTGGTTTCCTCTTGCTAGTCTTGGGTTTGTCGCTCTTTCGAGTTGTCATTGCTACCGCCCGGGGAGGACTCGAGACGAGAAATCCTATCTGGCCTCTCGGAGACTTGTTTGTTTCGCCATCGTCGGCGTCTGTTAATGTCTCGGTGTTGTCAGGTGTGCTCTGTGATACACTGCCTTCGGCACCTTTTCCGTCTTTCTTGTCGGCCTTTGGCAGTTCTTTTGTGTGCTTGGTAGTCGCAGGCGTTTTCTTAGCTGGCGTGGCTCTGGCCTTGACCTTGGTTGAGGTAGATTTGGCTGGAGTACTTCCCACCTGTGTCGAACTTGTTGCAACATTCGGGGGCGCTGTGGTAATGTTGCGGCGAGCTGTTCTGGGAGCTCTGGGAGTTCTTGCGTTGCCGGTGGCCCCTTGGGTTGCAGCAGCAGAAGCGCTTGCGGCCGGAGTCGACGGCACTGCAGGCGTCCTTCTCATGGCAGATGGCCTTGTCATTCTCCGAGTTGGGGTCGCGGTTGGCTTTGCGCGTGGAGCCATGGTGGAGTCTCGAGCTCTGCAACGTGATAATGGTGGATACCTTTCCTCAGTAATCTTTCAAGGGGTTTGGACAAGTATCGGGTCATCAGAAACAAAAGAGGCCAAACGAGTTGGGTGGGAATATATGAGGGAGAAATGAGTATAAAGCATGCAGCGTGGCCGTTCCGGAAGCGGAAGAAAGAATCAGCACCGTTTTCATCCAAGATTTCATTGTTATTTTATGAGAAGATTGTCACTGTAATTTCTGTCGCTTTGATTCTCGGCTCGACCAAAGCCAGGGAGCGGCAGGGCATGCGACAACCCGAAGTCCGTTGCTGCAAACACATCCTTTGACAAAGAAGAGAGGCCTGTCGTCCAAAGGTCAGGTTCAATCAAAATCGCTTAGTCGCGACCTAGAGCTTTGACCCTGAAGTCTCGCTCCTGGAGCAACAGTCAGTGACAGGAGTTCAGCAGCGCCAGTGTCCTACATGCCCCCTCACAATGCTGCGATACACTCAATCTCAACCTGCCTGCTGTTAGCCTCAGCCCATGAATGGATCAGTTGGGGAGCATTACATCTGTCTTAAAAGGGAGCTCCTTGACGCAGACACAGGTCCGTGCTGGCTTTGGGTCCGGAATGAACTTGGCAACTGTTTTGGGTCAGGCAGGCATGTTGAGACGAGGCTGGGGAACCACGCACAGGCCTCATTCATGGCAGCATAATCCTCCATGCTTGTCAAGTAGATGTTCATCTGGCCCTGGTCAGTGCTTTTCCCGGTACGTGGTCTGGAAGCGGACACACCTTGAGAATCTGTTCGAGGCTGCTTCCGGCTTCTTCCAGGATGGCTTGGATGTTTTCGAGCGCTTGTTTCTATAGGCAATTGATGTTAGTCAATGACGAGATGGCATCACCAGCGCCTTGTCCACGAGAGCCCTCACCGTCCTGTCTGCAACGGATCCTTCCACCATCTTCATCGTAGAGGGAACGATGCCAATGTTTCCGCTGACAAAGATGGTACCATTGTGGATGGTAGCCTGCGAGAAGAGGTTGGACTTGAGTCCTTTGTCTGACGTTACCACTTGTTTGGGAGCCATGTTGGATGTAGACTTGTGTGTGTGAGAGAGAGGAAGACAGAAACACAGGGGTTCGGTTCACAATAAATCCAGAACAGAATACGACAACAGGGAGAGAAAAGTCTAATCATCAATGGTATGATTGTTGAAGTTTGTGTTGCCTGCGCCCTACGATACGACGCCGGCATCGCAGCAGCAGCAGCGCAGCGCGTATAGAAATGCGAGAGACGGAGAATCGCGGCTGCCCCACCAAAACGGACAATTCCTGCGCCATCCAAGTCTTGATTGACACTGTTGACCACTCACTCACGCTCTCACTGCTCCATCACCACCATCACCGCCGTCGTCGCCGACACCTTCCTCTCTCATCCATCATTCACTCATCTTGCTCATGAAGGGCCTCGACGTCTTTGACACAATCTTTCCGCGAATACACACAACGCCATCTGCCACGATTCCCCATCCACCTTTCCTCTCGCCCGCCTCACACCCTCCAATCTCAATGTGCCATGCCCCAAAGACAAACCGCCAAAGACTCCTTCATCGTCGCCCTCGACGTCGCGTGACGGGCACGAATCCATAGTCCGCCAAGTCCTCACGCGTCCTTCGCCCAATCTCGGCGTCGCGAAGCTCCCTCTCCCTTTGTCGGTCTCTAATCTGTTGTTCTTCCTCTCGCTGTCTCCTTCTCTCAGCATACGACTCGGCCTCCGCCCGCAGACTTGTGAGTCTTTCGTTGGCGATAGGCATTTGCATGATGCTCTGATAGTCCTCCATGTGCCGTGTCAACTGGTCTTGTGTGCCAACGGAACGCTCGTGGAGTGTGAGCCATCTCCTTCTAAATTCATCGGTCCGACGTTCCTCGATCGCCCTCCTGTCCTCGAGCTCCTGCTGGTCTCGAGCGTATACTCCGTCCAAAATCTCGTTGAGCTCACCGAAGCTCCAATGGCCATCCCGAATCCGCTGTCCTCCAGGGCCCCCAGATCGGGTCTCTCGGAAACCCACATAGCGTATGTCGTCGTCTGCCAGAAAGATTCCTGGTCTTCGCAGCCCAAGTGCCCAAGGATCGACGCCCACCCTCCAGTGCGACGTATGGGTGAAGCCGTCAGGAGTCTGATATGCCTCGTAATCGCTGATCGGTACCCAGTGAGTTCTTTTGCAGGGACCCCATCCTTTGGTGACGGGGATCCTTCGTACTTCTCGGAAAGACATGTTTAAGGAGGTATGCGATGGTGTTAACGATGCAACCGATAGCAGTGTGTAGAAAGAGTCAATTGTTCTGTTCTGATCATTGATCCAGGAAAGTGGAAGCTGCACAGAAGAAATACCTATCGCAGGCAGATGTTGTGGTGATTCTCAACAAGACCACCGGCCAAAAAGGCGTCAGTGTTACACCAGTGAGAAAGCACAGATATGACAAAAGGCATCCAATCAAATGCTCCAGTCCTGGTTTTCCAGACGAGATGACCTTTTTGCACCAAAATGGGCAAATTGATACGGATGACCTTGGACTTGACTTCAGCAGAGGCGGCTCTTCCAGTGGAACCACTGCTTTGCCCGGGAAATTGACGCACAACGATTTGACGGGATGCCAGTGCGGTCTCTTGGTCGCTGCTCAACCTGAGACTTCCCCGATTGCTTTGCGCCCTGCTAAGCCTTAGCCATCCTACACCCCCAGCCATCTCACTTCGTCAGAGATCTCAGCCACGATTCAACCCTGGCCTGTAGGGAAACTCCATCCTCGCCTTCGTGCTCCCCTTCCTGTTCTCTTCTTAACAGCACAGGGTCTTCGGGATCCCAAGCCACCACCGAATTCAACGCCCGGCTCGCAGCAAGAACACGCCCGCACCCACACATCTCAACAGGCCGTGCACAGATGTGTAAATCCTGGCTCATTTGTCGATTCTCATCTCTGTTGGGGGGCTTAGCACTCCACTCTGTGTTTGAGTCAAGCCAGTGGATTGGGGAACCCAGTTCTTGACCTTGTGAGGTGGCTTTGGACATATCTGGTGGGCCAGGCGCAAAGAGGTTATCCTGCCTCGGGCTGTAGGTGCGTTGCCTCCAGCCCTCACTGATACCCTCTTCAATGATCTGGTCCAGGTTAACGTTCACAGTGTTGTGCAACGACTGTGCGACTGATAGAGGAGCGGTGAGGCCCTTCGACCTTATCTGTCTGTCTTCTTCAACTTCTCTTGTGAGTGCTTCGAAGCATCTGCCCACCGCCACTGAGGGAGTGCGGAACCCGGTATCCTGTGCTCCAAAAATGCCATCGTCGACGGACAGAGGAATGTTTGCGGGCAACAAGCTGATAGTTGAGGCCCAAGGATGTGGCTTGGGAGAATACGGTATTTCAGCCCTCAAAGATTGTGAAGCTTCTTCTGTTCCAGCCTCCAGCCATGATCCGGGAGTGGTGGCCAGAGCACCCAGATCAAGAGTGCTAGCGAATATGTCGGATATCGATTCAGATCTGCCATGTGCCACCCTGGCTCTGTGGCCAGCGGTGCAGCACTCCTCGCCTTCCTTCTTGGCCTCTGCCTCTGACATTTCGTGTCTGCGCCCAGATCCAGGCGATCAACCCTGTCTTCAGAGCCCACCTATCAAAGACACCACCTCGCTGAAAGATCTTTCCGCTTCACGATAAAGCTGTCGATGCGGATGGATAATACCACCCGAGGCCGAGCGGAAAGAAATTGTTGTTTTGTACAATTCGTCCCAGGACTGTGATCTAACGGCCCAAAGCTCCAGATCTCGCGGCGAACAAGAGAGAGCAAACAACATGGACGATGAAAGCCAGGTGAGATGAAACAGTCAGTGATACATCAGAAGGAAGAACAAAGGCGAGGAAAGAATATTGACTGCTTTGCCGACCCGACGAAGTGAGTTCTCAAGATCTGCCCATCTTCCGGCGGAGGCGGAGATGGATCTGGAGGCTGAAATAACGAGTTTATCCTTGTGGTCTGAAAATAAACAGCACAATGCAAGCGCATAGAGTGAGTGAGTTAGAGGCAAGAAAAGATCAAGCCCGGAATGAAAGGACAACATCCAGCTGCTGTTGTTGGACTGTTCCGGACCTCGCGTGCCTCAATCGGATCTGAAGCCTCTCTGCCGATGCTGCTGTGGGTGAGTCGATCACAGCGGATGGGAGGGCCGGTGGTGACATTTCAGAGGGCGATGAATGCATTCATTCATTCATTCATCCATTCATCCATTCATCCATTCATCCATTCATCCTTTCATCCACCCATTCATTCATCCGCTCATTCATTGACTTGTCTTGATCCAAACATGTATTCACAACTTCCGTTCGCACGAGTCTACTGACCTTTCATATGTCTATTCACATTCTCACTGTGCCCACGACATAGGATCCATCCCATCTAGTTCGGTGATATGCAACAGATGCATTTCTCGTCGTAGACATGTGCATAACTGCGCGTTCCCAAGGTCGGTGATGCACTGAGGATCGAGCGCAGTGGTTTCCTCTAACAGACGCCGGTGTCTATATCCGGATTATGACCATCATCTCTCGACCCCTTCCCTACGCTCTTGCTGGGCCGCTTTTCCCAGTCCCCCAATAAAATTGTCGGCATAATCTCCTCGAGGTTCTCTGTGCTGCAAAGTTAGATTACCCAGCACCCCAGGCAACAACCATTTGTCGATATGATGTCCTCGGTTATTATGCGAAGTGGTTTGCACAGACGCATTGTCCTGGCAGCAACTGGGAGCTCTCATGTCGACATCCGCGCCGTACGGGACTGCCGATCAAGGCGTCTGCGATTCCAGAGTCTTGGAAGGAGAACCATGCCAGAAGGCTCTTCGACAGCAATGTTGTATCATCACGGGATGGCCACTAGGACCATTCTAACGAGTTTGCCGTTGAGTCTATTCTGGTGCTGCGGCAGGAAAGAGTGCTCAGGCACATCGCCGCATATGGTCAATACCCAACGATTGAGGATAGGATAATGAAAGCCGGCGATGCTAGCTATTCCGGTACGGGCGCAAAGTTTGACCTCTTCCGAAGAGTCAGACCATACTTCATGAAGATGAAGGGCACCGGGAGCATGATTGAAGCCACAGCTCCAAGTATGGACGTCGCAGGGCCAACTCCAATCGAATGATACAGGGGTCGTGCTGCCAAAGGGAGACCTGCGGCAAGGATGCTGCGTAGGAAGGTGTTGGCAGCTGTAGCACTGGCGGCGTAGAGACCGTAGACGTCGACCAGGTAGTTGATGCCTGCAAAATATGTCAGCCTATCTCACCGAAGGATCTGGGATATGCCTACATTGCTGAAAGATGACGTTGAACCCACCACCAATAAACATGGCAGCAACCACAGGGAGTGGCCAAGGGTGATTGGGAGCAGCAGTCCATGCAAACCAGAACAGACCGACCACCATCATGACAGCACCGATTGCTAAAGGCGGCAGCCTTGCTTCAGGGACTGGTCGTCCATTGGAGGCCCTACATTTTCGAATATATCGAGGCTGATTCCCAAGATTGACACCGGTGGCGCAAACGATTCCAATGAACATGCCCAGGAAGGGGAGCGAACCCACAACAGGTGACCAGTGTCGCTGCTCCTCGAAAACGATGGGAAAGACTTGAAGTGTCATGTAGAGGATTGCATATACAAACGACGCATAGAATGCGATACAGGTGACCATCGGCTCTGTCACGAGCATCTTCAGAGGTCGCGACAGCTGCTTGGTGATGATGGACTTGACGTCGACTTTGATCCTTTCTTGGGGGTGGTAGTAAGAATCGTTGCCAGTCTCTCGTCGCATTCGCTGGGCCTTCCATTTCAAAATCACCGGCGGATACATCTCGGGCATGAAGAAGTATGTCAGAGCGACAATCGCGAAATTGAGCATAGCCGTTATATATCCAGTCCATCGCCAGCCCATATGTGGATTGACAAGGATGGCGGCGCCAATTGTTGGTCCAAGAGTCGGACCTCCCACGACGGCCATGCCATACATGCAGACTGCGGTACCGCGAGCTTCCCGAGACCAAATGTCGCCCAAAGCAGCATTGACATTGCTGACCGCCGCCGAACCGAAAAAGCCGCTGAAGAAACGGGTGATGAAAATTGACGGAGCGTTCTGGCTCACAGCAGCACCGATCGAGAAGCAAGCCAGGCATGTCATTGCCGGCAACATGGACCATCGCCGACCCCAGACTTCGCTTGAAGGCCCTACACCGTTGTCAAGTCAGTGGCGTTGGCTCAGGAAGTGGAAGCTCGATGGAGGAGTTGGAAACCAGGCTTGGAGGACTCACCCCAGATCAAGGGCCCGAAGGCGAAGCCAACACTTTACATACAGTCAGATGATGGAGCTCAACAAGAAAACCTGGCTAATCGACACTTACATGTAGAGGGAGACATTGAGGACAACAACCTCCTCGCCCACGCCGACGTACGCAGCTATTGTTCGATTTGCTGGAGCAATAATACTGGAAGCCAGGCTTGCAGAGAAAGCCAGTAAACTCAGCTGTAGAGTGACCCAGGACTTAAACATGGTCGACCAGTTCTGAGGATTTTCCGGATCATCTTGGCCATCCCAGTTGACAAGGATTTCGGTTTTCTCATTCTCGAGTACGACTTTCTTCTCTGAAGGCTGCTCTTCGGCGTTTATGGGAATGGTTCCCACTTCAACATCTTGGGATGCTGAGATATCCCCTGCCATCTGAATGATTCATGAAAGCCAGACACCAAAAACATTGTAAAATCAGAAATGCGGACTTCATCTGAGCTTTTGTACGAGGGAAGGTAATGAGGTGATCGTACGAAAAGACGAACCCCAAAAAAGTATCAACGGAGAATGCCCGACGTGTGGTTTCCGATGCCGACTAACCGTTTGAATATTGTCGTTTGGTCTTTGGACCGCTTGCGTGACGACAGCACATCCCTAACGCCATCTGGGCGGTTGTGGCGGCCGCTTTATTACCGACGAGATCGAAAGGATTGGGGGGGTCCACTCAGGGTAGCGATATCGGGCGCTGAGGGGGCCGCGAGAGTGAGATCGCTCCACCACGGTTGTGGGCATTTTGTGCGCCAGGTTGTCCATAGATGACTGTCTCAATCGCCGCTTGAAAGCAGTAAATTGAGCGGGTTTCCATTAAAAGAAAAGCAGCCGTGTCGAGATAGCTCTCACTGCCTCGAAATAGGGTCAACCACATGCCACCAAGGAATCTTGCGAGGTGACTTCAGCCGATTCCATATGGTGGTTGTCACTTCTCAAGCTTGCTAACCCGACCCAGTGTGTATGGCAAGTTCATGACTTGGAGTCTCACGAGATAAACCATGGCCGTAGCTTGAGGGCGTGTTGAGCATACCTCGTGAGCTATCGTGCTAGCAACGCTGGACGATCTGTCTTGGGGTGTGGTAGATTAGCTCTTGGAGGCGACGTGTCGAAAGACGAGATCCAGCCTCGCGTATCTATTTCAAGTATCGACGACCATGTTTTCGGATCATGATAGAAGCGCACCGGTCTAGTCTTCTTGGTCTTCTGAAAGAGTTCTCACACACGAGGCCGCTCTGGACATCGGGCTGACGTTATGCTTGGGTGTATCACAATGCTACCTGATATTGTGCTTTGTGGTTGGCGCCTCAGCAATCCGGCGCTTGAGACGGAGGCGGAGGCGGAGGCTCGACAAAGCGGACGCTCCGACTTGCTGGGTTCGATGTGAGAACCGACAAGCTATACTGAAGGTCAGTTGAGCAGGGGACACAGGATGATGGATGGGCTCACAGGGGTGCCGGATGAACTGCGACGATGTCCTCCATCCTACCCCGACCGGGGATATTTTCCAGGCACGATTCTCGCGTATTTCAAGACATCTACACCGTGTGAGGGGTGGGGGCGGGAGTCGCTGAGGTGATTGAGGTTGTATCAGGTGTCTGTTGCTTCGAAGAGGGCGATGAAATGTGGTAAGACATATTGATCCGCAGCTGCAGTCAGCCATCAACAATTCGGGCAGGTAGAGACAACTGAACGCTTTGCTGAGTCGCGTTCAGACGATGTGACCCTGGCGAGGGACAAGACAACAGGGATTTGTGAGATGGAGCATGGCATATTAGCAATGAGAACTGGGGGTTGCAGCTACGCAGTGGTGCGGTTTCTCCATGACACGCAGCCACACCACGACGGTCATCGTGAGCAGCCCCGGCTCCAACAGGCATCAGTCTACAACCGCGTTCTATATATGCATACATTCAATGCATTCCAATTGCAGCTCTGTAGGCTGCAATCTCGCATCTATACACCCAAACGGACGACACGGTTCTTCCGCTCCTTGTTCGACCCAATACCGCCTCAGGTCTCCACGGCGACGCTCCTCAAACTCACCTCCTCACCATTGTCACCTTTCAATCTGTAGTTTGTCGCCGTCTTCCAGTCTCTCCACTGTCCTGCATTGACTGGCTCATACAACTTGACCTCGCCTTCGGTCAACACGATCGGGTCGATGACCGTCTCAGGGTCCGGGTGCACAAAGAAGGGGATGCTATACCTGGACGGCAATACGTCGCAGTCTTTGAACCGGTCCAGCGAGGGACTGACCACCCTGTGCCGCGTGGATTTGACGCGGCCGTTGGTGTACCGCTGGAGCAAGTCGGCGATATTGATCAGGACGGCCCCTTGGATAGGTGGCGCTGGGATGAATTTATTCTCGTGTGACGGATCCACCTCCAACCCCCCGACGCCGTCCTGGAAGAGCAGCGTGCACAAGCCAAAGTCCGTGTGGGCATTGATCCTGGCGTGGCCCTGCTGCTCGATCACTCTGCGTTCGATGGGCGGATAGTGAATCAGCCGCATCTGTGGATCCGCTTTCTTCGTGATGCCTTCGAAGAAGTCGTCCCCAAGGTTCATCACCATGGCCAGACACTTGAGCACATTCATGGCGAGGGTCAGGCATTGCTTGTAAAAGTCGTCGAGGGTGGATTTGAACTGGGGAAATTCTCTCTCTGAAGGGCACAGGTCGTTTACGAAGCGACGGTGCTCGTAACATTCCTTGTGATCGTTGATTCCCTCCGCCCCATCAGCAGTGTATCCCTGGTTGACGTGCGCCGACGAGAGCTTATAAGCGAGCTTGGTCGATAAGGGAAGGGAGAAGAACTTTTCGGCCTGTGGAGGAACAGCGTCAGTACTACCGCGACAACCGTGAAGACCAACGCTCCAGCTGAAGCAGAAATGCAGTGCTTGTGCCGGGCGGAGTGGAGAATCAACGCAGACAGACGGACAAGGCTGTCGCGTAAAAGGGGGAGGGGGGTTCCATCGGGTTACACAAGACAGACTCAGAATGAAGATACCGACCAGGGCAAAGATCTCGTCCACTCTCGTCTGAGGAATCCCATAATCCTTCAGATATATAAATCCAACCTCAGAGAACGCATCGTACACTCTTCGCGCTACCTCCTTCTGGTCTGCTCGGTCGCCAGTGAGGAATTTCTCAAACGAAACCACGGGGATGGGTGTTGAGTCTGCAGCTGCCATCCTTGGATTCCCGAGCACGTTAAGAGTGATGCTGTTATATCTTACTTACGGACAGAAGTGAGCTCTGGAGCAGATGTCAACAGAAAGACACAGAGACAGAAGAGAAAAAGGGGGGCGTCCACCACGGCCACACACAACGACGAGTTTCTGACGATAACATGATAACAAGCCTGTCTGCTTGGCCGCGGCCAACTTATCCTATACATATCCCTGCTATTCTGGTTCCCCGCACATGACCATTGGACGGGATGCGGGATGATCTACCAAGGTGAGTGGGTGACTTAAGTCTCCATCCGTAGCAACTATAGGGATGTAACGGCATATTGATAAGAGGGCCGCGGGCAGACCCTTTGCAGGATGAACGACCAGGGTCCTTACGTTCTTTTTACGCGCTTCTCCGCTCGTCTCTGATCATTGCCCAGATATGTACAGGTTCGGGTCTTCAGCTGATCGCAATCATTGTCATTGGGGATGCATGGCTCTTGATGGCTCATCCACGCGTCCCAGCACCATCCCTCCCGCTGCCTCATATCTTTCCAAGCACAGGCTTGGATCCAGATCTCTCCCCCCTGGTACCCCTCAACTCATTTGGTCTTTGTGATAACAACTTCCTCGTTCTCCACATTGCTCGTTACTGTCTTGAGTAACTCGGACCCGACCTCGACTTCCCCCTCAGTTACCGCCTTCAAATCAGGCACGTCGGAATGCTTGACGCCGTCAAAGACCTTGTCCACCTCTTCAAGAGTGAGGCCTCTTGTCTCCACCCAATACCAGAGAACGCCGACCAACATCACAATATCGGCACTGGCATTGATAATGTAGGTCTTCCACCCAATGGCGTCCAGGGCAAAAGGAAACGCCATGGTCACGAGCAGGCCCGACAGCTTCGTGGTCAGCGTGTACAAACCCATGCCAACTGATCTCAGCGAGTACGACAGGACCTCGGGCGGGTAGAGCACCGTAAGCGGGGTGATGCCGTAGGCATACGATGCGTTGTAGAGGAAAATCATGGCTATGGTGCCATATATCCCTGACTTGTCTGTCGAGCTACCATACACTGCCGTGAGTCCCGCCAGGATATAGAATGTGACGACTTGTCCAGCCAGGCTGATGGCACAGAGCGTCTTTCGGCCCAGGGAGTCGGCGAACCAAGCACCCGCCAGAGAGACGACCAGTGTCCACGAGGTCAAGATGATATTGATTTCGAGCTGGGTTGTCGGATCGCTGATTCCAGCTTGTGACTATCGTTCACAAAATATCAGCACTTGCGAGTCCAATCACATGTCCCAAGTAAAACATACCAGCATGTCACCAAAGTAGAAGGTAATGATGTTGGTCCCTGGAAGCATTACGATAATGGAAAATGTTGCAGTGATGATGATGCGCTTCCGGTTCGCTGGGGTGCTGAATGACTGTCGCCAGGAGAGCTGTTGGCTCTTCTCCCAAGCAATCGTGTCGGTTATCTCTCGGAATTGAACGAGCACCACTGGAGCCTCCTTGTCGCCATTGGCGTTGAGCGCTGCTAGCACTTCCAGAGCCTCATCGTGCCGATCATGGTCAATGAGAAACCTGGGTGATTCTGGAAGGAACAGGAGGACAATCATACACAAGATGCTGGGGACAATCTGGACCAGGCTGGGTGTTCTCCACGCCCATGTCGACGAGTAGTGTTGCGTCTGTATAACAAACTATGGTTGAGCAGTGGCCCGGCCAGCAGTCATCGAAATGCTTACCGAATAGCAAACACCTGAAGCGAGAAGGGTCCCGACGCCCCAGCAAGCGTAGTACAGACCTAATGCCACGGCGCGGTGCTTTGGAGGAGCACACTCAGCCACATAGATCGGACATGCTGTCTGGGCCAGTGCTAGTGCCGCTCCTGGGCTCGTGTCAGACAATACGACGCTCCCAGGACGCTTGGTCTCGCTCGACACTTACCGACGATGAAACGCCCAGCGATGAACATGCCGATGTTTTGGGCCGCGGTTTGGATGACGGCGCCAATAAGCGCGAGCACTGCAGAAAGCATAATGCTCTTCCATCGGCCAATCCAGCCGACGACAAATCCAGCCAGGAGGGCAGAACAGGATCCTCCAACGTACGAGATGGCCGTATTCAGGGACTTGGTGGCCGTGGTCAAAGTGAAGTAGTTCTGATATGTCGGCATCACGTTGAGACTGCCCATGATCGAGCTGTCATAGCCCAAGAGGACCGAGTCGACAACCGAGACCGAGACGACGGCGACGAGGAGTGCCATCTGTGACGTGGGGACGAGGCGAGACAGAGGTCCCGCAGGACGAGTCCATTGTCGCATGATTCTCGTTCGATCCCAGCGGGTGGGCTGAGCGCTGTCAAAGACGGAGTGATGTAGCTGATGCCCTGTCGCGTGCTAGAATTCAGACGCAGAGAGCATTGGCGACGCCGAGGACACACGAGATCCGTTGTGCGTGACAACCTTGCAGCAGGGGTTTTATATTGCACGCCAGGGCTCATGCACACTCTCTCCTTGAGATAGCCGATATCAAGCAGATAGAACAGCCCGCGTGCCACCTACCTATTGCCTTATCAAGGAGCGATACTCCAACGTCGCGTCCCCAATGACAAGGCCGACTCTGATCTCCGCATTGGCATACAAGGGGATGCGGTGCGACTATGGTTAGCATCTCTTTCGACCTTGCAGATAGAGCGTAGATCCTTCTTGGAACCCAGACCACGATTGGACAAGGGGAAAATGTCTTACATGTCTAGCTTCAGGCTTGCCTGGCCCAGACAATCGGTAGGAATGATCGACTATTCGAGCGCGATACCAACGGAGACTGCCGACCAGCTAAAGTCACAAGACACGGCAAGTGGCCGCAATGTACAAGAGGTGGTACTCAAAGCCTAGAGTGGTCTTGGTCTTTGGCGATATCAAGTCGCAAGGTCTTTCAGACAAGTAGTTGGGAACTGAAGAGGACGATGGGCGCACGCAAACACAGCTACAAGAAAAGGCGGGGTCCGGAACAAAATTCTGCCTAACACCACCAGCCAACAATCGACATGTACCGAGCACCGACCAGTGTCAACGGTGTCAACGTTGCTGGCAACAGGCAACTAGGCTAGTAGTGCAAGAAATGGTTCTGTTTCTGGTATAACATAGATTGGTGCTAGTACAGATATGCTCACTTAAAGCACCGAGTGGATATAGATATGTCCCAACGACCTTAAATATGGTATGAAGGCCCAGCCATCGCCACCATTCAATGGCGATGGAGACCTCGTGGTACAAATCACGATGTTACTGCCAGATCCTGCATGACTTATCCATCGTAGGGTTCTCCCCCGTTCTTTCAAGCTGTTTTTCCAACAACCGGACAGACCGCACCTTTCGCGGCAGTCTCAAGGTTGGGATGCTCATGCACTTTGTCCTTGTGGTGCTCAAACTTAGCATTTGTGACGGGACAGACATCACCATGCTTTGCGTCGCTCGTCGAGGGATGGTTCGGGGGCAAGACAGTAGAGACAGCGCCGACTACGGGACAGATTCCCTCGTCCATGGCTTGTTGTTCGGGACGGCTCACGATTTTGGAAAGCGCAGGACAGTTTTCAGCGTGGGCGAGGTCTTGGTTGGTCGAGTCGAAGATCCCGGGGTGCTTGTGGAGATTGTGATGATGGTCTGTGGTGGCTTTGGTGACTGGGCAGACCTGGCCAGGCTTGTCCATGTCGAACTCGGGGTGTTTGGGAGGGAGGACGGTGTTGGTGGTACCAACCACGGGGCAAACTTGAGCAGCGGCCATGTTGACAGGATGAATCGGTGGTAGTTACAAGATCAACTTTGAAAAAATCGTCAATAGAGAAAGTGATGGGAGATGCTTGGTATGTGAGAAACAAAGAAAGGAGAGATTTCTAAGGGCTGCAGCAGGCCACACCGTGTCTGACAAAGGCAGAGTGAATGGCTTGGTAACGTGTTGCCAGTCAGCCTTGCCAAAACACAATGACGTAGTGCTTGTCCCTTCGCATTCCCACCCCCGCATCCTAATGGGGAATGTCTCATGGCCAATCACATCTTCGCAGTTGCTAAGCCTGCGGTTAGCATCGGAACAACCCATTGCTTCCCCCAAAACAATAGACGTCGCCATGCCAGCCTTGTCAGTGTGTACCGAGTATTTGTATCAATCTGTGTGCCTTGCAACTCCACATCACAGCGGGAATGGACAAGTCGGCATGGAAAACAAATCAGTAATGCCAGACCCAGGCAGATGCTGAGGTGCCTGTAACGCTTGAGGCCAGGTATCTTCTTAGGTAGGACAGGTATGGAGAGTCCTCATCCTCTATTCGTCATTGGTTCTTCCGCGCCATCTCGATGGCCTTTACCGCTAACGCTGTCGCAACACCTCGACTTCCAATCTTCAGACTGATTTTTCCAGTCTGGCAGAGCCAGCCAATCGGCCACCCGCCATCTTCTTCCTGCAATGCTTCCAGCTTCCTCAAGTCAACGTTATTCTTGAGTCCCATATCAAGACAAGCAATGACGCGCATGGCCAGTTCTATCGTATCCCCTGGTGACCCGATTCGTTCTTGCAATCGTTCACGCAGAAGAGCGCAAGTGCTGCGGTAAATGTCGCTCTCGGGATTGGCGCTTAGAAGGCGGCTGAAAAGGTACAAGAAGACGTCTCCACTAGAGTAGTAATACGTTCCATCGAGGTATGCTCGGTAGAACAGGACATCCGAAACCCAGGCTTTTGTAGGTTGCAATGCGGACAAGTCGTCGCGGCCATATTTATAGAAAAACCGAAGAGCATTGACGCAAACGGCGGGATCGATACGGGGTCGTTTGTTGTCGAAGTATGTCTGTGGATGTCAGTCTTGGCCGCAGGAAATTAACACAAGGACGAAACTCACGAGAATGATGCCATCTCGGTTTGTGTACAGCAGGACCTCATCAAGGATCGAGTGCGCCTTGACGACATCATGGGGCAGGAGGATCATCGCCAGCGAAGTCGTATCAATATCGTCGGGGTGCCTTTCAATGGTATCAATGGGTTTCTCTTTTACGTTGATTAGTTTCTCAGGGGCTAACGAGGTTACGGAGTCTCATCCTCACCAATGTAGTAATTCCATGTGCGCTCGTAGAATGTCAACGAGACAAGATTTCTTAAAGCCCATATTGTTAGCATGTAACACGAAAGATTTCACAGACGGGTGTTTTGAGACCCACAAATCACCAGCCGCTTCATATAAGAAGAGCTGGGCAAAATTGTCTCTCACTTCTCGTCCATCGAGGGTAACAGACCACATATCCTTAGCGTTCCTTTGCAGCCACTGGCGTCCTCGTTCGACTCTATCATCGAAGATGTGGTGTATGAATCGCCTCAACCCTGCAGCATCTCTGTATCTGAGGCATCTGATGCCCATGGATCGTGCCGCGAGGATATTTTCGGCATTGTCGTCCACAAAGATGGCGTCTTTCGGCTTCATGTTGATCTTGTCAAGTACATGGCGGAAGAACCCGAGCTCCGGTTTACACATGCCCACTTGAGCGGAGATGAAGAAGCCATCAAACAAGGTCCAATCGTACCGTGTGTCCCCCTCCAAAGCCTTCCATTCAGGCAAGGGAATGTTCGACATCAAGAAGACTTTTAAGGAGCCGTGATAAGTATTTTTCAAGTCTCGAATCATGCCGAAAACCTCTTGATCAGGACTGAGGGAATCTGCGGCCTGCTTGAATGCCTCTGCGACATCGGACAACAGGAGACCATACTGTCTAGCAAGACCCTCGTAGCATTCTTCTTGTGTAATTACACCTGAGTCATATTCATGCCAGAAGCGAGTTTTGAGAAGCCGGTGCAACATTGCTGACGATATTGGCAGGGCCGCCGGAGCAGTCCAGTTGCACAACACATCACCAAGGTCCATGATAAGCGCCGACACATTGGGTTTCGGCCATTCGGGTGTGACTTTATTGGTCGCTGCTTCACCATTAGAATCCCCAAACTCTCCATGTCCGAGATCATGCACAACAGGCGCGGCTGTAGACCTTTCATCTAAATAGCAGGCTGAATCCTGCCGTGTTGGCGCAGACTTCGGCAACGGATCAGGATCGGCTGCTTCCGAGATTGGTGAATCGACAACGAGATTCGGCTCTGGATCGATCGGGCTATGGTCATTTGCCTCTGTGCTGCTCTGGCCTGAGGAAATATCCGTCACCGCCACTTGAGCCTGGACCTTCGAATCTTGGGAATTTAGTTCCAGACCGTGTGTTCCGTCGTGCTCAGGTGGGTCAGGGAGTGCATTCCCCCCGAGCTTGGTGTAAATCGGGAGCAGAACGCTGGGTTCTATTAGCATTGACTTGGTAGAAGCCATGATGAGTTCCCGAGAGAAGGAGATGGTGAGATAGAGAAACAGGAAACCAGCGATCCAGACGAGCAGTATATGTGCTATTCGGCTGCGGAGACATTGGAACGGCGGTTTCCCATGTTCTGTCCTGGACATACAGTGGGCAAGCAACATTGGCCACAGCTAGCATCTCTAATCTTTGCTCTGGGCATACCGGCCTTGTCCATTCTTTCCCCCGAACCGTGGGACTGGTACCCATGGTCACATCATCGTGAAGCCGGTGTCTTCCAGGGATATCCAGCTGCGTGGGCGCATGCCGCTGGAATTGACGGCGTGAAAGTCGACGCCGGTGGGTCATCAACCTAGACAGTAGTCTGGATGTGCTGGCTCACAGCCATAGGATTGGCCCAGAAGCTAGAGTCACGAAAAGACACCATGATCCACGTAAGGAGGACAGTGAATCCAGTGGAGGAAGGGATGCGGCAGAGGCGAGACTGTTGAATGCAAGGGAATCCTGTGGTGTCATCAGACTGAATTGATAAAAAGGCAGTTGCCTGCCCTAGGGATGCATGTCAGTGGGATCTCGCGTTATTAATGATGCTCTAGGCAGGCAAATGATAGGACGATTTGTTGAACACCTGCATGTGAATAGCCAACGAGATGGTTCAGTGGGAGGAAAAGCAGCTGGAAAGGCATTCCCTCTCAGGCACTCCCGCTACACAAACATCAGAACAGGGCCTCGCATGTTGATCTTCGGGATGCGGGGATGAGTTGCATGCATGAAAACAGTCTGAAGTGATGAGGTGGCAGGAGGATGGAAACATGTGCTGGCCGTTGACTGGGTCTTTTCCACCGCATTTGCACCATTGCCTAGCCATTTCCAGCCCTTGAGATTCTCTTCTTCACTAGATGATCCTTCGCTACCCGAGGCATGGTCTTGCACATTTTCAGGTGGGTAGTTCCAATCGACCCCGAGATGGTACAGCAGTTGCTGACGGGGACCAGGGAAGGTCTCGATAATTTATAATGTTCTGGGGGGGATGAAATTGGCACAAGCACAACAAGCCAACTCGACAGGACAAGAGAAGATGTGAAGGACAACGAAACAGTTATGGCCGCATAGTCACCTGGTGAGGGACACAGAGTACTGAGCGGGAAACCTGCCCTTCTCGGTGTTGGCCGCCAGCCGCTTCACTTGCCCTCGTTGCCTCGTCTCACCTGCACCTTCACTTCTCTACCTCGTACACCAGGAGCATCAGACTGATATGTAGCTCAGACTTCTAGTGACGACCACAAATGATCAGCCACCGACTAAACGACATTATCAAGATCCAATTGAATATCGGCCAGCGCTGCTACCTACTCGGCTGTCAGCCCAAGGCACAAATCGAAGCACACCTGTTCGTTTTGGTTTTCTTTGTTAAACGTAAAGCTGAATCGACCGTTGTCAATAAGTAGTGGTCTTGAACAATGCTACCGATACTATTGTCAACATTGTCGCTACTCTAGAACCTTCCTTAGCAGCGATTTGTGATGCGGCAAACTCAGTCTAGATAGGATGGGGGTAGGGAACGGTTTGTACAGGTGACATTGCTAGATACAAAACTTGCCACAGAAAAACTGTATAGTCAACGCCTCTCCAGTGTCTCAACCAATATTCGACGCTATCTTGGACATTCGTATTGCTGGTAACAAAAAATCGTAGGAATAACGCAGGCTGTTCGCTGTTCGCTGTGCAGCCCACAAACTTTTTGTCGGGATCTCTGAGACTGCCTCCTACCAATCAATCATCTCTTGGGGAAAAATTCGTACATATCTCGCTTGCAGGTCATTGGGAACAAAGGCCATAATCGTTGTACATGTCTCGTGTGTATTGGCGTTGGATTGGCAATCGGTTGTCGGCCAATTCGTCCGAGAATTATCTTTGCGCTCCGGGCTCAACGGAGTAGGTTGGCAGGATTCAAACTGAGTCTGTGTGGTTCCATGGGTTCTCCTTTCTTCGTTTCGGGCCAACGAGCACTCCGCAAGGGGCGATCATCTGTGCTTTTTAATATGCGTGAGGCCTGTCGTCCCAATGACGCACGGAGTCCACGTCACGCTCCTTGATGCTCTCTGTCGCCATTTTGGTGTCGCCAATCCCAGGCTCAAGGTTTGTAGATGCCAACTCTTCTTGACTGCTGGCAGCGTCGTTGATATTTGAAGTGATATTTGTGCGAGACTTCTTCGTCTGATAGTTTTCTAGGGCGATGCTCTGGGGCTGAACTCTGACGGAGTTGCTGTTCGCATAGCGTGCATAGCCGCGAGAAGGGTTCGATCCGTGCCGAGTTTGGTAGATGGTTCTGGCTTTACGGTAGAGACCAGGCCCGCAGCCAATCAAGACAGCTAGAGGACGCATCAGGGCCTGGGGAATGGAGCGAAACAGGGGATTACTGTACCTATCGAGGACTCAACGATACCCCATAGAGCCAGCCAAGTTGTGCTAGGTTGAGTGTTGTTGACCGTGCTCCCAAGCTCCTTGACTCGGATTGTGGCGACCACAATGCAGACGAATCCCAGACAAAAGAGAGCACCAATGCTCGCCTTCTGAGTCCTCGGCATCTTCAGGTTCCAGATGAGGTCAAGGGGTAACAGCATGACTGGGACTTTGTTAGTGGCCGGAATGTTCGTTGGCAGGTATCAATACTGACTCATGAGATCAGTGACGATGTCAACCGCATAAGCGTACCAAAGGCTGATACTTGCAGCCTTGACGTCGCGAGGGGTTGAGCAAGCACCAGCGGTGAACCAGGCTTTCATGCTCGAACAAGACAGCATCGACGAGGTGATGGCACCCGCCAGAACCTAGCTAAGTCAGCCTGATCACACCGTATGATGGAGGAGAGGAGGGGGGTCTGGGACAACGAACCACCACGCAAAAGATCACCACAGCCCACCACAATCTGATTTTGTGCGGCAAGGCTTTCATCAACTTTTTGTAGACAGCCATCAGGGAAAACTTGACACACCACAGACAGAGCCACAAGCCCGAGGTCGTGACGAAGAAGATCTTCTGGATGAAGAGCCCATCATCGGCGACCGTGGGGTACAGTGGGATCTGCCCATCGGCAAGTTTGGTGAGCCGAAACATGGTCGGCGCAGCCACGATGTACAGGATGGACAGGGCCAAAAAGAAGATATAGGCGGCTAACAGCCAGCCATCGTCCCAACCAAACCTGCGCTGCTGTTCGGCCGACACAAAAATGCGGAAGCCGGCGACAAAGGTGGTCAGGATGATCATGGTGATGCCCGTCGCCCTCACCGAGACCTCGGTCACATAGTTGCCACCCATTTCGAAATGTCGAGGTTGAACAGCGTCGGCCCAGGACCTGGAAAGACGAGGAGTCTGATGATGGCGCCCGATGGGATTCCCTCTTCTTGTACCCGGAATTCTCTGTTCTCGTATCCCATCCTTTTGAGTTTTGGCCAGGAATATAGGTTGGCACGTTGAATGAAAAGGGAGGCGAGGTTCAAACAGACTAATCGAGGCCAGTCAAGTCTAAAGCACGAGGGGAATGGGACTCTAGGCTCAGCGAGGCTCGCAGGCGAACCCGATGTTTCCCTTACCAAGCTTTGGGATACCACGTCTTGATCTACAGGTAGCGTGCATTGCATCCCTGTGCTCGATGGACCATTCCCTTGGGCGAGGGTAACCGTGGACGGGAGGCGTGAAGAAAGTCGACAGGCAGCTAAGAACTGAGACCAGCTCGAGTCCAAACCCGGCTGGAACATGTTGCAACCAATCTAGGTATGGAAGATGAAGCCTAGTGGGCTTTGCAAGTGTGTGTTTAGCGTGGCTAATGCATGGTCTAGGTATAAAGTAGGTATAGCCTGGTATAGGGACCTGGAAGTAAGTCAATTTCCTAACAGGGTTACCATGGGACGGGAAGTTCCAGGCAAATTCGTGGTGCGAGTATTCGGTACAAGTACAGTACTTGCAGGTAGGAATGGCTAAGAACTGGCCCATGCAAGAAACGGCCCCAAGGAATGATTGATATCTTTGCTGGTCAATCCGTTGTGCCTTTTCTACAAGGGGAGAAGTGAGTGAAGTTGGTCGGATCACCTGATCTACTTGGCACCAAACTGCGCTTCCATTTTTTCTTTTCTTTTTTTCCCCTTACTCTTCTCTTCAAGGACTGAACTCGTCCACAAGAACATATCTAATCAGTACAAGTACATCAACACTCGAATAGTAAGGACAGGCAATACATATGCCCGTCCTTCTCTCCATCTTCGTTCTCATCCTCCTCCTCCTCTGGCCCTAGCCCCGAAGCCGGGCGTTGGTACTATCCGTGCCCCCACCCCTCCTCCGAGTAATCCCCAACTTACCTATGCTTCGGATGCACGGACCGTTTACTAGGCCTTGAAGCCACTCCGTTTTCGAGTAGCGAGGCAGCCCGTTGCTTCGAGGCTCACCCTCCATCCCCACCATTTTCCCCCTGTGCCTTACATATTCTGGGTAAAACAAGGCCGTTGAGACACTGTTGGTGGGTCTTGGGGCGCGCCGATCCCTTCAGACCCATGTTGACCCCGGTTGACCCGCAACAATGGCGCCATGATGGTGGCAGCCAGTGGCTCTTAGGGACTGCCTAAGGTAGGTACTGTTGCTTCACGTGGGAAAGAGTGCTCACACTATCGAAGACTTTCAGACTAGGTACCTCGTACTTGTGCAAGTTCCCCCAAAGTAACCCGGTGGCTGCGACCTGCTCTCCTCCTGAGTTCCTTGTCCTTCTTGTCTGGCCGTCCCAGTCTACGTGTACCTACCTAGGTCGAGACAATGCACCCCGGTAATTTCCAGACTTTTCGGAAATTGTCCCTTTTTCTTCCTTGACAAGCAGACCAGCCGCTGCAAAGACGTGTCCTAGCGCTCCGACACACAGACCAAGTGCACTCGTGGTCGACCGATCCCATCGGCTGCCCTCGCCACGACGATCGTGGCACATGGGAAAGACGTCTTGAACCAGGACCCAATCTATCTATGAGGACCAGTCTGTGATAGCGGCAAGCCGAAATGCCGAAGTCTGAGGTTAACATGCTCTATCGTGTACCATTTGGTACCATTTGGTGCCCTTTATCTGTGCAGAAACGTTGACGCTAGGGTAAACTGCGAGATTGATCCTTGGAGAGCCAAGCAAACCGAATTGCTTTAGAAGACTTCTACATCCTTCTTTAACGTCTGTCACTTCCCTGTTCCTCTGTTTTTTCTCCAATCCGGTCGGATCTTCAAGTATCTTTCCTTGTTCGGCAATGCGTTACTCGTCTGGCTGCCTTTTGGCAGCCCTCGCTGTGACTGTCCATGCACAGTCTAACTCAAGCGATGTCGTTGAACCTGCGACTCTCACGGTGCCTGACAGTGCACCCTTGAATTCGACTGATGGCATCGAGCCCGTCGATTTCAACGTTACCCAGGCCTTGGTGGACATGGGAGTCGACGTCTCGGCACTCCCAGTGGCCCAACTTGCCGAACGCTCGTCTAATGCTGCATGTTCGCTTGCGGTGAGTGGCTGAAGAGGAAGAGGCGTACCCTCCATTGTCGAATACGAGCTAATGTGTTTCATCCAGTGCGCCTCTTTGCAGCTTCTCTATGGCTCTCAAAACATCGAGTTCAGTAACGAGGCCGGCTATGACGCTTTCACTTCTGGCTACTGGTCGCAGATCCAAGAGAATGTGAACCCGTACTGCATTTTCAAGGCACCGAACAAAGGTGCCGTGTCAGTGGTGATTCTGCTCTCTCGCTTGACCACCTGCCCTTTTGCAGTCAAGAGCGGTGGCCATGCAGCATTCCAAGGTGCTTCCAACATCGAAGGCGGCATCACCGTCTCTCTCGCCGCGCTGAACTCCATCACCGTCTCCAAGGATAAAAAGACTGTCGCCGTCGGACCAGGCAATACCTGGAATTCAGTCTATACTGCCCTCGCGCCCTCCAACTTGGCGGTGATTGGTGGACGTGTCGCTCCAATCGGAGTTGGTGGTCTCACCACTGGAGGTGGCATCTCCTTCTTCTCCTCTCTCTACGGTTGGGCCTGCGACAACGTTGCCTCGTACGACGTCGTCCTGGCCTCAGGGTTTGAGGTCACGGCTTCACCGTCACAGAACTCCGACCTCTACTGGGCTCTTCGCGGCGGTGGCAACAATTTTGGTATCGTCGTCAACTTCAACCTTGAAACCATCAGCCTGCCTGGGGCACAGCTGTGGGGCGGCACCCGTGTCTACCTTGAGGACCAATTCACCAATCTGGCTAGTGCTTTCGCCGGCGTCGTGAGTGATTCCCCCAACGACGGCAATGCTGGCCAATGGGTTGCCTGGCTGGCGAACAACGGGACCAAGATTGCCTCTGCCGAGCTCTACTATGCCAAACCCAACGGCCAAAGTGCCGCCATCTGGAACAACTACAATGCCCTCACAGCCATCTCGGACTCGACGCAAAACCGACAGCTGCCTGCCTACACGGTCGAGCTGGCGTCCTCGAACCCTTATGGCTTGCGGGAGACATACTATGGCTTGACCGTCAAGGCTGACCCGTCGATTGCTGCGCAAGCAAAGGATATCTTCTACCAACTCCTTCCCACGATAGCTAACGTGGCGGGCGCCAACCCGGTCCTGATCTACCAGGGCATCACGCTGCCGATGATTGAGAAGATGTCGAAGAATGGCGGCAACCCGTTGGGCATCTCCGTGTCAGACGGCCCGCTGTACCTGATCCATGTGGCATGCTGGTGGGACAACGCTTCGGACGACACGGCCGTCTACACTTTCATCACCAAGGTGTTGAACCAGATAAAGGCTGCGGCGACCCAAAAGGGCAAGCAGAACGACTACATCTACATGAACTACGGCGGCGTGTACGAGGATGTGATCAAGAGCTACGGCGCCGCCAACAAGGCCAAGCTCAAGAACATCGCCACCAAGTACGACCCGACGAAGGTCTTCCAGGTCCTGCAGCCGGGCTACTTCAAGCTGGACCGCGCCCCGGTTGTCGACTCGAGGTTCTTCTCGGGATAGGCGAGGGACAACAGACGTTTGTTGTGCGACAGCACTAGGGAAGATCGGCGAGAGGAGTGAGGAGGTTGCAGGTTGGTGGACAGAGCTGACTGACCTTCATAGAGATTTGCATGCTGGCGTTTAGACTCTTTTGAATTTTTGAACATGTACCAATCCATGCTGGCGGTGCACGGGGCCGAGGACGTGCCCAGAAGCCCCTCCCTTGCATTTTGAAGAGCTGAGCGAATTGGAAACATCTAGCTAGACTGTAATGATATGAAGCGTACGTACGAGTAATATATAATTTCTCAACCGGAGCCTTTCGATTCAATAATCTGTTGAGAGGTGTGAGGATCCCTGAAACCTGGATCGTGAGAGACGTGTCTCGTGTTGAATAAGTGGACCATCCTCGAAACAGGTTGTTCTGGGTATTTCTTCGTGTCATGGTTGTTTCCTTTCTTTTTGGGTCTTGCACATGGACTTGTACAACAGAGTACCTACCTAGGCAGCACCAAGAATCAACTCTTGAGTCTTGAGTCTTGAGTCTTGCCGCCAAACTCTGCCCTCCTAAACTCGAGGGATGGCGAAGCTCTCGTCGTCGGCGAACGTGTGATCGAACGCGTCGACCAGATCCGCTGGCGGCACGCCGCTGTAGAGCGCCGACATGGTCTCCTGGACCTAATGGATGCGCTGGCCGATGCACACCTCGGGCCGGGGTCGTGGTTGACTTTGCTGTCTTTGCTCGAGGACGTTCTGGAGGTATCAAGACGCGGTGAGGTGGTCGGCGTGGCCGTGCGTCTCGAGGATCTTGGACACGGTGTATTCGTGCTTGGCCACCACGTCGAGCATCTGGTCGGCCGGCTGCGTCGACACTTTTCCCGTGTCTTTATCATAGTCGAGCACTGGGTTGATGATGACGGTGTCCTTTGCCTGTTCGTCCGCGACGATGTATTGCCACGTGCCTGTGACAGGCTCATAGAGTGCGCGGACTTTAGGCTCCATTTGCGACTTTGCTTAGTTCCGTGGAAGTGCTCACTCTCCAGTGTCAGTCTCCTCGAAGTACAAGGTACCTCCAGACACAACTCACCAAGGACGTAAAAACGACATATATTCAGTCTAGATCTGCGTGGGTGTGTGTGGAGGATCCGATTATAAACGCCGAAGCATTGTCGCCAGGCTACACGCCCCGGCACACACGAGGCTGAGTTCGGACTTCATTACAGGCTCAAGTCCCCGTGGCTGACACGACCAGGAACTGGCCACAACGAACGGACCGCACCAAATGCAGCAGTGTCGAGGTCTATATCATCAGCTGAGACTCCGTCAGGATTAAGGACTAGCGCGTCGCTCGTCCCCCCTGAGCTGGATTGCCGTGTGTTCGTGAATCAGGGAATAACATCTCGGCTTCAGATCTCAAGTCTGCGCCCAAGGATATTGGGCCGAATATCTCCCCTCAGAAGCAGAACAAAGGAGATAGAAAACACACAACAACATGAGCACGGTTCTCGCTTCTTGTTCATCAGCTGATGCAGGCATAGAACGCCAGTTCCTCGGATTTTATTGTCAAAATCCCTCCCTCTTCGTCCCCGAATTTGATTCTTCCTGATGGACATACAGGGGAGCGGGGACAGAAGGAGAGGGTTTCTATGGTGGTTTTACCCAAGTTCCTGTCCATCCCATGGACATCATTGCCATAAGTTTTGCCCATAATCGTGTTTTCCACTGTTTCTTCTGGTCCCCGAGCTCGTCCTCATGTACCATATTGATTGGCTCGGTAGGTGCGCGAGGCTCCTCGGGGAATCGTGCAGGGTTGTCACTGCTTGTCTCTTGCCTCCAACCTTCTTGCTCATTCTTCATTGTTCCTCAGGCATGATATTCCCTCCTCTGCAGTTATTTTGCCAATCCTTCTCGCGAATTTTGACGTAGGTCTGAACCCATTGCACAGCCTGAGGCTGGTTCAAGTTGACTCTCGCTTCGGACATTATGTGTAGAGCATGTGGCTGCTGTCCTGTCAGTAGGTTCGCCTTGGTCTGATCTGGTGGACTCCAGGCCGACGTGTGGTCTTGTCGTTTGACTTTTGGATTGGCACGGAAGAAAGAAAGGTCTCTCTTCCACAGCATGATGCACTCACCAACCCTCTCACCTAACCCATCATCCCCAAAGCATCCTCGCCATCCTCGATTTCATCTACTTCCGCCTCTTTTCCACGATGACTGTCCTCCTCCTGTCGTCCCCACCACTGCTGGGCTTTCCTTTCGTCGCAGTCGCTGCCGGTGCTCCTCTCTTTTCTGCCTCTTTGCGCATCCTGGCACGGCGTTCCCGCTCATCCTCGCTTGACTCTTCGGAACTCTCGGTCGATCCGCATTCGGAGGAGCTCGAGCTCCATGCACCACACCGCTTACCACCGCAGTCGAGTTTGACCCGCTGGCCAGAGCGTGTGACGCCATAGCGCTCACAGCGGCAGCTGTGGTCGCTGACGCTTGACAAGCTGGAGGGAGAAGAACGCGAGAAAGCCGTGCCCGAAGAAGAGCTGTCGTCTGACAATTCGGAGGGCGAGCGAGACGAGTCAGCAATGCGCCAGCCTGCGAAACGCTCTTCGAGGTCATCTACGGGAGATACCTCATAGTCGGCCTCGCGTAACTGACGGGACGCGTAGGGCTTGCTGGGCTTCGGATGTTGGATCTTGCCAGGGCTCAGGGCACGGCCTTGGGGAACCTCCCTACTATGGCGCGAAGTTGACACTTCCGTGTTGACACTAGGCCTGGTTGGTTTGGCGCTGGACTTGTCGCCTCCTGGAACGTCTATGATGTTGAGCTTGCGGCCTGTGGTCTTCTCCGTCACATATTCCTTGGCTGGGTCGTGAGAGACGTGGTAGCCATCAACGATGTAGTAGTACCAATAGCGGGAGCCCAACTTGAGGGCATTCGACCCTTGGAAGCGGAAGTTGCCTTTCCAGGAGCCTGGTTTGGCGGCAGGATCTTTGGTCAGAGACAGAGGCAGCTGGGATTTGTAGTTGTCCCATGAGCCGAGCAAGTGCACGGTGCGCACGTTGGGCGACGTGCGGAGGGTAAAGGAGAGTTGCACGGTTGGAGACGACATCCTGGTCTTCCTTTTTTTTTTTGTGTTTGTAGGTATAATGGATACTGATGGATTAATCGCTTTTCTAGGTATTCGAGTCAGCTGAGTGAAGTGGCAATGGATTGAAACACATTAAAAAAAGGGATTGATACATTTACTCAAGAAAAGACGTGTCGTCGAGACCTTTGGGGTTCGTAACAATGCGTGAAATGACTCGTTAGGCTGCTGAAGAGCTGTAAAGGGCTGTGCAACGAATAATCGTCCGAATTAAAAGCGTTAATGATGCTCTGTTGGTAAAAATGCTGAACCAGATGAATAATCGACAGACCAAGTACACCCCAGTACTCAGATCAACGTCCACGTGTGCGTATTATAGTGATTGCCGTCTAGAAGGCTTTGTCTAGACCGAGCAGAGCTTCCTCGACAGATAGGTCAAGGTGAATAGATGATTTGCTTGATATCTCGGAAGGTTTCAGAAAGGTGCTTGTAGGTTGGTGTCAGGTAGATTGACCGGCAATCGTGGTGACGACACAATGGAGAGCGTTGATCGAGGGTGTAGTGATGCTTGATGCTGAGGCAATAACGGCGCCGAGCAGGCTGGGGCCGTAGTGAATCCGACTTCTGGTCGGGCTCGTTCAAGAGACTCCCTTGAAGGACGAGGCAATAGGTGCTTGGTCTGGATCGACTGGAGTGATGAGACACGATGAGAAAAGCGACAGTATCGACAACAACGATAACAGGATGATTGACAAAGGATTAAGTTGTTGGAGCGGCACAGCAAGTCAGGCCGGCGGGTACGAGATGAACAGCTATTAGGTATCTTGGTTGGAAAGAATGATCGTTGACCGGCAACGATGATGGTCTCCTCGCAAGGTGCTTGATTGACGAAGATTGTCTGTTTTTTGCTTTCTTTTGACAGATCTTCTGCAAAGATCGGATGTTGTACCTGTGGGCAAAGGGGAAGACACAAGCAGCAAGAATGAGCACAGCTCGTAAATGCCACAAGGGGTTGCTGTAGGACGAAGTGAGTTGATATGGACAATTAACAATTGACTTGGGATCGAAGTCAATAGTGTACCAGACACTATCTCTTTGCAGAAGGAGATGAAATTAGGAGTTTTGATTAATCCAAAAAGAACAGAATTCAAGAATAGCTCTCACACCGCACGACCAGAGTTGACAAGACTTGCTTGCTTAGGAGGGGAAAAAGGAAAGGGAAAGGCAGAGTCGCAGCAACGGGAAGGGGATGGCAATATTTAGATACAACAGCATCATGCTCAATGGGCCACGGGCAGGTGGAGGAAGAGGCCATTCCGAGGTTGCAGGCAATAGTGTGAACATGAAGGATGGATGGCAGCAACAAACCAGCCAGAAGCCAGTAGGAAGAAAGAGATGGAGAGGGGAGTTTGAAAGAACCAGATGAGAGGGGAACAAGCCGGGCGCTTAGAGAAGGACGAAGGCCATCGATTGGATCAAGAGATGTGGGCGGTTAAGCAGGTGAAGTAGTGTGACTGGCTGATGGAGATGCATCACCATCCAATCAATGGCGTTTGGGGCTAAGAATAGAATGAGTGGGTGAGCGAGAATTGAAGGAAGTAGAGGAAGAAGCAGAGACTGCGACAAAAGTAGAGAAGAGAAAAGATGTGAAGAGCAGGGCACAGGAGAGGAGGCAACAGAGGGAAAGAGCCACCCATGACGTCCCTCGAAGCGCCTTCCCATTCATTCATTATTCATTCATCCCTCCTTCCTTCCTTCCTTCCATCCATCGATGCATCCACCCCACCAACAATGTGACAGAGCACATGCATATCGTCACATGGAGATACGAGTAGACGACCAAAGTGCACAAGAGAGGCATCTTCACCTGGACACCCAAATGATTACCTATATAGGTACGAGTGAATCCAATGGGCGCCTAAATGACAAGATGGTTGTTGCTAATGGAGGTGGTGCTGGTAGAGAGACAACTCCAGATCATCCATCCGACAAGGACTTGTAGAGACAATCCAGAAATTCCCCGCCCTAATTGGACCCGTACGAGTACACACATAACCGCCCCGGCCCATGCCGACAGCGAATCCACCTCTATCCACCTCTACCCCCCTCTCCAGCACACCCATCTTCCATCCTGAGCCTGGCTTGTATAACACAGACCCGGTCCAACCATAACCTCCACCTGCAACTGACCGAATTCATCGCTTCCTTGTCGTCGTCAATCCCCGGCCAACAACACTCCCGGTCTAGAACCATTCCTTCGCCAGCCAGCGGTTGAAAAACTCCAGGCTGGCCTCTGGCTGATCCAGAGGGACCATATGACCGCCTGCATGGATACGCATAAAGGTAAAGTTGCCATGCGACTTGACTTCTCCAATCTTGCGCCCGTCCTTGCTGTCGTCCAGCCGAAGATCCTTCATGTCAGCTGCCGCAAACTTCTTGTGGTCAGGATACTCGAGCGCCTCCGCCCACGCCTTGTTGCCCAGCCAGTTGCAAATGAAGTCGGCATCCCCCGCATAGATCAGGACTGGCATCTTCTCGATAAGACCCGGCACAAGTCGGTGGAAAGGTTGCATCCAGTCGCCCTGGAACAGGAAGTTGCGGTTGATGTCAAAGTTGCACGAGTCGTAGCCGTCAACCTCCACCCCAAGTGCTTTCATCACCGACTTCTCATTGAGCCACTTGCTGATCCAGCCAAGTTCGGGATAGCACAAGTTGCTGCTGTCCTTGCACTTGCCGCGGACATCGTAGACGTTCTGACCCGTTCGTTGATAAGGTGCGAGCAAGGCGTTGTTGCAGTAGATGCTGGCGGGGACACACGACCACACGCTCTCGCTGTCATAACAGTTTTGGATCAGTGATTGGCAGCGAGGAAGGGCGTTGTCCATGGCCTGGCAGGACTGTGGGTCAAGCACGGCCGGCCACCCGCCGTCACCGCACGCCATTGGTCGATAGTATTCGTATTGGGTGTATCCATCTGTCAAGCCATTGCCAATCAAGACCGACGTAAGCTTGATATTGGTTTTCTTATGTGACAGGATTTCTGAAGCGAAGACGGGAATGTAGTGCCCAGCGTACGACTCCCCGGCGATGTGGAAGTCCTGCTTGGCATATTCGGGGAATTGCTCGAAAAAGAGGGTCAACAACGCATAGACATCCTTGCCGGCGGCCACGGTGTTGGAGACACTGGAGCTGGAGTAGGAATAGCCAACGTTGACAGGTTGGTCCAGGAAGATGACGCTTGCATTGTCATTCCACGAGTACGGGTTCGGAACCAGCTGAAGCTTCTCGTTGATGCGCGAAGGTCCGAGCTCGAGGAACAGACCGGTCAGAGAAGAGCAGCCTGGGCCGCCGTTGAGCCATAAAACGACTGGGTCGTTTTCTGGGTCATTTCTCGATTCGAAGAACCAGTAAAACAAATGCTTGTCATTCTCATTATCATCCAGATACCCCGAATATTGTTTGACGTTGGGATCGACGCCCAATGAGCTGGGGTCGACTTTCTTCACTCGCAAGTCATATGTGTCAAGCTTGCCATCGACATAACGCTCTTTTTCTCCATCGGCGTTGTCGACCCAGACACTTTGAACATCAGCTCCACGAACAATATGGTCCCATTCGTGATCCGGTCTGCGGGTGTGTTTCTTGGGCAGAGAGAAGAAGCTGGCGCGGCTCATATCTTCGGGATAGAGAGCCGCAACTTCGTCCCAGATATTGGCCGCCTCTTCAGTGAGACCACGAAGGGCATCCTTGAGATGGTGGAGTTGGTTATCGAGCATGTTCTTGGCTTCGGCAGGGAATGACTTGGGGAGCTGCAGAGGCTGCTGCTGAGGGGCGATGGCAGCCGAGGCCGCTCCAGCCAGCAGCAGGGGAGAAAGGGCCTTCATGGCAGAGGAGGAGATGGATAGAATCGATCAGGTTCGTCTACTAAGCCAGTGAAGGCAGCAGCGAAGGTCGATATCGTTGTCAGACTGGGATCCGTCCCAGTAGCGATAAGCAGTCCAGTGAGCTTCAAACAGTCACCGGATCGGATTGCAGTGATTGATATGCAGAAGAGAGGGAGGGATGGAGAGCACACGATAGAGGAATATAAGTCGAGAAGAAAGGATGAGTACGAAGGTTGATGACTGCGACTCGTAATGAAGCTGCCTGTCCTGGTTGCTGGACAACCATCAGCGGATCTGTTTCATCCAATTGAGTGACGACAGCATTCCGTCAAGCTCAGAAATTGATCACATGATCGTTATCGCTCGGCCAAGGCAAGATTAGAACCACAACTGGCTATCCGCTGACTAAGTAGTCTCTTGGCGCGGCGCACTGTCGGTTTTCATTGATTTTTTGGCAGTCTGAGAAGATTGTCTGTCCATCGCAAACCGTCAACGCAATCGACAAGGAGACACTCGCCCATCATGTGTAAGTCTGGACTGATTCTTAATCGTTGCGATCTCACCATGTATCGAATCTATATGCACCTCGCTCCAACATCTGGCGCATTGCGACAACGTGGAAAGGATATTTGCTAACAATCGAGGCAGCTCTCGTCAGCGGGGAGAAGTCGAACTGTAGGTTGATTCCAATTCCTTCTCTAGACATCGTGTTCTAATGATTACTGCAGTCCAGTTCATCCTCCGTCTTCTCAACACCAACGTCGATGGCAAGCAGAAAATCATGTATGCCCTGACTCGAATCAAGGGTGTCGGACGACGCTACTCCAACCTTGTCTGCAAGAAGGCCGATGTCGACTTGACCAAGCGGTACGGGCAAATCATTCAAAATATTAGGATTAAAAGAGCGGGAACTAACTCATACATCACAGTGCCGGTGAAATCACCTCCGAAGAACTCGAGCGAATTGTCACGATCATCCAAAACCCCACGCAATACAAGATCCCATCATGGTTCTTGAACAGACAACGCGACATTGTGGATGGCAAGGACTCGCAGGTGCTGGCCAACAGCATGGAAAGCAAGTTGCGTGAGGATTTGGAACGTCTCAAGAAGATCCGAGCACATCGTGGTCTCCGTCACTACTGGGGTCTCCGTGTCAGAGGTCAACACTCCAAGACTACTGGCCGAAGAGGACGTACGGTTGGTGTCAGCAAGAAGAAGGGTTAAACGATCCTGGCTGTCATTATGGAGGGTGTCTTGTGGTGGATGTGGTGGTGGAGTTGTCGCTCGAAAGAAATCACAGCGGCAGGAAAAATTTCTGCACCGAGCACGAGAAAAGCACAATCGGCATGGCTGGGGTTTTACACCTGGTGCAACAATGCTACGTTGGGACATGGAAAGTCTACGGATAGTGGACTCGCGAGCAATCAAATGGCATAAAATGAAAATTCCAACATGTCCCCTTTTCGCCGTTGAATTGTGAGTGGCTTTTCTTGTGGCTGTCGCTCATGCAGTGTGATGATAGCGGTGAGTTATCGCGACGTGGGACAAGCGGACGAAAGATGAAAAGTGCTACATGACCAGGTGTGCCATGCGCTGAACTTTCAAGTTTCGCCATTCTTATGTCGGACTTCGGATTGACCGACCCTTTGGATAAGAGTCCAAGGCTGGTTCTGTAGATTCCGCAGGATCGTTCCTGGGTTGTGTCTCCCACCCGTACAGCCGGAATGGTCTCATCGCATCACCACGAGGAAACCCGTCAAGTCACATGCTCTCTACAATGCGCTATTCTAACCTGCCTCACTGCAGCTGCACTTCAAGGACAATGTGAAGCCAGCTACAGCATTCCTTGCCTAAACCCAACTATTGTCTTTGACCGGGCGAGGACCAGCACGCCTGTCTTTCCATATCGAAAGCATCCTGTTGAACGATGCAACCTTCCGATCCGATCAGCAACTCTGCTGCAGTCGGGTCCAGAATTCAAGCCTTGGTATTGGTACTCTTCGTCCTCATTCCGTCATGCTATGCTGGTCTTGTGTGACTCGGGACACTATTTCTGGCACCTTCACAAAAATTTCCGAGCCGCTGGCGCTCGTCCAGCACTCGCCAACCCCATGGATGCAGGAGAACAAGACAAGCGGTGGGCTCGGTGTGGCATCACAAGCAGTGCAGAGTGCAAGGGGACACATCATGAGCCATGGCACTCTTGCACTGTTTGCCCTTGTAGAGTATGCATCGCCCAAGATCCATATTCGAGAACTGGCTGACTGTTTTCTGGAATGTCTCAGTCGCAACTCCGCTTGGTAGCATTCTGGAAGGAGACTGTTTCGGTACAACAGGCGGCGTGGTATCCAAGAGAAGAGCTTGTCTATCAAACAGTAGCCGAGCAAGTGCATTGTGTGCAAACCATTGGTCTTTGTACCCAAATCCAACATCTGCTGCGGTCACAGGACAAAGACTCCGTGGAAGAGGCTGGAGAGAAACAGGATGGGTTGACCTCAAAGTGTTGGTGCAAAGGGCGCAGCTATAAAGACCTCAGTTTCTTCTTGCCTCGCCCCTTCCTTCCTTCATCCCATCTCATCTTCGACCTCAACACTCATGATCGTGCTCTTGGTTGGAGATTGAAACGACGTATTTACTCTTGCCCTGCCCCAGCCTACCACACTTGCCCTGTACACCGCATCACGCTTCTTGCACCTCGTCGCCTACCGTCATGGCTTCCATCTTCACCTTCCTCGCCTTCATTGCTCTTCTCTCCTCCGCCGCCTCGGCCTTCTCTGGAAACTTTGAACTCACAAACATCGTTGTCTCCTCGCCCTTTGAAGCAGATCCCACTTCGACCCAGAGCACCTATATTCAATGTGAGTTAAGGCCCTCTAATCTGCCTATTGTCCACATCTAACAAGTGACAGTCGACTTCTGCGACGAAGATACGCCTGAAGTTGGTCCCACTCACTGCTGCGTTGAATGGGCCGTGGGTCTGAGCCCTCCCACCTCTGCAAGAGATACCTGCGACAACAGCACCTTCAACGTCCTCGTCACCTCATGGCATGGTGTTGGTAATCTCTCGCTACAGTTAGCCCATCAGTACATCGACAACAGGTATGTGCATCCCACTTTTCCCTTGCCGTCTCGTCCTCGAGATATGGTTCTGACACGAAAGCAGCGTTGGTCAAGCCCCGTACAATGTCCTCACCAAGTTCTCCAACTTCAATTTGACGTATCCCACAACCCACTACTATCAATGTGATATTAGCAACGCAGCATGTGTAACAACCGACGGAAAGGTCATCATTGCCAATGTCACAGAAGCCATTGCATGAGTGCACGACACCGAGTATCGAGGCATATCCGGCATGACTGCTACAACAACAGGAAAACGTTTCAGGAGGTTGAAGATTGAGACTCGAATGTCAATGCACACATACAGGGAAGATGAAAAAACACAACGAATTGTAATACTTAATTAGAAGGGGTCAATGAAGAGAGAATTCATAGAGTGGCCGTTGGTTGTTAGCTAGCGTACACCAGGGTGTATGGAGGAATGAAGCGCGGTTGATCAAAAAGGAACAGCTCAATAAATGTCAAGATCCATTTGTATCTGTAAAGCACATTGCATCTTCAGTACTGTGACCTCCCTGGACCGTTTCTCTGACCAAATGCCTTCAGGATGCCGATCACAGGGTAGCATCTGGATACCCCAGCACCTATCCATCTGAGCCTCTGTAGCCCTCAACACTGCATAGCTGTCCAGGCTTCCGACAGTCCACCACTCGTCTTCATGCTGCGTAGGGAGATGCTGCACAACGTCAAGTCGGCGAGCGATGCTGATCAGGTGGTCACTGGGCAGCGGTCATACTGATGGTTCTGGATGCGCGACGCGGTACACACGAGGAACATAATAGCAAGTGCGGGTCTTTCGCGAAACGAACAGATCCGGGGGTTCTGTGTGGGGAAGCGTCGGCATTTCAACCTCCACCCACAAAGAACGGAGTTTGCAGTTCTAGCCCTCGGTGGTACGACATAATAAGACGACAGGGGTATATCGAAGGGTCCTACACATAACAACCAGAGGTGGCATTCTATGACGCTTTTCCTCGATCAAGATTCTGCCGCAGTCTCTTGTAAGTTGCTTCCCTACCAAATACCTCCCGTTCAGCGCACATTATCACCATGTCCACGACCACAACGATGAGCACAACGACGAGCCGGATACACGAACGCATACCACCTTTTCCTCCCGACGTTGCCCACGCACCGATTGCCGAGATCTCCTCCAAGAATCTCCTGGAAAAGGACCCTGCGTCCACGGCCGCAGTCTTGCAAGCGTGTCAAACGTACGGGTTTTTCTATCTCGACCTGGCCGACTCGGAACCTGGGCGAGAGCTCCTCACCGAGGCCGACCAGCTCCATGACCTCAGCAAAAGGGCACTTGGGCTGCCATTTGAGGAAAAGGACAAGTACGATTTCCGCAAGACGCAGTCCTTCTTTGGGTACAAACCCGCGGGCACTGTCAAGTTGACCGACAAATCCCAACGGCCAGACAGCACCGAATTCTTCAACGTCGGCAAGGACTGTCTGTTTGGCGTCGCCGAAAGCCGCCCTTATCCCGACGTCATTAAAGACGCGTGGCCCTTGCTCCAGGCATTCTGCATGGGCGCCCACGGGATGTCGATGACGATCCTGCGCACGCTCGCGCGCGCGTTTGGCGAAGACGAGGAAATCTTCGTCAACCTCAACCGCTTCGAAGAATCGTCGGGGGACCACATCCGTCTGACGCTCAAGCCGCCCTCGGATCCCACCAAGACCGACATCATCGGCCTTCCGTCCCACACCGACTTCGGTAGCGTCACCATTCTCTTCAATTGGCTCAGCGGCCTGCAGATTGAGTCGCGCACGCCCGGCCGGGTCGGCGAATGGGAGTACGTGAAGCCCGTGCCGGGCAAGGCCATCGTCAACCTGGGAGACGCCATGGTGCATTTCTCCAACGGGGGCCTGAAGAGCGCCAAACACCGCGTCGTCCCGTCCCCCGGCGCGCAAGCCGGCATGGAGCGCGTCAGTGTCGTCTACTTTGTCCGCCCGACGCACCACAGTCTGATGAAGCCCGTGGGCGGATTCGACAAGGAACAGGACCGTATCAAGGTGGGAGGCAAGTTCTCCGACGGCATCGACGACAAAGTCTACACGGCAAGGGAGTGGCTGGAGAAGCGCTACGTGCAACTGACGGCCTTGTCGAAGGATTGATTTCCTCCTCCTCCTTCCCCACTCCCTTTATCTAACACTCTTGAAAACAGCCTTGCATGGTTGTGTTTGAACAAAACGAAAGAGAGAATGACTAACAATATCATTATTACGACGCAGACACGTGTTGACACGAAGTAGGTAATTATGCTGAAATGTATGTTGGTCATTATGTACCAACAATTGCAATACATTAATTAGTTCGGGTTTGAAAAAGTATGGCTTGCACTGAAGAACTGCACATCCGCGTCCCTCATTGGTAGTTTCCCTCTCTCCCTCATCCGCGCAGGGTGGTATACCGTCCAAGTGATGAGACTGCTCAACAATGCTGGTAATCTGCAGGCTCTTTGCATCGCTAGCGATTCGAACGCTTGGGGGTTGCACGAAATGATCGAATGTGCACAAGAAGAGCGGAGGAGAGAAGAGAGACGAGTGGTAATCAGCAATATGGTATTGCCCTCCTCGCGCTCGCCAATGCTCATTTGGAGTATCGATTCTCTCGAGGGAAAATACCGGGGAGCAGCGCGCCGAACAGAATATATCAACCCCCGTCTTCTCCTCCATTATCGCAGAGCAGCTTTTTCCTGACAGCGGCACACTGATGAATAAGACTTCTGCTGCTTCTGTTCACGCTTCCGAAGTCAACTTCTGCCATAACTTGCGTCCGCAACAAATCAACAAAATATCAAAGGCCGACGTAGAATATGGGAATACTGAGTACGGCGATGACAACAGTAACAGGATGACGAGGTTTGCCACGTAGACCGAAGGGCTTGTACCTCATAGGGAGCCTTAGGCCTGCTTCTCGGCTCTGCCCATCTCCACGTCGGTCTTTGGCCAGAAATGACTCAGGTCGCCCACAGGCAGTTTGATGGCGAGACGCATTTCTGCCGCCATCATGACAAAAGTCATGTACCAACCCAGACAACCGACTATAAAAAGTAAAGCTCCGCCGGTCTGTTTCGATTTCCTTGATGTTAGCGTTCTGGATTGCGCCAGATGCGTTTTTCGACGGAAGAAAAAGAGAAAGTAAGGGTAATCTTTCTCACCTTCTGCAAGTCCGCTGCCGTATCATAATCTCCGGTACTAACTTTCCAATAGGCACCACTCAAGACCCACGCGCCCATGGTGACGAACAGAAAGATGAGCGCGAAAACGACATTTGTCTTCAGCGTGAAGATGAAAAATGTAAACAGCGCGAATCCCCATACAATCAAATACAAGGCAATGACAGCGTTGTATTCCTTTGAGGCTGACCCAATCACGGCGTTGGTCCCGCTGGGAGAGTACGGTGTCGCCAGGCCGAGTGTGGGGAGCTGGAGCATGCCAAAGGATAGCCAGAAGACGGCGAAGAGGCCGCAGACCATCATGGAGAAGAAATTGCCCCTGGTGCCAATGTCAGCTTCTAACATACCAAACAATCGGCTGGCCGTAGGCAGGAGAGAAAGATCGCTCATTACTGAACAAGGTTTGTCAGGCTGACTTACATGATCCATTCGAAGATGACCGTCAAAACGAGGAGGACCGGGCCGACGAAGAAGAATATCCCGCTATATTTGAAGCGTCAGCGGATCCAATCTTGTTGGGTAAGGTTGGGGCGATGGTTGGACAATGAAAGTACTTACACTACGGGCGACAGCCCGCTGGCACCACCCCAGCCCATCATGACCATCGCAAAAGTCATAGTCGAGATGACGAAGCTATCTGCTCATGAGTATGTGCGTCTCCACGATGATGCTTCTGGAGCATACCCAACGAAACCGAGCGGAGTCGGGTTGGCGAAACGCCGGATATTGTCGCCAGCATGAGGAACTTTGGGAGTAAGGTAGAGCTGTCCAAGTCGCGCAGGGTTAGTGAGCTGTTTGGATCTCGATGCAGGGGGGAGGATCTTGTGTGAGCCGTGAAGCTATATGCGCACCTTTTCGAAAAGTTCTGGGCTGATGGAAATCGCTCCTGACGAGACGGTATGTGTCAAGCCAGGCTTCTCTTCGATCATGTCCCTTTCCGTGGAAGTAGGAGTTTGTTGAAGGTCACCCGCCATCTTGGACGTGTTGTAGTCTTACAGATCAATCGCACAACAGAAACAAGGGAGCACCGGAGAACAAGAAGGGCTTGAAATCGGCGCAAGGGCAGCTATTTCGACCTGGGGCAATGTGGCACCGGCCACAGCAGCTTCCGCCCTCTTTATCCGATTCCACCTCGACTGCTGACCCCCTCCCAAGCGCACCATGGGTGACAGAACGTGGGGCTGGGATACAAATGCAGACCCCGGCTAGAGTCCATCTTTCTGATGTGGAAGATGTGGAAAGGAATGAATGCTGAGTGGCCAGGGTAAAAGTGCCGACCCCCTTTATGCAGTGCGAAGCAGGCATCTTGAATGTGTCCGTTATGCATCGGTCACAAAAATAATTCCATTTGCTTTTCCTCCTAGCGGGATATGCTAGACGTCGCGTGGCTCAATGTCGTCCAGGATCCGTACAGCGCGAGGTCCAGAGCTAGGGTCGGCCAAGGTCGATTGGGCTCCCTGTGTGAGGAAAGCCTGCAGGAGAGCCAGTGAAGGAGAGGCATGGCGTTCTGCAACTGCTCGGATTCGATCTTTTGGCCCTGAGGGATGGCTGACTCGAACGGACCCCGCAGGGAAATTATTGGCACCTTCTGTCAATGGTTGGCTCGTTAGCTGGATTGGCAACAGGATTGATCTAGCTTCAGGAGCTCTCCAGCGGGCGATATGTGGAGCGTGGAGCTGGTGGAAGTGGATGGGGAGGGGAGCCTCGGGCCAAACCAAAAAAGGAACTGAGAATACGAACAGTTGGCCATTCTCTCCTTGTTTGGGCATAGTCAAGGCCATTTCCCCGCAGAACGCAAAGAAGTGGGAACGTGGAGGCTGGGGTTTGGTTCGCTGGCACAGTCGGACGAATGTCTGAAATCATAAGTCGCTCTTGGGCTTAGGGATACCGTGCTTCCATTCGCCTGGGAAAAGCGGTGGGAGCAAGTCGAGGAGGCACCGTGGTCAGACAGTCGCATGATGTGCCTTATTCAGTCGCTGATGCGTTGATGCGCCGCCCAGGTCATTTTGCGCGGCAGGTTTGCAGGGGCAAGAGTGAGATGAGAAGGAGAAAGACGGACATTTGATTGAGTGATTGTGATTCGCATCAATGTTTTTCCACATCTCCCTGGCGGTCGCCACGGAGGAGCGAATCGACTCACCGTTCTCACACCTTCTGGGATTCCCAAGGACGCTCGATACATTTCGGAAATACCTGTGCTTTAGCCCCTTTTGCGCCATGATCCCGAGCAAAGTCAATTGCCCACAGCGCTCATTCGTCTTGTGGCGCTGGCTTCGGTCGATGCGAAACTGCTCGTCTGGTCTTTGTGGACACTGGTAGATTGGAGAAGGGTGGACTGGGCGTGGACAAGGGTTTAAGAATGCCTCGTTACAAGTCGCGGCCTCGGCCTTGCAGGTAGTCCCTGACCCTGGCCTAATATCCCAAGGCAGTAAGCGGAAAGGGACCAGGTGGCTGCTTGTTTCTCATTTCGTGACAAGGCTGAGTACTGCAAGAGTACTCCGTAATATAACGGCTGGTTGGATAGGCTTGCTGGAACTGTCTATTACTGGTTGGTGGCGTGATCGCCCTTTTGAGGCACTACCGAGGTGAGCAGGTCCATACTTTCCTGCCTCGGTCACAGCCTCCTCGAGGAGAAATCCCCCATTCAAGCGGCTCATTCGAGCGGCTCGTTGAGAGAATCGTCCGCCGACTTGGCTTGGGTCCGGCGCTCATACCACGAGCGGTCAGCACAATGGCAGGATGTGACAGAATCACCAGTTATCACTGTGCATTTACTCCACTGAAAAGGTGCGGTTCGTGGCCAAAGCCAGATCTGCGGGTGGACTAGTGACTCTGGCAAAAACGCAAGATCCAACACCCGCGCAGTTCGGAATCTCCCGTGTTGCAGAATATCCGAAAGGACGGTAGATGGAGACTCCATAATTAGAAAGCCGCCATATTCCAGAAACTTTCTATGCTGCCATGGCCGTTGTTCTTCTTTTTCCTCACCTGATGATCGAAATCGGAAACACCCTTTCTTCAGCCGGGTATTCTCGCATTTCCGTCCGATTTGTGCGCTGCTCGATGAGACGCTTCGTATGCCTGGAATCGGAATCGAGATCTCAATCTTGCCGTACGCCGGACTAGGTATCCCCGCAGACAGCAATTGAGAGGGACTCGATCTACTTTCTTTCGGGCCGGACTGGGACGGATGTACGGGACACCAAGAAATGCCAAGTTCCATCATCTTGGTCCTATATATCCTCCAGCGCGAGCTTGGCTGAATGGTGTCCGTCTAACGATCTCAATAATGAGCGGAGCCAAACGGGGCGGAGGATGTCGGAAAGGCAGGTTTGGGTAGAAGAAGCCATGGCATGGGGATGAAGGGGCAAATATTGACCAGCCCGGTATGGTTCTGCCTAATTGGGTGGGAAGTCATGTAACGACTATGCGACTGTACCACTTGATTAGCTTTTATCCCACGCACATTGAATCGATGACCACTTGAACAGCCTCCGAGCTTATTGGCCGATCACATTGAGCGCTCGGTGTTCAAAACATGGCAGGATTGGAGGGGCGACAGGGTGAAGAGGCCATGGTGCCAGAGATCAAGCGAGGCACCTGGATCGGAAGGAAGTCGCTAGGAGCTACTGCATCTGCGCAAGGGTCGAGGAGGGATGAACAACCAAGCAATGTCAAGCTCGCTAGGTCCCGTGGGTGTAGCTGTGGTCGAGGATGATCTTTGGGTATCATTAGGCCTGATTGATTGTCCTGTGGGAAAAGAGGGGCGCAGGAGGAAGAGGAGGAGGAGGGGTGTTGTATCTCATGAGCGAGCCCTCCCAATTTTCTGGCAGCACCTGAAATGTGGTGGCACCGCAGACACCTAATTGGGCTCCCTTAAGGACTTAGTCAGGTAGCCTAACCACCCACTAACTACCTAGGTACAAAGCTCGGTCAGTACCTGGGCGTGCTGAGCTTGTTGGCTCGCGGTCCCCGCCTTGTACGCGTTTCTTCTACTCCACCCCACTGTGCACACCACCTTTTCCATCCAATTGTCACCCAAATTGTAGGAACTTGCTCTCATCATCCCATCCGTCTCTCAGTCATCTGCAGAGACGACCCGAACTTCCCTTGGAGCTACCAGAGCTTCGTCATGCCCTGACGACAGTCCAAGAATGCGATGAGAGCCTGAGCTTCCTGCTCATCCAATCATTGAACCTGTCACTCCTTGTTTCTTGCACCTCAGCTGTGCTGTCGACCCCAGCTGCCAGAACGAAATCCTGCACAGCTTGACTGTCTCTTTCACCCGTCAATCCTCGATTGTCTTTTCTTCTTCCTCACCGCTTTGCCTACTGTCAAACGGTACATTGCTAGCCATAACCACGACAGTTTTCCTTTCCTCCCAATACTCTCTATCCTTTCCTCATCTCTATATTACGTCTTTCCTTCAAGACTTTGTTCCTCTCTGAGAAACCAGAAACCAACATGGTTCACCTAGCCCAAGTGACGAGTGATCCTAATAAAGGCCACCGTAGTGAATTCGGACCTCCCAAACGTCGGGCTTCGGTGGTTCCTGGCCTCGAGCACATCTCTCTCGAACCTCCCGGGGAAGATGAGTTCTCCACTTCTGTTTACGGTTCCCGCTTTGCTGCGGAGGATCTCCCCTCCCACGAGATCCCTGAGAAGGAGATGCCAAAAGAGATCGCATATCGTATGATCAAAGACGAGCTTAGTCTTGACGGCAACCCTATGTTGAAGTGAGTTGTTGAACAGTCACGGAGCTCCAAGATTGAAGTTGACAAGACTCTGTAAATAGCTTGGCCAGCTTTGTCACCACTTTCATGGTACGTTTCCAGATGCCACGTTATGTGAACTTGAGCGCCGACTTACCCTCTGTAATCAGGAAGATGAAGCCGAGAAGCTCATGACCGATGCGTTTTCCAAAAATTTCATTGACTACGAGGAATACCCCCAGTCGGCCGAGATTCAGAACCGGTGCGTCAACATGATTGCACGTCTCTTCAACGCCCCGGAGACTGAAGGCGGGAAAAACGCAATGGGAACCTCCACAATCGGGTCAAGCGAGGCCATTATGCTGGCTGTCCTTGCCATGAAGAAGAGGTGGGCAAACAAGCGTAAAGCCGAAGGGAAGGATTTCTCAAGACCCAACCTGGTCATGAACAGCGCTGTCCAGGTGTGCTGGGAAAAGGCGGCTCGGTACTTTGATGTTGAGGAGAAATATGTGTACTGTACCGAGGACCGCTATGTCATTGACCCAGAGGAGGCTGTCAACCTGATCGATGAGAATACGATCGGCATTTGTACGATTCTCGGGTTGACCTATACTGGCGAGTACGAGGATACCCAGATGATCAACGACCTGCTCGTGGAGAGAGACATTGACTGCCCGATTCACGTGGATGCAGCATCCGGCGGCTTTGTCGCTCCATTCGTCAATCCCAACCTGGTCTGGGACTTCCGCCTGGAGAAAGTTGTCAGCATCAATGTCTCCGGTCACAAATATGGTTTGGTCTACCCTGGTGTCGGCTGGGTTGTCTGGAGATCACCCGAGTACTTGCCCAAAGAACTCGTCTTCAACATCAACTATCTCGGCGCCGACCAGGCCTCTTTTACCTTGAACTTCAGCAAAGGAGCTAGCCACGTCATTGGCCAGTACTATCAAATGATCCGACTTGGCAAGAGAGGTTATCGTAGTATCATGCTCAATCTCACACGCACGTCGGACTATTTGGCTGCTCAGCTCAGAGCCCTAGGGTTCATCATCATGTCGCCCGGTGGCGGCCGATCTCTTCCTGTGGTTGCATTCCGTCTCGACCCGGACAACGAGCAGATGTTTGACGAATTTGCCATTGCCCACCAGCTTCGAGAACGTGGATGGATCATCCCTGCCTACACAATGGCCCCTCACAGCGAGACCCTCAAATTGATGCGTGTTGTGGTCCGCGAAGACTTCAGCAAGCAGCGCTGCGATGCCCTGGTCAGCGATATCAAGATGGCACTGCAAGTGCTTGGAGAGATGGACAAGAAGACCATGGAGCGTTATCAAGAGTACGTTTGCACCCTCTAACCTCATTTTACCTTCCTGACCATTGGCAGACACGTGAAGAAGCATCACACCAAGACTGGAAGAAACGGTCGTAACGTCGCGGCATACAAAGACGAGAAGCATTCTCTGCAGGGCAAGCATGGGAAGACGCATGCTATCTGCTAGTTGATTCCTTAGGCCAATCTTTCAACACCTGGAGAAGACATGTACCTGGACAAATCAACTTTCTCTCTGTGAATGGAGAAAACAGCGGCGAGATGATTTTATGATTGGATAAAGAACTAAAAAATGTCATAGTGAAGTGTGCGGCACCACATCTGGGATCTTGCCAACTAGGAGCCAAATGTCGATGCACACCTTTAAAAGTCCCTGCGAACCATTGTTGTAAGCTGTACCTCGTGCTTTGAGTCACGTTGAAATTGTCAACAATGACCGGCCAGTTGAGAGTTGCTGTTACCAGTTTTGGTAACTTAACATTAACGTGGCCATCGATTGGTCGATGATCGACGAGGGCGGCACAGTCTTCCATCCACCGCGGAGCATGTGATGACGCTTCCTTCAATATTGCCATTGTATGATCTCGTCGGTGACGACGAGCCAGACTTGATCGCAGTCAATGACGCAATGTCATCATTCTGTGTCACTGGCTGTCTGCATACTGCCACCATCTAAAGCCCATCATACTAGACTTGACTTCTTCCATCTACCGAATTCGTACACTCCTGACACAGCGATAGCAAATCGTAGAAACTGTTGACTACTTACTTTTCTCTTTCCCTGACAGCTTAGTCTACGAGTAAAGATGACGCCCAACATCACCAAGGGTCAGACCGACACCTCCAAGTTCATGGGACAAGGACCCACGTCCAAGGAGGAACACCCACACAATAACCCCGTCATGCAGTACAATCCTGCCCCGGGTGCTAAGGTGAGTCAATGATGAAAAGAGGTGGAACTGTGGCTGGACGTTTCCCTCTCTCCTGTTCCTCCAAGTCCGGAGTCTTCAGTTGCTGTACTGACAGTGCCTTTCCTCTTTACTATAGGCTCCAATGTTGAGCGCTGAGGGTTCAGTCGGCAAGCAATTCACTGCAGAGTGAGTGAACCACGCGGGGTCCGCAGCCTCTTGAGCGATGCAAACCTCTAACATTTGACAAAAATCCAGCGGCGCGATTGGTGGCACGGCACAAAAGATTGGAGGTCCGTTGGATCAGAACGGCATGGTTGGGGGCATGTTCAAAGAAGACGGCGCGATTGGCGGGACTGTGAACAAGATGGCTGGTGGGAAATCATAAATTGCAAACGACAAAGCGAGAAACGACGACGCGGCAATATTCGAGGTTATCTGTGTAAATATATCCTGGCGTCAAAGGTGTATAGACTCAGAGAATGGTAGTGCCGATGGCATGCCTCCAGTGTCGTCTGGCACGGGAGCTTCATGGGAAATGAACCATGCCATGAGCGCCCTGACACAAATTTGAGGTTTTGCTCCGCTCCGTGTCCACCACAAGCTCCTTGAGAACCTCCATTCCTGACATCTTGATCACGGACACTGTCCCAGCGAGGATATTCGCGGTGAATCCGAGCTCGCCATCCGCAGAGGCACGCAGAGTTAATGGCATACCCCCTATCTTGGTCGCGCCAACCAGGTTGTGTGAGTCCGGATCATAAACTGCCAGCCTGCCCTCTATGGCCGAGCCATCAGCAGACAGATACTCGCCCACCAGAATCTTTCCGTTTCCTGTAACATATGTTGACTGGGCCGGGTAGTCCAATGGAATCCTGGAAACGATCTTGTCCGTCGCAGTGTCGATGACCAGAACTTCGGGGTTCTCTTGAGCCTTGCCCAACTGAGTGCCGGGTGTTGGAAAGTAAGCATGTTTACCGTCAAGGGAGATGGAACACTCCTCTGTTCCCCTAGGCGTCTCGATCCTGCCAATCATCTGTTGGTTCTCCAAGTCAAGGACCGAGATGAAAGGCGCTGTTTTGTTACAGGTGAAGGCCTTTTTGCCGTCCGGGGTCACCACAAACCAATGCGTCTTGGTCGAGCTCCCGACTTGTTTGATGACTTTGCGGGTTTCGAGGTTGATCCCAACTATTCCTCCAGTGGACCCAGTTTCGTGTTCCTCATAGCTGTACCACAGGATGTCTCTCTCTGCGTCAAGAACTAGACCATGAGGACCAAGTGCCGGCTTTGTTTCAATAACACCGATCACCTCTTTCTTGTCCGGGTCAATGACCGAGATCTGGTGGCCATTATCTCCGTGCGACCAGAAGTGTCCATGGTGGTAGGCGTGGCTGCAGTACATAACCTTTCGCTTGCCATCAAACACCAGCTCATGTGGTTCTGGGATGAGGTCTGGCATGTATGCAGTCCGCTCACCCGACCTAAGGTCGAAGAAGCTGATCGAACTGCCAGATTGGCTAACAACAGCCAACGTTCCGGACATGATGCGAATCGATTTGATGGACAAAGGGTGGAAATCTTACAAAAGTGAGGTAGAGCTCCAAGGTCTGTTTGATAGGAGGCCCTGGAGCCATGTTGCCCGTCATTTATATAGGTAAGACTTGCACTGGCATTGTGATCCCATCTAATCCATGCTCCAGCATTGTTACTTCGGCCGAAGCGGTGTCACCTCGCGTGTATCGCTTTAGAGAGAAATCCTCACAGGGTCGTCCAGGTACTATCTCCGATTCGTCGCTTCTCGGCCGAACCATCCTATAGCAGAGTAGGAGCAATGTATCCAGTATGGCTTGGTGAGATGAGAGTCTTCTGTATCGTGCGAGGGTGCGAGGGTGCGAGGCTAGGTAGACTTGACGTCCATTGAGGAATGAACGCAGGAAGGTTTTAAGATTAAGGCGGCGAGGCATTCCAGGAAAGAATTTCTCACTTCACGACTCCACTATAGTAAAAGCGGCATCCAATCTCTTATTGGCGGGGTTGGGGGTCTGCGGCTTCCTCGCCCAACTCATCCCCTTAATCCCTTCCCACCATTTCTATCAACGTACGGGAGCACTGTACGAGGTATGCGCTCTGTCTCAACCACCACCACCGCTACAACCGTTGCTGCTGTCCGCCATCTGGTCAGGAGTTGGACTACCGCCGCCCCGTCTTCACCACTGCCCAGTGTGCCCTCGATGTCTCAGCCTCCTACCTATCCCGACTAGATACCCTTGGAGCCATGGCGGATTATGAAGAAGGCCAAAGACTTGTCCTCCTCGACCTCCCGGATGAGGTCCTCGCAGAACTTGTCGAGTGGCTACCAACGCGTCATATCAAGGGCAATGCAGTCAAGGCTTTTCGCGCGACATGCAGGAAGGCATTCCGTGCATGTGATCCTCTCTAGTGGAGACATCTCTCGATCCATTGTCTCTCGAAATGCAGCCGATTCAAGGAATTTCTAAGTTGCCATCCGCGCCGGCATCTCTATGTCCGGTACCTGGAATTTGGGGCGGACTACCGAGATGTGGTAGAAACGGATAACTTCCACCAAGAGTTGGCAGCGATTGCCTCGCTATGCCCCAACCTGGAACACTTGTGCATCCAGCAATGCAACAACCTGGCAATTGTGTCCCTCAAGGACCAGGTCATGGGATGGGAAACAGCACTGGCTTCTCGATTCGGATCGTTCAATTTCGACAAGCTGCGATACTGCTATGCCACGCTTTGGCTCTTACAACCCAGACTACAACGGCCATTGATTCTACCTCTGCTGAGTGCGCAGCGACTTGTCGACCTGACCCTCGAATGCTCCGATCTTCGTCAACTCGGACTGGATTCCATTCCCATACACTCCACAGCTCTTAAGAGGCTCAAGCTTTCCATGTGTCGGCTCGACCAGCCCACCCTCACCGCCATTCTTGGTATTCCTCGCTCGCTGACTACGTTTGAAATCACTCCGCAGGTTCATCACCACTACGATCGTTCCACTGAAGTAGAAGGTTATCGCCTCCTTCTGCTGGCCGTGGAGCTCCTCATCCGCTCTCAGCCAAATTTAATATCTCTTGGACTGACATTCCGGGACGGTTCGAGGTTCGAATCTGGGAAATTGAATGATTTATTCGACTTTTCCCGGTTGAGCTCGCTCACGAAGCTCACCATCCACGCAACGAACACCAGTGGCTTTAGACCGTATACACAGGATTTTGTGGCCGATTTCTTGTGGTGCCCGATGAATGCCCTCGATAAGCTGCCTGCTGGCCTCAAGGACATCTTTCTCGTGTCCGAGACCGAAGACATCGACCTGGATGGGTTGTCGGAAGCCTTGCTCAAACAGCGCACCGCGGGGAAGAGTCTTCCTGCATCACTGCGGCTATATTGTGATGTAGAGATGGTCCACGAACAGATCTTCACAGAGGTGGAGCAGCCTGAAGAGGATGCATGTCCTCGAGCCATCGACGTCCTCATGACGCAGCTTTCGTTTGTTCAGGTCAGGTATTCGAAGCAATGGGTCGTGATTGACAGAGAGGAAAGAGTTCCGCGTGTCACCAATTACCTCGAATCGCTAGAAGCGAACAGAACAGCCGAGGGCGTCAGCGTCAAACGATCCCTAGAACAATCCTAACTCGGCTGAGCTGGAAGCGCGCATTCTGATAGAACCGACGGATTTCTAATCCATCGTCTTGGTTGACTTTACCAGGTGCCACATGAGATGAACAGTTTGGGCACGGCTGCACTAGATGTGTGAAAGGCCACGAGGGCGGTCAAGTTATCGCCATCACGAACGCCGAGTTTTATGACCTCGGTGAAAACACTGGCGCTCAAAACGAAGTGGAGACAAAGTCACATTCGGAACCGATATACTTAGGCCGGACTGCTACGAACGAACTGCTACGAACGAACTGCTACGAATGAATTGCTACGAATGAATTGCTACGAATGAATTGCTACGAGCAAATAATGGAGGGTTTATGTCGCTACAAAACAGTCTCTTTGGGCACACCCTGCAGCCCTTTCAGGTCGAAACGCATTTTTCTTCTTACATGGCTTTTGTCGGTGACCAAGGAGAATGTCATCCTAGCCTGACGATTGTTAGAATCTGGCTTGCTCGGTGCTGGGAAGAGGCAGGGTGCATCTCGAGCTGGAGTTCAAACAACAGGATGATCGGGAAAAGCCGCAGCCAGGAGCTTTTTTATGATAGCACCAATAGCAATAATGGTATTAATGATTAATGGTAGATATATGCCCTTTTCTTTGGGGAACAATGGGGGAGGTGCTTCGATTTAGCTATCTCTGTATGTTCTCGGTAAGTAATCTATCATCCCCTTTTTTGCTGTTTGGCAAAGTAGTCACTCAGCACGGAGGATACCAACGGCGCGAAAGACCCTTGGGTGACCCTATCGTGTATAATTGCTTACTCGCTTTCTCCCAGGCTTTCTTCCCAATGAAATCTTTCTCCCTGGGGCATTACTCTCCAGCTCGCCAGCTCGATATGTACATTGTCAAGTTGTGAGAGACCTACAAGACATTCGCCATCCACCCATCCACCCAGACACCTATTTACCCTTACAACAGCGACACAGCGGCACAGCGAGACGACCGTTATCCCTCAAACGACTAAAAATAGAATGATAGAAATGAAAACTGGGAGGGAGGGAGAGAGAGAGGGAAGAATCCTCCAATAAACAAAAACGGGTGGAAAGGTGAAATGTGAGAGAGCGAGAGAGGAGACAGAGAAGGTGGGAATTAAAGACGCAGGACAATTAATTAGAACGCACCCCTGATAGATCTGGGGCATGCATGTCCAGATATACCGTGCGGTGCGCGAGTGTTGGTGTCTCTTGTCCTCGCCTACTCCTGTCTCTCTCTTCCCCGAAGAGCTCTAGCCATGGAAAATGGCGACAGCGAGAGGCAATGATGGGTCCAATGGGCATACCATGGCGTATGTACAACATAGAAATAGTGCGGCGGCACGAGGGCGATATGGGCAACGTGTGAGAATACATGTAGCCTATCTAGCGCCTCACGCCCTCTGCGGAACAAACCTCCGTGACGAACGAGTATCTCGCGAGTATCAAGTAATAGAATCTATCTGCTGCACCAAAAGAACATACAGTAGGGGCGCTAGCGGGTCCACAGGCTCTATTGGATGCAGAGAATATCTCTAATATTAGCCTTTCTGACCCCTTTTTCAAAAGTAGGATGTGTATGGACAGGGTTAAGAGCTGGTGTCTAGACCGGACGAATTCGTTATTTTTGCATCAGGGATAGGGAAGGGCTGACAGGGGGAAGAGCACAGGGGGGGGGGAGAGACATCGAACCCTGCATTGTTTAGTGCTGGGAGACTTTTGCGCGAAAAGAAACTGTGTGTGAACCTTTTTGTGCGGCATATGCAAGGGGGAGGTATGGGGTGCAGGGGCGACCAGGGGGGGGAAAGAGAACATGGCGAATCACCAGCACACCATGTCGTTATCGTCTCGACTCTTGTCGGCTCGTCGGGTAGACGCGGTAGGGGTGCAGTAGGGGTCTTCTGGACTTTCTGCACAGCCACACCATGAAGCATATGCACGTTGTCGATCACTTGTCCATGGCGGGGCGGCGACTGTTCTCGACCTCCTCTGGACCGCGGTGGGTGCGCGGTATGCTTTGGACGGGTTCTGTCGACATCGATCACTTCAACTCACGGTAGTTGGCAGAGAGTCCCTGTGCTTGATGTGAGAAACATACCGCCAGCCGAAACCGGCAGGGATTGTACATGTGAATTTTCCCTTTCTTCACCTTTTGTCACATATCTCATATCTGCCTCGCCGTTGCACACGGAAAGCTGCCCTTTTGAACCATCCCAAATGCCCTCCATACCAAATCTTGCTACTCTCCTAGCGTACGCCACTCAGTACGATCGCGGTGGCCCAACCCCGGGCGCTGAGAGTAGCACCTTTGTCAACAGTCGTTCCAACGCTTCAGTACTCGCTTTCAAGTCTAGGGCGGCTTTGTCGTCGTCAGTGACGTCGAGGCCACGTGTCTCCAGCACCCTAGTCTTACGCAGCCATTGATTTGTGTCCGTCAGGACTCTTGATATTGACATGTTCACGTCGGACACCGTCTCCTTGTCGTCCTCCACAATAGTCTCCCACAGAGACACAAAGAATGGCTCCATTGTCTCTAAAGGAGCCTTGGTGCGAAGGTTGATGTTGTACAATCTGATGTCGGCGATTCTTTGATTCAATCGCAGCTCTCGATTCTGGAGGAAGAGGTGTACATGCTCTAGCTTGATTTGAATCTCTTCCGAAAGCGGGCGACTCCTGGTCGACGAGCGCAGCGTGTTGATGAGTTGTTTGTAGCGTGTGAGATTTCGAGACGCCTGGTCAGCCAGGGCCTTGACAGTCTTCAGATCGAGTTCGGTTGGCATCGCTGGGGGCGGAGATGGGGATCGCGGGTTGGGTCGAGGAGAAGTGTTGTAGCCTTGTGGTCTCGAATAGGAGTATGAAGAACGGTGATCGGACTGGTCCTCACGAGGCTGGTGGCGTGAAGCATCCTCTGGCCTCGATGTGCTTGAAGCCCTCGGTCTTGGGTCACTGTCATTTGTGGCGCGGGCGGACGAACCATAGTAGCTGTTGTATGCGGAACCTGCCGCAGACTCACGATAGTCGGTCCAGGAATTGGCGTTGGGTCTTGTCTTGGGGCCATATCCTGGGTGAGCAGATTGTCGACCGGGCGGTGAGTCGTGGTGATGGAAGCCGCCATGGGCTTGATCGCGGGGAGTCTGGGCTCTTGATCCTGTCTGATCTTTGCCATGGCGTTGAGGGTTTTGTGTCTTCTGGTTGGCTGTCTTGTGGCAATTTCGGTCATACTTTGCACGAGTGGTAGGATCTCTAAGGACTTCCCATGCTGTCTGGATTTGGATAAAAGTCTCCTGGGATCCTCCTTTATCTGGGTGAGCTTGGAGAACTAGTTTGTTGTAAGATGCTTTGATCTGTTGGTAAGTAGCGTCACAAGAGACACCGAGCACTGAGTAATGGTTCACCATTTTACTTCGCCGTAGAACTGATGGGCGTTTGTCGACAGTGATGGAACGGTGAAGCACAAAAGATGGCTGTGACAAAATACAAACTTTTTATCTTCTAGTGATTTTGGACTTGTAGTGGGTGTGGCAGTATAGTGAGAGCGAAAGGAATGACTGGATTCACCTGTCCCGATTCTTACGTGGGAATCTATTGACCAGACCTTAAGTGAATGGGAGTTCAAAGAACACCATGAACAAACCGCAACGGCATTGTTCCAAGCTGTTCATGAAACGCGAGGAGACAATGATAGAATCGAGGAACAAAACATGCGAGACGTCAAGCCTGGTTGACAAGAAAATTCAACAAAGAGAGGCGGCATTGATGAAGCCAGTCGACGAAGAACAACCCACAGCTATCACTACGCGACAAAGGGGTCGCCATGACGACTGTACTGTGATTGACAGAAAGCCTCCATATTCTCATACGAGAATAACAGCGCGGACAGGATGATTCCAAGGACTTGTAGATAGATTCAGGGGAGGATGAGGCAGTTGGAGGTTGAGATAGAGAGTAAATCGTGGCGTATGCATACACGTGATTACATGTGACTGTGGCGCCATATGTGGCGGTGCTTTGAACACGGTTCTCAGGCATTACGTCATATGCCAGGCTGTATCTGAACACCACATCAACATCCCGTCCTTGTATAAGCGTGTCAGCCCAACCCCGACAATCATCGACAGTCATCGAGATGGTCACTCTCTAGCCGTTATCTGTCAATGCTACGTTCTCAGACAAAAGATTCGCTCGCTTACTTCGGGCATGTCTCACGTCCTGATCATTTTCCCGATCTTGTTAGCTTCTCATTCTGTGCTGGCGACCGCTTCGTAGCCTTGAAAAATGTGGTGGCTGGGCAGTACTCTTTTTCTCGTTTCTCCATCTCCTCAATACTGAGTTATCTCTGCAGGCGAGTTGCGGAGTGCCAGCAGGAGAGGGCCCTTCGCTTATCAGTAAGCTCCTGATGGCATTTTCTCACGGGAGATTGGTAGCGGTGAAGATGGCACTTTTTTCAACTCCTCTCACTCCTCCATCGGCAACTCTTCGATCCTAGCCGGACGTTAGCTCAGAGTATCGATGCAGCCAAGACCGTCCGGCCTCGGTCTCTTGATCCGGTTGGCCCCGCTGCTACGTTTTCCCTGATCGTCTTCTTGTCCTGTATGGCTCTTGTCCCGCCGTTGAGGTCACGATCGCTGCTTTGCCTCACACTCGTGGCCAACCGCCCCTAGTTCCGCTAGAGTCACCAGCGCCAAATTGCCTCGAACAATGGCCTGAGGCTGACGTGGCCCGCTCATCTCTCGAGAACCGAGCTATTCTTGACTCACTCGAGGGAGTCTAGATGATCAGAGTCTTTCAGACTTGAGCTGGTCAACAGCCAGAACGGCATCTGCATTGGTGTAGAGTGTGCATGCGAGTGCACTAGCCTCATGCATGTTCCAAGTACCGGATATCTCTAGACACCAGCCTAGCCGAACAAAAGATCAGCTGGTCAGCTGATTTCTATCTTCGGAACCCATCGATATGCCTGCTCAACCTGGCTATTCTTGCTGTCACTATTGCCTGAAACACCGCCACTGCCCGTGGCAGATAATCACTTCTGCCTTCGAATCCGGCCACACGGTCATCATTCCATCCACCATTTGCCGACCTTGGAGATCTGGCTCTGGAACGTGGAGTCATTGGCAAACCGCCCGTGGTGCAAAAAGTGTTGTTGGTTCCTGCGTCTCCCCTCGCCCAGAATCCACGGGATGCCGTTCCTGCAGAACCGGAACCACTAAATTTTGTCGGTCTGAGCCTCCCTTCGACCACCGCCCCTTGCGACCTACCCTCCATGTTGCATTTCAAAAATCCCCGTGTCGTGTATGCGCTGGCGAAAACTTCGCCGTGCTTGTCGAATCTCAAGACATAGATCCGACATCAAAAGTAGCCTATTGGCAAAGAATTGATGAGATCTCAGAGTTGAATTGTGTAATCAATTAGTTGGTCGATACATGGGTGTTGATAACGACCTCTAGTAGAAGTCACGCTTGGGTATCATTGTTTCCAACAAACGAAAAATCCAGTAATATGGGTATCTCGAAAAGTCATGTTTCTCGTGAAAAATAATGGTCGGACCTCGCCCGGGGACCCGTATATCATCCCTTCGTTCGAATCGTCCTTCGTTGTACTGAAGTGAAACAAAAGCATCAAAAAAAAGTCGCAAGAAATCCAGTCGAAGAAAATGACCGCAAGCCGTCCTCCATCCGTTGTTGCCAAATGTACAATTCTCAACAGGGGGTGTAGGCGGTCTAGATCCCGAGTTCGGATATGGCCTTTCGCCATTAAAAAGGGTATCAAGAAAGATCGACGGATTCGTTCGATGGCGTGAACCCGAACTCTGCTCCGAAGGTTGCCGCCGTAATGTGTGTCGTGTTCGTGATGCAAAACAAACAGAATCAAGAAAGCCAGGGGGTATCTCATGCAATTTCCGGGTCCTGGATTGGTGTACAAATCTTCAATAGTTCAACCACATTTCTAACGGGTCCGAGACAAGTGACTCCGTAAGTGGTAGCTCGCTGTCGACTGCCACCTCTGTGGCTGCGGGTGCAATGAATTCTTGCTTTACCGGCTGATCAGCGTCGAGCGGTGTGAATTCAACAATCATGTCTTGTCCCTCGGGGAGCTCTCGGACGACGTCCTCGTCAACGATGATGCGGAGTCCGCGAGAATTGACGTGCGTGACCTGAGTAACTCTGTGAGGGTCGATCTGGAATTTTGCTGCAATGTTGTTGACCAGATCCTTGACGGTGCGCTGCAACAAGTATATTGCGCGGTAGTATTCTTTCGCTGCGTCTTTTTGACGCACGTAAAAGCACGCAACTTTGGCCCGATTAGAAGGCAACTTTGGCGGTAGATCAGGACACTTACCTGGCCGAATGGGCCTTTCCACAGGAGGCCGATAGCTGCTATCCACATCAACAGCAAAGAGATCCGGTCCAGCAACAGATGCCTCTTCTGGTTTCAAAATCTTCACCGGTCTTGACCCAGAGTCACCTCCTTTATGATCGTAGCCGTACTCGCTTTCCCCCTCTTCCAGAATGGCAGTCTGTTGCAGGTCGGAAAATTTTCTCTTTGGGGTGGCCTGTGATGCAGAGCTCGAAGATGGTGAAGCAGGATTTGACGTGGGGGAATCAGATGCACTCTGTCTGGACTCCCATGTACTGGTCCGCACGATTTCTTTGCCTTCAGGATCATCTCCAGGAAGTTTGACCGGGTGGAGATCAGGATCATCTTCTGCATCACCACGCAGAAACAAAACACTGACAGGTCTTGTCGAAGAAAACATATCCTGCATGCTGACTAGCTTCATTTGAAGGTCTTCTTCCGCGGAAAATTTGACACCATCCGCTTCCGAGTCAACGGACCAAGTCCGTTTGTGTTTCACAACTTTTCCGGGTCTGGATGCTGATGCTTTTGCAATTGAACTGCTTCTCCTTCTCTTTCCGGCACTTCCCAGGCCTGCTTCAGCTTGGGCGATCTGTTGTTTGAGCTTGTCGATCGTTTTCTTTACATGCGCAACGTCATTCGATAGTTTGCGCTCTGCACCATGATCACGGAATAGCTTGACTTTTGAATAGCATACTTCTGGCTCGTTGCTGGCGCTTGTCTGAGGGGTGAGCAATTCGGTCTTGGCACAAAGTCGAACCGGGATGCCCTTGACCCCTTTCGAATGGCTGAAGTCTGTGGACAGGAAATTGAAGCGGATTGATATGGAGCAATCGGGGCTTCCGTTGATGGAATTTGGGGACCAGGTGACGGCGAATCCATCAAATGAGGCTTTCTCGAGTAGAAGTTGGGGTTTCCGTAACTCGTCCTCCCCGCCTGGATTCTGGTCCACGAATTCCACTGCCAAAAGTCTCCCACCTCGCTGATGCGCCTCATTCGATCCACGACCTTCCTTCCATAGCTGCCAACATCCACCCGGTCGCGCCCGTTGCTGTTCGTCCTCAAAGGAAACTCGGACGTAAGTCCGATACTTGAGAACGGTGTTTTGTGGCATGGGAGGGGTGGTGTCCCATATTGACATGGTGTAGGCTTGGCCTTTGTTGAGATATGTAATAGGGATCTCATCCGCGTGCCGAACCATCGCAGTTGGAGCATTCAAGGTGGTGTGAAAGCGAAACCTGCCAACAAAGTTAGAGGTTGCGTAGACGAACCCGGTTGATACTAACTTCTCCCCCGAGGGTAGGCTGGTCATAGCAACACTTCCGGACATAGACTGTCGCATCGGTTGATTGATGATGGGCTGCTCAATACCTATCTCGGCGTGCGTGGGGGTCGTCTTATGGGGAGTCTCGTCCATCGCGACATAGCCAGAGTCCTGATGCTGCAGGAACTGCTGAGGAGCGAATGTCTGTGGTTGCTGCGTAGGAACATGGATAGGAGGTTGCTGGGGATGGAAAGGATCCTGGAATGGGTGAGGTTGGTGGAGAAGATGGGGATTGAAGTGCTGGAGGTGCATCAACTGGTCCTGGGCATGGAGCCCGTGGACAGAGTGCGGTAGTGATAGAGGGGTATTCATTCCCATGCCAGGCGTGTGAAGATCGCCCGCCTGAGGGTGATAGAGAGTTCCAAAGCCACCAGGAGTGGGAGTGTAGTATCCCGGAGGTTGGTTGGCAAAGGCAGAGAAGGCATAAGAATTGGGATCCATGAGGGAAGGAGTAAACCGCCAGGCGTCGGAGAACGGTTTAGGAGTAGCATCCTGTTCCTTCACCTCGGGTGGCTGGCCTTCAAAGGCTCTGGAGAAATAGTCAGCGTTGTCGGCAGGGTCGTCGCCTTGGCCTGAAGGGACGTGAGTTGGAGACATTGTATCAACGTGAGAGACGACACTTGAGACGGCCCAAGTGAAGGGACTGGTGGGTTCAAGTAAGACAAATCCAAAACATACCGCTGAGATGTCGACGGTTCATCTATGATAGCCTCGCTTAAAGTTGACGATCGGCGGGCAGCGCCGGCCTCCCCTTGCAGAGCTGAAGAGGTCGACCCAGGCCCTACTTCGGGGAAATTCTGCTTGAAGGCCGCGTACAACTCCTCGTCTGGCTTCTGAGTATTGCGCCTGAGAAGGCGAAATGCACGTCAGTATTGCCGTGTCGGCTAGAGGACAAGAGATGAAACGGGTATAGATCCAAAGGCAAAGACTTACCGATTGCGAAACATTTGCAGCGGGGACAGCGTCTCAGGCTTTTTGGACCAGGAGAGAATGAGGTCAAATCAAAGACATGGAGCCGGTCAGATGCGCGTCGAACGGTTTGAAAGAGCCGACCGCAGTCAGGCGGAGGGCATCAGTTCAATGGCGAGCGTGCTCGGACAAGATCTGATTGCAGGAGACCCAGGAATGTAAGAGGTTCAACGAAGTTGCTGCGCCCTGTTGCATGCGCGTTTCGTCAAGAGGTCTGATCGAGGATGGGGGCTGAACGGAGTTGTATCGAGATCGGTAGGGCAGACAGTGCTCTTGGGCGGAAGAGAGTGGGCTCTCGAGAGCAATATGAAGACAGGCGAGAGAATAAGAAGAAAAAGATAGACACCCAAAAAAGATCGACGGAGTGAACGGATGAGGTACGAGGGTTTGAGATGTAAGGACGCTTGGTGTGAGTTGTGTGTGAGGTGTGAGGTAGTAAGGTGCACGTACGAGTAGGACATAGGACGCGGTGGAGCGCAGTCTCGTCAAAATGAACGGACCGGGGGGTGGTCATCACGATGTACTGGAGGGATGGGGCCTCGGAAGCAACAACAGCGATGGAATTAGCCACAGCCATGGCACTCGGGACCATGATTAGCAGCCATGATTGGGGGGGGCCGGGGCACCAGGATGGGCTTTGAAGGGTGCTAGGGATGAAGCAACAAGGGGTGGATACTTGAGGTTCTAGCGGCCCATGGACAAAAATTGGGATGAGATGTCGATTTGCTTCTCTGCGCAAAGAACGAAGCAGGTACGGGCCTCCGTTCAGCGTACTTGGTAAGGCAACATCGACCCCCATGTTTAGCATGGAGCCTAATTCCCAAAGCCTAAACACGGGGGCTCCACTGCGATCCACCCAATGCGCCTAAAGCTCTGAACTGAGCCACGCCTACAAGGGATCAACTGGGGGTGGCCATTGGAGCACTGAACGGAGCTGCCACTTGGAACAGGCCTAGCGGGAGAGCCAGACGTGGCGTTCGGTAGGAGTCAGTGGCAGGCGGTGGCAGGGCGGTGGCATCACCAGTGGCACCTCAAGCTCACGGACGCCCGCCCATGTCCACTACGTGGCTGGTTCGGGGTTCCTTTGTGGGTGACTTGCCCGTCACTCTTTGACGCTGACTGGTCATCTCTCTTGCGTTTCAGGCCAAGGGCCCGTCCATCATGCACCTCTAGCCACTTGCTCCTCTCTCACTTCTCTCCCACTCTCTCACAGTCTTCCCCCTCATTCCTCCTACCTCAACTTGCCCTTGCTGTCGTCGGCCTCATCTCCCTGTACCCTGTTGACTGGCTGGTTCTCGTTCAACACTTCACCTCCTCGAGCCAGGTTCATCCCTACCATGATACCGGAAGTTTATGGCAGAAGTCTCTTCCTATGCAAGGTCCGGATGAATTGATCGACCTGATCGACCGCACAGCTGCACAGCCACACAGCCACACAGCCACACGTCCTCCCTCCCTTGGTGTGGCTTTACAGCCTCTAGTCTCCTCGAATGCTGTGGCTGCTCCTTTGTGGCAAAAAAAAAAGAGCCGGATATTGCAGCCTGACCAGCACGGAAGCGAGGAGAGAGACGGCTTCGTCAGCAGCACATCTGCCGATGCCGGACATCCACCATACCCAGCAACCTGTGGCTTGCCCCTCTCATTTTCCCATCTCTGTTTCCCATCTCGGTTGACAAAACCGCTCACCTTGAATTCCCCCATATTCCTCCATATTATTTTGCTGGAGCGAGATCACGGCGGACAGGTGAAACACTCGTCAGTCATCCATCTTCAGCCACAGGCCGAATGTCTGATCATCGCTATCATCATCATCAGATCGCTTATGCTAATCTATCGCTCTAGGAGGCATGAACTCTGTTGATCGCCCGCACGTGCCCTCGAAGATCAGCATTGCTTCCCTGCCGTCGATCATTCCTCTTTGTTGATTTCGCCCAGCAGCCGTCTTGGGAAGCAGGCCAATTACCGCCAACGGCGCCACCATTGACTCATGGAGTAGTATTTCTCCTTCTCGGCTGGCCGCGTACACAGCGGTACAATACAGTACAGTAGTACACCACGAGGGACAAAAGGCCCTAAAGATCAAGAGAAGCTTCGCTGGTAGACTGATAACACAATTATCCACGGCTTCTCTATGAAAACCTTGATCCGCATGACCATGGCAGGGTCTTCGACCGCCCAAGCACCGAAAGCTCCTACCACATCTATGCCCAACCTGATTCGAAACCCTCCTTTGGGGATGGAAGAACACCTGACAGAGCGGTCGATAGGCGGTCAGCCCCAACCCGCCCGCTGCGTAGTGCCCAGTAACTGAATCTCACGCTACGGTGCCTCGAGCAACACGCCCAAAATTCGTCACGATGCAGCTCCCGAAATTACATCATGTCTCTACACGCTGACCAACCACCGTGGCCGCAGCTTCTGCAACATGAAACAGAACGGGCACACGAAAAGAGAGGTTCATGATCAAGTGACCATTTGACAATCCCACAATGGATCTCACAAACTATTCGTCATTCTCCATGGCAATGCCCGTCATACAACCAATCAGTCATCCTTGGGGCCATTGGAGAAACTCCTCCATCCCAGCCTGTCATCCAACCCAATACACAAGTGCCTCCTCCACAAGCATGTCCCCATCAGCTATCGCCTCAATCTCCGACTCGGATTTCCTGGCGCTGGCATTGGGAAGTGACCAGCAGCGTCCGAAAGAGGATGAGGTCATTCCCATCAATCCGGCACGGAACGGCATCAACTCACGTTTCCAAGGTGCAACGAAGAATTATTACGGGTACGCACGTCGGCTAAAGGAACAGCATTGATTTGAGTGGACTCTCAGAAAGACTGACCCCGGCAATCTCGATTCGAGACACTGGAACACGGGTGGAACAAATTTGGGCGGCACCACCATGAGGGAGGCCCATCTAAAAGTGGACGGGGGCACCAGATCGGTTCTTGGGAAGGCCTTACGGGACGCCCGCAGCCGAAACGAGCTGTGGCACAAAATTGGTGCCCCACCAACGTCTTCGTGCCGTGGAGACGCTATTCGCCATGCCGTTTTCCGTGAACAGCAATGCAAATTGGCCATAGAGTCCTTTGATCAAATGCCTCTTTTGGCACCTTAACGTCAACGAGGGACGTTTGGAGAATGATGAATGAAGGTTGAGATCATAGCACATGCGCACACTCACCCCGGAGTCTATCCCATGAACCGGAGACAAAGAAAATTTCGTCTGGAAATTGCACAGGCGACTTTGAATATTCCCCGAAATACCAGGACCGGGGCTGTTGGTTTGGCAAATGAGCCCCGGACCAGTATTCTTGACGATATTCCAAAAGCGACATTTTACTAACATGGTTTTGAGACTGCTGTTTTCTGGCCAGATAGATTCACCTTCCCTGCACGGCAACGGTTTTCCATCAATCACATTTGGACATCGGCCCCCTTGGTGAAGCCATCTGGACTGTAACGTTGCGAAAGGACGCGCAAGACGAGTACGAGCAGAAGGTTCACGCCACGGAGGGTACGAGGTCTAGAGCTTTTCAGATGAACCGCTGTGGTGCGACTGGACGCCACAATCAATGCGCCACAAAACTTGAAAATCTTTCCGCAGGTGAAGAGATCGGCATGGATTTGACGTTGCCACTGTGGCTGGACGCAGGGGTTCGGGCCATTGGTTCACGATATCCCACGAGTCTGGATGATGGCGCGGGAAGATATTGTACCACGCGTTCACAGGGACTTTTTACGAGATCCGAGTAACCTTCAGACAGTGGAAGATTGGCGAAAGGGAGAGGGTCTAGAAGAGTTCGCTCCCGGGAGACCCTCAAACGGCTCGCGAATTCAAGACAGAACTAACCATTGCCAATCACGACGAGAGAAGGAGGGGAACGCTTCCAAAGCCAGTTGGCGAACTTGTCGAAACCCTCAGGCCACTGTCGACTAAGTCTGCCGCCAGGAGGAGGAGGAGGCGGTCGTTTGTTTGCTGACCCTAAAGTCTGCATTGGCTAGCCGCTTTCCGTGGATATCCTTGAGATTGGCGAAGGCAACGATTTCCTTCACCAAGGTCCTATGAGGCCGAGATTTTGGCACATGTTTGACGTATGTCTCTGGCAACCCCGTCGAAAACGCGAAAGGAACTGCTGGACCCGGCGGAGCTAGGGTACGAGCAGTCGCCGTTCTGCCTGGGCGATTCCCTCTTCTCCAGAACCTGTTGGAACTCTTGAGTGAGCAGGGAGAAGCGATTGGCTGTCATCAAATCGGTTTACAGCTCTCGGTGCGGTTTGTTCTCGCCGTTATCACCCATTCAAATGGAAGATGTCGTTGAGCAGCCTGGCAGTATCCGTGGCGGATTGGACTACTCTACGGCCATTTTATGTTGCACGCACTGCACGTGCCCGCTTCTACCGGGGAACAGACGTCGAGGTTGTGACTGACTGAAATGTTTACAGACTGAAATCCTTATTGATCTCCAGGTCCAATCATCGAGTAAACGAATATCCCGCGGTGCGGAAGGGGAAAGGCGGCAGACAATTGACCTTCCTGGCAAAGACTGGATTGTCTGTGACACTCGATAGCAGGTTAAGGTGCACAAGGCTTGTTGTCACAGTCGCGCAGCATCCAACCCCTCTCGCGCATTCGAGCAGTGGTACTGTGAACCCCAGCGAGGCTATCGTGCCAGAAGGTATACAAACTGGATAGGGGTCGAGACAGAGGGAGGGAGGCGGGGGAGGGGGGTCCCTCACTGGCCACTTCTGGAGTGATGTTCAGGCTTGATCAACCTATGTTTGTTGTGTCAAGTCGGCAGCCAATCCTCCTGGATTCCAATCGGCCTCTACAGAAGCATAGTAGACGGATGCCAATCACATGAAAATCGAGGCTGAAATGTATTCTTGAACTTACACCTCCTATCTCTATACCTAGGTAGGACGCCAGGATTGCCTGGAAAAACACACAACACATCACAGCACAACTGCCCTTCGCATTCGCGTCACAGTGCTGGGAAAAAACCACCCAGGCAGGTAGGTACACAGATGTGCGTAGAGCCCGACAAGGATGGAAAAAACCAGCACCAAGGGAAACGTCAATACAAATCGCACAAAAAAGAAGGTAAACAACAACACACTTGGAGTTGTTTCCCCCTAGACCCATACCAGTAGCGTTAAAGAAATGGGTAGAGCATCAAAGGTCTCTTGATGGGAGTGGATGGAGCGACTGACTTGTTCAGTAGTCATCTCCGCGACTCAGGACTTCTTTGTGCGTCTCGCGCAGGAGAAAGGTCTGCAAACATAATCAAAAAAGGAGTCAGTCTATCATGAGTCTTTTGCGCGTGCGGTTTTTGGGGGGCGGGGGAATTGTAGAGAAACAGAAGATGTCGGGGGTGGTGCTTTTTTCTTACATGTTCAAACTGCGCAGAGTACGAGCCCGGAGTGTCCATCAGGGGGAGATAGCACTCGACGATGCCGTTGGAGACGAGAGAGTTCATCTGGTAATTATCGATATGCGTTAGTTAATTCAACGGTTATCGAATGAGTAAATAGTGTCAAGTCATTAATGCAGTCTGTTTTCGACTTCTCTTTGTGTTCGATAGAGACGGAGACGAGGAGGAGGTTAGGGATAAACTCACGCCGGCCAAATACCTCTCGACGCCGAGTCGCTCGAGATAGCGACGGCAGAACGGTATGGTGCCAAAGTTTTCGCGAATCGTCCGGTGAAGACGTCTCCCAGAGGCTAGGGACAGAGGTGTCGACAGCGGTGCGTCGTGGTTCAGCCCGTACCCATATACTCCTACCTGTTGGTACCAGTCAATACAAGTTTTGTTCTTTACATCGCATGATGAAATGAAACAAAGTGGAGGGGGAGAATGGCCTACATCGTCCACCACATAGCCACGGCCTGTGGTGCCAAATGTTTCGATGGCAAAGACCTCGCCCTCCTCCATTTTGGTCTGGTCCGAGGTCTTCACAAAAGGGATGGACTTGCCGCCGTGGATGCGGTACTGCTTGATGTCATGGGCCGAGAGATTGCGCACTGGCTTGACGGGGAACGTCTTGCCACGGATTTCCACCTCGTGGCTCTCCATGGCTTCTTGGATCGCAGCGCTCACATCACTGATGCGCACGTCGACTCCGGCAGTCTGTTTAAGCGGATGTGTTAGTCTGGCATGGCATAGCCCTCAAGTGCATACCATGTAGAGGAGCCCCGTACCTTTATTCCCGTATTAGTGGCATCCTTAACCGCGGCTAGGAGGTCATCGTGGGTGTGGTCAAAGGCCATGGTGAAGGCGCTGTCGACAGTCCAGCCGTTGATATGGACACCAAAGTCGACCGTTAGGATGTCGTCTTGCTGGAGCACGACGTCCTTCTGGCCCGGATTGGGCGTGTAATGCGCGACCTGATTGTTGAGGCAGAGTCCCGTGGGGAAGCCCATGCCAGCCTTGAGGCTATCTCCAGGCTCCAGTCCAGTGTGACCAAGTAGAGCCCTGACACTATTCTCGATGCCTTCTGCAACCTCCAGGAGAGTGTGGCCCGGCTTCACGCATTCTTGCACCCACCGTCGAGTTTGGCGGTGCGCCTCGGCGGCCTTGCGGTAGTTCTGAAGGAAAGAATCGTCTTGCCAATGGAAACGAGCTTCCTGACGCGCTTCAGCAGCCGCTGTGCGTGCTTCGGTGTAGCTCTGGATCTCGCCCTCGGGATACTGGCCGGATGGGAAGAGGTCGCTCAGCAGGACTGTCGGTGGCGACGACTGCTCGACAGGGGCCGGCGCCGGCACTTTCTTCTTCTTCTTGCTTTTCTTCTTGGGCTTCTTTCGTTTCTTTTGTGCATCTGCACCATCGGTAGTCAAGAGTGCCGCTTCTAGCGATCCCAGGGTTGTTGTCTCAGCCTCTGCATCGCCGTCAGCGTCGGCGTCGTCATCATCATCACCTCCCCCCACATCGCCGAGACACCCATCGCCGTCTCTGGACATGTGGGAGCCTCGAGGCTCGCCGCCGACGCCATAAAATCCATTCGAATTTGGCAAGTCTCCTTGAAATCTCACGTTAGGCTACGTGCTTTGAGCAGTGTCAGAGGAGCGTCACATACCGCCGTTCCTACGATGTTCGTTTTGAGGAGTTTTGGTTCCCATTTCGACATTCCACACAATAGAGGCATGCGATGATGAGCGACTACTAGACCCTGACAAAAGGACGAAGATTGAAATGTTATGGATGAAGCGTTTGGTGGTGACGGGATGTGGTTGAAAGGAAAATGCGATCACAAGATCAAAAATGATGCCTGCGATGACTAAGCGGGGTCACATTGAGGATGCCACGTGATTGGACATACACCAAAGAGGGAGCCAGGAACTGCCATCAACTTTTCAACTAATTTTATGTTCCGATAAAGAAATTCTCATGCCGTGGCTTCGGTAAGACAGTATGCATAGTTTGTGTCCTATATCCTGCATTCCAACAATAAAAGTGGGTGCGCAGACACTTGAAGCATCCCATGTCAAAGCCCTTGATATACTCTGGCTATCCCAACGAGGTAATCTTCGTGGCATTGTCCAACAACTTGGCTCTCAATATCGCCCCCGGGAGCTGCCGTAGGTTGACTCCATTGTTCCACTCATCCTGATACGGCAACTGATTGACGATAACGTAGAAGTATCCGTCTTCGGCGACGCTCGCGCTGTCGGGCCAGAGGATCCTGGGATCTCTTATAAATCCATGGACCTGCAGGTCCGCAGGGTCATAGTAATAAATGGCGTTGTGGGTGGGCATGAGCATATAGATCAGACCGCGACTATCGCCCTCGAAACCGTTGGCCTCGCCTCCCCGCTCACCGAGCCATGAGACGTTGTTGGAGGCCGCTTGCTCGGCGAGTGGACTTTGGCCGTCTTGTAACAGCAAATTAGCAGTCGGAATGCGGAAAAGGTTCTGCGACGTCAGTGGCGAGTAGTAGATATAGTCACCATCTGGGGAGATCTGGATACCATCAAGCCCCTCTTGCTGATGCGAGACGCTCATTCCCGGGTTACGGTAGTAGAATGGATGGCCCTGATAGCTTGGCAATGCATTGTACGTCCGCAGCACCGACGGATGTTGCGTCAATCTCCTCCAGGATGAGCCGTCTGTAAGATTCAGCATGATGAACCCATTACGGCCTTCATTGCTAGAATCCACGATGTATGCGACGTTGTGGCTGGGGCGGAGATCGAAGCGGATATCGTTCATGTACGAGTCAGGATAGTGCACAGCGGACGGAAACGTGTAGGTCGCGTAGACGGTATTGTTGGATAAATTGACGCCCACGACCTTTGGCCCTCCTGGCTGCGCATAGGGCATGGTGTAGCTCCCGGAAGAGGACCGGATAGTCGGCCGACCCGTGTCCAACAGCCATAGTGTTTCAGGTTGCCCTGAAGAAGTCGCAGGAGTGATATAGAGCGCTTGCACACTGATTAAGCCGGTCGAGTTCGCACTTCCGAACTCGATCCCATTGAAAGTCGTATTGAGTGCATTAGCAGGCAAATTCAACCCGGCAGTTGGGAAAGGCGTCTCCGAGGTCGTGCTGTTGACTTCGGCAACGGTATAGTCGTAATCCCCACGTGTGTAGCAAACAAAAACTCTCGAGGTGCTGGATACTGCGATGCCAATGGGCCAATATTTGTAGAAATAGTGGACTTCTTCGACCATAGGGCCGTAAGTTCCGTTGTCCACGCGCAGGATTGTATCGAACCTGGAGTTGTTCGAAATGAGTCCCTCTGTGGAAATTGTGTTATCTTGAGTCAGGCTGGCATTTTGACCCGTTGCTAAGCTGGCTAATGCGAGGCTGGCGGCCCAGAGACTGGTTATACCCATACTGCTCACCTCTTCAATATCGATGAACAGAAGTGATCACAGAGGAGAAGCACTTGGAAGAACAATGGCACTCTCCAGTACCTCTCTCCACTTACGGAAAACACCCGGTAACCCTTTCATCCATAACTGCGTCACAAGCGGAGTCATGGCTCCAGAGCTGCCAAAAAGGGTTATCTCAACCAAGTGTAACATGCTGATTCCGGCAAAATACACGGTCCCCAAGCGGTGCTAGGGCTTATGGATGTACACGTCACGAGTCGTGCGGATCTGCAAAGAGGTTGCGTCGATCGTCATTGATTTTTGTGTGGCATCAAGAAAGAAGCTGAACGAGGCTGCGCTAGTCCTTATTAGTTGAGACCTCGCCCTGCAAGGCTGCCCACTTTTATCCGACAGAGCCCCCCAGTACCAGAGACTCTCATGTCCCATGCCTCCAGATCTTTCTCAAGAAGCTCCACGTTTTACTCATTCGGGTCTCTCCCATGGGCGGCTCAAACAAAATATCCATGCTCAAATAAAGCAAATCAAGTGTCCTCGATGCCTACTTATAACTGAGGAGCCGAACAACGCCCTTAGGGAATCATTAACCAGGATCTCCATTAATGTCTATTATGAAGCAGAATCAGGTCAGGAATCGATGCTCAACTTGGCCCATCCGCCAGTAGCTCATGAGGAGAAGGAATAAGGTCCCTTCCCGAGGGATATCTCTGGATCCGTCAGAGAGCCTCGCCGTCTGTGTCGTGCTTTGCAGGCCGCAAATATGTACCTTCTGCCCGGACACATTATCTCGTGGCCTGAGTGGACTTTTGATGAAATGGCCTTCCTCTAATCGCTGTTGAGATCGTCTCCAACCGGTGGATTTCGTACCTCCTCATTATTGTAGAATAGTCGCCCGTTGTCCTTTTCTATTTGTATTCTTTTGCCGTCGTCGTATGCCTGGCCGAGTGTGTCCCTCCCAATGGTTTCGTTCCGTGAAGGCGTGAACCAGCATTAATATCCCGTACAATACCGAAGTGAACCAATATCGAATTGATCGCCAAAGCCAGCCAAACCGATCATCGCCCATTACAATGGTGGTGCATCTCCATTTCGAAGTCATGCAAGTAGTGGAGTTTGTCGGCAATGTACACTCATCTCCAAGACGACATCAGCGTGTAATAATGATCTGGAAACCGTCTACCCAGGCCCCACAACTTCCCGAAATCCCGGCAAGACTGTACCCTCGGGGCGCCATCAAGGTATGTCTGCGGACTGGTTAGAATGTAGGAGACGAAAGGAGCAGGGACCGCTGTCACATACCCGGAGCCTCCAGTCGCATTTCCAAAGACACCGGATCTTCGGCCAGTACTGGTTAGGATCTCAATACCATCGACCCAAAGACCAGCACGCAAATAGAAGCCGAGGATAGTTTCACCACGACGCGTGTCTGTGATTGTTAGTCCTGCGAAATATCACACCTCGATGCGAACTCACCGAGGAAGAATTCGTCGCCACCGGGTTTGCCACCCCTCTTGCCAAACAGTTGACTGTGGCCGTCTTCGTAACAAAATTCAATGCCATCTAGGGCAAAACCATGATAAACTCTGACTGATGTTAGAAGCTTCGTCTGGAGATGAATGCTTTCTAGGATCAGCTCTTGTGGCTGCGAGCCTTCCAGCTGGGAATGCCCGAGCTTCTTGCTTCGAAATCCGAGTCGTGATTCAAAGGACTTGCCCAGTCCTACAACGTTGTTCAGCGCATTCATCGTCAGGCCTTCGTCACGTTTTGGTGCCTGTTTGACATGGGGTAGGTTCACTACATATTTCTTTGACAAGAGGTCCTCCAAATCCTCGATCTTTTCACTCCGGGAACTAGCACAGAAGATGGTAAGAGACAACTTGGCCTTCTTCTTGTCTTCTGGTAGACGTGCGCGAATGTCGGCCTCTACCACGGTGATTTGTCTCGGAATCGCGCTGTGCCGAGGATCAGCACTCGTATAGTCGATCCATTGCCGGCATAGATCGTCTCCTTCTGTCCGTATCTCGATAAATGAGATCCCTGAAGGGGCGGAGCAGATTACGCGCCCGTTGCCGACTGGAAAATACTGAATGCTGTCGTCTTGTGGCAGAGGTTCATCGCTCGGGAGTCTGAAGCAGGGATGGTACCGGAAACGCAGTACGTCTAACCGATGCCAGCCACACTCGTCTTCTTGACGACAAACTTTGAGACCTTGGGATTTTGTTCTCGTCGAGTAGGGTTCTTTGACCAAGAATGTGCGGTTAAGTCGGACATAGTCTCTGAGCATAACTCCGTTTTCTTGATGTGGACAGCCGAAAAGATGACCGACTTCGTGCAGGTGAGCGCCAATACCGATATTGGCAGCTTCCCAACTGCTGCCAGACTCATTACAATCATTTGCCACATACTTGGTGTCCGTTCGTGTGCAATCCATAAAGGATGGCACAACTTCTTCAATGCAAGAGGGATAGCTCTGAAGAGCATGTGAGCCGAAAATGGCCAGGCCCAAGTCGTCCCCGGTACCACCGAGGGCAGCATGAGCCCTGATTGTTCCGACTTCGGGGTCCCAGTGGGAATCAAGAAGGAGGCAAGCCACATGCTGCTTCTGACCGGGCCTCAGGCTGAAATACTTCTTGACGGCGTCCGCCGCGATCGAGTAAAGCTCCCCCTTTTTGGCTGCCGGCGAGTGTTGCTGCGCATACTGTAGATCCTGCAATTCTGCAGTGGTCTTGTCCGCCCGAACAACATGAACCCTGGTCTCATTCTTCATGATGCCCATTTCCCAATCCCGCATCGAAAGTGTGCCGGTCTGCCACTCTTCCTCAAATCTAAAACATCTGCGGCCAAATTTGTGTCGGTACATCTGTTCTGCGGTGAATGTCTGCCACAGGTGAGCAGCCATGCGGAACTTTCTGGTGGCCATGGATAGGTCATTGCCCTCGTTTTGTATCCTCTGAGGGACTGCGTCATATGTACAGGGAGAATCACTACCAACCAGGATGACAAGCTGTAGAGGCGGTGCGCTGTTCAGCGGCAGGTAGTTCAGCATAATATAGGAAGAGTGCATCGTTGGCGCGGATCCAGCGCTGTGCTGGCTCAATGTCGGGGAGGTAAAGTCAAAACGAATCCTGTTCCATCCGGGCGAGAGGTAGACGAGCGCTTTGAAGTACGAGTCGGACACAGGCCAGTTTGTGGGTGGGAATGCCTGCCCTTCCTTGTCGTGATGGACGGTCAGATTGCCATCCAAGGGTTTCTGATTTGGATCCCCTATTTCTCCGTTGACCAGCAATACTTTGTGGTAGACCTGTACGTCATCTTTAAGTCTTGTATTCCCGAACTCGCTGAACCAGTACATACCACTGAATTATCCAAGACCGAAGTGATTTTGGGCGCATATGCAGAGGTCGGTGGAGGGACCCTTGTCCCATTGGAGCCAGAAGGTGACAGAGTCTGCTTTTGTTCAGCCCATATGCAATACCTGGCTGGGGTTGTTCCAGAGGACTTACTATCATGCTGTTCCTATTGGAACTTGGGACCATCACATGAGGCCGCTGAGGGACCGGTGGTGGGGTGTCGCCATTGCTCTTTACCGTGTCCAAAACGTTGTGTGAGGACCCATTGGCATGATATGTCGAAGGTGGTGTTGCGCTCCCAGGGGTGGAGTTGAGAGTCGAGGACGACTTTGCGGTCGGAACGGTGCCATTGGATTCTGTTGAGGAGTCGGAGGTTCGGAAACTTGCTTTTGATCGTCGTCGCAGCTCTTTGAAAAAGGGCATGGCTACTGACGATGGGAATGAAGGTGAGGACGATTCAACAGTCAGTCATAGATCTGACAGACTGCGTGAGGAAGCGAGCTGGTCGGCGGAATTGAAACGGTGTGGTTGATGATGCCGGTTGGTGAGAATTAAGGGTGGGATGTAACGACCGCATGCACATGCATGTGCAATGGAGTTTTTTTCCGAAGTGACACTTGGCTGCGAGGGTCTCACTGCAGAAGCAGAACAGAGCAGACGAAGCTTCGCTCAGACACTTTGGACGGACAAACGAGCGACCAGGAGAGAACGAGGAAAGTCGACTAGGACTGGGGATGAGGATGAGGGTGAGGTTGTGAAAGAGGAAAAGCGACCGTCAGTTCGTCGATAAGCAGCAAGCTGAAAGAGAACGACAAGAAGGTGACATTGCCCGGACCTGCGACCTGGCCGACACTTGGAGCTATGGGATATTCTGGGTCGTAGCGGACGGAAATGTAGTATGCAATATGCACTTTTTCCAAGTGGAAGGACAAGTTCGAACAGGTTTGGTGATTGCGAGACATGCGCTGCCGCCAGCAGGTGCGATTCGCCAGAAGCGGCACCAGGCAAGCCAGGGAACCAGGGAACCAGGGCTACAAGTGCAAGGGCAGCAGAGCAATCCGGACCATTATTGTGCAATCAACTTGGCTGAAAGCCACAAGCATTGCGATAAAGGTGGGGAATTGTAATGTGTAGAATGCGCAATCCTCAAGCTGTACCAAGTTTCTCGTACCTCATCCTTGGGAATACCTGGGCGTGCCTGGGCCACAGTGGACTTTTACCCACGCATCACGGCACACAATGCGCCCCTGTTGGTTTTGGGTGCGCCAAGGGGGGCCATTATAAGGGCTGAGAGCACCGAGGGGGATTGTTAGTTAAGCAAGTTAGGCTCTTTAGGGACTGGCGTCCCCGGAAAAGCTAGGTAGTTGTGGGCATGGTGGGCATGTTTTACGGTTGATGACGTAGAAGAAGCAGCTTGGAACTGCACGAACATGTGGTTGGCGTAGTGCCCAGAGATAAGTCGGCATTGGCCCTGGCATTTTCTCCGTCCTCGTTCCCGTTCCAGCAACTACTCAGTATGTCCCAATGAGGAACAGATAATCTCTACCTCGAACCTCCGTATATATTGAGTTGGTGCTGGAGCTGGATCTCTGATCTGCACGAATATGAGTAGAGCCTCATTTGTCCAAATCAATCAGGGGAATGCTGAATGCTTGTTCTGAGCTTCTATCCGAGAAGAAGACGGCTACCCCTGCTGAAAGGGGACATCGAAAGTGTAATTTGAGAAGAACTCCATACAGTGGATATGGAAGTCCCAGGAGTTCGATTCTGTAGGGCATATCATTCTGTAGCTCTCCTGCTAGAGATCCGCTGAACGGACTCGCATATACCGAGCGCAGAGCACGCTGTATACACATGTCTATGGAGAATTGATTGTGCGTGGAGGTTCGCAGGCTGGACGCTTCTGTATAAACCTATCAACATTGGTTACATGGAAAGTGTCAGAAATGCCTTACGTACATACATCCAGACTCCGTATATGCCATGTCAATGGCACTGACAATTCCTCCGTGTCTTTGTCGCACGACAATCCCGAGGGTTGTCAATCCCGAGACTTAGTTCTCCATGGTAATTTTTCATATCCGGATCGGGGAGCCGAAGATGTTCCTTTTTGGTTCTCTAGCATCTTCTCCTGATGGCTACCTCTATATCCTCCGAACTTAGCATTATACTTTTCACGCAGGTACCCCGAATATGATATTGATCAGCGAGGTATCTGCTTGAACCTGGATCAGGGGGGGTAACCCCTCGATCAAAGGCCGACCGTTATCCCCTTCAATGTGGGCAGTAATGAGGTCCTGAGTGAGGTCAGGGCGGCTCTCGGTGTCCACTGCCCCATGCCTGGACTGAGAAAGGTACACTGCTTTAGGGAGGGACCAGTGGTTATTCTTCCCCAGATCTTTAGCTTGTCGCTGATACCCGTGCCCGAGATGGAAAAGGAGGAAATTTGTGACACGCCTTCTTCCCCTCTCTGGCTCATCAAAGCTACTCGTATGTCCCAGCCGTGTCATAGAATCTCGGAACAAGGAGATCGACTTGTGTTCGTGGCAGTGGACCCAACGAGGGGGTTGGTTCAACCGGATATCAGGGCACACGAGACACAGAAACCGGCAGTCTGGTCTGCGAGTAGGAGTACGAGGTAGGGGTAGGAGCACCGAATAGTCGTAGCAGTACCTGCAGCCGCCACATCAGAGGTGACCAAGGTGATTCTGAGGATATGGGAAACACAGGCACGCAAGTCACCGGCGTCAATTGGTCCTGTGCAAACGTCGGTTTGAAATGGATTGAGGATGGCCGGGTCGTATGGCTGGAGGAAGCTGAGGAACCTGCCAAAGGTGCATGCGACCAACGCAAAGGCCAATTTCAGAGCCAGTCGGTAAGCTCCAAGCAGGAGTCTCAGTTAAGAGCGTCGGCCATGCGTAATTAGCAGCTAAGAAGCCAATGAGTTTGACACCATCACCAGCCACAGGCGAGCCGGAGCTGCAAATGGACGGCCTCAATCCACTTGTCCTTTAGCTGCCTTAGTGGCTCTTTACCCAGAACCTGCCCGCCAGTGTCAGTGCTTGCAGCATCGGCTCCAACGAGGGCACCCCCTCGTCCAACCTCCACCAGTTGCCGCTCTGAGTCTCTGGACTGCCTCCAGTAGTAGGTAGGAGTAGTGAAAGCCTATTACTTGTATGCCGGCGAGCCCAATTAACTTAATCCAGGCCATTCACCGTGGTCGTCAAGTTCGCTGCCACCAAACGTTCCTCTACCACTAACTAACTTACCTACCTACTCTCCTTGAACTTATTGCTCAGCTGCTGTCCACCTTCTTTTCTTTCCTCTGCAACCTCCTGCTCTCTGTCCCTTCATCCTCTACACCTCCGTCCGTTTCGACACCTGATCCTCCAGCATGACCTCGATCCTTCAGTGAGCCGAACTGGACCCGAGCACCACTCATTCAACATAGCGCAGTCGCACCCGGCTACCCTGGCGCTGTGGCCCCACGAATTGCCAGCCCGAGTCTGGATCCATAGCAGGAATTAAACCAGCTCGACTACAATTCTTTCCTAGCCTGCGCATTGACGTCTCGGGGCAACACCACACATATTTGGCAAAATCCTCACCCTTCTCCTTCTTAAAAACTCCCTCGGAGACCTATCCCTCATGCTGGTCTCTCATACTCTTTGCAACAACATGACCTCTGACCAGCATCCACATGCTGCGGCTGAAGTAGCAGAGAAGGTGCTGCGAAGGGTGGAAATTGCAAAGGTAACTCAATCCCAACTTTGCTCACAAGGTGTTCTCTGGGGAACCCCCCTTCCTGACTGAAGTTGCTCCATAGGTTGCTCGAAACCTCCAGGACTGTTTGGCTTTTGCAAGCTTCAAGGCCCAGAATGGCTGGCAAGATCGTACGCTGGCCTCGATCGAACCCGAGTTCACCGAGAAGCTGAAGAGAAAGAGACCATTTCTGGAGGAAGATCTACCTTGTGATACCTCGTCTGGATCCGACGACGAATTTGTCCCTACCTCGTCAATTGCCAATAATCGTTTTTCGAAGCCCTCCAACTCTGCCTTTAAAATCCCCGAGCCTCCATTCGCTGCGAGGAAAAGAGTCCGGTCGTCCTCTGTGACAGGCCTGGACAGACAGTCAAGCACGTTGACATGGAAGCAAGATCACCGACTGCCCCAGTCTTCTCCTCTATTGAATCGGGCACAGTCCTTCCAGGAGCATCCAGTCTTTCATACCGACTCTGCTAGAACGCCTCGCCTTGCTAATGACGACTCTCCCATGTTTGATGTTCACTCCGATGACGAAGATCATGACCTACCCATGCCTGCATTTGGCAACGAACCGTCAAGCAGTATTTTGTCCTCATCACCTCCACGAACACCTCCTCCCACGAAACGCTTCTTAAATGGCAACTCCAAGCAATCTGGGGCCGACCTCCTACTCTATCTGGCAAATTCACCCTCTAGGTCACCAGCTATCAATATCCACAGAACCTCGGACTCGTCGAAAGAACCACCCTCGACACCACCTTCGCAGCATTCACATCTCCCTTCGTCAGTAATGACCACTCCGGGCACTCATCTTGGATTGTTCAATGGCGCTCTACAAACTCCAGGCCAGAATTTCAACTTGGCCGACTTCTGCAATGTCACTCCTTCACCTGCACCTGCTCAGTGGGGCAACCGGACTCCCACCATTAGCAAGACTCCCAGCCGGTTTACAAGAGCCAGTTTGAATTTTGATACCTTGCAGCCTCCGTCCGGCAGTCCCACCTTGCCACGAAAGGCTCCGACCAGCCAGGGACTGGCTCTGCAACTGGGTGACGAACTGATTCCAAGATCATAAACCACACCATAGCACTGCTATTTCTATGGCTATGACCGGATTCACACACACCGCCCTTTATGATAAAACACCCAAAGGCACATGCTCAGCTGTGCCACGACCTACTCGACTTGAAACGAATAGCATACAGTGTCTTTTTCTGTCCAGCAATGACGCATACATGACCCCAAAAGAGGAGGGCCATGGATTTGAGCTTGGAAAACATGGAGCGGAGCTGGATATCCGGGAAACGCAAAGGCGTTATTTGCCCAAGCAAAGGAACTGGCCAGGAGCAACTCTTTTGTTCAGCAAAATGTGTTCGATTGTGCGCGTCTCTCTGTTTTTGTACTATGCGTTGATGTGGTCAATTGGATCAGTCATGTGTCTACGGTCTATTCCCACCCCTGACGACGGCAACATCCTAATTCCATCATCGACATCGTAACAACACAGCGATAGCTGAAGTTTAGGTAGCTGAAAGTAGGTAGCTCTGAATCAAGAAAATACGACCATTATCCTTGTTCCCCTCTATGGCCATTCCTTTGGACTGCTGTTGCCGCTCTACGGGATATCACAGATTACTTGGCTTCAGGCCATAGATCGCGTGCTCCAGACACGGCATGATACAAGAATTAATCGAGGTCGTGTGCATGCATCGGCCAGGCTCGTGGCGCGTCCCAGAAATTTGAGGCGACCATCTAGCCAACGCCACGGTCGGTTCAACGGCCGTTTCAGGGCATCCGTTCTTGGAGCACTACGTCAATACGAGTAATATTGTGCTTCGCCCGTGCCGCACTGGCGAGAGGCCGGTCAGCTGGGAGAGGGGGACCTTGGTTTAGCACTTCCTCATGCAGGCACTTCACTCGCACAGCGGCAAACGATGGTGTTAAGGCCGTGGAACTTATCTCCACAATCAAAGTGACCTAGTAGCTACGAGTATTCCTGGGGGGCCGACAGGTTTGATACTACTGCACCAACTGTCATGGCAACTGGGGATGTGGAACAAAGTCGAAACCCAACCAAGGAAGGGCCGCAATCCAAGCAACTCACTCTACAGAGTAACTCCCCGAACGAGGTATGGGGCTCGACTAGGTTGGGTACATGATTACTTGTGATACTTGTGGTACTTGTGAGAGGAGAGAACAGAAGGATCAGCAAGTTTGAGCAGCAGGGATGACTTGTAGGGAGCCGGATCACATATCCTATCGAGGGCCTGCATGGAAGCCATGAGATGAGATGACAGATGGCTGCATTTTGGGCTTGCAGCAAACAAGCGAGGCCGGTGCAAGACATACCTATGCATGAGCTTTGGTACCGTTGGCCTTGGTGCTGCGTGTTCATGCCATGCCATGCAATGCCATGCTATGCCTAGCATACATACATACATACCTACGCAGCCGTAGACAACAAGTCAGCTCTCCGTTCTCGGTCGCAGTCACAGTCTGGATTGATTATTGTCGGACGGCACAGCGTTCTGCCACGAACAGATCCCAGTCGGTGCCCAATCCCCACCGACTACTGTTTCTATATCGATGCAGCCCCGGTCCTCGGTAGTATTTCTTATCAAACGGGCGGTTTGTGGAAAGTACGAGGTAGGCAGTGGGAAATTGAGATTCGCTCGAAATAGGGAAAGGGAAAAGCGGGGACGACATCCTGACCTTTTGACGCGTCCACAATTTATTTATTTGTTCCTTTTTTTTTTCGTCCGGCCTTGTTTTCCTTCTTCATACGCTACTCAAGGAGATTCCATGCCTCGGACTCTTCAGTGTCTTGCACACATATCACTTGACCAAGATACTCCATTCGAATCCTGCCTTTTCATGAGGAACCCAATCGAAGAACGACGCCTTATTCCTACCGACACGCGTTCGATCGTCTCGCAGATCCGCGCTCGCGTACTTAGCGCGTTGCACTAGCATCTTATTGTGGATTTCGCGGGGCTCGCCGGAGGGTGGCTGGACTTTCTGGGAGAGAGCTTCCAGCTGAAAAATCACACATGCGGCTTTGGGCGTGGCACTAGTGGCAAACCAGGGTGCGATGACGGCTGGTCCTTCGTACAAATACCTTGACAAAGTTGCCTCGGGCTACCCACGAGTGTCAAGCTAAGGAAGGGAGCTCGTCCGCTCAGTCGCTCACACTCACCCAGTTTGATGATATCGTCGTCTGAGGTTCTTCCTAGTCCCGTGATTACAACCAAGGATGCCAGGATGCGTGGATGCCCACGATGGCGTACCCCATACCCATGCAAGCAGTTGGAGGCTGCAGACACTGTAACCCAAGCGCGGCTCAAGATGCCGTGCGTGGCCTTGGACCTTGTACAGCTTATGTTGGAGCCAGCGTCCGATCACAGCCGCCCCTCCTCCTCTGCTAAACGTCTTGGAGGGCCACTTTCCGCGAGCTACGAGTACCTGGAAACAGCTGGACAAGGTACCTTTCCAGATGATCATGACCGTTGTTGAGGTAGGCTCGCATGAGAAGGTTCAGAAGCGACCCTAGACAATGCCTGAGAGCACATCACTTTGACTCAACCCATTTGCTTGGGTGCTTCGCAAGGATCGTGGCTCGCCTAGCCCAGCCCCTCCAGTCACTTTATGTCAAAACTCGGATGGGCAAAACACTACACATGTACATGGGTGTGCCGTGCCGATATATCCCTGGCACACAATGCATTACTATGTATAAGGACCGAGCACTTGTACCAAAACGCGCTTCAGCCATTGACTCGGGACACAGGCACAAAAGGAAGGGCATTGGCTGAAATCTCGACTTTCCAAGCATTTCGTCGCCCGTGTCACCGAGTCGATGGTGCAATAATACAGTCAAAAGTGTCTAGAGATTCCCCTCTGAATGTCTTTGCATTATTTGCCTACAACCTACTTAGGTGACCGAGGTAATTAATTATTAGTATGGCTGTAATATGGACATGGTTGTTCCCGATTCGATATCGGGCTGCCGAGTCAGTAAGACACTCAGTGTCGTCGTCGTCATTAAATCCCTGCGCTTAGCTGCATGTACCTCGTACTCTCTGACAATGACGATTTTCTGTTCCAGCTCCTTCGCTGGGTAAGGGCTGAAAACAGGTTGCTATACACAATAGCAGTGCTTGAAGTTCGGATGAACGGCGTAGTAACCACGAACTCGGCTCTTCGTCAGTGCTTGATAGACATCTTGACGTGCACTTGATAGGGAGGCGTTTGATTCCATTGACAGACTCCCTCGGATCATGTGTCGGAGGTCATGTCTTCTATCGTTTCGAAACAAATCCCCGTTTCTTCATCAATCGTCACACTCATCTAGAATCTCTCGGTCCCTTCGTGCTAAGACGGCATCATCTCCTGACGACTCTCTCCTCCCACTGCACCCCAACCCACTCCTCCCTGAAGGAGACAGCCCCCGCGTCGCCACAGTTGTTCACACACGTCCCCACGATGATTGTGCCCCACTCCATGCCGTCTTCCAGGCCCATGGCGTTCTCGTCGTCCTTTTCCAACTCGTAGATCAAGCCCGGCACAAGCTGTAGCTCAAACACTCGTTGACTACCGCAGCTCTCGCATCGCGGTATTCCCTTCACAGGTCCGGTTCTGCCGTGGGGCACGGTGAAGCGGGTCGCAACCTCGTCTGCGCCAGAATACAGCAGTGGTTCACCCTTGAACTCGTACCGTAGGACTTGCTCTGGGTTTTGGGCGATACGGTCAGAGAATTTTTGGAAGGTCTTGTCTAGGCTGGATTCGAACGTGTCTTTATCCGCAGCGTTGCTGGAGCCTCCTGCGTCGTCGACATCATATTGTGTCTTTGAGGACTCTGCTTCTGTGGCAGCGGCGGCAGGTTCTCTGTCCAGCTCCTCCGGATATGCGTCGAGGTAGAAGGATGGGTAGGGTTTGGGAAACTCGGTGAGGTCCGGCCACGGTATCTGCTCCTGTGCGGTCTTCTTGGTGCCTTCGTCGTCCGGTCCGGCGCCGATTCGCAGTTTATCTGCGAATGACTGTGTAGGAGGTTGAGGTTGAGGCTCCTCGCGCGGTCTCTGCGGAGGTAGCGCTGCCAACTGTGAAGGCGAACCTATGCTCGCAAACGGGTTTGCTGTCGCCGGCCCATTCGTGCTGCCGGGCATCGAAAACGGATTTGCACTGCTGGCTGCGGATTGTTGGCTTGACCCGCCAAACAGAGCACTCCCAAGGTCCTGTACCGGCCTCACGGTCTCTGGCTCTATCGCCTTTTGTTTTTGACTCTTCTCTTGCACCCTGGGCTTCCTGACTTCCCGGAATGCCCTGACACTGCCCACCTTTTTCGAACACTGTTTCTTCCTGCAGCAGAGGACATGAAGGCGCCGGTCGTCGCTGGGGAAATACTGTTGCAGATCTGCATTGAGCTGGAGGAGAAGGGACATGTAGCTGTTGCAGACCTTGCATTTGGCCAGTGCCGCAGGCGGAGGGTGACTTGAGTCTAGCCAGGTGGGATAGCCGCCCAAGTGACTGACGTCGTCGCCCGTCGACTCGACGGTGGCATAACCGAGCGTGACGTTGGTGGTCGAGTAGTCCTCGCCATCGTCCGAGGAGTCGCTATCGTAGGGGGCCATCTCGCGGGATAGGCAGATGTGGCCACCAAGCCTCGCTGCTGATTATCCCGATACGTTTTTTTTTTGGTTGTCGCTGTGCAGTGCCAGATTCGTCTGAGGGGAATTTTCCACTCCGCAAACCCTTGTCTTTCTGGGGGAAGATGATTGGACTCGGATTAAGGTGTGTTCCGCGCGGCAGCTATTCCGTATACGGTAAGACTGACAGGAGCATCACATTAGGATTACCTCGTTCGGCGTACTCGGTACGAGTAGTATTAACCTAGGTTATTGTGAGCATTCCTCTGGCCATCTCCTCCGCATTTTTCTTGGTCGGAATCCTTCTCGTCCCCTGCATCCTCGCTGTCAAATACTCCATCGAGGACCCCTGGCTTCTTGTTGCTGTTCTCTCCATCCCAGCAAATCTGCATACTCCTCATTTGCCTATTCTATCTACGTACTTCATGATCGTCCGCTTGGCCCAGTGAAGCCAATCATCCCACATATCACTCTTGTGTCCCGTAATCCTTTCCCCGCGCTGGAGGCGGGGAATCCCTGTTGAAGCAACGTCGAGGCCTGACCAAAGCATCGGGCGATAAAAAAACGCCCGTGTATTCATACAGACCAGATCCCAGGTCTGCCCGGCAGATCTCCTGACATCTCCAATCTCTCCCTCTCTCTCAGCTGTTCCATTCGACCTCTCAACGCGAAAGAGCCAGAAGGTATCCAACATGTCGACACACAAAGTCTCCGCCGTCACCATCGACGAGTACGAATTCCCCACGGGCGGCCACGCAAGAGGCTACCTGCTATCCATCGCCCTGATGATACTGTCTGCCCGCCGCAGATTCATCGAGCCAGGCTCCGTTCTTCACGATCAACTCATAGCCAGGAGCGCCACCGCCAGCAAATACGCCAAGCCCACCCAAGACGTCCTCTTCTACTTCCTCTATGGTGCGCATAGTATCGAGGCCGTCCACTTCGCCCTGACGAAGCTGAGAAAGCACAATGTCAAGGCTTTCAGCCTGCCCTGGTTCCAGTGGATCATCGCTGTGTTTGTGGGAGGAGTCAACGCCAAGAAGCATTTCGACGCCGTTGTGGAGAAGAAGGAACTCAAGACTATCAAGGAGATCTAGAGGAGGAAACGGGATGAGGAAGATTAGGACGAGTTGGTGTCGACCTCTGTGAGGGCAAGGTTTCCTCTCGATGCTAAGAGGGTGGGCACGCGGGAGTTTTCTTGGAAGATCTCCATCTCTTTGCAAGAAATGCTGAAGTATAGGAATCCCGGAAAAACAAAACAATCGCTGTCGGTCCTTCATGAGGAACAAATGCTTTTGATCCACCGCGGCCGTCCATTGGTCAGCCTTCCGGCGGTAGAATACCATTTAGCCAACCAGTTCGTGCCATATTGATGTTTATGCATATGCACACCTTCACCCCATCTTTCTTCTTCGCAAGGCTGACGTTTTCTGGACTCAAGACACCATAGCTGAAGTGACATTTCCCCCCTGCGCCATTAGTGAGTCCAAACCATCTCATGAACTTAGACGCGGCCGCCAAGACGTCAAACGTCTGGTTCCGTCCATGTCCAGGTCCTCTTGAACCACACTTATTTCAACTCTCATTTGACCTCATTACATTGCTCCCTTCGTCCCCTGCCAAAGACTCATCCGGTGCTTGAATCGAGCGGAAATCAGACCGGAGAGCGCCGCGGCAAGTTCTTGTCTAAGGGAAGCGACCGCCAGTAACCTTCAATGACAATGGCCAGCCTCACTCCTGGCAGCAAGGCTAGGGGCTTCATGTCACTCCCCGCCGAAGTCCGACTGAACATCTACGATCTGTTGATGTCGAGTACGATGCTGATCAACCTCTGCCAGCCGCCTCTGCTAGAGCCGGACCATCTCCTCTCCCGAAAGAGCTCGCCTGTCTCAGAAATGTCTCTGCAAATATTGGCCCTCGAGACCATCACCCGCAGCCATGGTCTCCACCTGCTCGTTGTCGGTGACCCCGTCAAGGGCGAGGTAGAATCACTGCTGCGCCAGCGTGTGGTCCGCTACCACTGTCCGGACTGCCTGACTCGATGGCTGCGGAACATCTCCTATGGCTTGAGCGTGCGGTTCGACTGGGTGGAAAAGCTCGAGATCATGTACAAGACCTGTCGCGACGAAATGAGCGGGTTCAGCATGGTCGAGGACTTCTACTTATCCAGACTGGCTGCCCGCGACATGATGGAGCGATACCAGGCGATCGTCTCCACTTACAGTGGCCGCATGGATCTTGTACATCCTCCCAGGACATGGCACTTTGAACTATTCATCGAGATTCCAGAGGAGCTTCTGGCGAGCATAGGGCCACTGCAGCCAGGAATATCGACGCATGGCACGCGGGTCCTGCCAGAAAGCGTGGCTTTTTTGCCCTCGCTGGACTTTGGTGGGACCTTCAAATGGATTATATGTGGGACGGCGCACCGTGAGAGTTGATTACATGACGGAACGACAAAAACGATCGACAAAAACGGAATGGTCGCGTGTATCTGGTGTTGCAAAGTCGCAACCAATGGATATAGCACACCCTGCCGAGTGCATTTCCCCAACAAAATCCAACCGCCAAAGCTCGTCTGCTCAAAAGGTGAACTGCATCAATCCCGGATTCAACACAAGCGGCAGTAATGCGTGCGACCCTGTCCACCCAGAATGTCAGCAAAGAGTGTGCGAGTCGATGGGACGGGTAGATGATAGAGGTGCTGGAAGGTCAGCTGAAAGGAGAGAACTCGGGCAGGAAGGCAGGAAGAAAACGGCAAAAATAGTAATAAGAAACCCACCAACAACCGTGGCCAAAGGCCAAACCGCTGTGAACCATGCAATCTGCCAGTCATATGGCACCAGTTTCCCCAGCGGACCGACGCCAGCAACCACAATCATGCCCAAACTCATGATGGCACAGAAGATGAATGTGAACCGAAATTTCCGAAGAATCGTGGGGATCTCTTTGAAGAAGCTCGTATCGGTGGCTTCCTTGCTGGTCGCGCCCCAGGACATGTCGATCGAGAAGAGGTGCGAGAGGATTGCTTGCGAGACGTGAAGGGATATGCCTCCCAGAAAGATGGTCAGAAGCGGGATCCAACGGAAATTCTCCCACAGTGCCGAGAGGAGAGTCTGATCTTCGACTCTGTAGCGCATTACTGCCAGCGCGAGATTGCCGAGGGCGGTGAAGACAACGATGATGGCAAAATAGATTTTGAAGCTGTCAATGTAATAATGATCCAAGTGGCCGTTGAACCAGCCAACGATGCAGTAATTGAACAGCGTCAATATCCACGCGCTCCCGATGGCATAATAAGTTCCGATGTAGGCCATAATGGTCAATTTAGACGGGAATGGCATCGAGCTCTTGATGAAGTTGCGGAACAAGGGAGTAAAGGGGCCCTTGGAGAGCCATTGGGCAAACGGGTGGAAGATGAGCTCCGAACAACCATAGGCGTATTTCTCCCAGCGGGCGAGTTCGTCGTACACCGTCAGAGAGACACCTTCTTTGAAGCCCTGGTCGGCATAGGCTGCAAGGCGGAGGATATACCCAGAGGTTTGCAGACGAAGAGCCATATCAAAATCTTCAGAAACGGTGGCTTCGCTCCAGTACTTTTCCTTGATGATGCCGTCGTTGATATCTTCGTAGACATAGGCAACATCTTGCACAGCTGACCAGCGTAAAAAGGCGTTGTGACCGACAAAAGGGGCAACGTCGCCATTGGATACTGCGTAGCGGATGGCTGAGTACACAAGATTCGTGAAGAAGGTGATTCCCTTTTCGAACCACGAGTCTGTGACGTTCATTACACCGCTGGCAAACTGAATGATTGCGACTTCTTGGGAGATTTCCATTTCTGAGACTGCGCTCAGGAAACAGTCTCGAGGAACACGCGTGTCGCTGTCTATCAGCAGGATGTAGTCCCCCACGCGAATGTTGCCTGATGCTTGCGTACGACCTTCGTCTTCGGTAACGATAGATGCAAGAGCTTCGTGGTAGACCTCACGTTCTTGCTCCGTAGTCCAGGTGCCATCCTCCGGACGTACGATGGTCAACAGTTTGTCCTCGACTCGAGCAGAGACGTTCAGGGCATAGTTCATATTGGATGCCTTTTTGAACTTACCGGCTCGGATAAAAGGTCTTTGGCTGGAATCTGCGGGCTTCGGATCGTGCTTTGGTCTCGACACCCACCCGATGTTGTGTTCGTCGTAATAGTCACGTCGTTCTTGGGCTTGCTCGGCGGGGATCAGTTGCATACCATCGTCGTTGATGAAGATGTTTGCAGTTCCCCCTTGCATTTCATAAGTCGAGATAGCCTCTTTGATGGATTTGATTGTCGGGTCGATCACGGACCAGAGACCTTCTTTGTAGACTGGACATTGAATAGTGACGTGCGGCAAAGTATAGCTTCCGTCAGTGGGGAGGCGCGGGGGAGGCATTCCAGAGTAAAACTTGGTGTTGGCATTCATTTGACTTATGGGACCTATGATCTGGGCACAGCAACCAGCCACTGACTGCATGAAGAATAGTGCAAGCCAACATTGGAGGGGGACGACGGCAATGAAGGCCAGTCGCATCCAGGAACGGTCAACCTTGATTTCAATGGCGATCTCGCGCCAACCACTGCCAATGGCAGCAATCAGCAAGACCAACGTGATGGCAGTTAGGAGTGGTTGGATGAGAACAATCCGGCGAGGTAGCAAGCTCTGTCCCATGTCGGCAATTTGAGACGATCCTTCTTCGTCGTTGGCCTTGTCGAGATTGAGTGTGCTGGGCATGGCACTGGGAATATGAGCATAGGATTCATCGTCTTCGCATTCTTCCTTCCAAATCATGTTGATAAGTTGGTCTTCTATTGACTGGACACGTTTGAGGATGTGATTTGGATCGTCATCCCAGACGATGAGGATATTATAGGTGCGAACGAATGCTGCGAACTGATGTTTCTGGCAGTCAGGAAGGTGAGAAATGCTCGGGAGGATTTGCAGCCGGAGGCCGGAGTCAAGCGGCATGTGGGTGAGTGACTGATCTTGGAGGAATAGTTTGACAACGCCTGTGTTGACTGTCATGGCACACTATCAAGGTTAAGTCAGTAGGTAGGCACCTTGCGACGATCAGATTTCCTTACCTTGACATTAAGCCTTCTTACCGCATCATAAACTCCTTCGGGCCGAGAACGAAGGTCTTCAGGGGCACACTTGTAGTCGTTCTTCGCTTTCTTGAGCATGACCCCTTCTTCAATGCCATTGGTTGACCACATCCGCTCCAGTTGCTGCTGGTGCAGCCAGTTGCACATCATGTCAGTCTTCAAATCTCGCAGTTCCGGTGTTGAGCTGTTCCGAAAGTCGCCTTCAGGGTACAACAGAATCCTCCTACTTGAGTCATGTCTTGACATGGTCAGACGACCCCTAGCTGAAGATGAGCTAGCTGGTCGAGCCTCACTGGAGGAGTCTGGGGTTGCCGGAGGGCTTGGGACCATGGGCAAGTCGAAAGTCGATGTCCTCGCTTGGGATACATTGCCTATGACGATAGTAGGTGCTTGAGTCGAACTCGAAGAGGGAATGTCCGAATAGTTGCGCCGTTCGTTGTTGTTACCATCCATACCGTTGACTGACGACCCGAGAAAGCCTTGGTGATTGCGTAGTTGAGTCTCGATGAAGGTGCGTGGAGGAACAGAAGAAAATGTAGGAAGAAAACAAGTGATAAGACCGGTTCAAGTACCCAGAGAGCCCAGGGACAGCCTGTTTTCGACCGGGCACGTTCATGAAAGACTTCCAGATTGATGCATTTGTGCATGAGATATTTATTTCAAGCAATAGGAACACCTCGAACCTGAGGCTGAGCCTGGCCCACCTGCTAGGGGACGGTCCTGACAGGTCTAGTATGATTGGAATACCCGTCCTGTAAGTCACAGAGACACCACCTTCGGAGATATATGACCAAACACGAGACAAGGATTGAAATGTTGGGAGTAGAGCTCCAGACCCCGAAGCACGAGGGCGGATGTTATCCAAGTTTGGACCTAGTCGGCTGAGCAGATCAGAGCTTAGTAGCAGATCCCGAAGTCCTTTGATATCATGATCTCACAATCTGTGCGATCGAGGAAGCATCATGTGTTGAGACAAAGCATGCCTGCATCATACACGGTCAAGAAGAAGCTGGCCTCCATGCAGGCGTCTTGAGACAAAGCTGAAAATGTTGGGCCAAATCCAGGAAACTGCAGTCCAAGCCAGAATTTTTATGAGACACAATTTGGTGTTCCTGCTAGGCGATTTCGAAATGCCAATGCCGAAATCAACCACGAATGCTTGATCGCTCCAAGCACAGGGGTGCCTCAGTGCCGTTGACTATCGGACATATCTCTAACAAGCAAGATGGAAAACTTGGGGAACCTGTGTCCTCTGGTGCGGCATATTGGGAGTGGGTACCATATATCTCGTGCTCATGGGAAACACTCTCGGTGTCATTCGCGTTCGGACTCAAGTCTTCGCCGCACACGCCTTTCTTCTTCCAAAATATCTTCGTAGTCTTCGATTCTGACGGCAATTGCATCCCAGATTAAGACAGCCTGCACGAATACTGTGCCTTGTATAGTCTGCGACCTTTTCGTGCTCTTTTTTCCATTCTGAGGCGTCGAAGCCCGAGTATACCCGATTGCGTTGATCCAAGTCCCTGGGTCCAGAAGAGCCGGTTTCACATTTTCAAGGACAAGATTGATGTCAATCCATATTCGAGGAGTCGGGCTAGAGGTTCTCGGATAGGCATGTTCGAGAAGAAGCTGACCCTTGATGGCATCATATTGCACAACGCTGTCAAGCACATGTCAACAGTATAGCTGCAGGAGTTTCGGGAGGCATACCAGCCTAGTAACCTCACCTTGCTCTCAGCAGGAAGTGATACTATTTCGTGAATGAAGACCAACTTGCTTGGGGTGGGGGCGCTTGGTACGCTTTCGGTCATGGCAATCTGTACATGCTTGTGACCTGATACTTATCTTCTTGATCGGCATGAAGACAGTGACGGCGCTTCCAGTACCAGAAGGACTTCAACGCGTCCTTCAGAGAGAGTTTATGGCGTATTACTCGGTAGATACCACGACATCCCGTAGGCACGTGATGTTCGGAATACCTGCCCTGTCAATGCCACTCTTGCCCGGAACCCACTTGGTGTTCGGCAGACTGGCGATGTCATGGCCTCTGGACTTTGTGATCTCGGGACCAGGCTCTCACCAAAGCAACGCCTCTTCTTCCCAAGCGTCTCTCCTAATCTTGTAATCTCCTGTGACATAGGATATCCGCTCTCTTCGGCAGTCTTTCCCCCCCCGACGCCCGCTGCTTGCTCTTCATCTGGGGACTGAATCCATTACCGTCAGATTTGCTAGCGGCTGTCCACGCGATATCGATCGAAGCGGGTGGAAGTGACGCTACCACGCCGGAACCGCTCTCTATTGTTACCAGGTCACTCCAGCCTCACAACAAGACCATTCCTCCGTCCCTACTTACGACACCCTCACAAAGCACCGTCCTTTATCAATCGATATGTGGGGTTGGTTTGGCGGGGCAGCAGCCCAAGCCAGAAAAGATGCTCCCAAAAAGGCCATCCTGCAGCTGCGGTCTCAACTTGATATGCTGCAAAAGAGGGAGAAGCATCTGGAGAATCAGATGGCAGAACAAGATGCAATAGCAAGAAAGAACATAACCTCAAATAAAGCCGGTAAGGAATCCAGCATCCCTGTTCAGCCATAGTGTTCCATCCTAACACGATATCTTTCTTGTACTATAGCTGCCAAAGCTGCTCTGCGGCGCAAAAAACTCCATGAACGCACACTTGAACAGACATCCGCCCAGATCGCTCAGGTAGAACAACAAATTTATTCAATCGAGGCCGCCAACATCAACCAGGAGACGCTTAATGCTATGAAGAATGCAGGACAAGCCATGAAACAGATCCACGGAAACTTGACCATCGACAGGGTGGATCAGACCATGGACGAGCTACGCGAGCAACACGCTCTCGGCGAAGAAATCGCCAATGCAATCACAAACGCCCCCATTGGCGAACCTATAGACGAGGCTGATTTGGAGGAAGAGCTGGAAGGGTTGGAGCAAGAGGCTATGGACGAGAGAATGTTGAAGACTGGCCCGACACCGGTTACAGGCGAAATCAATCGACTCCCCGCCGTTTCTGCTGGTCCAAGTAAGTCGCCCTTCGTGGCTCAACATTCAAGAGACACTGACCGTTCTACAGTTGGCAACAAACCCTCGACCGTGGAAGAGGACGAGGAAGAAGAATTACGGAAACTACAGGCCGAGATGGCCGTGTGAGAAACAATGAGTGGATGGCGCAGGTGACGCTGACCCTGCGCTGCCGCCTCTTCCCGACTGCGGCTCTCAGTTTCCCAGGAGTAACAGGCTGTTTTCCGCGAGTGCTGGGACGACGAATGCCAGATTTTGATATAACCTGAGTATTGTAGATTGGCGTTTCGAAGGTTAGGCTTGCATTCCAGTCGGTCTTGTCTTGGCGGATGTTGATGGTGTGTTAGAGGAATCATGAATTTCAACTTCACTCGTTTGGAGGCCTGCTAAGTCCTTTGTTTGTGTGACGCCCTCTAACCCTTTTGCCTGACCTTATGTGAACGAGATCTCATACAGCAGTGGCAGATCAATTTAGGCATCTACCCCTCCTATGTTACCTGGTTTCTCTATCGATACTATTCTGCTAGCATTTACTTAACAAAGCACAAGCAGCTAGACGGATGGCTACATCTCCGTCTACTCCTTACTCTCGACCTCCCTCTGCTCACTCCAAGTTCTACCCCACGTCCATCAGCCAAAATGTCCTCTTCAACAGTCCAGCTGGATCCTTCAATCCTCTATCTGATTGCACACCAACTGACAAATGATGTCAAGATAGGAAACTCTATGGAAGATGGCGGCCAATCGAGCCTCTATCTGTGAGCATGACCGAACAACTGCTCGGGCGAGGTGACTGACTTCTTCCCCAGGCCTGCACGACGCACCCTCCAGAACCTGCGGCTCACCTCTCGATATTTCGCCGATATGGCCATCATCAAGTCTGTCCTGTTTCGTCACATCACACTATATGCAACTGCAGAGCACCTGGACCGTGTGTGGAAAACCGACTTTGCTACGTTCGGGCAGTTTGTGAAGAAGGTCATCTTTAAGCCATCCCTATGTTCGCCAGACATCACCTCCGAAGATTTCCGGTCGCTGTTGGCTGTACACCGCTGTCAAGTCAGTTCGAACCATTCTGGTGACACTGCGAAGTGGAGCCAGATCTGGTATATGTATCTCAAGTTCGGTGCTCCAAGTCCTGGAATCATGCTCTCCCAGTCGGCTGCCTTTAGCATTTACGAAGAATGTGCAGCTAGCGACAAGGACGTCGTACTGAACGGGAGTCTGCAGTCCGCTTGGATCAGGCTATTGAAACAATTCTCACAGGCCTCGTCCTTTGTCATTGGCAACATACCTGGTTTGTGGCCTCCAAGGGTCTACGACCTCAACAATCGAACAGATAAGCCTTGTCCCTTCTGTGACCGCAAGATCTTCGGTCTCAGCAAGATGAGCTCCTATGGCGAAGTCATGCTCATCAAGGCCGTTACGCAGTGTCTCGCAGCCGCTCAAGTACGGATTGGAGACCTCGCGCTTGACTGCAACGTCGTGCGTGGCCAGGGACTGGGGGATTTGTGGAACTCTCAGCTTCACTTGAATTCTATGACCCGGCTCACTCTCCACGAGGAACCCTATTTCCCGCACAGCGGTGCTGACATGGCCATTCAACCCGTAATTATCAGTCGTGCCTGTTCACTATTTTCTGCTTTCGTGACAAAGGCGCAGAACAACCTCCAGGTTTTGACCATAGAAAACGCCGATAGGAACACCCGATTCATCCGCCTTCCCTGGCACACGTGCTTGGACATAAACCTGCCAGCTCTTCGCCGGTTGTGTGTGAAGAATCTGATATTTCCTGCTGCGGCACTGGCAAGTATCCTGGGGAAATGTGGCCGACTACAGTGTCTCTCATTCGAGGATTTCGAGTGGCCTAGCGGAGGTACTCGTGCGCTGAAGCCAGTCTTCGATGCGATTCGTCAGCATCCCAATTCGCTACGTCTCGATTTCAAAGGAACAACCGGGAGCGAGGGAGTCGAATTTAGATTCAAGTGTCAAGACCATCGCGTTTTCAGCGAACCCGAGCCCCTTCCAGGCAACCCCGAAGGCGAGTATGAGATGCAGACGAGCCTCCGTCTATATCTCGCCGGGCACGGAGAATGGGATGATCACTTGCAAACCTGGTTTCCGTTCACTTGAGGCCTACAGTCACAGGCGACATTTCCCACATCGGATATTCTTGTCGGTCACACACGACCGGGAAGCAAACGGGCCAACGAAGACACCACGTTTGTTATCCCCCCCAGGAAGAAAACGTGCACGGTAATGAGGGTCAGGCATACTCTCCCGTATGAGTAGGGCTTCAGACAATGTCGAGCTTGGCTAGCCTTTCTCAGGGTTGCAAGCGGCGTCTGAGACCACAACACCGAAAAGAGTCAGACACAACAAGCTCTCCGCGGCATGAGGAACGGTGAAAAGGTGTACTAGGACGAAAAAAAAGAAAACTCCGAAAAACAGTCAAGACGAACAGGAACCCGAGGGCTGATTGAGAAGTCAAACCCAATGAGATGATATTGACTTGCGATCCATTGCTTGATCGGATATATTGAAGGCTTGAGAGATCACCAGGCTAGGCCAGAGTCATTGTCCTCAACGTATGCCACTGTTTGGTACAGTGCGAGCTTGTTGCAGATGAGGGCATAGAAAGGCAGTATGGTATTAGAACAGAGCTAACATTTGCCTTCCTCAAGAAGTGAAAGTCATACTTTTCCCTTGCAGCTCTTTGCCCATCTTCCCTCGTCTCGCCCCAGTGCTCGTATCCAATGCTTTTGCAAAAGGGTTCAAGATCTTCTTTTGCGGTGCCTGCTGTCCTTGTGGACCAGGAGCCAGCAATGATGGCGCACTGGCATAATCAAACGGCTGCGCAGCTTGTGATTCAGCCACAGCTGCAGCTTTTTCGGCCTCTTTCCGAGCCTTCTTCTCAGCCTTTTTCTGTTTTTTCGCTTGACGTTTTGCATCGAATTCCGGGTTGTTGTCGGCATCGACAGCAAGGGAAGGCTGAGGCGAAACGGTGGACGCTGGAACCACAATAGTGTCTCTAGCTGTTGTCTTCCCTGTTGTGGTGCCGTTCACACCATCAGGGGTAGGAATATCCTCGTTGACTTCGTCTGTCTTCCTCTTCTTCCCCTTTGAACGTGACAACTCGTTGAGCGTGAAAATTTCATCGGCTTTGGAGCGGAATCTGTCTTTTGGTGTTGGAGGGAGGTATGGAAGTGTATTTGCCAGTTTTTCGGCTTGGGTTGATTCGAATATGGGCTGGCTGAAAGTCCTGTCTCCCATGTTGGCTTCTTCGATAGTGGCAAGCAGTCGAAGCGGGGCGATTGAGGAGAGCGCGATAGTTGCGGCGGCAATGTCTGTAGGGAGCTGATGATATTGAGGCATTACACCGCCCCAGAACATCGACGCAGACGCCCTTTCCGCGGTGGCCACTGAATCACCTTGCTCCTGTGGCGCTGAAGTTGAGGTGGCCGCTAGATGTTTCAAGGTAGTGCCTAAACTAGAAAATGTGCTCTGAGGTTGCTGCTTTTTCTCTCGTGGTCGGCGGGCTGTCAATCCAAGAACTTTCTCACAATGCCGGACCACCTCTTCGTGCGATTTGCCGTTCTTGCCCTCAGTCTTGCCTTGCTTGACAATCTCGATAATCTCAGGGATACGGTCCGAGACAAGCTTTGACTCCCCTCTGCAGCTCTGGTGGAAATTGAACACCGAGGTCGGCATGTTTTCAGCCACCAGCCACAAGGTCCTATTGGGCAGGATGAATTGAACACCTTCGTCCAGTTCGCGTGCTTTGCGGTCTCGCCATGCGTGGAGAGCACGAAAGACCCCGAGCTGCTCTTTGCTCAGACTGACGAATCTCTGCGTGAGCATTCCGAACCAACCAAGCGGGCCGCCGCCTGTTTCGAGGTCATACATTTGACGAGTATAGACTTGAAGGGCTTCTTTTTTCGACTGCGATAGGACATAGTCTGTAAGATTGACATTGCGTGACGATCCATTGACAAGCATATTTCGCATGTGATCATAAATGGTCAGCAGATAGTGTGTGTCGGAGCGCGCATAGTCGATCAAGTCCTTGGGGAGAGGGCGCACCCGCCAGTCCGCAAGCTGGTACTGTTTTTGAGCATGGACATTTGCGAACCGGAGAAGAAGGTGCTTTAAACCTTTCCCTTGGAACTGCAGAGCACAAGCTGCATGATAGGTGTCGAAGAGACCGACGATGTATAGGCCCAAGTCGCGTTGCAGCCAGATGACGTCCATATTTGAACCATGCAGCACTTTGAGAATTTTCGGGTTTGCGAACACCTGGTTGAGGATCTGCAAGTTCTCACGCCATGGTTTCAGTGTGTCAATAATCCAATCCTTTTTGCGTGTGCTGATCTGCATGAGACAGACCATCCCGACGTAAGAGCGTAAGTCATTGTGTTCTAGATCGATTGCGATCTCTTCAGCCGATTTGAGCTCTTCGAGCATCTCTAGGACGCCTTCTTCCGTATCCACGAAGACGTGCTCGCTTTCATCTATTGGCCCAAAAGCTATCGGGGGCTTGAATTTGTAGACGGAAGGGGGGTACCGGTAGATCTCGATTTCTCGTGCGTACGGGTGGTTGTATCTGAACGTGGAATGAGTAAATGCGCCGGAAAGATAGTGAGGACCATACCCTGTATCCTCACTTCCTATGCTGTCTTCCAGCGGAACGAGAGCATGAGGCTTCGTCTGAAGCAATGGCCTGAAGGGGCTCGGGTCAGAGTTGTTCACCTGTCTGTCAAAGAAGGCTTGAGGTTTTTGCATGTTGCCTGCAGCCCATCTCTGAAAACCCAAGCCGGTCTTTGTAGGTCTGGGAGAGGGGTCGGCATCCTGGGGGGTAGTGTCCTGTGGTTTGATGATGCCCGAGAACTCATCAAGTGCAGAGTCAGCTTTTTCAAGTAGACCATCCACAACGTCAACAACGCCATGCCAGTTATCCTCGATGCTGTCCTGATCTTTCAATGTAGGTTGTTTGAGTGGCGTGTCCTGAGTGGCAGCCTTGAGGAGTTTGTTTGTCAGGCGCAGAAGATGAGCATCTTGACGATCAAGGGCGCGAGACAGCTTGTCGCTAGAGGAGCGATGGAAACCGAGATCTTGGTTGGACACTTGGGTCGCGCTCCTTGTTACGTTGATGAGAGAGGCTTGGACCAGGTCCTGAAAGGACTTGAAATCCGCAGTCAGGTCCATGATAGAGGGATGCTTGTCTCAACTTTTCCCGCATCCCATTACGCGATGGGTAGCAAGTCGTTGGACCACTGTGTTAACCACACCTGGTAGTAACAGGAATGGAGATCTAAGCGGAAAGATTTCAGACAATTTGCAGAATTGAAGACCGCAGGGATGAACCGAAGATTCTCCACCAAAAACTACGGCGGAGTTTAGACGCGGCCAAGTGTAGTCTACGGTCGATCATTAGCCGCCCAAGGAGTGGGCGCCGAGGCGCCCACTCCGCCGCCTGAGCCTTGTACCAACTTGTCAACTCACCATCTGCTGACTCCATTACTCATTCAAAGCCACTGCAAACCCGAAGAACCATTGAGAAGGACCATGAATTGCCCTGTAATCTCCATTCGCATCCTTGGATATGGTGGGAGCGCTTAAAAGTACTGGTTGCGCGACGTGTCGGAAACGCAAGAAGAAGGTGAGGTTGGCACAGTCAAGCACTCCAGCGAGAACCCCCTATTTATGCTGAGTTTGGTTGGTCAAGTGCGGTGAAGAGACGCCTTCATGCTCAGCATGCATAAAAGCCGGCTGGAAATGCCCAGGCTATCCCAAAAGATGGAAATTCATTGACGAGGGTGGATCGCTTGCATTGCTCTACCACAAAAAGAAGTATATCTTTGAAGATGTCGGTCAGCACGAAGCAGCAGTCGATGAATGGTTAGCATTCACAGTCAATCCCGTCGTCGACCAAGGCAGCGGTTGTCTCGATCCGAGATCATGGAATGCCATTGAGTGGCCGCTAGCTTTCCCCCTTGACCAGATACGTTCGACTCTATGCTACATACTGGATGAGCCGCAGAACAGGCACACCTTCCCCATCAAATCTCATGGAAGATTTTATGGTATGATTCCGTCCCGCCTGGGCTGCAGTGCTGCACTGGACGCTGCGGTTTCGTGTCTGTGCAGCATCTACACGGACTCTCTCAGATCAGTCCAAACGCCCTCAAAGAAGTGCCTTCAGTTGTACGCCCGGAGTTTGCACTCTCTTCGAAAGTCGCTGGGCATACGACATATACGCGCAGAGGCCGAAACAATATGTGCGTCCATTATTCTGCAGACATGCGAGGTGAGAATAGAAGATTTCGATCTTTATTGTTGATGAGTTAGCCGTATCAGGAACTGACCTTCCAGCTTGTGCTGAACGATGATGTTGGACGATGGACTCAACTTTGCATGGGAACGAAACTACTTATCCAAGAACATGGCGCCGCGCGATTCATTCACCCCTTCGAAAGCGCCATGCTCGAGTCGCAGCGAGCTTGGTTTGTGAGTACTTATATCCTTTGAACTGAGACCCCGTGCTCGATTGCGGTTGACTAAGCCGCCGAAGATTCTTCACGATGCAAGTCTTGGACAAGAATGCTTTTTGTCAGGACGAGAGTGGCGCCAATCTCTGGAGAGCCCTCCCACTTCCATCGGCACCGAGGGGCACGCTAGTATCTCACTTCGATCTGAGCTTTGTGAATTCCTTGTCGACGTGCCCGGATTGATTCGAGAAGCCACCAGCACGGCAGACCAACTCTTGGACGGAGATGTTGACCCAATTGGGCTCAAAAAACGGCACCAGAACGCAATCCTTCAGATATCATCCGTGAAACACGCCTTCGAGTGGTGGTATAACACCAAAATTGCCCCTCTGCGCTCTATTTCAGACGCCGTGGGCCCAACCAGGGTTGAAACTACCAGCAACAGCTCCGTGCGGGATGACCTTCTTCTTGCTGTCGTTGACTGCGTGTCGAATTCCATAATGATAAAATTAGACACATTGCAGGCCCAGTTCGACCCGGACTGGGGTAGCCACAGGGTGGACATCCTTGGATATCAACAGGCACACGCGAAACGAAGAAAGATGATGTACCAAGCTTTACAGTTTGTTCGAGACAAGTCTTTGGTTGCAGCAAAACCTCTCGAATTTGGGTTGCGACAGCTGTGGCTCGACACTGAATTCGAACACAGCGAGAAGTACGCAGCTAAGTAAGATCTTACAGCCGCTGATCAACGCCCTCAATGTACTTGACTCCACGCGCTCTATCTCAACCCATCAAGACCCAGCATTGGTCAACAATTCCAAGGGATTGTCCTATCCTCTTCTCAGACGCATGGCCATTTCCTGAGCCCCATCAGCGCTGAAATGATTTATCAGACCCTTATAGGTCTTCTTCGCGAATTGCTCTGCCCGGCTTAGCATCTCATCCTCATATGCTTGGATAGCATCTGACAACTTTTCCCTGTCTCCGCCGCAGCCGACGATAGCATTTGCAAGGTCCAATGAATCAACCATGGCAAGGTTGACCCCAACGCCAGCGAACGGGGTCATCACGTGAGCAGCGTCCCCCACTAATGTCGCTCCTCCGTCGCACCTCCATCGAAAGCCGACGGGTAGCATCCACATCCGGCGAGGAATGAGCTTGTCGTTAGCGTCCAAGATGGCTTGCTTCAGCTCGTCGCCGCAGTCGGCATAATACTGTCCAATGAGCTTTTGCCTTGCCGTTTCGGACGAAGACCAATCGATGCCGCATTTCTCAAGCCATTCTTCAGGTTGTCGCACTCCGGCGTAAACTCGAATGCTGCTGTTTCCCAATTTCTGGCATTGAATTGCCCGGCCCTCATCGAACATGAAGCAGTTTCCTGCACCCACGAAGTCGCTCAACCATTGGTGTCTTTTATCGATATCCTCCGCCCACAGCTCAATGGCGGTAACGCCCGAGTAATATGGTTGCTGGTCTGTGAGAAATGAGCGGACTTTGGACCAAGCACCGTCAGCGCCAACGACGAGGTCGAATCCTTCCTCCCTGCTGTCTTGGAAAATGAGGTCATATTTTCCGGCCTGCAAAGACGACTTCTGTACAGATTGCAGCTTTCTATTCCACACCACGGTCCCCGGCTTCAATGAGTTGAGAAGCAACTGCCGCAACTTTGTTCGATCGATTTCTGGGCGATTGGCGTATTCCTCGGGTCGATTGGTGCCGATCACATTCTCATCGTATAGAACGGTGCCGTCGTACTTGAGCAACTTCAATGCTTCACCTTCTGGACGAGAGAGCTTTTTGAATTCCTCCGTCAGACCTGCATGCTTCAGGGCGAGCTGTCCTCCTTGTGGGTGTAGGTCGACAGTCCCGCCTTGGTCTCGTCCCAGAGAGTCGGTATCAAGCTCGAAAACAGAGCAATGGAGGTTGTTGAGTTGAAGGAGGCGTGCCAGTGTGAGGCCAGCGGGACCGCCTCCAATTATTGCGACTCGGATGTTGCTTTGACTCATAATGTCTTTGCTGTTTGAGATCTGCTGCTTGCTAATGCTTTGAGCTATTGCTGTGCTATATCTGTCTTGTGTCCCTTGGATGATGTTCAGGGTTGAGACCGGTCCTTTTATACCATTTTTCTCGATGCCCAGCTGACGTTGTTCCTCAGTCAACAGTCCCAATCTCATTAGCAAGTGGCCTCCTAGCATTGTCAGCCTCGTATCTCAACAGATGGTGTTGATTGGTCACAGCGCAACATCTTACAACACTGTCCGCCTGTTGGCTACAAACCATCAGAAATGTCAGGCCCCAGTGGCTTCGGTGGTCACCATCCAAGGCGCCTCGTGTAAGACCGAAGACCGAGACTTGGCGCTATGCGAAGCTTCATGGGGCCGAGCCTCAAGGTGGGTACCGATACTGCTCTTGGCATCCGCCTCCCGATGATTGGGTACTGCGCAACATCATCCAATATCCACTTTCCATTTGCGTCATATGTGGCGCCCAAGGTCAAGGCTGAGGGAAACTGAGCAAAATGTCCGCAAAAATGTCGCACGAGATACCTCATTCACCGAGCCTGTTTCAGGCGGTGTTGACTCGACAGGGAGCCTGATATGTACTAACTGTTCTCTTTCATTATAAACGAACGGGGCGAAACAGGAATACCAGGTCTACTTCCAGAGCACACTTTGGCAGAATCACAAGGATCACAGCCTAGAACTTGAACACGCAGCACCAATCGACTCTCAGGCATTCACACGAAATGTCTTCTTCCCCACAACCGAGCACCAACGACCTCCTCCGCGAAACCCTACCGCCTCCAAAAATCGGCGTCGTCATCTGCTCGCAGCGCCAGCCGCGGATCGGGGACCAGATCGGGACCTTCATTTTCCAGAGCCTCAAGCAGCATCAACAACAACAGCAAGAGCAAGCCAGTCAGCAGACATCTCCTGATGCTCAGCGGCCTTATGAGCTCTCACTGATCGACTTGGCGGATCACCCGCTCCCGTTCTTCGATGAGCCTGGCATTCCACAGCGCATCACGAACCCACAGGACTACACCCACGGTAAGACTCTCATATGAAGTGGCCGGCTATATACTTCTCCCAGTCGAAGGGGTAATACAGCGCGGTAGATCTATCCAGTCTTCGCCCCTTGTCTCGTTATTGGTCGCGATCAAGGGATTGGAAAGTACGCTAACACATGTACATCGCGATCAACGGCCAGAACACACCCGCGCCTGGTCCCAACTAATCACGTCCTACAAGGCATTCGTCTTCGTCACACCCCAATACAACTGGGGCTACCCGGCCAATCTCAAAAACGCCATCGACTACCTCTTCAACGAGTGGGTGGGCAAGCCGGCCATGGTCGTGTCGTACGGCGGCCACGGGGGAACGCAATGCGCCGGACAGCTGAAACAGGTCCTCAGCGGCGTCCGGATGAAGGTCGTGCAGAAGAGTGTCGGATTGGCGTTTCCGGGTCCCGGAAGGGAATTCCTCGTCAGGGCTGCCATGGGCGAGGATCTGGGGTTGGACGCGGCCGGGGAGGGACTGTGGGCTAATGAGGTGGGTGAGGTGAAAGCGGTCTTTGATGAATTGGTGAAAATGTTACATGACGAATGAGGGACTGAAGGGGCAGAAGAGGTCCGGCGGATTGCGGTGCAAGTATATATACTTTGTAGCACCGGTGCACGGTATCTCAAAGGGTTCCAACGGGCTGCGTAGCTCGGACAACGGGGCCTTCATTGCCTGACCAAACTACAACATTTCCCCCGCTGCGCATGATCACAGATCTCTATGGAACTTGGGTTCTCCTAGCTTCATCCGCCAGTCTTCTCCCTTGAAGAACAACAGCAGAAGCGGCAGGAAGAAAGCCACATCAATGAATGCCATTGCGACCCACGCATTCAGCACTCCGGACTCTTCAGCCCAAGGGATTGCATAGAAGCCCATGGCAAAGGAGAAGATCTGTCTCGCAAAGTTCAGCAGCGAGCCAATCTCAGGCGATTGTGGTTTGTAGCACTGAAGTACATATATAGTTAGCGAACAATATGTGAGTGGTCAGCATTGTTCCCGAGCAGATTGTCTGACTCACCTCTGCGGTATACGTGTAGACGACGGTGGTGGATATCTGTAACCCAACACTGGCAATGGCGATTCCAAATGCCACGCCGATCCAGTGCGTTTCCCGCTCGAGGCAGACACCTTCGATGATGATGCCAATCGGTGTGAGTATGAAGGCGGGGAGTACCGCCAGCAGTCTATCCTCGGGCTTTCGTTCGCCACCTCTTCTTATTGCCCTCCTCTCACTCACCCAATCTGAGAAGCCGCCTGACATAACCTCGCCAATGATGCTCCCAACCGTGATGGGAACTCCAAGCAAGACTCCAGTCTGCTGGGGTTTGAAGTGGTAGATTTTGCCGAAGAGGTTTGCACTGGTGATGATGAAGAGGATACTGCCATACGCAAAGGACACCGCGTAGGAAATTGTGGGAAGAAGCACACTCGGGTATTGCAGCATCTGAATCGGTCGAAAGAAGTCGACGATGCGCAGACGCCGCGTAGGATGAGCCTTGCCTTGCATCAGCATATTTTGCACCCAGGTCCGTCGAGGTCGCGCAAGCGCTTCGGCCGCGCGGGAGTAGAGCGTTTCTGGCACGGTGAGGGTGAACAGGACGAGGACAGCCGCTGTGAGTATCGCCGGAATGTAGAAGCACCAGTGCCATGTCAAGTCCTTCTCAATGTAGCCACCGATGATCGGAGCAACGTGGCCTCCGAGGATGAACGAGACAGTGTATATTCCCATATAGAACCCTCTTTCGTGTGTAAAGAACAGATCGCAGACAGTGGCACTGCCTAGTCCCAGCGGAACGCCCCCAAAGAATCCGTTGAGGGCGCGGAATGTCAGAATTTGTCCGAAATTCTCTGATTTTCCCGATGCCACAGACATTGCTATGCTTATCGCAACGGTGATGATGTACACAGGTCGTCGTCCGTAAACATTAGATATTGGATTCCACACCATCGTAGACACTCCTACACATGCAATGAAGGTGCTGGTCACGAAGGCTGTTTGCACGAGGCCTCTATGGAGGAAATTCGAGAGAGGTACAAAAGCCGGGGTCTGGACACATTGTTAATTCCACTGCTGCGAGCAAGAATCTTGCAATGACAATGCCTTACTATCAATGATGCGCTCAATAGTGCCAGGAAGGACAGAAGAGAAATCTCAGCAAGGACAACCCACTTGACCCAAAGTTTCCACTGTGTTTGTTGCCTGTTAGCATATCTGGTTCCTCAATCAATTTGGTACCTTTGAAATGCAAATACAAGGCTGACAATAGAGGACACTTACGCACATTCAATGGATCCAAAGGATCTTCTGAGGGCTGTGGCACGAGCGGAAGGCCATGGCTGTCACGATATATGACAGACCCCCCTGAATTGACACGTACATCGTCCTTGACAATGTCCGAGCTGCTCGTGCTCTCAACGGTCGCCACTTGGGGCTTCTCTATCGCAGTCATTGCGAATATTGATGGTCCAAGTTGGGAGGTTGGCAATGAGAGCGGGAAGCCGTGAGGCAGATAAGCCGTGGTGAGCCACTTCGCTTGCGGACCGAGACATTTCAGAGGTACAAATAATAAGGACTGCCCAACATGTGTCGAATTGCTTGCCGGTAAGAGGTCGGGGAGTTAAGATAGACCCCCGGGAAGCTGGGGTATCAACTGTGGAGACGCGGAGAATCCTGGGAGATTTGCAAAATCCTACATTGCCCAATCAATGAGGCCTCAAAGTCTGGACGCCTCGCTAGCCCCCTGAGGCCGCCGCCGAAACGACTAGGAGCAGTTGGTGCTTGTGAACCTGTTCAGGCGACTCCACTGTGCACGGAGAGATACCGGCCGACTCATAAGAACACAAGAGTGCCTTCATTCCGTGAGGAGCAAGGCAACGTGCCTAGTGGGAAAGGACCTTGAAGCTAACCTCGACTCCTGTCATATGTTGTGCCAGTGTTGTCTGAAACTCATTGCGCGATTTCATGTTGAGCATTGACGTCCCATGACCACATTCCGCATCCCAAAGAAGAGTAAGACTCGAGCTGAGTCCCTAGGTTGGTCGTCAGATCTTGGGTGATGTCCCAAAATGCAAAAAGGTCCGGGTGCACCAGGTCGTCGTAGCCACCATCGTCGTTGGCCGAGCCCTCTAGAACAGGAGATGAGACAGTTCCGGTTTGCGGTCTCGAAGAGCTTACGCCGCGTCGTCCCTCAACGAGCAAGGACCTGTCCATGAAGCTGAGAAGTTGCTGGAGGAAAGTGTAAGCGCGTTGTGCACATTGGTGGTTTGTGGACATCTGCCTGATCATTTGCATTGCACGATCTAGTTGGGAAAGTGCTCTTTTGTCGTCTCGATATTCTGGATCCACGACATGTGATACAACAATTAATATTGCGTTGAATACTGCATCGCAAGGTCAGCCCAAGGACGAGATATCAAACGAAGAGGCCATCGTACGATAATAGAGGTTGAACCAGCTCGGCCCAAGAGCATGTTTAGTCTGGTCATATCGAAGACCAACCAAATCGATCGTTTCCTCGGCTGTCTGGACACAGATTCGTCGACTGTTTTGAAGCATACTGCTTTTGAGAGTCTCAGGATGTTTCCATGCTTGCTCGGTTTTGGACAGGAGACTGAGTGTGGAGGCGAGGGACTGTCGATGAATGAGGATCCTAACCATATTTGCTCGGAGAGCTAGGATAAGACACTTGTCGTCTTGCACGGTCATATTGCCCCGGACTTTGAGATTTGGGGGAACGCTAGCATACCACGACTCAAAGGCTTCATCCAGCTGCACCAGAGTTTCCAAAGGGGGCTCGGCACAGGACGCGGCAGACTCAAGTAATCGATACAGCTTGGAGACTTGGATTGAAAACGACATTGTCGACGGAGCCTCAAGACTGGGGAAAAGTAGCCTGCTTTTCTGGATACAATCGTCGTCCAAATCTTCTGGAAGTGGGGTATCAAATGTTGAAGATGAGGTCGCTGCTGGTCTACCATAGATCATACTCAGCAACTGGTCTAGACCATAACAGGCGTACCATACGCGTTTTCGTGTTTCTCGCATGATACAATCGAACTCCTCTCCAGGCGCCCGATGAAGCTCAAGGCCGTATGCAATCCTAATCGCCAGACCAAGTACATTCCAGCACTCTGAAGGAGAACTGGAACTTTGAAGATACCTGGCACCTAGCAAGAGGATTTGGACCTTCTCGATTTTCCAGTCGAATAGGAGGGTAGGACCGACAAGGGCCATTGCTATGTCGTAATAACCCCTTGTACTAGAGGCCGACGATTCCGTCCGGTGTCGCTGGTGGGAAGCGGCTATGGCCAAAAGCATGTTCATGATTGCCAGGATATATCTGTGTTCGGACCGGTACGCTGTGTCACCGGCAATGAGTCGGTCGATCTTCGCCAGGAGGGTAGGTGCATGAAATATGGGCGACAGCTCATAATGAAAGTCAAAAAAGAGATCAATTAACTCGCGACAATTCGGTGGAAGAGTAAAAAGGTCCGAGGGCGTGGAGAAGCATGGAGGATCGCGTGGAGATGACAGAGACTGTGCCTCCAGTTTGTTTGAATCTGCGCCATTCATAGCATTTAGAATCAGCTGGGTGAACGAGATGCCCGAGTATCCCCCCATAAATATCTCAGGGTTGGCGGATATGAGGATAGATTGTCGCTGTTGAACAAGAGGCGGTGGAGAAGAATACGCCTGGCTCCTCCGTGAGTGCTGGGCCAGGGACGCTGGTTGAGCTGGTTTGCCATGCGCCCGTGTTTCCTGCTCCTCGAACTTCCTAAGCCTTTGCTCCAGAGAACGAATGTAGCTAAGGTCGATTGGGCGTTAACAAGCTAATCCGTCGAGTGCTTCATCGGTGTAAGTGAGTCACGTACGCTTGCGAACTCTTTGGTATTCCCTTGAGCATATCATCATCAACCTGTCTGGACACAATGTGATCACACTTTGTCTTTCGTGATCGACACTCGGGGCACGCAATCGCGACTCGTTTGCGCTTCTTTGGAGGGGCCCGTGGCTCCATTGAAGTTATGACTTGGCTGAAGCAAAGTAGGGGGACCTGGGCGATGGATCTCGGGGGGATGTTGGATGGTATGGGTGGCTCTGGTCCATCACAGCATTTTCAGAATAGGCCCGAGTTGTGGATCTTGAACTTTGGATAATACTGTAGCGTCACCAGATAAAGAGGCACTCTAGGAAATCATTGAGGTATAGGTACAGCAAGATTAAGAGAGGGAGAGAGAGAGGGTGAGAGTGAGAGACTAGAGGGAGCGAGCGTATTGAAGCGCCTAGATGAAAGCCAGACTTCTTTTGTCAGACGGTCATTTGAAATACATTTTGGGATTTGTTGAAGTGAACCTTGTCTTGTCTCGTACCTTGTCAGGCTTCTAGATATTCTATGTCTGAATCCTTCAGCGCCTACCTACACTGCTACAGTACCAGGGACACGCCTAACACCTCTATTTCCTCCTATCCCATCTCCGTCCTCGCCTTATCGTATCCCAGGTCAATATCCTCGGTCCATACCCATTTCATTCGGTCCTTCAAGCTATCGCGCACGATTGGCAGACACTCCTCGTACGACTTCCCCAGCATCTCCTCCGTCTGCATCTCATATACTTGACCTGCTTGTCTGGCTGTGGCTTGAGCTCTTTGCGCTCGCGGAAGACGGACATTCTGATACAACTGCATCCATCTTTCAAGACCCTCGCCCTTGTGACTGCGAGAGCTGAGATAGTCTCGCAGTGCTCGACCGAGAATGTACCCATCTTCGATGGCTTGCCCTGCTCCTGCGCCTGCGGTTATGTTTAGTCTCTGCATTCTACTGATGTCGAGGAACGAGAATCCTACCTTGATGAGGAAGCATCTGTACCGCTGTTAGCAAGTCGGCAATCTATGCGGCAGAGGGGTTGAAAACTTACAGCGTGAGCGGCGTCACCCATGAGGACAACCTTACCCCGAGCAAATACCCATTGCGGCAAAGGTTCCCTGTCATTCAAGACCCATTTTGAGGGATGCTCAGGCATATGAGAGATCACCTCTCGGACAGTTTGGTCAAAGTCCTCAAAGTCCTTTGCCAGATCATTCTTCTCCCCAGTGGCGGTCCAGCTCTCCTTTAGTCCGCCCAGCTTCTCTTCTTCTATTGCGACAAAGGCGACAATGTTCAAAAGCCTGTTATTACTGATTGGAAATACCAAGAAATGTTTATCATTCCCCAACCAGCTGACGGAATAGGTTGGAAATGGCCAATTCGATTCGAGCTTGCTGATTGGTACCAGGCCCCGATATGCGATTCTTCCCCCATAACGAGGACTATCTGAGCTGAATTGTGGTCGAAGGTTTGAATGGATTCCGTCACAGCCAACAACCAAATGAGCTGTGGAAGTGCTGCCATCCCGAAAATTCAAGGTGACGGTCTCGCCTTCGTCCTGAAAAGCTGCAGTCAGAACAGACACAAGGTTCGTGGATGGATGTGAAGGACACTCACGGTAACATTGACACAAGACTTGTTGGTATGCAAGGTCGCAGCTTCTCGAGCTTTAATCGTGTCAACCAGGAGATCCAAGAATTCTGCACGATGGACCGGGCATTGGCGAATTTTCTCGCGGTCATTGACCGGTACTGTCACGATGTCTGCTCCAGTATCATACCGACGAAAAGATATCCAGATACCCTTTCGGTTTCCAGCAATGCTGTTAACGGCATCCCCAATGCCGATAGAGTGAAGCAATCTTGCTGCATTGACACCAATGCCAATACCAGCACCAATTTCTTTATACTGTGGTGCTTGCTCATAGACATCAATTTTGATGCCTTCGCCGGCACAGTGGTGATGCAGTGATAGAGCAGCACACAAGCCTCCAATACCACCGCCGACAATAGCTACTCTGAACGGAAGACCCTGGGATCCCATTGCGGCCGATCAACTTGAGACGCCCAGGACCATACGTACCAACGAAGTTCCTGTGCTTGGCCTGGGACCAAGCGATTACAGGGCAAATAGATCGCAGCAGTCCCATTTTATTTGGCATTGGCTCCAAGAACCATTTGACAGCTACTGCTGCTGGATTCGACAAGCAACAGCAGAAGTGTCGGGGAGAATACTTAACTCCCCGAAGTGGCTTCTGGAGCAACTCCTGTTGGCGGTCATCTACTCCGCACTTTGCCAGCCATCTCCACGTCAAAGCTTCATGCCATTACATATTGAGGTCCTGTGCACTATACAAGTCATTGGCTACTGAATGCATCCATTAGTGAAGACTGTGTGGTTGTAGCTGCCGACTGGGACTGCCGGACAAATGGCACATCATTTCCTCTCACGCCCAGACTGGAGCTGTTGGACAGGTGGTATAAAATCCTAGGATTACGCCCCCGTCCCGATAACCAAGGTCGGAGCACCCGACTCATTGTTCCCAATAGTTCTCGCTTACTAGTTACTCAGAATGAAAGGCAAGATCGCCCTGGAAGAGTGCTGGACCATTCCAGAATCCTTCCAGAGCTTCAACCCGAGCCAGTTTGCTGGGAAAGGTGTTATTGGGGATGATCTGAATGCAAATCTGGGCGATGTCCATGGAAAACGTCTTCGGGAGATGGACGAGAATGACGTCGAATTCATGGTGCTGTCCCTCAATGCTCCAGGTGTCCAAAATATTACCGACCCAGCCGCCGCTGAGAAGTTGGCAGAAGTCGCCAACGACAAGATTGAAGCCGAAGTTCTGAAGAACCCCAAACGTTTCGCAGCCTTTGCCGCTCTGAGCATGCATGATCCTGCACAAGCCGGACGAGAACTGCGTAGATGCATGACAGAGAAGAAGGGCTTCGTGGGTGCGATGCTCAACGACTACCAGAGTACTGGAGCAGATGGGAATACGATGCTTTTCTACGACGACCCAATATATGACGAGTTCTGGAAGGTCGCGAATGAACTGAAAGCACCTGTGTATCTCCACCCCCGAACGTCCAGCCCCCTGATCAAGGAAATGATGTGGAAAGGAAGGCCGTGGCTAGACTTCTCGGCCTTGGGCTACGCAAATCGACTGAATATGCACACTCTCGGCATCATCACTGGTGGCGTTCTTGATCGCTTCCCGGATCTGAAGATTATAATCGGACACATGGGTGAACACATGTAAGTTGTTGTCGTCATTTGCCAGCCTACCCTTCATGACAGGTTGAGGAGCTGAACCATTACCCACTCTTTGTGCAGTCCATACGACCTCTACCGTATCGACCACAAGCTGGACCGCAGTCGTTTTCCCAATATGCCAATGCGAAAGGACCGGCTTGTACGCGATTACTTTGGCACACAGGTCTTCATCACAACCTCCGGCCACTTCAGCACACCTGCGCTGATCTGCGCCATGACTGAGATCGGGGCCCGAAGTATTTGCTTCTCGATTGACTACCCTTTCGAGTCCATCCCGAATGGATGCTGCTGGTGGGACGAGCACGTGAGTCCAGTAGTCAACCAACATGATTATGTGGATATGGGCAGGAATAATGCGCTCAAAATCTTGCCGAGGTTGACGGAGAGCATGCATGGACTGAAGGCGATGAGCCCATCAGAGTGTGGAGTGGGCGGACTCAGGGCTTCCGATGGAGAAGTGACGTTTGGGATGTACAACAAGGACTACAACAAAAGGGGAAAGAAAGTGTATTCGTGAGAGATAGAATAAGAGGAGAGAGGGTTCTTTCGCACAGCCCACGACCCCCTAGGTGATAACAAGATTGCTGTTAGGAACGGCCTATGTAGATAGGCAGAGGGTAGCGATAGGTAGCAGGTAGGGTATAGGTACTCCTTGATAGTACATCTTAACTAAGACTCAAAGCATGAGGGAAGGAAAAGGAAGCTTCCCTCAGACGATGAGCACGCGGTGCTTAAATAATAAAGGGTTTGTCACGTGCGCAGTGTGCTTAGTGGTTCGTGACACATCGTCACCCTGTTTCTGGAAAAGGGCGCCGCGATCAATGCCCAGATCTTTTGTTCAGCTCAAAGGTCTTGGACTCGCTACGCCATTACATGAAGCGGCAATGCGAAAAATATTTGACTTGTCCAGCTACAACAGGAGAAAGGCGCGGACCCCAAGATTCCAGATACGCTGGGCCGACTACCGCAACTCGAGATTTAGGTCACTGTAGATTGACATCAGGAAATGCAAATTGAAGCAAGATTCTCAACCTTTCACCTTTCTTTTCGACAACATACATCCTTCACATGCAGTGCTAATTAGTGTTTTTGGTTTCCGTTTTAGTTTGTGGATGTGGCACTGGTGCAGTAAGTATGGCACCTTGATTCACTCCAAGAGACAGCAGGTGAAATGGCGAGTTGCTTCGGTCCGGAGATGGAAATGGAAGATAGACAGGCGGACATTCCGACTCTTAGAATCCCTGGTTCAGGTCGTCATGGCGGTGTCACACTTCGTGTGATGATTCTGTTCTTGCGTCCCCACACATCGGATAGATTTGCCCTGGAAACACGAACGGGGGCAGCCGATATTATACGATAGAGGAGAGATCGGGTCCCTCCGCAGCGTCGCCTCCCTCGGCTTTGTTCTTCCGGGCTCGCTAAGCACTTGCTTTTCGGGAGCACGCCCCCAGGCACCCACCAGGGGTGCTTCAACTCTAGGCCCTATTGTCAAGAGCTCCAATGGGCTTTCGGACGCCAAGCTCCAGGCACTTCAGATTATCGATTCGCTATTCCTTTCCTGAGAGCTTCTCCCTCTGTCCTCTACCAGACCGACGAAACCAGCGCCCAATTACCTTTTCAGCCCGGTGGGAGAGCTTCCTTATCGCTTCCAAGGAAAGAGAAATGTGAATAACCTCTGATTTTGTTGATAACAATTCGCCTAGGTGGTCGCTTATCGCACATCGCACAGGGCAAACATTGGTTCCTGACGGAGTATCTCGGCTTGAGCTAGCATTTTCGTCAGAGCTCTCGAGTTGAGCCACAGCTATAAAGGGAGAGAAAGAAATGAACAGACGGGCCTCCTTTAAGGGTCGAGCATCTTGAATTTTTAACGTGCTACTGAAACTGACCCTGCCAATTGCTCGAGAACCCCACCCTCTTCTCTCTCGTGCTTTCCAAAGTCTTTCACAGCAGCTTTAGAGCTTCGACCTCAACCTCCTCGAGAAGAGATGCAATTCTTCAAGTTGACCGTACCACTTCCACTTGTCCTGGTGTTGTTCACCTCATCTGCCATAGCCAATCCTTCCCGATTTGGCGAGGCCCTTCAACAAGCTCTCGACTCGAACCCACTGACCTTGGTCGAGCAACCTGTCCCACCAGCAACCCCCATCGCCTCTTCGTCTTCGTCATCGGTGGCGTGCGACTTTCCCCCCCGACCGACCGGCACCTGTGAGCTTGGTGAAATGATGCCCTTCCCCTACAATTGCACAAAGTTCTACATGTGCACCACCTTCGGCCCTATCATGCAGAGCTGCCCAAACGGTACCGTCTTCGACTTTGAGAAAACCAAATGTATCTTGACGAACGAGACTGTTTGCACCGGCTGTTGCATGAAGACCGACTGCGATGGAGAATGAGCTGCTTCACGGATGAAAGTGACAGTGATGGAGACTTCCCAACGCACCCAGGAGGATTCTAAGGACTTGAATGAGTCCTTCTCAAGTCATTGAGGCTGTAAGATTGGGTCACAGACCAGAGATCCAGGGGATAGTAGGTACTCAACGAGCCAAAGAGAGCATTCGGATCACCATCGTGCCATCCAAGCAGGTCATAACATCAATCAGACATATTTTAGTTAGACCCTTGCCGCCTGGACTGGGCAATCGTTGTCATACGCTTCCTTCTCTCCACAAAAAGTATTCAACCACAACTCTACCCTCCTTCAATACACTGTCAACGGCGCCCCAAGCTGCACCTGCGAATAGGCCGAAAGCCCGCATGCTGCGATGGCGATCCGTGTCCGCAGGCGATTTTCCAGGTTCCCTGGGCCCCGTCTGAGACAGATGCACCGTTGTGATGCAGGTGTAGCCGATTACGTGGGGCCCGATTAGGCACTTGGTGTGATGCTTAGAGGGCGCTCACGAAGCGCTCGGTGATGCTCAGCCAAAGGCTCAGGTATAGCTCAGGTCAAAGCGCCATTGGCTCACTCACTAAGATCAAACCGCATATGGCAATTAGGTCTTTCGTTCTTGAGTAATAGAGATACCTAGTAGTAAACTATACATGTGAATACGGTACGCAGTAGAAAAGTAGAACCAATCAGTGACGGCCAGTGGATCACTGGAAGATTTATACGGAAAAAGTTTATTCCGGTGGTTTCGGCCTTCTAGCATCGCCAAAGAAAGAGCCTTGCATCAGGCCTGAGTTGCATGTTTTCATTTGCCTCTACCCATTGGCAAGCCACGGACTGAGCGTCAATATGTCGGCATCACTCGCGCCTGAATGCAACGAGGTCAAAGAGTAAGTTTAGAGGATATCTTCAGCGTTTGCGACAAGATACTAATCCGCAGCTAGGAGATATGACAGCTGCTTTCTGAAGTGGTATTCTGAAAGTACGAGGCCTTTTTCTCTCGGCTGTTGCCTCTCCTTTTTTTTCTTGCCACCAGCTGATCTGTCTGTGCTTCAGAATACATTCGAGGGAACTCGTCCACTGATGAATGCGAGCCATTGTTCAAGCAGTATAAGAGTTGTCTGACCGTATGTGGGCTTCCCGGTCTCGCACTAGTTATACGGATTCCTGACCATTTGCAGAAAGCCCTCAAGGACAAGGGCATCGACAGCATGCTATCCGAAGCCCGAGAAGGCACAACCGAGACAGATGCAGAGCATTTAAAGCGATAGCATCATGTCCCCGCCTCGTTATGCGATACATGCTTCCAGCATCAGCAGCTCAGGACGATTACAACTATCAGATTTTCTAAGCATGCTTGGTTGGTCTTTCGACTCTACCTCTGCACCACGATATCACTCCTCAATACCCACTTCTCGCCCTTCTTGACCTCTTTGCCTTCATGCAGCAGGCAATCATCGCCGTGCTTGTGGAGGAGGGCCATCCCAGTCTCCAGTCCGACCACAATCGGCTCGGGAGGTCTGTCGCCCTTTTTCAGGGGTTCTGGATAGAACGCGGTCTCACCACCTTCGCATGTTGTAAGGTAGATGAGGAGGGTCCAGGTAGTTTTGGCAGGTAGCTTTTGCTCGCCAAACTGTAATTTATTGCTCTCATCATAATGCTTGTCGAAGAATTGACCCGGCCGATACCGATACACTCTTATATTCGGATTCAGCCCCAGCACCGTGCCTCCTAAGACAGCCTGATCTTCGAAGGACCTGACTAGATACTGCATGCCGGTGCACTCCCAGAGCATCTTGGCGAATTTCGGGTCTTCAACCTGGAATCGGTCATTGACTCGGGTCGCCTCCCCTCGCTTCGGCTTGCCCGGTGTCGTAGTCAAGGGTAAGGAAGAGAGGAAAGCCACGTAGTTTCGGCATAGACTAGACGTGAACAGGTTTCGGATGACCAAGATCTGTCCAGGGACGACTGTCTCGATAAATAGGTGCTCCTGGGGGACGAGAGGTGCTAGAGGAGGCCAATCTGGCAGATGGGGCTTTGTTGGCTGAACATTATCGCCCTTTGATGGGGGAGCAGCCTTTTGTTTGCTTCGCGGAGCCATACGAGGATGAGCACTACGAGTACTCGTGTCTCCGAATGTAGTTGGCTGGAGTGACAGATCCTCAGTATTTGGTCAGTTATGTAGGCCCAGTAAGATGGTGTTCCATCAAAGTTGGCGGGACCAAAGGTTCGCCCATCTCCCTACAGGGCCGAAATGACTGTCGGGCACAAGGCAAAACAAGGCCACAAGTCGACGAGATTGTCTGGCTCCTTCATCGTAAAGGACCGAGTCCCGCAAGATGTCGAGAGAGAAATTCCCTGCCTTGTACGGCCTGTGATTGGCTGGCGCGGGACTGCGCTGTCCGCCTCCCGCCCGCCTCTCTTCGACTTTTACTTTTCCCATGAGAACTTTTGATCGTTTGGAGATTGCGCCGACCCTTCGACAGCAAACCTGACGGACTCGAGCTTGCCTTTCAGGATCTTGCAGACCTCGTAATGTCGTCGCATGCCATTGCGACGTCGTCAAGAGGTCTGCCAGATCTCCCATCATGGACCGCTACATCGGATCTCCATGAGAACGACAGCGATCCCGACCGTCAAGATGAACAAGAACCACAGCACAGCAGCCCTCCCATAACGAGCCACCCTGCTTGGGACGACCTAGATGCTCAAACACGGAACCACGCTGTAGGCAATCTGCTCGCGGCTCTGACCCCCGTCGGTCAAGCACAATCCCAAAGCCAGACCGCAACTGCGCCCGCCAGCACGGACATGGCTCCTTTGCCCGACCAGGGTCTTGATGCCTCTCCTGAAGCGACGGCCACGGTCACGGCGACGGAACCAAGCAACGTCAAACTAGAGACAGACCCTGCTAGCCTGCTCCCTCCTCTTCCGCTACAGAATCCCGACGACTTTCTCACTGCCAGCGGCCTTCCTCCCCTGGCTCCTACTCTCTCGATGGATGCGTTCACACAACCCTTACCGCTCCCAATGGGACCGGATGGTCTATTGACAACCTACGCGAACGACCCTCTACCACCCACTACCTCTCAAATCCCCCTCCCGGAACGAAGGGAAATCGAAGCCTTTGCAAAGATTGAGTTTGAAGATGGGAACTACTACATCACCACCTATGCTTGTGAACTAGGCAGGGATGCTTTTGCCTACAGGGCTGCCCTTGCAAAAGCCGAAGAAGCGCGTCAGGCCGAGCAAGACCGTGCCCAGAGCTCGAGCGGCAGACGGTCAGGTCTCTCCGAAGGGATACCCCGACCTGGTGACAGTCAAGTCCAAGGGAGTGTCGTCAGCGAAGCCGGTGGTTTTGGTGGTGTCGACGATGGTCTGGGTATGGACAATGAAAAAGGAGAGGACGGTCAGCCCTTACACTCGCACTCGTCCGAAAGGTCTGCTGGTAGTGTCGTCAAACCTCAGGAAGTTCTCTACAATCCTCCTCTTGCTCCTTTCGACTACCACAAGATGGCAGAACGTCAAGCACAACTGGAGCAGGGCATCGAGCCAGAGCTAGACAATGAACAACCGGCGCCAGTCACGGCTGACCATATCCCAGACGCTCACAACTGTCCGCTCATTCCCATTCATGCAATGCGAAATCACCAAAAGTCTGAGCTGGAAAACCACAAGAGTATTTCACGGCGACACGTCAAGATTCAATGGGATTTCGACAAGGAGCGCTTTCAGATGAAAGTCATGGGTCGAAATGGCGCTTTCTTGGACGATGTGTATCTTCCGCGCGGTCAGATACGGCCTCTCCGTGACGGTTCAAAAATACAGATATCGAATGTTTGGATGACCTTCAAACTGCCGAAGCAAGAGTCTGAGTCGCCGAGCGATGCGTCAGGCCACGAAGAGGCTGATCGGACCCCTTCTCGACCACGGAGCATTTCCCCAATTTCGATTGAACAAGACAGGAGCGTGTCGCCCGCAAAGGCCGGCAGGGGTAAGACAAAGATTATCCTGAATACCATAGAGAAGCCACCAGCAGTGATTGCGGAACCTATTCTCGGACCTGATGGCCAGCCACTGCCTCCGAAAAGGCGAGGACCTGGGAGACCGCCGAAGGATGGAATCATGTCGACTCGAGAAAGAAAAGAACGAGAAAAGGCAGCTAAGCTTGCAGAAGCAAAGGCCGCAAATGGAGGGAAGACTCCGCCACCCATGATGCGAGGCCCGAAGCCTCCCAGACCAATCGCACAAGAGGAAGAAATTACAATCGAATCCAAGCCGGAGAAGAGGAAATACAAGAAACGAAAGCGGATTGGAGAAGACGGTGATATCATTCAGTCAATCGAAGGTGGTGAGGCCGATCTGCCTAGCGAACCCGAGAAACCGCCACCAGTCAAGAAAGCCAGGTCGAAATCCCCGAGTCCAGATTATCCCCCTGCAGAAAGCTTGACAGAAGAACAGCTTGCCAGGCCATCTGAACCCTATGCTCGACTGATCTACGACATCCTGCTTGATATCCACCCCAAAGCTCTTCCTCTGAAGCAGATCTACCGTGCCTTGAAGTTGAAATTCCCATTCTTTGTGCATAGAGTGGACTCCGAAGGGTGGCAGAGCAGCGTCCGCCACAACCTGAATCAAGAATGGAACAAGCTCTTCGAAAAGGGCGAGAAGGAAGGCAAAGGCTTTGCGTGGAAAGCAATCCCAGGAGCTCTACAACCTCAAGCGGAGAGAAGGCGGGCGGCCCAGCAAGCAGCCGCTTCCAAACCAAAACCTGCTCCAGCACCACGTCAAAATGTACCGCAAGGTCCTCCTCAAATGCTGAATTGGCAGAATAGCACACCATATCCTCAACAGAACGGGATGCCTCCTCAAGGACATGCTCCGCCTTTCTACGGACAAGGTCCACACGGATCCATGCCACCGCCTTCAAACGGGATGCCGTGGCCACCTCCACCAGGAGGAGTGCCACCGTCGGCCACGACATATCCTGCTGGTCAGAACCGCACTTTCTATCCGCCGTCGCAACCAGGACAGCCACCCTTCCCATCACAACCTGGAGCTTTGCAATCGGGTCCTGCGCCACCCATGCATCCCACAGGCCAGGGGCCGAATCCTCCCCAAAGTGCAATCGCAACACCAACTCCTACAGCAGTCCCATCCGTCCTCACTAGCTCTTCAGCATCCCGAAACATGCCTTGCACCCTCGATGGTCTTATAACCATCAAGAAGTTCGAGAGTGCCATGCTCGAACAAGTGTCTCCCGCAAGAGTCGAGCACTGGCAGAAGATATTTGCGTCGGCTACGCGAAGATTATTGCATGGCCACCCAGAGTCGTTGATGCCCGGCGGCCATACCATCGAAGAAGAGACGATCATGGGACACATTCAAAATTTCATCCAGCGTTTCAAGAATCCCAATTTCGCAGGATTCTCCCGCACTGGCTCGCCCGCGCCAGCTAGCTCGGTCAATGCAGGCACTCGAAACGGCACGCCACACGTTGCTTCACCTGTGACCACTACGTCAGGTCCTTCTCATACTGCTTCCTCAGAAGGTGTAAAGACCGCAGCGCAAGTCCAATCAGTACAAGGTGAACCCTCGGTGCCTCCAACGGACAAGGAGGGAGAGACTATTGAGCCTTCGACGTTGACTCCTTCGGCCGACCCTCAACCTGTTACTCAGGGAGCGACATCACAAGCCTGAAGAGAGATGCGCTATTGAATCTGGAGGGGAGTGGATCTCGTTGCTTTGGTGGTGATTGTCAGAGTGCAGGAAGAGCTGTCATCCTGATTTCCCTCTTTGTCTGCAGCATGGTTGGTAATACTAATGATACCCTCGGCGTTCAAGCTTTGTTCGACTTTGACTTCCCTTTTCAGGACTATGGATCATCTGGGCCCAGCATTCCCGCAGTGTCTCGGGTGAATGAATGCACAATGAGACGAAAAAGCGAGATGAGTGCATTACAACATTGGGCGATGTCCATGGATCGTCTCATATGACGTTACAGAATAGGAGCATTTCCCGCTACAAACTTCATGTTGATTACCAGTGAATGAGTGAATGATGTATCGATCCAAAGGGTCTGGCGATTGGCGCCTGGCGTCCAGGCTGTTCGGGACTTGATTATGGCGCCGCGTCGTCTCAACGAGCACGGCGAGCGGCGAGCGGCGTGCGGCGAGCAACTCGAGTTTTGGTCATAAAAGGATACGAAGCAGGATCCGGGACGTTTGAGAATGAAGTCCGCTTAGAGGATCCAGTGGCTGCATATACTGCTTTTCCCCAAGAAAAATTACGGATTGAACCGTTTCATTCTCACAGGTTTTTAACCAGTCAACCGCTTCAGTTCTGTTATAGTGCTCGAGTCTGTTCTGTTTACTCCGTACACCGTCCTTCGTCCATCTACATGTCATCACCCCGGTTTCCTCATTGGTTTCCCTCATCCCGCTATCTAGGTTGTATGGAAGCACCTTCGGTGAGGGACTTGACCACATCGATATGACCCCCCGAGTGTCGCAAGGTGTCGGCGAGTGAGTCTGGCCCTAGGTTCCATTTCTCCACAAAACACACCCTCGATTCTTGAGACGATAGACAGAGCCATCCATGGTAGAGACGTCCGTCTCCAGCTATACCGAGTGGGAGTAAGTACTCGTAGAATAGCTCGTTAAAGTGTGGGGAGCATTTGGAAATGGTGTTTATTATATCCATAATACCGAGCGGAATCCCAGTCAGTTGGATGCTTGATCTAGGTAGGTTACGTGGATAGATTGAATTTGTAACGTCCATGTATGTATCAATAGGGAGGGAGGAAGGGCATCCATGAACAAGACTGTGCACGGAGGTCAGCTGTATCTGGCTTTCTTTCTTCCGAAGACCACACCGAAGGGTGGACGCTATGTGTGTTTTCTTTCTTCCGCTCCTACCGGGTTGGCGCGCAGACTCAACTCTGACCATGTTCTTCAAGCAGATTCTGGACCACGAGGCGGGCGACGTTCATCCCTGCAAGAGCAGAAGTCTCCATGGTCGAGATGAAGGATTCCATGCCGGAGAGGTAGTAGACTCCGTCCGAGGTGCCGCGCGAGGAGCACGACTCAGTGGAGCACAGGGTGAAGTTATCAAACGTCGTCCGGGGCGTCTCGTAAGGGTAGCTGTGCCAGTGTTTCTCGTGGAGCCAAGTGATCTCAGACTTGGGGAGCTTGGCGAGAGAATCGTCGTGTTTGTTTTCAGGCTCCGGAGTGTATGGGAAGCCGAGCAACGACGAAAGGAACGTCCCCGTCAAGGGTGCCGGTGAGAATATTTTGTACAGATACTGTGTGTCGCGTTTGGCTCCGATCTCTCCGGATTCGACAGGCAGTTGCGTGCAGTTTGAAGTCGGTCCGCAAAAACTCCCATCTGTCTCTGGATGCAGAACCCGGAGCGTGCTTATGGACCAGAATCCGGCCGGGCCAACGGCATCGACGCCGCGATGCGAACCAAGTTCGTCTGACAATTCCGGAGAGAGTGTTGTGAGGACGGATGAAGGGACGTCTGCATTAGACTCGAGTCCAAAGAACGACGGGGAAAGACGATGGGGAGAGGTGAACAGGGTCACGTATAGCGAAACGTAGGGAATCTTCTCCGGCGTGTTCAGAGGTGGTGGTGTAAAGGCGATATTGGAAAATTGATATGGAGCTGCGAGGATGACCGTGTCGTACTCGTCGTTGTACTCCTTCGGGGGCCGTCCAATGATTTCATCATTTTCAGTCTGGAGCCGGAATGTCCCTTTCTTTTCATCCTTGATGACAGCGGTAATTGTTGTATTCAAGAAGATCTCATCTGCAGTAGTCCTCACCATCTCATTAAAGATTTGCCAATTGCCGTCCTCGACGGCCATTGCTCCCTCAATGGCCATACATACCAATGTTTCCAATCCGTGGATGCCGCCCAGGTTGCTCGCGTAGTTCACCCGGGTGCTTGCTTGAATGATTTCGCGAGAAAACAGATCGCCCACCTTGGCGTTCTGCAAAACCTCCTTCCCTGTTAAGCCGGTATATGCGTCCAGTCCTGTAGCTCCCACAGCCTCTGCTATCGAACGGAAGGGAAATATTGGTTCGTCGTAAAACTTCAAGAATTCACCGACGGCTTTCTTCGTCGCCTGCCGCGTCCGTATGGGTGCGAGTCCGTATTTCCAGAGAAGTTTGGCAATGTCCCACCATCCTCTCCATGATCCCCTGTCCTCATCGTCATCTCTCTCTGCTTTGAAAACGAAGTCTTTCCCATCCCAAATGCCCAATTCGTACTTTGAATCAGGTGCAGATTCATATATCTTGACAACAGAAGCTAACCCAAAATCTCGCGTCGCATTGTATAAAATATGGTTTATCTTGACGAATATGCTTGCTCCGAGTTCAACCGGGTACCGGGAGTCGTTTAGGGCATTGACCGTGGTAGCCCGGCCACCAATGTAGGGGTTGGAGTCGAAAACGGTGATATGTATCGGGGCATTCTCAAGAGGCGGGTAGAGCTGCTGGGCGAATTTGTGAAGGTGGTAGGATGCAGAGGAGCCACCGGGGCCTGCGCCGATGATGGCTATTCGGTGCGGAGGAGTTGAATCTGGGCTCAGTAGAGCCTGTGAATTCTCAGTAGCGACAACCAGGGATTGCAAGCGAAGGAAGGTGACGATAGTGTACGCCAATACAATGTGGTATAGCATTTCGAACACAAGTGTGCGTCTTAAAGATAGTGTCTAATAGAGAAAGCTAGTTACATGGCTCGTGCAATGATTTGGGGTTTCTAAAGAGGTAAGCAAGTTCGCTTGAGGGCACTTCTTGGGTCGCAGTTTGTCAGATGTGCAAGCACCTGATCGCTCGACCTTTGATACCCGCCGAGAAATCGAGTCATTGATACCGCAGTCCATAGCTTAGGGATAGGTTTGGTATATTAGCATCGCTCCGCTGCAAGACAGCATATTGATAGGTGAAGTGCGAATCATTCTGGACGAGGCCGATAGAACAGTCACGTGAGTTTTGTCCAATAGCATTTGTGTTTGGCTTACTGCCTTGGCAGCCACTCAGCCTTGAATTTTACGCGGGCGCGCACCAAAAGTATTGTCAACGCTAGTAATCGAGTGACAAGGTGATCAAAAGACAACAGACTTTATTTTCGTTGCCCTTACAGCGGCCACTGGAGACATCGGAGCTCAATTCTCAGTGCCTGGAACTAATAGGCGGTAGAGTTATCTATATTCTCAATCTTGATAGACGCTGTAGGCACTGAGAATTGAGCTCCGATGTCTCCAGTGGCCGCTGTAAGGGCAACGAAAATAAAGTCTGTTGTCTTTTGATCATCTTGTCATTAGAATTAGCGTAAACATTACTTTTAGTGCGCGCCTCGGGACACGTCGAGGCGTCCATCCTTTATCAACCCCTGAAGCCTTGGAATTCCGTTTCCTGGTTCCCCCTTTTTTACAGCTCCAGAACTAGCCAATAGCCAATGTGTCAATTCAGCCTCCTGCACCTTCTCCTCGTATTCACTTCATGATGTCGCCGCCCTCGCACATTGTGTGCCACCAGTTCTGGCCAGACTGGTGTCCTCTAGCAAATATTGCAATGCCAGAAGTGCTTGGCTGTGGTGGCTGTGGTAAATGGACTGGTCTGGGCAACCGAAACACTGGTTGACCCATTTCTATTGGTGCAGGATGAACCTGGTAAGTACAAGAAGGCTTCAAGAAGCTTGGAAGGGCTTGAATTATCACGGCAAGGCGGTAACATGGATGTGGATGTCCGAACTCTCCATTGGTCAAATGGTGCTGCAGAGCCTCCTGATCCACATCAGACCTACTTCCTGTGTTTTTCCATGCCACAAAGGTTAAGGGCAAAGGCCGACCATCAGTTCTCGGTACGAGGGACTCGGTACAGTTTGCAACAGGTATCCGTTCCCGGTGGCGTATCGTCTGTCGATCTGTCAACCAGGGATCCAGAAAGCACAGCCGCATCGTCGTCGACCGTTGTGATTCGACCAGCAAGCAGATATTCCCGATTCATACGTCTCAGCCTGATGCTTCGTCATGTTACCCCCTTGTTCGATGGCTTGGAGCCATAGTTCTATTCGCGTTATGTTGAAAAGCAATCAATATTGCACAGCCAAAACCCACAACTCCGTTTCCATTGTAGGGTTGTTTGTCTATAAACAGTCATCTCACCCCTTCCGATTGCCATGTCGCCTGTTTCAATGAAGTCTCTGTGATCACTTTTGCTATGGCTTTCTCCCTCTGTGTTACCCTGTTGAAGCATACCTTGCTTGCACTTCTACTTATCGTCAGCCTTGCGACAAAATCATATGCGGCAGACTTTGACCAATGTAAAGACAAAGTGCTTGTCGAAATAGAAAGAGGCACCATCGAAAGGTAAGTCTCCCACATCCTCCATCCCAAGATATTTGGGGATTCGTAAGCTGATCATACATGTTTCTCAATACAGCACCTATGGTTTCGATATTGTTTACCACGGCCCGCTTCGTGGCATCGATCCGTCGTATCAAAACGAGTCACTAGCCCTGACCGTCGATGGCTGCATTGCTGCGTGCGGCTCGGGTCCAGATCTGTGGAATGCTTTCACCGTCTTCCAGATTCTGACGACCTGGATTCTGCCTAGTGTTAGCCTGATTGCCCAGCTGCCATGGGAGTCGCTCAATACTCGCAAGAGGAGGAATCTCGAGGCATTGCTGAACTGGATAGGCGCTCCCTCTGCAAGCTTGACCACAACCATCTTCAACATATACATGATCAAGAAATGCCACGAAGTGGCCAGAGAGTCGCCACCGACCGCTCGAATGGACGACGCCATGTATATCTTGAGCTGTATCAATCAGTACCAATATCCTGGTGTGTTGCATGCCGCACAATTGGTAATGGGGGAACCGCACCCCATGCCGGTGGGGGAACTCATACTTCCAGTGATAAATCGCAATAGAGCACTATTGCAAGGAGTCTTCCGTCAGCTCCAGTTGTCTGTGCACAATCCACAAGCCGACGAACAAGTGCTCCAAGCACGACTTGCAGAGCTCAACGCCACTCTTGCGTACCACCTGCGCCTCAACCGAAGGAGGGGCGTATGGCCTCTCGCGCTCAACATCCTATGGTTCGGCGTCTCCTTGATCATCTCGGTCGCGGTAGCCTTTGCCGATCTTGGTGACAACACCACCGCACACTCGCTCGCGCTCGGACTTCTACTATCGTGGATCCCCTCGTTGGTGGTGATGGCCATCGTTGATCGAAATCCCACGAACTCGAGGCGGTGCCGGGAGCTCATCGAACGATGGTTGTACAACGTTGAACAGGTCGTTCAGGCAGAAGCCGACGACCTAGTCCTATGGAATAGAGCTCTCGAACTCCAACAGCCTGGATTGCTACGTCCATATGATATCGGGCATTTTGTTGGTCAGGGATGCTACCTGAGATACTGCGGCGTCGCCAATGCTGCGCTTATGCAATTAGAACGCGCGGGTGGTGACCTCAATATCCTCAATCTTGACGACCTGGCCGGTTTCGAAGCCGAGCTGACAAAACGGCCGTACTCGTGGTTCATCATATGGGCGTGCAGCGAGGTGATTGTTGGCGGTAAGTCCGTTCCCTTTCTGAATGCAGTGTCTTTATCAGGGCACGTGCTGAGCAATGCCCAATCTCGTCTATAGCTTTTGTACCTTATTCTGCACAACTTATCACTCTAGCTACGTGACAAAATACTGACGCTTGTCTTTTCAGTCAGTTTTGGCATGGCATTTATGGTGTCGTTCAATACACCAACGATAGGGCTGGGGTGCCGCTCCGGGCTCTACTTGATATGGTACATCCTGAGCTCGCTATCATGGCTCGTACTGCTGGCCATCCAAGAGCCATGGCGCTGGCTTCAACTGCTCATGCTGTTACCCAACCTGCTGGCGGTCTTGTCACTGTTCGTCATCACACTGTCCCAGGTGCTCGGCTTGCTGAACGGGTCTCTGTGCAAGTCGAGCACGTTCGGCAGCTCTGCGTTTGGCGGCTACATGGACTTTGAGGGTTCCCTCTTCTACCGCAAGGCGTACGATGTGACGGTGTTTTGGGCCACGGCTGCCGCCCTCGGATTTCTCACCTCGTTCACCGTCATCGCCTGGGCCATGCGGCGATGGAGCAAGAGCTCGCCGTTGTGGCGGATCCAGGAGAATGGCGGGCCGGAAGCTGGCGCGGATATCCCGCTGGAATGGATCAGATGAATGCGGCGTCCGCGATGAGTTAGGGAGTTAGTGTGAGTATATGTATAGGAACTCGGGAGGAGGGTTAGTGTTATCGCTGCGTTGTCTTTCGACCCCGTCATTCTAATCCAGCGAGACGACCAGACGTACTACCATGCTGCTCAAATCTGAGTCAACTTCGGAGGGTTCATTGTACTTATAGTAAAACAATGGTTGTAGGATCACTTTCGACAAACTTGTCTAGGGAAACGGCGTCACTTAGTACACAAAAGGCCGGCAGGGAAAAGGGTCCAACAAAGCGTTTTGCTCTACGAGGTACTTCATCTTCATCTTCCATCTGGAAACGAACTGGAAGGTAAACTGGTCGGGTTGGTTTAATGATGATTCTATTTCTATGTCTCTACAACAAGCCTCTAGACTGCTTGTCCTTGCACAGTTTCGCGAGCAGCTCGACATTATCCTGATCACTCCCCTTCTTAAACCCAGGCATCAAGGCCAACCACTGATACACTCTCTCTCTCAGCTCCTTCGGCAACCTCGGGGGCTCCTTCAGCACCTTCTCAAAAGCATCCACCACCTTCTGGGCGACGTCGTCAATCATGGACTCGCCAACCGTCCTCCCTCGAGTGCCTTCCACTCCAGCTTGCGCCCTTTGGAGGCTCGTCTTGTAGCCCACCATGGCGTGCGCACTCACACCCACCGTCCGTGGCCAGTTGGAGCTCATCAGGTTCCACGCGTCGCCCGTCTCTGCCTGGTCGCCCGCACCGCGAAAGTCCGTCCGGAGCACGACTGCGGGGATATCAGCCATTTTGGCGACCATGTACTCGACCACCGTGCCGGCATCTAACTCGGTCCCGTCGTAGGTAAACATGGCCATGTCGCAGGAAAGCAGAGCCCGGATGTCCTCGTCCCTGATGGAATGGGGGCTCTGGTCACGCTGTTCGAGATCCTGGGGTAAGACGGGGATGAACTTCCCCGAGGAGCACTTTTGGATGGCCTGAGCGAGGAGAGCATTGGTGTGGAGTTCGGCGATGGTGAATAACGGACCGGCGTGATAATATGTGTAAGACTTTGGCGGGTGCGAGATTTCTTGTTGGCTGGGGTCGATGCTGTGGGTGGCAAGCACTGAAGAAGGTGTGCCCGCAAGGTGTTCAGTCATGGCGGCAGATATGGATATCGACTCGTGTAAGGGGATATTTTTCTAATAAGGCTCGGTAGGAGAGCCCGAGCTGCAGGGAGAAAGAGAGAGAGAGAGTGTGTGTGTGTATTCAGGTGTAGGCGACCGGGGCACCAGGGTTAGCCAGGCTGCCAAATTTGTTGGTGAAGAAGAGGGCGGTAGGGATGGTGATGGTGGCGGTGATGATAGTGCTGATGAGCAGCATGGCGGGATTCATGGTGTTTTTGAGGCGAAACTGGTGGTACTGTTGCAATCAACTTTTTGGCTTACTAGTGCTTGACTGTACAAGTATCTAAGTGTAACTGCGTTATCCAAGGTGACATGGTGGGGGGAGACACACTTGGGGAGAGAATCTCTCCATTTATACTGGTGGATATGGTCATCACGCAGCTTAGGCAATCTAATAGCAGCTAAACTTAGGTAAAACTTTTCTCGTCTTGGGTTCCATGGGTGGTGTTGGGGAGGTAGTGAAGCCTAGGGCAGTGGACAGCAGGCGCTCCCATCTCTTTCTCCGGCTTGATTCTCTAGTTAAAGGGGGCCTCTGGCTGGTTGAATCGAACACGCTGGACTTGGAGATGCTTGGCACCTCGACGCCACAGGTTCACTTGACTTTAAACCTGGTATCACCTCCTTGATCCCATAAACAACCACCGTCTCCTTTGGCAGTCCTGCTGATCAGCTTGCTTAATTCATGGACTTGCCTCACTGAATCCTATCAGCCATCTTGTCTGTCCTCTTGTCCCGACCTGCGCCACAAACTCTGCATCCCCTCCTACTCGATCGCTCCCTTGGCCCAACACATCCATTTCAGCCTCGCTAAGAACCGAGGGTCGGTGACAAGGAGTTACATGGGATGAGTCCATTACTGAGACAGGGGATATCTGCTTGTTGCCCAACAATACTATATCGCCCTCCAAACCACAGACGGCTATATCGTCCTTGAGTTCGGTCGTTTTATCCTTGACACCTTGATTCGATTCCCCGCTCGAGTAACCTTACAAGGAAGATGACTTGGACCAAAATCAGATAAGCATTCGATACCCACCAGTCAGACCAGCAGGGCACGAGACAAAAATTAGATACTGGAGGTATTATAGGTCGGAAAGTCAGCAATTACTTTACAAGGTCCTGTACTGTAAGACCTGCCCCCATCAGGCTGATAACCCCTATTCCACTCTCCACAATACATTGCATATAACACAGCCTTACTGTTGTGTAGGCGACTATGTGGCCCTCTGACTGGTCAACTTGTCGGAGGTCCATGGCTATTTGGACAAAACAGAGAAAAGAGTCACGATTCAAGCTCTCGCGCTGTTTGCGTGATACTGATATGTTCTGGTATGTCTGGGTCTTATGGATTGTAACCCTTCCCCTGGTGGGCTCTTCTTTTTCTAAGCGTGTTCAACAGTACCTCGTCAGCACCTCGACACGCCTCTCCTACGAACCTCTCATAGGAGGAAGATACCGCCATCTGTCCTGATACACGTGCCCGTAACGTTCTTGTCCTTCAGCACGTACAGGAACGACTCCACTACATCCTCGACCTGGCCAACCTCACCTGTGGCGACATAGGCTTTCGAACGCTCTAGCGTGGCCTTGACTTTGGCCTTGTCGCCCAGACTGGCTTCCCAGAGCTCCGTGTCCACGACGCCGGGCGAGATTAAGTTGACACGCACGGGTTTTAGCTCGAGAGCAAGACCGCGGGTCATGCCGTGCAGGCCACTGGCGTAGGATGCCACCACGGCCCAATTGGGCAGCGGTTTCTCCGAGACCGAGCCCGTGGTCAAGGTGATGGAGCTCGCCGGGCCTGAGTTGAGGTAAGTGATGGCCTCCTTTGCAACGAAGAAGGGCGCAAAGAATCGGACCATGCCAGCTTGCTTCATGAACGGCAAGTCGACTTCTGCGAGGGGTTTGGCCGCGAGCGGGTCACCAGCCGAGAAGACCACATGGTCGAGTTTGCGGCCGATCTTTGAGAACAGGGTCTTGATGTTGGCTTCCAGCGTGGACTCGTCGCCGAGATTGCACGCCAGGCCCGTGATGGTGGCTTTGGAGTCTGGGTACGCGGACTGGAGGCGCAACACGGCCGAGTCGACCCTCTGCTGCCGCGACGAGGAGAGGTAGAGGTGGGCGACGTTGTGCTCCAACAGGGCCTCTGCCAGACCGAAGCCGAGCCCTGATGTGCCTCCGATGATCAGGACGGTGGTGTTGGCGAGCTTGTTGGCGTATTTGGGGGTCGCCATGGGTATGTATATGAAGGACAGCGGAGACAGGGACAGGATGTGTGTATGCGCAGTCAAGGCGTTTAAACAATTGTTGAATGAGGGACGAGGAGGTGGTGGGAGGAGGTCTTGGGGTATTTGGGGCTACACTGGCTTGACTGGTACACACATCCTGAGTAGTTATAATCTCTCTCTCTTATGTCGATCCATCTCTTCATACCCTACCACTCCCCTCATCCATTCTCCCCATCATCCCGTACTGCAATTCTACCACCTACCTATCGCTGCCACCGACTAATCTACCATGACTTATCTACCTATCTCCTCGGCCATATTTGTCATCCCTCGTTCCATGCATCGATCCATCCTCCCATACGAGGTACAGACACCGGCAGTTACGGACTTAACAACAGTCCCAGCGCGGGGTTTAGATTTCCATGGTCCATGCTCGATGGACGCCCCGCCCAAATTAGTCCATGTGCCCATGCCAGTCAATGATGGATGGTGACGGCTCATACGTGTGCTGAATCAGCAACAGTCTCGATGGAGGGGCACCCAAGGGGCACAGACACGATTGGACTTTTTGAAGATTTCGGCATTCCCCGCGGCTAGGCGGTATACATATACGAGAGATGTGTTGTGTGAGTAAGTACCCCAACTGACAACAACTGCAACAAACAACAACACGAATGAATATTGTCCCTCCTGGCACGTCATAACGAATGGATTTGCCGGTATCAGAAAAGGGATATCGTCTGTATCCTAAAATAAAACAAAATAATAGATCTCTTGCGTATCTGTTCTGAAGAATGGTGATATATAATATGTAGAGCGGTCCAGGTTACCACAATCCTGTGGGTAGAATATAAAACACACCCAACTCGACACTCACTCGATGTTTGATTCCTCTCCTGCTGTTACCGTGCGCATATCGTGGATATCGTCAGCCAAAGCTCGCAGATAACTCTGCTGTGCCGACTCCAGGTAGAAGAACCTCTGGGAGAGGGCGACGAGAGCGGTAAAGATCCCGTCGGCATCGTCAGCTCCGCGAAGACAGAGAGGCAGAGAGCTGCCTTGAGCCACAAACCACGTGTGAGCTTCCGAGCCGACCTGGGAAGACATGGCACCGACGCTCAGAACCCATGCGAGGACTTCTTTGTGGCCGTTCCACTCTGCCTCCGGGATTGAGCACAGTCGATCCTGCAGATAGGGCGCCATGACTTTGGCCGTCCGGACTCGCCCAGTCACGGTAAAGCATAGGAACATCCACAGCACAAGCGCCGTGCGAACGGCTTCACTTCGCCCATCGTCCAGTTCGAGATGTAGAAGCCGATGTCTGATGGCGAAGCTGCGCATGCTCACCCAATGGAACACTTCACGACTGTCAAAGGATTGATGCTCGTCCCCAGGCGCAGCGGATTGTGAGGACTCGAAGACGGAGACCACCACTGCAAGATCCAGAACTATCCAGCGCAGGGACGCAGGGATTATCCCCTGCTGCGCCGAGCTGAGAAGGCCGCACCCTATGGCGACGGTGCCCGAGAGAAGCTTCTGAAGCTCTTGGAGACCGTAGGCGGTCATGGGGTGGTCGTCGCCGTTGTCAAAGTCGGAATCAGACCACAGAGGCTTCTGCTGTAGTTCCCCGGCCACATAGGCATCGCCAGTCAACAAAAGATCCACGAGCGGACCCTCCTGGGACTTGAGGCCGCCGATTAGGTCAATGATGGACTTGGCCGCCTTGAGATGCACGTACCCAGCCTCGCGATTGTACCTGTACCACTCGGCACAGCCCAGCGCAAAGATATTGAAAATTAGCCGCCCCGTAATCGGTTGCCGACTCTTGACATAATTCTGAGAAGCCCGCAGTGCCTGGTGCATATAGAAAGTGCCGTCTCCCGGCGGAGATATTCCCTCGATATCGTGCATGTAACTTGCCATGTAGGCAAGCAGGGCGTACATGTTGTACTTGTCATGGAGGCATCCTTGGACCAAACTCATGGCGTCGTGCCGAAACGCGTATTCGTGATCGAACCGGCCACTTCTCTCCAGATGCCACACATTAGGGTGCCACACTCGGAGGAAATAATGTAGCAGGCTGTAGATGCCTTCATCAACCCTGACACAGGTCACCTTGAAAGGATCAAAGTTTTCCTCTGCTGAAGCGGGGAATACCGGTATTGAACCAGGCGACCCTGACGGCGTGGGGTGTGGCTGTGAATAGTCCCAGAGCAACGGATCGATATTTGGAGATAGCGGCTGTAGATACTGATCACCGTCAAGGTGAAGCAGAGATTCTGACGGACGATGTATTAGGTCCGATGTATGTTGTGTCGAAGACTCCCCAAGATCGTTATCGCCATAGTTGGGTTCATCTTGACAATCCTCCAATCCTTTGCCTTGGTGTTCAGGCCCAGTGTGCGGTAGCTGTCCAGAGTACATGATGGCGTCTTCGAACTTCTTGTACCGCCGTCCCTTCTGGACATGGCTGTGGATCTTTATTCTCTCGCTCTTGTGGCTGTGGGACAGTGAATCCGAGCCGGCAGTTTTATTGATGAACATAAACTTGGGCGCCTTCATACCTGCATCGAGTGCCCACAGTGCTGACAGAAGAGTCCACAGATGATACTTCCACCTTCCGTTCGGTGAGATTATCCAAACCAGTGGGCGGGTTTGGCTATATAGGAGCGGCGCTGGAGTCACGGAGGTAATTCTTTATGGAACAGGCGTCAACGTTGCGCCACGGCCTGGTCGGGCCGAGTAATGGGGGCAAACGAGGCTTCCCAGAAGCTCCCATAACGGCTCCAATTCAGGATATCGATACATGGCCTCCGAAAGGAGTGATAGCGAGACTTTGGGAGTTTTGGTATAGCCAAGGCGCGGTGAAGCGGAGCCTCGTGATCGGCGAGGCATAGCGAAGAAGCTTGGAAGCTTGTCCTTCAGAGGGAGCGAATAGAACTGGAGCGTATTCAGGGTCTTCTAGTAGATACTCGGGTAGCAGATAACGAGCGGGAACAGCGACTGTGGCGTCTGTGCATGGACAAGCCAGAGGCCTTCTTTGGATCGCCAGATTAGGAAAGGGGTACTGCCTATTCTGGTAAGGCCCAATGGCGCCACCAGCTGGACTCCACGATGATTACTCGGTAGTATGTGAACAAAGCGCCAGGTCTGACAGACAAACCCCACAGACAGACAGAGATCGTTAAGGACAACTGAATCAATCACAAGAAACTGAAGTCGGGAATCGATCCAATCCTACGCTGGTATCGCTCAGCTTGAACGGCAGGAGGTGGCACTGGTGGCCACTCGTGGGACGGAGATACCTTCCCCGAACAAGGCATCGAGGTAATGGCTCTCAGGAACAGAAAAAGTAATCTTTCAAGTCATAATCATTTTGTGCAAACTACCTTTTGAATAATCGTCTTACATAACCGGCCACTAGCTTCAGTCGGCAGTGTGGCTACACGCCTCGTTACAATAACCATTTACTCTGCGTCAGGCATCTTGAGCACATATCGTCCAGCGATTTGCCCTGCATGCATCAACTCGTAGACCTTGGGAAGCTCTTTCAGATCCACCGTCTTGAATGGCACCTTGATCAACCCGCGTGCAAAGAAGTCGAGCGCCTCCTCGCTGTCCTGTCGATTCCCGACGTACGAGGCCTGGATTCTGATCATCTTCACCACTGACTCGAAAACTGGGGCACGGATATATGCCTTGGCGGGAAGACCAATCACAATAACGGTGCCACGGGGGCGGACGTATTCCGCAGCTTGTTGGAAGGGCTTCTCGGTGACGGCGACAAGGATGACGGCATGAGGACCGAGGCCATCCTTTGTGGCGGCCTTGACGTCCTTGACAACGTCGCTGGATTTGGCGAAATCGATGAAGGTCTGTCATCATGCAGGGTTAGGACCATTCCAGGAAATAAAGAGTATCTTGAAGACTTACGCTGGACCCCATCTTTTCACAGAGAGCTTTCTTGTCATCTCCAGTGTCAATGGCAATGGTATGGATACCCATAGCCCGTGCGTATTGCTGTGCCAATGACCCCAAGCCACCACCAGCACCGACGATCGCAATTGTCTGTCCCGGTCGTGCTCCCGACTCTTTAATACCCTTGTAGACTGTAATGCCTGCGCAGAGGACGGGCGAAACCTCGTCGAGAGGTACACCATCAGGGATATGAGCAACGTGTCTTGCGGATGCGACGCAGTATTGTTGGAAGGAACCATCGACGGTGTAGCCGGAGAGCTTTGGGGTGAGGCACAGAGGCTCGTCTGATTGCTGGCAGAATGTGCAGTTCAAGCAGGAGTCGTTCAACCACTTGACACCCACAGCTTCGCCAATCTTGCAGATATCGTCGGTGACCAACTCGCCACGGGCCACAACGATGCCAGCACCCTCATGGCCACCAACAAGAGGCAACTTGGTCGGGAGGGGCCAGTCACCATTGACGGCGTGCAGGTCGGTGTGGCAGACACCAGAATATTTGATGTTCACAAGCACATCCTCTGGGCCTGGTTTGGGGACAGGAATCTTCTTGTATTGCACAGGACCGCCGACCTTGTCGATGACCTGCGCCCATTGCTCGGTGGGGATCTTGGGGGAAGACATTATATCTGAATGGAGAAGTTTCACAAAGAATAGGTGTTCAAAAGCACTTGTTGGGACAATTGGAGATGGGAGATAGATGAAGAAGGCTCTTTTGAGGTATGATGATGGTGAAGTTGGTATTTGAGATCATCACAGGAACCAAGCCGACCTTTATGTACATGTTACAAGAGCTCTCAACCCCTCTCTCTCTCCATTGAAAAGAGAAACTCACCTCAGGATCAGCGGAAACCCCTCAGAGTTTGATCACGAAGTACGCGTGTGTCCGTCATTGCTCCAAGATGTGTATCCTGTGGAGCGCTGAGCTTGGATAGCCAATCAGTAGGGTCGGTCTGAAGGGCTGGAGCGTTGAAAATGTTACATCTCATGACGGGTGTAAGGAGACTTTCTGTAAGCGGATCATCTGGTTTTGGCAAGAGATAGCATTTGGCCGGCGGTACCAACATGTGGACGAGCGGGATTTCTTCACCCACAAGGCGTAGGGAAGAACCCTTGGCCGGATGAATCAACATGAGCAATACGCCTCGAGGATACTGCAAGGACCAGGATGAAGGCATGCAAACGGATGGAGCATAAGTTACAGAAAACTGAGGGGTTTGACCGTAAGGATACGGTAGAGGATCGATAACAGGGCAGATCATGGCAGATGGGCCGGAGGGTGGAAGATGGGTGGCTGCGGATGGAAACGGTACTAGGGAAGCTCGATTGGAGGCCCAAGAGGGACCGCAGATCTGGACCGCTGCAAGGGTGACAGCACCAAACGTGCACCAGCTGCAAGCTGTCCTAGCTGTCCTGCACGCCGCAATCTGCAAGCTTGCAAGCTTTTCCGGATCTGTTTTTTTGTGTTCGGATCCCAAAGTTAAGCTCGCCGAGATGTGAGATCCATGTCGCCAGGACGCATTTCGATTCGAGGGACCGAAGGAATTCGTGGGAAAAGGACCAAAGGGATGTCGGATGAGACACGAAAACGAGAAACGAGACAGACAAGGGCGCAGGCACAGGTGCAGGCAATGCGGGGAAAAGGTTTGTTCCGGGCGCAGGAAGCTCTGTAGACTGCAGCACAGGCAAAGAACCCTGTTGCCCGTGAGCTCCTCCTGCTCAACAATGCTCACAGTGCTTCATCCAACTCATCAATCTCAGCATACTCAGCATCCTCTGCTCATCTCTATTTGGTCCAGCAAAGTTGCCACCCCCTCGCTATCCTCTCCGCCGCCCCCCTGCACCCACGGGCACTAGGCTAATCTGCCCAATCGTACCTCCAAATAAACCCGTTTCTCCGCCGCAATGCCATCATGAAACCATGAAAGCCTGTTCTGGGTTCTTTGTTTACGTTACAAAGTGGCATGATGAGCTGCGGGGTACGGACCAATGTTTGCGCGTAGCCGCTATGGTCGCCCTCAATCCCAGTTCATTGATGCTAGCATATGGCCTCACCTGAGGATGAGGTGATGAATTCTCGAAGCTCGATAAGCTAGAAATTGGACCTTTTCGCTACCTACCACCTCGACCTAAGACCTTTAATGCCTTGATACTTGAGCCTCGAAGCAGCAGAATCTGCATTTGCTTTTCGACGAGCTACGAAGCACAGAAAGGAGGTCGTCAACTGACCAGCCCTTTTCGACGACAATTCCTCTCCTACCTTACACTGCAAAATCAAACGCATCCATGTTTGTCTGCGAGCCCTACAACCGAGAGCGTCGTTGTTGCGCACCTGGTGTCTCTACTGCAAGCAGCCAAATACAGACCCATCGAAACCCACGTGTCACGGGCATAAGCGCAGGCGATGACTGTTACATGCGATGATGCAGAAGTGGTCTGATGGCTACCACGCGTATCTCAATAATCTTCTGCCAAAACAGGCTCAAAATCGACCAAGAACAGCAAGTCGCGAACTAGCCAATGGACCAGGGTGACAAAATTTGTTGGGTTTGTGTTCTATCTTGAGAGCATGTGCGTCTGATGGATTTTACGCTTCGAAATGTCGCATCTTGTTCAAGATCAGCCAGTTCCCGCAACGCCAAAACCTGCCCTTCCTAGACTTGCGTGATTTCAACTTCTTGTTCCTTATCGCAGTCACAGATTTTGATAAAGGCAGACGGCGAGTACCAGTCCGCCCGGATCCTCCGTGTCAAGTCCGAAGGTTGATCAAGTGGTGAGTGTCCACAAGGCATCTCGTACAGAATGCGTTATTGTCTTATCCGCAAAAGATCACCTGAAAGCGCGAAAGACAATGATCGGAAGAGTTCCTTGCCGTCGCGAATATCTACTTGTACCGAGTAGAGCAGGCGTTAGGGTCTTCCAAGGTGGGTTTTCCAGCTACTAACTCGATAGCCGGAACACCTACCTCCCGAAAACCGGCCCCTTCCGATAGCGCAGCGCGGCTTCTATTCCTCCTCTACCTCGAGCCTGTCGAGATCACGGAAGAATAGACTCTGAGCAATGTCACAGGGCAATATTGGGAGGTTTACTGTTTCAATGTGTGATTGATCCGTGTCAGGATTGAGCAGCACAAGACACAGAAACAGCACAAATACAAACCCCAGCGTAGCCGCCGCTGGTGGAGGAGTTGCGCGAGACTCACCCAGAACTTCATGAGCAAGAGACCTGCGCCAACAACGGAAATCGGAGGATTCGGCCGCGTGGGATGAGAAAGAGACCTTGTCGCCAGGATTGCTTATAAGCAATAGTCGTGGGATGGAAGCTGTGTTCTCTTCAAGAAAAATACATATCGGATGCAACTTTGGCCGGTCTGATTCAGCTCTGGTGGCTCGGGAGGTTGTGCTGAGCGATACAGGAAGCCCAATGTCGCGCTCGCTCTTAAAGAAGCCGATTAGACTTACCTTGCTTACCTATCCGCTTAGAACCTGCCCTTTGCGTGTGCTGAAACGCCCCTCGATGACCACCGGAGACGCCTATTTCCCAGTTAGGGCTGCCCCGCGTTGCGGCTCCCGCCCTTATTCAGGAATCATCAGGCCCCTCGTGTTTCATTTCCCCGCTTTCACTCCCCACGGGACCGTTCCGCGTTGATTTTATATCTTGTCCATACCTTGATACCCAGTAGATCTACTAGGCTAGCAGGCTAGGAAGGTGCTATATCCGATGGGCCTATATGCCTAGTCTATATGCCGGAGTTGTTCAACTCTCTGAATTTATAAAACCTGACGCTGGTTTTTCTGGCTTACAGCGCCTCTTCATCACCAGACAGGAGCATCAGAAATCAGAAAGTCAATCCCTTGTCATCGACTGCAACCCTCTTTCTCAGAATGGCAAGCAACGGTACCAACGGCCCACACACGCCAGCCCCCGCCTTTGACGCATCGTCGACTATTCCCCTGTGGCTGGACGGGAAAGAAGTCACGCTCTCCTCGACATTCGACGTGACCTCCCCGCTCGACCAGAAGACACTTTACAAATGCTCCTCGGCCGACGAAGGGGATGTGCAAAGGGCCATCGCGGCCGCTGAAAAGGCGTTCACAACGTGGTCCAAGACGAAGCCAAACTTCCGGAGAGACATCTTCCTCAGGGCGGCCGAGGAATTCAAGAAGAGACGAGACGAGCTGAAGCATTACAGCTACACCGAGACAGGCGCCGCCGAGTCCATGTTCGCCTTTGAGCACAACCTGGCCTACGAAGCTTGCAAGAGTGTTGCGGGCCTCATCCAAGTCGCCTCGACCTCGGCCATGCCCGTCGTCGCCGAAGAGGGCGGTAATGCCATCCTGGTCAAAGAACCGTATGGTGTGATTCTGGGCATCGCTCCGTGGAACGCACCCAATGTCCTGGGTCTCCGTGCGTGTTTGCAACCTCTGGCCATGTAAGTTTCAACGCTGGTGTCACAAGAGATCATGACATCCCGTATTCCACCATTGTTCCCTTTCCGTCACCATTGGACGAAGTTTAGAGGTAGCGGCTAACACGAGACAACTCGCACCAGGGGCAACACAGTCATCCTCAAGGGTCCTGAAGCGGCCCCCGCGACCTATTGGGCCATCGCCTCCATTCTCCACGCAGCAGGCTTGCCCGCGGGCTGCCTGAATACCATCTACCACCGACCCGCTGACGCAGCAAAGGTGACTTCGGCGCTAATTGCTCACCCAGCCATCAAGAAGATCAACTTTACAGGCTCGACGGGCGTGGGGGCCATCATCGCCTCCCAGGCTGGCAAGTACCTCAAGCCGACGGTCATGGAACTTGGCGGCAAGGCACCGTCGATCGTCTGCGAAGACGCCAACATCTCGACCGCAGCCCTGCAGTGCGCGCTGGGTGCCTTCCTCCACGCGGGTCAGATCTGCATGGCCACGGAGCGGATCATCGTGCACGAGAAGGTGGCCGACCAGTTCCGCGAGGCGCTCAAGCAGACGATGGACCACGTCTTCGCCGAGTCGCCCGACGGGATGGGCGTGCCGCAGCTCGTGACGGCGGCGCCCGTGCTGAAGAATAAGAAGCTGCTGGAAGACGCGCTGTCCAAGGGCGCGAAGACGGTGTACGGCGACCCGCAGCACAACGAGGCGTCGTCGACGCGCATGCGGCCCGTGGTGATTGAGAACGTCAACCCCAAGATGGACATCTACCACACCGAGTCGTTCGGGCCGACCGTGGCGCTGTACGTGGTGCGCGACGACGACGAGGCCCTCCAGCTGGCAAACGACACCGAGTACGGCCTCACCAGCGCCGTCTTCACCGAGGACCTGCGCCGCGGCCTCCGCCTGGCCCGCCACCTCGAGACCGGCGCCGTCCACATCAACAGCATGAGCATCCACGATGAACCCGCCCTGCCGCACGGCGGCGTCAAGAAGAGCGGCTTCGGTCGCTTCAACGGCATCCCCGGCCTGGAGGAGTGGGTCAGGACAAAGGTCATTACCTGGAAGGATTGAGCAGGGATTGTGCGGCGCGGCGCGGTGCAGCGCAGCGCAGTTCTAATGGCACATGGAGCTGGGGATTCGAGCTGTTTCCTTGTTTTGGCGGGAAAGGGGTTGTGAGACTCATCATGACTTATGGTACGGTTTGAGGCAAGTGTTCGGGTCAAGTCTGGATGCCAAAACGTATGATGTAGGTGTAGGCGAAAAAAAGGGGGTTGGATGAAGTAGTGTAACGACCAAAGGCGGGAGTCAAGCAGCAACACTTGTAAATTGTGAATGATGATGATGATGATGATGATGATGATGGATTCTCTTAGTTTCTGTATCTGGCGATACCACAGCGCCATGACCTTTACCCTTGACCGTAACCGGCTCCTGCTAAGATACCCATAATACCCGTCTTCACGAGCACACCCTCACTGTAGTCATGCTCTCATCAAAGGCTCAAGTCGTCAGGTCATGCCCATGGAAGGAGCCCAGCTCCGGAACGCACACTTCCCGGTCGTCATTATAATTTTGGCGTCTTCGTCAGATTCTCGTAGCCGTCTTCCAGGATATGCACATCATCCTCGATCCGCACGCCTCCGACAGTCCAGTATTTCTCCAGGACGTTCTTGTCAATGTATTGACTCAAGTCCGGGTCCTCCAGCACGGGGTCGAGGATGAAATTGCAAAAGTAGATGCCTGGTTCGACCGTGATGACAGCGCCAGCGGGCACCTCACCCCGCACACGGAGGTACTTGAACATCTGGTCTGGGTCATCGTAGTTGGCATGTCCGCCCGTATCGTGCGTATCCATGCCCAAATAGTGTCCGAGGCCGTGTGGCATGAAGGCAACGCTGATGCGCTTGTCAAAAATCTCTTCCTCGCTGCCCACGAGGATCCCGGCAGCTTTGAGCCCTTTGATCGCGACTCGATGGGCGTTCATGTGCACGTCTTCCCACCGCACATTTGCGTGCAGCATCTTAAAGCACGACGATTGCATCTCATCCACGATGTTGTATATCGTCTGGGATTCCGGCGTGAATTTGCCAGAGATGGGGAATGTGCGTGTGATATCCGCGCAGTAGCAATCATATTCCGCGCCCGCGTCGAGCAGAATGTTCAAGCGGTCCCGCAAGGGTTGGTCGTTGCGGACGTAATGTAGGGTGGAGCAGCTCGTGCCACTGGCACAGATGGAGTGGTACGCCAGCTCATGTGCGCCGTTTGAGATGCATGTCCCAACAAACGCCCCGTAGAGTTCTTGCTCATTTGTTGCTGTGAGCACCGCCTTGGCGGCTTCAATGTGTCCCAGTGTGGATATCTCGTTTGCTTTGCGTATAAGTGCAACCTCATAGCTATCTTTGACGACGCGGCATTCGTCAATGGCTTCCTTGAGGCATGAGAATTCGACGGCCTTGAAGGGCAGGAATGTGATGTGCTCGGAGACTTGCTCGGGGATGGCGTAGACGGTAGCAGCCTTGGAAGGGCCGTAGGCTGCCAACGCAGCATTGACTTCATTTGTGTAGAGGACGTCGTCGACGTCGTATTTCTCCAGAGCCTCCTCTTTGGACTCGGGCAAGCCACTCCAGATCACGCTGTCCGGGTCGATCGGGGGAATGAAGAGGGTGAGGATGTCTTGCGGGATGTTGTATGTGAGGTAGGCGTCAGGCAGTTTGCAACCGGAGAGGTAGAAGAAATATCGCCGCTGACGGAAGTGCATGGCTTGGTCGTCGTCTTCCACCATGCGGGTCTTTTGAGCCTCGAGGTACAGGACTCCATGCCGCGAGAACCCTGCGTCGATGAGGTATTGAGCCACGCGCCGACAGTGTGCTTTGGCAGGGTATTTCCCTTTGGGCGTTGCACCATTGACAGACATGATTGCGGTGGTGACGAGGGATGTACTGTATTACTGGGATGTTGCTGTGAGGGGAGGATGGGAGAGTAACAATAGGCAGTGAATTATTCTTTGGGATGTCACCAAATACCGAGTACAACCGCGTAAGTGCCTTTTGGCGCTGCTCCCCGCACCGAGAGACAATCTTGGACTTCTGGTGACCTCCGATTTACTTCCACGACAAGCTTACTGTATCAAATATCCGCCCGAATATGGCAGCTAGTGCAACCAGGCTCCTACGATTTGCCCTTCTTCCACGTGTCGAAGCCGAGTCTTCGTGGCTAGTAAATAATCTACAAGACGATCGAACAGTGCGAAACTGTTGCACGACTCTGTCCTCTGTATCACGGCACAGACTGGCACAAGCTGCTCATCTGCTCTGCAGGCAATGACCAAGGACACAGACACTTGAATCACAGCAGATGCCAGTAGACAGTGCATAATCAGCAGAGTGCTCGAGGTACCTCCGGAACGGCTGGATCCTATGGACGAGGTCGTATTGAGCAATGACACGTGCTCCGGCAATGCTCGAGATGTGAAGTCTCCTATGTGCGAAATCACCTCGATCTCCCGTTGAAAGCGCCGGGTCGTTCAAGAGCATGATACCAGATTGTGTCGCATGATGAACGCTGTCGGAGGGAACAGGACCAGTTGGAAAATCACCGAGTCCAACTCGCTTCGTCTGAATCTCGTCTGATAGCGGTCGGTTGACTGCTGCAGTGTTACCGAGGACATGGTTCGCAGTGTTCTAGGATTGACTCAGCGCCAGAGATAGACGAACAACGGTTGGTTCCTGGCCCGCGGTAACGTTGTACACGACTAGGAGCACACAAGTGGTTTGAACGTGGGCGTCAAAGCTCGTTCCCTTTGTCCATCACCTTCACCGACTCTGTGATACGGCATGGATCGCCGCCATTACATCAAGTGCCGCCAATTGCGAGTGACTTGTTGGCAAATCCATAGGCCCATCCCACCAGGGGCCGTATTGTCCCTTCCCGTTTGTATCCCTGAGCTGCAAACTCCAAAACTGCGTGCGGATAAAATTGACCAACTGAGTTTGCATTTCCGGGTGGCTGTCGTCACGGACAAGGATCTTGTACAGCTTGACGAGGCTCCGCAGCAAGATGGCTTTGAAACCGATGGCGTCGTCGTTCTGCCATGCTGGCTTCTTGCCTGGGCCAGTGCCGGGATACGCGCCGGGCTCTGTCAAGGTCCCATTCGAGTCGACCCAACTACTTCGATTCAGGGCGCGGCTTGCCATGTTGCAGGCCAGGTCCAAGTATGCGTCTGTGGTCGCCGATTGGATCAAGTCCAAATCCTTTGCCTTCAGGGTACTGTAGATGGCAACAGACGCGGCAATCGCCTGGCCGGTGTTGTATGTAAACGTCCAATTGTAGCTCTCGCCTGTGTTGAGGTCGACGTGGTCCAGGACGAGATACTCGTCTTGATCAAATCTGCTGCGCAAGATCCAGGAGAAACTGTTGATGGCAGATGCGAGCAACGCTTCTCTGTCGGTCTCGTTCGCTTGTTGAGAAGCCAGCCGCGCCGACAGTTCCGCGTAGAGGCCGGTGGTGATAGCGTTGACTTGGGTTTCGTTGGGCTTGCTCGACCAGATGACCCCGCCGGCCATGTCGGTGCCGTTGATGACATATTTGCCCGCAGGGATCACAAAGTGGTTGACGTGCTCCCAGATGGCCTCTGCGACGCTAAGATGACTCGGTGATGCGGTCAGATCGAAGAGCTCCAGCGAACAGATGGCCCACCACATCGAGTCGTCGTTCATATCGTTAATACAATTTGTGTTGTTCTCCTCGACTTTGCCGATAAGCTCGTCCAAGACGTCGCCGTAGACCGGGGTGTTGGACCAGAGATCGTGCAGGGCGATGGCGGTGTAGCCGTTTGCGACCTGCCAGTAGCCCAGGCCGCTGATCAGACCGTCGTCCTGTTTCGAGGCCAGGAAGACGTTGATGGCCGCTTGGGTGATGCTGATGGTCGAGTTTCCCTCCTGTATAAGAGACATATTGGCGTTCATGGTAGTAGTGTCGGGGCCGATGACCTTCTGGGCAGGCTTTGATCCAGATCTCCAGCTTCCAAGAAGCAACAGAGCCTTGACTGGGCCGTAGCCCTCATATATCAAACGAAACATGGTTGGTGATAAGCCGCAGAAAAGCGCTTGATGTCGGTCCGCAGCCAACGCAGTCCACGAGTTCCAGGGCCACGACAATCAGCTGGTGCGCAAATGCACATGCAAATGCGAAGTGATGTCGCAGACCTGTCACCTGTGACTGACTCCAAGAAAGAAATGCGTTCACAGTCAAGACGCTTCGGGTGAGGGGGGAGAACCAGGCGACCTAGCACCGTGACCTGCTGCAGTATCTGAGCGTCAGCCTCTCGAGGCGCCTCCATCATGCTGGGTATCGAACCTGTGCGATAGTATCCAGGGGGCGTCTGGTGGGCCGAGACACGGACCGGTCAAGGGTGTTTGACACACGGCATGGACAGCATGGATGTGAGCAATCACCAGACGAACCAGGCACGACAGAAATGCACAACGACGTCAGCGGACAGCCAACAGTTGAGTGAGGACCCAGTCGTCGCCGCCATTGCCGTCGTTTGCATGCGAGGTAGAAATGGATGAGTCGGTGATAAAGACGTCGGCCATTTAAGAAGACCAGTGCAAGACCCACTTCCATCTTCCGATTGGACCAGGCATCGGATAGCAACATAACTGTTGCCGAATCAGGCAAGTGGATCAGTCCGCTATCTCCATTGTTGGCTCCTCTGGGAAGTTATCAACGTCCGACTTCTAAGGCAGTGGTAATGAGGCACATATTTACAGGAAGGAAGGTATATATCTATTAGTATATATAAAGGTCGCAAAACATCTGGTGCTACATGTCAATATTCCAGCTTTCATTCACACTTCAAACGTCTCAACAGGGATCAACAATCACAACCATGACTTCTTCCATGTCCAACATCCTCATCTTTGGAGGCACCGGTGGAATAGGGGAATCATTCGCCCGAGCCTTCCACAGCATGGGCAAAAATGTCATCATCACCGGGCGCCGCGAGGCCCGTCTTGTGCAACTGGCCAAGGAGCTGCCAGGCCTCGAAACTTATACCATGGACAACAGTGATCTGGCTGCTCTCCCGGGCCATGTCAAGACGATCCTTTCCAAACATCCTGACATCGATACAGTCTGGGTCAACTCCGGCATCCAGTACCAGGGCAACTTCTTGTCTCTCGATAACTTCACCGATGAAAAAATCATCAAAGAGACAAACACCAACCTGACTGCACCCATAATCCTGGCCCGGCACTTCATCCCGCATCTGTTGTCTTTGGGGCGTGAGGCCACCTTCATGATCACTTCCTCGGGTCTCGGATACGTTCCGATGGGGTTGTTCCCCGTCTATTGTCCCACGAAGGCTGCCGTACACTCTTTCCTGGTGGGACTTAGGGAGAGTCTTCATGGTACCAACGTCAACGTCATCGAAATCGCCCCGCCGTACGTGCGAACCGACCTCGATGCCGAGAATCGACTGGACAAACTCGTGCCACCCATGGAGTTGGACGACTACACGAACGAGACGTTGGAGATCCTGCAGAAGCCGGCAAAGGAGATCAAGGAGGCGGGCGTTGGATTTGCAGAGCTGGTTTCCGGGAAATGGAGAGAGGCCTTTAATCCAGTGCTGGGAATGAGGCATTCAACCGGTTGATATGTGAGTCTCTCCTCGCAATCGATGCAGGAGATTTTGAAGTTGTATCTGGTGTATGCTTGTTATTAGTGAGGTGTTGATTATGTCGGCCATCTTCGCCTCTCTTCCTCTGCTAGTACACTCCGTGCAACGGTCCCGAAGGTACCGAGCCAAATACAATACCATATCCATGTATACAAATTTCTCCTTTCGCAGACCCTCGTTGATGCCACTTTATTCTTTCCCGCTAGAGCTTCGCTCTCCTGTGCCAGTCCCTCTACCAGCATCATGCGGTCTAGTCGTCCCCGTCCGGCGCATCGCCGGCCACTTTCTTCAACGGTACGTTCGGGTCGCTGGCAGGCTCTGCGTCGGGGTCATGTGGCGGTTGTTGCGGTTGCTCTTGTTGCTGTTCATTTCCCTTCTGCTCTGGCTCATCAGCGGCCTTTTCCTCTTTCTTCTTCGATTGCGAATTCTTGGCTTCGGACGATTCCCCAGACGATTCCCCGGACAATTCTTCATCGCTCTCTGAATCTCTGGCTTCTTTCTCTTTACCCTTAGTGTCGGCTTCTTTCTTTTCCTCATTCTTATCTTCCTTCGGCTTCGGTTCCTCCTTCGGTTTGGGTGGTGCGGTGGCCGGGCTTTCGTCTGGATCATGCACTGGTTGTGGTGCTGGTGCGGGCGATGAACCAGTCACAGTGGCTGGACCTGGATTTGTCCCGATTACAGGGGCTGCGATGGGTGCTGGAACCGGCGTTGGCAATGGAACCGGCGGCCCGCTTCCAATGGCAGCCCGATTCCTCAAAGTTGCTCCTGCATAGTTCCCATCCACGGTCCCTGTCATATACATGTCCGGGTTGTTGACGGTGTTGTTCCTCACCGCGCGATCATACAGTCTGGTCAGCCTGGCCACTTCGCTCCTAACGGTCACGGCCGCCGCCCCCCTTTCGCCACTCTTTCTATCGCCAGTGTCGATATCATCATAGCCATTCACTCCCGTAGTGATGCCCAGCCACATCACCTCCGAGTTCTCAATCTCGTCGACCACTCTCTCCAAATCATCTCGGTACATCCGTGCTCTCATCGGCTGGCCCCTGGATTTCAAATACGCAACAAGTCCCGCAATTATGGTGTTCATAGCCCCAAAAATGGTGATGAGTATGTGGCTCGATTCCGAGGCCCCCAAGGCAGTTAAGGCGGCGCCCAGAACGACCTGGGTCAGTAGCATCGTGTTGGACAGTGAGGCGGTCATGTAATATGTAAAACGCTGCTTGGAGAGTTGGCGAAGCGCTCTACCGTACAGGGACTTTGGTGGAATTTTCGAGGAAGGCCGCGGTTTACCGTCAGGTGTCGGGGCAGAGGATGGAACACCGGTCATCATGCAGAACTGTGCATGTGGATCGGTGGAAAAGTCGCTGGTGTCGCCATCGGGATAGCGAGGGGACCAGAGGAGAGGCGTGCGTTCAGAGGGCATCTTGGCCGATGGAATAAGCATGAGTCTATGTGTTTTCCAACTCCTCCAGCGATCCGGAGACTGAGTCGTGTCTGCTCTTGTGTGTCGTCGTGGTTGTGTGACCGATATCTCGACCCCGCGGAAGTTTACCTCGTGCCTGGCCCACAGCGATCTTGATAGCTAGCTGATGGCTCGCCTCTCGCAGGATTGAAACTGCTGTGACCAGCTGCGCCGCGTCCTTGATTGCACGCCCCGAACAACTCTCCTGCTCCACGCCAACAATATTTCCACAATTAAAAAAACGTGACGTAGTCTTTCAAACAAGGCAAGCGCTAGGCGGTCGTGACTGACATCCCCTCTCTATCCCGAAAGGAAAACCGTCGGATCATCTCAGATATCAGGGAGAGAATGAAGGGCAAGTGGCCAGCAGAAAACAAAAGCATGTGAGAAGAGGAGGAGCTGGGAGGAAAAAAAAAGGGTTCGAGTCCAGCTTTGCTTCTGCTTGCCCCCCAAGACCTGAGGTTGATCATCTCGCGCAACCATCCCAAGCGACCCAAGACGCGCAGTTAAACCTCTCTCGGAGCTAGCCCACCTCGCCGTCTACCGCGCCGTCGCAACCCACGAAGCCCCAGCTGGCGAGCTGGATCTCACTGGCCTACATTTCCCATGCCTTATCGCTTGCATCACATCACAGCTACCCCTGCCCTCGATGAAGAAAGGCGACCTGACGATCCCCTGTCCCCACCAAGGGGAAAATCCTAGATTGAACCAACGACGGATCAACTGCAACAACCTACATATGTACCACTGCACAAAATGGATCCCCGTGCCTCTGAGGCGCCGGCCTGCAGTAGTAGGAGTGCTGTATATGAGAGCCCAAAGGGCGGAGAACCAGTGCTGAAGAGGAGAACGAGGTATACCGCGACGATATCCCAGAGGGCGCAAGAGGCAGGGCCATCACGTAGGGATCAAAAGGATAGAATCATTAAAGATATTCCATTTATATCTTATCATTCGTAACAAGGCGTAATACCTGCTCATCATATCAAGATCTGCTGTTTAACATTCATGGCCCTCAAGGGAGATAGAACACCCGCTCAAAACAACATTGCAACCTGTTTGCACCCGGAAAGTTCTTCCTCTTTAGTCCCCAGAATACAGACGAATATCCATCAGTCGCGCCCCTGCGCCCAGTCAAAAGAGAACAATACCGAAAGTAACTTGGCTGCTCCATAGACCCCCGGCTTGTCCTGCTAGGAAGAATCGCGGTCGTCGTCAGTCACATCCCGTGGCCGCAATCTCCACCGACCCCATTCATTTCGTTGCGGTCGCTGTTCTCGTGGGTATCCCTACCACCCGGAGCCAGGATGCCATCCGCCTAAACTCGACGACGAGCCACCCATCCAACCGGCCTGCGCCTGCTGATTTCTGGCCAAGTTCTGCAGAATCACCGCGGGATGCGTGCTGGGACTCCCTCCCATGCCTTGTCCCAGGGGCCGACTACCCGTAGTGCTCTTCCCCGCCATGGCAGATGTCGACCTCGGTTTTGACTCGCATTGCGTGGTGGAATGAACGTGGTACGCGCAGCCCTTGTCCCTCGCCGGGTCGCCAAACTTTTCGATCTGCCATTGCCATACCTTGCGCATGATCAACAGCGACAATTCCGGGATCTTGAAGAGCTCTTCAAACTCTGCGCGGCTGTCCTCCCCGACGTTTTTCCTGAGATGGTCATGGTAATGACGCGGAAAGGTCATCATGTGATGGACGAGGTGCTCGATGAAGAATCGTTTCAGCGGCGACTTGTGTGGTCCATGGAGGTGGACGAGAGCGAGAGCCGCATAGCTTGGACGGGGCACCAGGTGTGATGATGAGTCGGATCCTGCGTGAGCATCTCTGTCTGCAGCTGTTCCTGACAGGCTTGGGACGAGGCTCGTCCGGGTGGAATCTCTGCTGCTGTGTCCGCAATTGATGATGTGATGGAAGTGACTATGATTGTGCCCATTTCCATTGGCACTGGCACTCGTGCTCGCACTGGTGCTGGTACCGGAACTGGCACTCAATCGATAATGCGTCCGTATGCAATCCATGATTCCATTCTGCAGTTCCTCCATGCCGAATTTATCCGCCATGCAATACGCAGCAGATATATCACACATATCCAACCCGCAGAGACCCCTCGCAGCCACGGCACTGCCACCACTGCCCGCACTGGTCCCAAAAGAAGGCAGTCTTCCTCTGTATATCCATTCCACCACTATGCTGAAGGCCTTTGGGTCGTCCTCTGGAAGGTACATTTCGTTCTTATAACCCTCGTCGAACCGGTTCTTTTGGAGGCACTTCTCCATGAAGGGGGAGCGTTCACAGATGAGATCGCGATGGAGATGGAAACGTTTGCGCTTGGGGCCGACGTGGACGGTGACGATCTCGGAAGTGGTGAAGCTAACGCAAAACCGGTCAGAAAATTAGCGGGAATGGTTTTTCTCCTGTGCAAAGTGCCCGGGGCGGACGGGTGGTCGAGAAAGACACAGTCTGGGAATTCAATGGAGATGGGACTCACTTGTCTACCTCGTCATCGTCATCATCATCGTCCTCTTCCTCTTCCTCGTCGCCCTCGCCGTCGTCCTCGACTTCCACTGGTGGCTCCTCGGGCTCGGCGGGGCCGTTGCTCACTACTGCGGCCTTCTCTTGTTTTATTGCAACGGCCTCCCGCCTTGATCCATCGCTGGCGGTAATTCTGACCTTTGACTTCCCCTTTTGTGCTGCGGCTGCGGCTGCGTGCTCCTCCACTCGCGGACTCTGCGTTCGGGTCGAGGCTGCTTGGTTCATAGTGGTGTGCTCGGCAACCCTTCAGGTCGCGAGAGAGAAGAGAGAGGTACCCAGTGATGTGAAACGGGCGACAAGGCTGCGGTGAGGAAGGTACATGCACTGGGAGAGTAAGCCCGAGCCCGAAACCAGAGATTGACATACCACACACCACAAAAGAGAGCCCGGAATTTCAACCGGTGGGGCTTGTTCGATGGCGCCAAAAGGCCACCGGCTCCTCCACGGACCGATACTTTTGGTACCTGGGTACCTACTCGGCAGATCCTCTTCGGGACTCGTTCCGCAATCATCTATTATTTTGTTATTACCCGAGCATCAAGTGATAGCCGGGGCTTCTACACCCTCGGACGGTATTTGAACTTCTTGTACTTTTTATTCCGAACCGGACATCTGATCGCCGCAACGAAACCCGTCGGCCCACCGTCAATAGGCTTAAGCTGTAGTAGTCCGTCGCAGCCATCTGCCTGCGCTATAGTGATAGTGATATTCAACCCCCTTGAATCCCCCAAAGTATAATGATACAAGAATGGCCCCGAAAGAACAAAGAAACACAGCAGAAGCAACGATGACCACCTTGCTTAGCTCCAGATATGCAAGGCTCGTCTCGTCTCTCCCCCTTCACTTACTCAGAAGGTCTTCATTCGACTTTGCCTCGCACTTTGGGCTGATACCAGGGCTGCGTCAGTTTCAATCCAATACCCATGACGCGAACCTAGCGCTTCCTCGCTCCTCCAATACCGTGCGCTGGCCCGTGCGCATCGAACGCCGCTTCTTGCATGTGCTCAGAGTCGGCGCCCGGGGGTGGCGGCGGTAATGTCAGGGGAGGCGGCGAGATCGCATGGCCTACATCGAAACCGGCGTCGGCGCTGACCTTCCTGACCCTTTCTCGCTCCAATTCGCGTCGCAGTTCTTCATTCACCGCGTCTCTTTCTTCCAGTCTTCTCCTCGCGCCACTTCGATCAAGGAGCCTGGCCTCCCGCTCGGCTTTCAACCTCCTCTCCAATTCTCGTAGGCGATGGATCCATTTCTCCTGACCCTGACCGCCGCCCACACTTACCGCTGTAATACTCGCTATGTCCGAGCCTGACGCGGTGCTTGGTGGTGCAGGAGGGGCCTCTCGTGGAGGTGGTGGCAGGGAGAACTTTCCGTCGGCTGGGGCGTTGAAGGGCCCCGCCGGAATCATTAGGCCACCACGGTCGCGTTCGCCGCCCTGGGTATACCCTGAGTGACGGCTAGAGATGGAATTAGACCGCAAAGAGGTCACGTCGCCGCCCATGCTGGCGAGATGTTCCACGATCCCGGTGGAATGATGTCGGTGCAGCTCCATAGTCCGAGTGCGCCTCATGCTTGATGATCGGGCTGGAACTCCAACACCGCCATTCGCTGCCCCGTCGACCTGACCGGGTCCCTCGTTTGACATGATACTCGAATATCCAGATGCCCGGCTCTCGTTCCTGTCTCGCCGGTGGTGTAGATTGTGATGTGCCTGTTGCTGTTGGAGTAGCTGGAGCTCGGCCTTGAGTAACCGATTCTCACCCTTCAGTTTGCTGATCTCAGGAGTCCTGCTGGATTTCGGCGTTCGAGCTCCGGTGTCTATGCGACTTTCCATTTCCGACATCTTGATCTTCATCTGCTCCCAACTCTCCTCGATACGTTCCAGCTTCCGGGTCCGTACTTCGAGGGTTTGCTCCAGTGCCTGGTACTCCTTATATAGCTCGCGTTCAACGCGTTTGATCTTTTCTTTGAAAGTGGATAGTGTGCCCTCGACCTGCTTTGCGGCCAACAGCAAATTCCGGCTGAAGCCTGGCCAGAAGAGCATGTTTCCAATCACCTCTTGAGAAGGGAGGTTGCCATTGATCAAACTGTTGTTGTGAGCCCAATCCGGCCCACACATGGCAGATAGCCTCTTCCAGAGGTTTAGCAACACCTGATTTCTCTCCGACAGTTGATCTTTGAGTTGGGTTTCCATCTGTGCCATCCGCTTCCTGTCGTTCTGACGAAGTCCTTCTAGCTCGGTAATCCTGGTGGATGCAGACGTGAGCGCCCTCGTGGTCGAGTTGTGACCCTTGTTGGTCTTCTCAAAGTCGATTTTGTCTTGTCGTCGGCCTGCCTTCTCACGCTCATAGGCATCTGCCAATTTTCGGCATTCATGGCTCGTCGACTCCAGCAACGCGTCACGATCAGCAAGCAGATTTTCCGTCTGATCCAGTCGTCTTCGGACAGACTCAAGCTCAACAGTTGTCTGATCCAATTCACGGCGCATCTTGGTGACTGCACTAATCAAACTCGATCTAGAGCTGTTCGGGTCTCCAATGATGTTTCGCAGACTCTCCTCCAACTCGGACAGTCGCTCCTGGTACGATTTGGCTTCAATGTCACGAGCCGATAGTGCCTTGCGGACTTTCCGGAGTTCATCCTTTGCCCCAGAAGCCTCCCGATTGAGATCGTTGATGACTCTCTGGACCTCTTGCTTCTCCTGACTGGCAACTGCATCTCGTTGAGCACGCTCCTCATTGATCCGCCGTTCGAGTTCCCTACTCTTGTCCCTTTCGGATTCCAAGTTAAGGTGTACCTTCTTGAGCAGCGACTCTAGATCGCCAATCTTGATCTTGTCGGCGTCTTGCTCCTCGCGTAGGAATGCAATCTCATTATGACTGCTCTCCTGCTGCACCGTCAATCTTTGCACTTTACTTTCAGCCTCGCCGAGAGTCTTTTCCAGATTCTCAAGCTCACGATTGGCGTCATCAAGCTCTGCTTTGACTGACTGGTACCGTGCCAGATTTTGCTGTGCATCCTCTTCGAGGCGGACGAGGCCTTCCGCAGCAGATCGCATCTCGGCCTGCAACGCCTTGACATTCTCCACCTGGGCTTTCAGTTCGCCTTCGAGTTTGGCACATTCCTCCGCCTTGGCATCAAGCTCGTCTCCCAGGCCGTCGATTTCCTCCTGGGCCTCACTCTTCAGCTGTTGAAAGGCTTGATCTTGTTCCTCGGCGTCGCGCAGGGCATTGTCGCGCTCTTGAGTCAGCAAATGGAGCTCTTCATTGAATTGATCCGCGTCTGCTTGCGCCTGGGCATCCACAGCATCAAGCTCTGCAAGTGCTTCGTCAAATTGATTCTGAAGGTTCTGATTTTCGAGTTTCAACTGGGACACTTCATCGCGAAGCTCATTGATCCTGGTCTCGAGAACCTCGCGCTCTTGGTCGCTCATCCGAGACAACCTTGTTCCATTGCTTGCCCGGGAATGGGACCTTGCTCTGGACGCCGACCGATCGAGAATACTGTCACCAGCCACAGACCGAAGACCGCCCATCCGACCGAGTTTCAAATCTTCGATTTCCTGGTACAGCCGCTCCTTTTCCTTGTTCCGAGATGTCAGGGTGGAAGCTTGCGCGCCAATCATCTTCTGGAGTTCCGAAACCTCATGTCTGAGTCTCTCAATCTCTGCGTCTTTGGCATTTGCGGCTTCGACACTACTAGACCTCGAAACAACCGAGCCTCCGATCTTGATCTTGCGCGAGTTGGACTTTCCAGACACGAACGTCTCACTTCTTAGCTTCGCAACCTCTTCCCGAAGCCTTTTGTTCTCCTCTTCCGACTGCTCACGCGCAATGGTCTCTGCCTCGAGCATATCTTTCCACATATCGCGCTCTTCCCTTGAGCCGACATCGGAAGCTGCAGCACGAGTATCGCCTAAGCTCTTGACCATTTCGGCAAGCTTTCGCTTCTCAGTCTCCTTTGCCAGATTCTCTTGACGGAGTTTGTCTATCTCTATCTCACTAATTTCGACCCTTTCTCGGAGATAGATGACTTCTTCCTCAGCGGTGGGACTCCTTTCCTCGTCGGTGGCATATCCTTGATCAGCACTCGGCGAGTCGCGGACACCCGTCTCTTCGAGCTTCTTTTGTAGGTCTCGAACCTGCTTCCGTAAATTATGATTATCCTTTTCCAACCTCAATCGGTCAGACTTTAGTTGTACATTTTCTGTGATCATCTCTTTGATACCATCCTCGGATCTCTTCTGTAGTGCTTGGTCCAAAAAATGGATCTTCATTTTCAAGTCGAAGTTCTCTTTGCCCAGCTTTTCCACAGTGCTTCTGTGCTCTTTTAGGGTCAGGCCTCGCTTGGGGCCCGGTGTCATGCCTATGATCGTGTTGCTCTTTTCCGGGGACATGCTTCGCTCTTGCCGATACTGACGAGCGAAAGTACCTGGGACTTCCAGATCTCTGGCGTTGTTAGAAATGACTGCGTCGGTAGGCATGTTGAAGTTGAAGACCGAGGCGCGCGGAGTAGAGTATCCGCCAGCTTTGTTAGAGTTGGGGCTCTCTTCCGCCAATGTTGTCAAGTCAGGAGCACCAGCCTGTCTTCGAGGTTCATCGTCGCTGATACCTGATATCCCAGACATCATGCTCCCAAGGCTTGCTTGTCTGGAAATCACAGCCCTAGCTTTGCGCTGCGCGCTCGAATCGGGGAGTGCCCCTCCTGATTGCAGCGCAAAGTCCGCCCCTACCGTGGCATCGCTAGCGTCAGTATTGGAACTGGCCATGGAATCGTAGGACAGGCGTGCTTGAGAAGATCTCTTGTGTAGGTATCCTGGTCGCCTTGTCCCTTGTTTGGATGCGCTCTCTGAACCTTCTTGCTGTCCGTCAGCGCTGTTTGGCAAGCCCAGATATCGATTTTCATTCTTTCGTGGGGTAGCCTCAGCATCGTCTTGGGCACTCCGAGACCGCCTCTCGGGCCTCACTTGGTCCTCTGACTCATTGGCCGTCTCGTATCCGCCCATGGTGGCCAGTGACTGGACTCGGGAAAGGGTTCGGGCAGCGGCCGCGGCAGTTGGGGAGGAGGACATGCTTTCCAGTACGGATGTGCTTGGTATCTGGCCAGTTGAACCGTCGCTTTCGATAGTGTGTCGGAACTCGCGTCGTTCCGGTGCAGGTGTCTTGTAAGCGCCGGGCGGTGTACGAGGTGATTGGGAGAGTCTTCCAGCTGCATGGTTTTCTGTGTCCTCGGACGGGTAGGAAATCTGAATAGGGTGCGGTTTCCTGCGCACCGCGACATTGTCGTTAACAACGCCGAACAAGTGCGTGTCGTCTGCGCCAGTAGTTGACGAGTCCTTTTCCACCAGGCCGGACTGTTCGGGTATGAAGCTCGACTCAACATCCAATAACATTTTATTCATCTCGCTCTCGTTCAGTGTCAGGTTCGCAGGCAATTCGAGATTTGTGCTTTCGTCGATGGGCTGCAGGAGACTACTGGGGTCTCTGGGACCAGCCAGAAAGGAAGAGGAATCGTGCTCTTGGACGGGCGAATCATCATGGTCGCTCCCTGAGGATGCCACGTCGTCCTCCTCTTCTGGCTCGAACCCGCCCGGCACCCTCGACGACCGGCGCTCGGTTCGAGGCCGGCTGCTTAGAATCGAGGATGACATTATACCAGTTGACCGTCGAGTCAGGGCTAATATTGTGCCGTGGGCATGCGCAATGACAGGCCGATGTGATTCGAGCCTCTGGAATACCGTGGTGCGGACATCTGTGTGGAGAACGGAGAGTGTTGACACGCGCTACGATGGGAGATGGTGATGCAGCGCGTTTGTTGTCTCTGGGGTTCGAAGATAGAGGACAAGGGTGGACCGAAGGGAGGCCGTAATCGCCAAGTGAGTTACTCACTCTGACAGGAATACTCGGGGTCGCTGCGCAAGTTCAATCGACTGAGACGGTGAAAATGTGTCCGGGGGGTTGAGGGAGAGTCCAAAGTATCTGCCCCTTCTCTGAAACCCTGCGCCAGACTCAATCTGGGCAGGTCATCAACATGAAGCAAGGATCCACTTGACGGTCGGACAGGTATATCTTGGTCAGACATAATAGTTATATTCCCTTTCTGGTACTGAAGACAGCCACTCCAGGCACTAAATGTTAGCAAATCATTTTGTCAGACACAATCATTCACCCTTCCCATCCCGTCGTCTCAGGAGTTCTCTTTCGGGGAGGGCCACTAGGCCGAACGGTAGCAAGCGATACTGCCCAGCTAGTGGCACCAGTGGCTTCGACTGGTGCGACCTCGATGCGGCCCTGTCTCTTCCAAGCGTTGGACCTGTCAGAGAGTGGTACAAGCAAGACTGGCCGGTCAATGCCTTGCATACTAGTACCGAGTAGTTATCTACCACATACTTCGTATAGAGGTGGGTTTTGAATACCAACACCAGTCAGAGATAGCCGCGTTGGGTCCTCATCCTTCTGGTCTCCTTTTCATAATTCGTCAAGTCGTCTACTACAAGTACAAGGGTATAGTACAACGAAGCGAATCAACCGCTCACCATTATCAGCAAAAATAACATCTCCATGCCACGTTCGAGAACATCCATAAAGCACCGCTTAGGCATCACATCACCCCCAGGGAGAGCCGTCGTGGCCTAGTTCCTAGAGTCCATCGCTCCACGATGTATTCTCTCTTCCTCCTTTCTCATCCGATAGATCTTCTCCTTCGTCATCTGTGCATTCTGCAGCGTATCGATGTACGTGCGGAATTTGACAATCTCTCGAAGCAAGTAACTGCTTTTCCGCTCCCAGTTGTTCATTGCTTTGGTGGCGTTGGGGTGCTTGACTGTGAATGCTAGGAGCATTAGACCTCGCAGTTCGTTGTGCCGCTGCAACTCTTCCTCCACATTGGTGACATATGTCTGTAATGCTCGAAGCTGGTCCACCTCCATCAACTGAGAGGCAAACATGGATTGCTGAGGTGGCATCCACTCGCTGATATGAGCCTTGTCTCCGGGAAGTTTCGGCCGGACGCCCCCAACGTGGTCCATGGAGCTCCGCATGGACATCTGTGTGCTGGGGCGCGGGCTCATCGCCGCGTTGTGTCCGGATTGGAGGTCCGGCGAGGTCAATGAGCGATTGACCACGGCATCACTCCAGCCATACTCCATGTTACTGATACCACCCATCATCGGCTCTTTCGACAATCTCGCACTCCAGTAATTGGCGGTAGAAACGAACTCTTTCACAATGTCGGGTGTGCCAACTGAGAAGAGATGAACAGCGCCTGTCGGCAAACTGAGCGCCCACACATAGGGTCGAGCCTTTGAGTATCCGGGCGGTGGAAGAGAGCTGGCAATGGTATGGCGCAGGGTGAATTTCCACAACTCTTCAGCATTGTCCTGCCAATTCCCACCGCCCACGACAGCGGGAACTTTGGGAGCTCGTGCCCTGTTCCTCAGAGACTTCGCCGTCATCGAGAATGAGAAAAGTCTCATGTAACCCTTCTCAATAACGGCAAAGCAATCATTCCAATTCCTGTCCTTTGATCTCTTGTCAACACCTTCAAGATGACATTTGTGCTTCACAATGCCTTCCTTCGCCCACGGGGCGCCGCAAAGCTCAAGGGACTCGTCGTCAAGCAGGGACACTGCTTTAGCCCCGTCCTCGATCGGTAATTCTAGTTGGTCTTCCCGAATGATGGCCTGGCTCAAAGCATTCGCAAAACCGATGGACGATTGATAATCGGCGTGAGTAGCTTCAGTGCCAAACGAATCGACCGACATTGACGTCAATGTCTTTCCCAGAGATGCCTTGCTCCATGTGCTCGACATTGATGGACTCCAGGCCGAGGATTGCTCGTCGATGCTAGTTCTACTAGAGGCAAAGCCCGGAGCAGACGGTAGCCGCGGTCTCGACCGCGTCTTTGTAATAAAGCGGGCGCCGAGTGACTTGCTTTCGCTGGCATACCGACCTCGATTCGTATCAGAGTGTGCCTTGCTAAGCACGCTAGGTGTGCGGCGAAGCATAGTACCCCCGATGGTCAAGAAGCTGTTAGACTGATTAAGCTGTGTGTTTGGTTCAGCTTGGGCGCCGAAGAGCGGGAGAGGTTCCTGTGAGATCGAGGTATAGAAAGACTTGAGAACGCCTTCGATTTGTAACTCCCACGCTCTCCCTTGTGCGACTTCCGGCCCAGGCTCGCCTAGTTCGGGATGGCCATCTTCGTGGATTGGCGGGTCGACAGACCGCTTCGAATCCGACGCAGCGCTGTGTGTATCATCATTCGAAGAAGCTGTCGTACGCTTTGGGCCTCGCAAAGTTTTCTCGATCTCAGAGCCTTGGGCGACGCGTTTGATTGTCGGAAGCGTATTGCGCACAAACTGGACCTTCGTCATCTTCTGATCAATGTCTGCCAAATGAAGATCGGTGTTCAAGAGCAGGATCGAGTAGCAAATTGTATGCACCACATCTGCATATATCAGTAAAATTGTGTCAAAGGAGTGAGAAAATTCCTACCGCTTGACCTAAATGAATGCGATGTGTTACACTCGCACCATCGCTGGGCAAAGGCATCCATGATACGGTCCATTTGCTGGGTCTCGCCTCTGAGTATGATTCTGTCACAAAGACCCCGAAGGGAATCCAGGATATTTTGGTCCTTCCAATCGAAGAGCTCCATATATGCTTTGCGCACATACTCCCTCTCTAGTCCGGCATCTCCCAGCCAGGCACCTGCGGAAGAAGGATCTACCTCATCGTCGGTGTTATTAAAGATCTGCCGAGCCTTCGTTTTATGGTTTGATTGAAGGCCGGGCTGAGGATCGCTCGGCGGGGCGGTCGGTGGGTTGGAGCTCAGCGGTGATGCGATTTCACCGTCGGGTGTTTCAATGATCAAGGGAGTGCTTGGTGCTGATCTATACTCACTAACGTCAGAGGTTGACGCGAACGGAGAACCCTTGGCTCCTTTCGGCACAACTTCCAGAGTGTTCTGTCGCCTAGCTGATATCGACTTGTTTCCGTATTCCGCACTCTGTGAGGTTGGAGTAGGAGCCGCAGTCATGGGAGATATAGGTGAGACCCTGTCGGACTTCCATGATCCCTGTCGCGTCGTAGCCGATCTTGGATCAGAGAGAGGGCTGGGCAGTGAGGTTGCGGAGGGCGTATGCTCTAGTTTCAAGTCGGCTACACTACCCCTGTACCGTATTGGAGGCCTCTCGTTGTCAGAATGGTGGCTGGCATCAAACGGAGATCGCTTCATCGGCTCCTCTGCACTGCTGCTATCTGCTAGGAAGGAGTCCTGATGAGGGATTCGAAGGGCTGAGACCTGTTTGGGGTTCGACTTTAACGTCTTACTGCTGCCGTGCGATTCCGATCGGTGATGGCCCCCTGCTCTAGGTCGACTAACGACCTGGTTCGATAAGTTGAACCCTGGAGGTGGTAGATTCGAGTTATAGAAGCCTTGCATTGAGCTGGTTCGACCGTGGCCACGAGGATGAGCATGCCCTGCCGAAGATGGAGGTTCGACCAGGTAAGGGTCCATAAACGCTCTGAGGCTGCTTACTGGACTCGTCCCATCCACAGGCTCATTGTCTGTTGGCAAGTCCGAGTTCAATGTCAGTGGCAGTGGAGGGGGCACTGCATTTGAAACCGATTTCTTTCTTCGACGGAAAAATGCAGAAGACTTCTTGGTGATCACTGGCTGGTTCTCTTTGTTTGCCGAAGCATCGGTGGACGTCCGCCGAACAGCCTTTTGCATTTTTCCAGGCGGCGTTGTTGGGTTTTGTGCATTCTCATCTTGTACCGGAGTCGCCCGGCCGGGTTGTGACTTGGTGAGTACATTGACCGCTGGGGCAGTCTCCGTATTCACAGATGGGTTTCTGGACGAGCCGAAAACACGGCGAAAGAAGCCTGGTCTGGGTGCTGCGATTGTCTCGTGCAATGACCCTATATTTGCCCTGTGTTCGACGGTGTTGAAACTCGGTACACTCTTCATCGAAGGCAGCTGGGGAACAGAATCATTGCGGCCAGAATTGGACCCCAATGCTGCTGCTCGGCCTTTCTTGACATACGCGCTTTTGGAGGATTTGGCACTGTTTTTCCGGACAAGGGGTGGACCAGATGGCACTCCTGGTGTTCCGCTCTGAGCTTCCGGCCCGGGAAATATCACCGGAGTGGGTGCACCATCAGCACCCCCGGGAGGTTTAGTCGTGCGTAGATCTCGCGGTCTAGCACCAAAATCAAAGCTCCGAGATCGTCTGTTTCCTGGCCCTCCTAGCCTCCCACTCAGACTGGCTAGATGTCCCAGGTCAATACTCGAAGATGCACTGCTGTTGGTACTCCTGCCGCCACCAGAAGCATTCTTTTTCCGTCTTGGGTGACGAGGCTGTGCTGCTCTTTGTGCATCATAGACCTTTGCGCGGACCGAATCCTCGTCTTCTCCAAATATACTAGGCAGTTTCTGCAGGTCCTTTTGGTATCTGACACTGTTGCGTACAGGTAGTCTGGGAATTGTCTGTGGCATCTGCGGCATGGGTCTTATGTGTTGGACATCATTCTCCGAAGATGTCGAAGACGAGAATGTATGTCCTCTTTTCCGGATCCTCACACTTGTGTCATAACTGTTACTTCGGGGTGTGTATGGGCCGTCATCGAATACACCACCAGAGAATTGATCGAGCGACATGACCAGGTTATCGACCATGGATGCTCGGAGAATATGGTTGCTGGAGAAGGACAGATCATGAGGGTCTTCGATTTCATCGTTGTCGTGGATGTGGTCCATTGGTGGTGATTCAGCCAGGAACGTTCCTGTTCCCGCCATTTGTCTGCTCGGTAGACCCCCATTCGATTGTGGAAGCGGTCGAGATTGTCTGGTCGGAGACACAGGCAAGGCGCTGCTATGTGGCTTCGGATGCTCGATGACCTTGAACTGTTTGGAAGATTGACGGCGCGGACTCTTTGGTTTTTTTGGCGAGGATAAACTCGGTGGAGGGGTCATCGTCTGCGGCAAAACTGACTTGGGTGTCGTAAGTCAGCCTGCGACCCGAGGGAAACAGTGCGCGCGTGGCTTTCTGAGATGAGACAGCTAACTCCTCGATCCTTCGTGAAATGTCGCACGACCTGGGACGTGTTGGACGATGTCCCAGCGCATGTCCCACCGTTGAAATATAGATCGATGTGGAAATGATGAAGTGCTAGGTTTTCAGAAGATGGCTCTGGATGGGCTGCGTACGTAGCCTTAAAGTGTCTGAGGATGCGGGCGAGAGATCTGAGCGCGGAGGTGCAGCTTTGTGTATTTACGGGGGGTTGTTCAAAGACGGCCAAGGGACAGCAATGCGATAGGCATTGGAGGTGGTCAATGGTGGGTCCTTTAGGGTTGGATCCAGTAGCTAACAGCAGCCAATGCAAGGATAGGGGGCGCCATCTGTAAGGGCCACCAGCCAGGGGTACCCAAGCAGCCCCTTGCAGGGCCCCGTGTACCACTAGTTACCGACCTAACAGGCACTTGGCAGGTACCTAGGTAGACTCTGGCGTGTCTGACTCCTTGCAAGTGCTAGGCACGGGGTAGGTTTTCTGGGCTACCACTACCTAGAAATCCTAGAATCTTCCTTACACGGTATCTGACACGGAGTAGAATTAGGAGACGATAATACATAAGCTTTTATCCTCCCGATATCCAACGGCGCTCTATCATTATGAAAGCTACCAAGTACAAGTCAGCTCCGAAAGCAATTTGATTGCTTTGAAGAATGTTACCCACCAATACCTACGGAGTAGCTATGCATAAGTAGACATGGTCCCACAGGAGTCATCCGGAGTACCAAGTATGCGTTGGACGACAGCGGGAGACAGGTCACTTGTCTGTTATCGGCCTGACACCCCAAGGTTATCAGTTTGACAGTTGATTCGATCTTACCGCCATTAGAGATGCAATTTCAATAACCCATGCAATCATCAGTTCATCACTGTGTTGTCGCCACGCACCGAGTTGTATGTTGTCCCATCTCATACAATTTCAACTCTTGCGCATAGTACTCCTACCAGTCCAGTCCAATATCTCAGGATCATCCACCTCCTTAGGGTCGCAGTGGGCCGCAGGGTGGCCAAGATCAAAAGTTATCGACGGACCTGCATTAGCTCTCCCCCGCTACCGAACGCCACGCCTGTAAAGTTGATCGAATAGGGTGCCTTGTCGCTGGGTGCTGAGCCACATCTCGGCGATTATCCTGTTTGATGTCGCATTTGACGACTGGGCCGTGAAGCGGGAGTTCGTGATGGGAGTAACATGCTCGTGCCGCGATTGGATAGAAAACTGTAATGATATTTCGCGATTCACGCCAGGTTTCCCCTTCCTCGATTCTCAAAAGCCCTCGTTGTTTGATTCGACACCTGGATTGGCACAGCATCGACAGCTAGAGATCGGAGTCGCCGTGATTGAGCGCATGTTGTCAATTGATATGAGGTTATCGCTTAGATATCCACCGCCTCAAGAGAACAAATTCAAATGGATACTTCCAGAGTTTCGACATGCAGCCAGATTGTGCGCTCGGTATTCTTCCTTCCGAGCACCAGCAGTCACTGTTCTAAATTGATGTGCCGCCCTTTTTTCAGCCCTTTACGCCCAAAAATAGCCATTTCGTCCCCAAAGTCGTGAGATTGATGTTCAGAATCGTGCACACCAGCCATATCACGATCCATGCCAACATGGGCGAGAGTAAAAGCTGTGTGTGATGCAGGAAATGCAGTGCATTGTATCCCAGAAAGGTGATTAAACTCCAGTAGATGCCCGCAGCAAGGTAAAGCAAATTGGCGAAAAAGGTTGATGCATGGTTTTGATGGTTGATGATAGGCATGAGGATGTATTGGACGATATAAAGCAGCACGTATGGCGGGAAGAACGCCCGTATCGAGACATCAAAGCAGTAACCGAACTCCAGCACCTCAGCTCTTCTTGACCCTCCTGGAGGGCCGAACAGTCCTTGTTGGCGCCTGCGACCCGGAAGTCCGGCGATTCCAGGACCCAGGAGTCGGCCAACTAGATAATATGCCAGTGTTGATACAAGGAGAGATCCTGCCAGGAAATGAATCACGACAAACATCAAGGCCAGCTTGACGACGGAAGCGAAGGACGGCGTATAGGCGAGCGACCAGGCGAAGGATGTGAGCAGGAGGAAAAAGGATAACAGGTAGGTAAAGGACGGATCAGGGCGGTGCCAGGTGTTTCTCGTCTCTGCCCATCTCTCTTAGCTTCGAGGATAAGCAATGTAGGCATTTCTGTCAACTCACGCTTGTGGTAATAGATGGACTTGAAGACCTTCTTCGGCGCAATGAGCAGATGTGTCATCTCCCACACAGCCATCTCGAAGTCCATCTGCGGAAACTTGAAGAGTCTGCCACATCATATTGTCAACAACAATAGCTAGGGCCAAGAGTCGTCCTACTGCCTACCGCTTGAAGAAACGAGGCATGCGAATATCGGACCCCCCTGCAGTGGCGCCAAAGTGGGAGCCGCCATATTGACGCGGAGTAGTGATTCGGGGACTGCTCATCGGGCGAAAGGTAGGAAAGGTCTTTGGCTTTTATCAACAGTCTGCAAAGGGAAAGGAGTGCGTGAAGATGAAGATGTCAACATGAAGATGTCGACGAGAAGGTTGGGCTGCGAAATAATAATATGCCACGGCCACCTCATCCGGATGGCCCACGCTGCTTTAACCAAGTGCCAGCCTCGCACGTCATTCTGCTGCTTGGAGCCAACCAAGGATTCGACGAAGCCCCCATCGACCTTGCTCTACAGCAATATAAATCTAGTCTCAATTCTCTTGCGTACTAAGGTAGGTAGGCGTCTATCTCGACCGTTGAGTCTAAAGTCGATTTCCGACCTTTCAACTCAGTGCTATTACATAGTCTGGCATGCCGCAGAGGTAAGGTTAGGTTTACGCAGTCATCCCAAGTACGCGTACATGAATTGTAGATCTGGATCCAGACCAAGCTCGGTGAAATCAATGACCAGTAGCCAGACCTTTTGAGGCATTTTGATTCTATTGCAAAGGGTCCTGAAAAGTCTACGGTGTTTTGTGCGAGCCGTAGCGCATCGTCCCTTGAGCCTCGCGCACCGGCAATACTCATTGTAGCTGTTTCCTGATGTAGAAATATCGAGACAAATCGGGTATAGCTCGAGGGTGGCAAGATATTCATCCCGTTTCTCAACCGCAATGATCATCCCTATACTAGATATACTCTCCCTCATCGGGAAAATATCTCTCTAGAAAGGAAAACGATGTATGGGAGCCATTGGACCACGTACTTGATCGCTCACCCATGTATGACAAATTGGATATCGTTCTTGGGAGCTTTGGAGCATTGTAAAGCCCCGGGTTCCGTTGAGCCTTGTGTCTGGCAGGTGTATATAGAGGCGCAATTTCGTCACCAGAACGATAACATCAATCTCAACATCAGTGCCTCGCTGTACAAGCTACCACCGCATCAGAACCCAGTGAGAAACTCCATGCAGACAGCGAATCCTGCATCACGCCTAACAGCCATACACAAGCAAACAAGCATGTCCAGCCAAGACGTCACAGACATGTCGAAACCCTACATTCCTCTTGCCGGGAGCGCCGATGATGGCTGGTCCACAGAGACAGAAGCCACAGCCACCTGTTTCTGTGGCGCCGTACAGCTGAAATTCCCCACCGAGAAGCCCGGGTTTGTTGATTCTTTCGTCTGCAATTGCACCGACTGCCGCAAGATCACCGCCTCAATGTTCGCATCGAACTTCATCGTCGCCAGCGATCATGTCACGCACCTCCGTGGCAAGGACAATCTGACATCCTTCGCCCAGTCCAAGACTATCGCCACGGGGCACACCATGGCCAATCATTTCTGTTCCACCTGTGGCACGCTCATGTATCGCATCAGTTCCGGCTTTCCAGACAAGCTTGTCATGCGTATCGGCACAGTCGACGACTTTCATTTGCACGAGACAAAGTTAAAGCCTCGAGTGGAGCAGTATGTTAAGAATCGGGTTAGCTGGCTGAAGGGCGCGGAGGGTGTTGAGCAGGTTGAGGGAGCTTGTTTCCGCTGACGCTGGCCGGTTCCGTTCTGCTATGCGCAGGTCTCAAAAGAGGAAGCTGGGCTGGGCATAGTGCAGTGCGTCTGCACTGGCTTATGCTATCTAGTGCCTGAATTTTGGCAATGGTAGATGCTGAATCCACATGAATGTTCCAGGAAGGAAAAAGCACTAGGATAGGTATCCATCAACATTGACATTATCTGCGCAGACGCAATTCGATTCGTTTATAACAATGGTGACCGGATGGCTTATCAAGTCTCCACTGTCGCTGCCGCTGCCGCTGCCGCCTCTAGTGAATGGTGTCCCAAGCGGCGCAAGTCGTCTCTCTCGTGCTCATATATTCGATAATCTCCGCCCACACAGGGTTCAAGTAAGGACGGTGCCCTGGTTCGCTGTTTTGGCTTCTGCCAAGTCTGCACGTTCTTGTCCCAGTCGGACATTGTGGCGTGTAGCGTTGCCCGAATGGCAATGAAGGTCTCCTGCACATCGTTGATCCGAAAACCAGATTTCCCAAGATCGTTTTTGGGGTTAACAGGATCTTGAAGAGTCATGAGATACTCCATCCCCTCGCGAGACCACTTTCGGCCTGGTCCTTGAAAAGCCCTGGGACGTGCGTTGGAGTGCTCCCTATCTGCTGTCTGGGACCGCACGACTGCTTGCTGATACCCTTCGTTGTGCTTGCCAGCACGCACAACACTTTTTGAAAACAACTCGAGGGGTTCGGTGGAAATACCGTGTGTAGAAAAGTCGATGTCAGAGTAGAAATCTAGGAAGAAAAGAAACTGGTTGCCTACATCCGCGTGATGAAACTTGCCCTCGGAGAATTTCAAAGCTGCGACTATCATCTGAAAGAGTGGATAGGATGTGACACCTCCACTGCTGCCGACTGTGAGTCCACGCATCTGTAAGAGTTGTTTCAGGACCTTGAAAAGACCTCGCAGGGACGGATATTCCTTCAAGCACGCTTTCACGTATTCGCGGCTGTCATATGTTCTGGGCGTAGACTGGATCTGGATAGGGAGGCCCGATGCCTTGTGCTGACAGAGTAGAATAGGCACGCGGGCTTGCTTGAGATAAAGTTGGACCTCGATTGGACGAAAGTGGAAGAGATTGGTTGTTTTTGGAGGAGAACGAAACATCTTGTAGAGCTTGTTTAGTATTGAGAGAGATGATACTTGCGCCTGCTCGTTGACTGAGCCAGGTCGTCCGGAGCTGGAGACATTAATATCCAAGTCCGATAGGGGATCTGCAAGTCGGGTCGCCCTAGACCCGATCATATCGACGTGGAGGTCTCCCGCAACGTCCCTGACGCAGTCAACGAGATCATTGAAAGCGTCGTCCGCAGCGCGCTGCTCTTCTGTTGAAGGAGATGTGTACTTCTCGAAAGCCCGGATTTCATCACCAAGCCGCTCAACCGCGGACGAGTAGGAATTTGGGTCCGGGTTGTGTAGATAACGAAGCCATGGAAGACGATAGTGTACTGGAGGGTCCTTCTCGGCTTCATTTATTCGCCATAACAGATCTAGATCGCGACTCGTGCCTTTGAATCCCTTGAATGGAGCGAGTTCCACCCTTTTGAACCGCCCAGTCTCTTTTCGCACCAGGGGGGTCTTGACCTCGAAAGATGGGAATTGTTCATCGGAATCACGTAGCCGGACGGATGAGCCATCATTGTAAGTCTTTCGAACGCGTGAAGCGCGATTTGCTTCACGATGAGCACGTAGGGTATTGTGCAGACTCTTAATATCAATGTTTGGTTCCGTGGTGAAAGCAGTTTGAGGATCTCGAGAAGAGGTATGAACAGTGGCCAGCGGTACTAAGGTACCGACCAGAGATCTAGGTTGACGTTGCCGGAGACTTGGTGGGAGACTGAGGTAGAGGGAAGCATGACGACAGCCACAAGCGGCATTTCGAGAGAGGTACTCGTGGACTGGTGGCATGCAGCATAGGAGTGAGCGGGAGAGAATGCTCTGCAGATCCGGCCGACAGCAGGAGGAAATCAAAGGGGATTACTCGGCGAGCGCCAGATTCGACCTGTATTCTTTCAGGAGATGGCAGAGTGGTCAGGCTGTGATGCGGTGACTCGATCTCGATGCGATATCACTTGCACTGCACATGCGCTTGAATTTTTGGATGCTCCGACGAAAAAGCATCACGGGCTACTCGTCGAGGCGTCAAACCACGAGTAATTAGCGGGTATTTTAGCGAGCGGCTTGGCGGCTGCCCGATTCAAGCTTGCTCGCCCCACAAGCGGAAAGCCTAGGGGCCAACAAGGCTGCTTGGGCTGCCAGTTCAGGCGCGGGCTTGCCCGACCTATTGTGTAGTACCGACTCGCCGAGTACTTATAGGCAGTAGTTTGGAGGGATCCACGCCTAAAATAATGATGCCCATGGCTCAGGCCCTGGTGGTTCTGCATTTCCACTCATTCCCATCATTCCCATCAATCCGAGCTTTTACCTGGTCAAGTCAGGCCGCACCTTGTTGCCCCTCTCTTACCACCACCCCCGTTACTTTTTCCCAACAACGGTCACCAACGAATGATCTAGCAGCGTATCCTCACTGACCTTCTCAGTCTAGGGTAGGGATTTCTTCCACCTTCGATGAGAACCAGCAGATCCAGCACATTGCCTGGCGCAGCCAATCCTCTTCCATGTAAAGCCTGTGAGAGCTCGAACAGACAGCACCGAGTGCCATACCTCACCCCATCCGACATTCCTGGTTAGAGTCCTGTGAGGCATCAGAAAAGAGGAGGGAAAAGCATGTGCAATGGCAGTTACAATACTTGAGACTCTTCTCATATCCCTCTTGATGAAGCCACTTCCACCGTGGGCCAACACTTCTCGTCCCCATCATCCATCTTCAGCTATATGACACCCAAGACGCTTAGCAAGGTACATACTCGTATGTTCGATCCGGGATTGCCTTCCGAGTAAACCCACAGACCTAGTGAGAGACCACGCCTGTAATCGGTACAAGTAAATCCAACCTCGCCCTCCACCTTGCTCCTTCTGTACGCCAACATCATCGCCTGAGCCTCGTGCCCGACCTTGTCAGCATCTGTGATAGTTTCTACAAAGGTACTTCCCGCCTCTCCTAATCTCTACCACAAATTCCTTGTCAACCCTGTGTGATCTTCGCGTCTCGGCCTCCTGCGTTGTTATTTTTTTACCTTTTATTCACCTACCCCGCTATCATCACTGGGCTGCGTTACCTACACATCACTCGCTCACCGAATTCCCTGATCAGCGTTAATTTTCCTCATTCGGATGAAGAGGCTGATTCTAGCATTTCTAGCACTTTCTTCTTATATGTCCTAGTCCTTCATCTCTGCCTCTGATTCATTTCAGCAGTGCTACCATGGTCACACATACAGCTTCACCCAGTCAAGTCCTTCGTTCAGACAATGATCCTCCAGGCCCTAGATCGGGGTTGACAAGTGAACCGGAGAAGATATCACCAGAACAGGAGCGGCCCACAACCTCTTATTTCTCTCTGCCTCAAAAACAGTCTACCAATGAGTCGGCCGCTTCAGAATCACCCGCAGAGGTTGCAAGGGGGGCACGTTCCGGAAAGGAGTTACTACGTCGGCTCAGTCTTGTTGACTCTAGAGGTGCTGAGGCTTTAGAGGTCGACCCGCGAACGGCGTATCCTGGTTTGCGACTGAGTGGGAATGTCATCAGTGCTACTTTTTGTATCCCATATCAACTTACGCACCAAGGAAATGGTGAATGGGCGCTTTCCAACAGACGCGGCACCTCTGCACTGTTTGATTCATTCGCGCATCTCTCGTCGGATAAGACGCCTTGGAATCACACCTTGGTGGGCTGGACGGGCGAGATCCGTACGCAGCAACAGGCGAGGGCAATCAGCATCTTACAGTCTGATGCGGCGGCGGCAATTGCGGCGGCACAAGCTCCCCATCCCATCAACAAATCTGCCGCACCCTACCCCGTGAACGGCACTACCTCGAATGCTCATGTGCCTCATCCTGACCATTTGAGATTGCCTCGATCAGACCGGAACCGTCTAGAGAAAATCCTGGCGCAGCATCCCAACGGCAAGGTTCTCCCTGTGTGGCTACCCGAAGGACAAGGAGACGAGGACGGTGACTACATCTTCAAAGACCAAAGCCGGTGGCGCAAATACGCAGAGCACGAACTGTACACCCTTTTTCACTATCGGCACCACGGTCCCGATGATGGCCGAGCTGAGAAGACTTCATGGGCAGATTACGTGCAGATGAACCAGTGCTTCGCCGATCGAATCCTACACATCTATCAACCCGGCGATATTGTCTGGATTCATGACTACCACTTGATGCTACTACCAAGCATGTTGCGTCAACGCATCCCCAACATCTACATCGGTTTTTTCCTCCACATCCCATTCCCTAGTAGCGAATACATGCGATGTCTACCCCGAAGAAAAGATATCTTGACTGGAGCGTTGGGTGCGACAATGATTGGCTTTCAGTCATACAGCTTCTCCCGACATTTCAACTCCTGCTGCAAACGCATCCTAGGTTTCGAATCGAGCTCGGCAGGTGTGGACGCATACGGAGCCCACGTCGCTGTGGACGTGTTCCCCATTGGCATCGATGTGGCAGCGGTGCAGAAGACAGCTTTCGGCGACCCTGTCATAGAACAAAACATGAAAGCCTTGAAGAAAATGTACGCCGGCAAGAAGATTGCTGTTGGTCGTGATAGACTTGATACCGTCCGTGGGGTATCGCAAAAATTGATGGCATTTGAGATCTTCTTGGAACGATACCCAGAGTGGCGTGACAAGGTGGTTCTTATTCAGGTGACCAGTCCCACGAGCGTGATGGAGGAAAAGGTGGACGGGGCTCACAAGATCGAACACAAGATCTCAAATCTGGTCTCCAGGATCAATGGCCAATACGGGTCGCTGAGCCATTCTCCAGTGCAACACTATCCACAATATCTCTCATCACAAGAATATTTTGCTCTTCTTCGCATCGCGGATGTGGGACTTATCACGAGTGTCAGAGA